CCGACCCGGGGCCCACCCTGCGACGGGTGTTGTCATCGCCTGATCGGGGGCCCACGGTGTGGGGGGCGCTCCCATAATGCATGTTTAACACCCCCGGACGGGCAACCCCCCCCCCCCCCCCCGACTGCCCGGATCACGACCACTACGCCACATGGTCGCTCGTCGTCCTGTGCCGCTGGGCCTACGCCTGGGTGGAAGCTGAGAAGCCCGACAAACCTGGTCGCTTCGCGGCCGCCGTTGTTGTCACCGCTGGGGTCCACATTACCTACCGGAGCTCTCCTACCGTGGCTCCACGCTGAAGGATATCTCAATTTCTCAGCGGCTTTGACATACCTTACCAGGAGGGCTTGTAGAATAGAGAGAGGCCTTCTTCCTACTTGAGTACAGCGGGATGACATGAAATATAACCATAGACAACAAGGGAAGGGCGTGCAAGACAGTGGCACTGGCAATAACCTTACTCCCTGGCAGGACGCTAGGCAATGGGAAGTCTAGCAGAATCTTAAGCATTAACAGGAGTTTTAAGGCAGGGTGCTGGGGTAATGAACGTTTATGACAAAGTTGCACATGTTCTGGACAAAGTTTAGGAGATGGCTTGGCTAGAACCAGGTGTCATCAGTCCAAAGTAGTTTGCTTTCTGGAGGGGCCAAGCACCAGTGTAGGCTCGCCTTACGCAACAGGTAGGCCCTTCTTAGCTGTGGCAAGGAGGATGAAGAGCAAGGCTGCGGTTGCAAAGGTTGCGGAGGAGGTCCAGTCGGTTCACAACGTCAAGGAGATTCACAACTCCACTTCTAGGGGGAGATGGACATCACTGGGGAGGTTGGAAGCTCCAAGGAAAACTGACATCTTCGCAATGCCATTACTCTTGGAACTGGACTAGAGTTGCTCTAGGTGGAGAATAATAACTGGAAAAAGGGACTGGATAAAGACCGGATTGGTTGCCGTGGATGCCTTCTTGCGAGGCAACCTGTGCCACCCTCGCCCCAGCTGCTCCCACGCAGGAACGATCTCTCTGTAAGGACGCTAGACATTCGACGATTAAAATGTAACCTCCCTTGGGCGCAGAGAGTTGGACCCGAGAAGCGCCCGACTTTGACAGAGCCCACAGAAACGCAGCCATCACCGGCAGGAAATCCCGGAGGCAGTGGGCCAATGAAGACAACACAACAGAACAAAGAAGACGACATGCCCAAGGGGGAGCCACGTTCCTAGGATCCAGGTAGCCCGCTAAGTCCATGTCCAGAGTCCCGGGTCAGTCCAGCTGCCATGGCCCATCCAGGTCAAGGTCCAACCTAGGTCCAGGAAGACCAAAAAGGATCCAGGATGGTCTGGGTGGTCTGGGTGGCGTTGCTTTCTCTGTAGGCTCACTAGGGAAATGAAAAGAAAATTACGAGTTAGGTACTAAAAGAACCCCTCCTACGTCTGGCATTGACAGATGTCAAGCGTTTACAAACATAGCACAGTTGTGGTTGCATTTAGTCAATCGCACTCCCTCTCAGCCTCTTCCATTACAAAGCCAATTGGCAATTTGAGGATGAAGTGAACTGAGGTAAAAATAAACACATTAAGGCAAGAAGAAAAGAGACTTGACAGGCAGTAGAGGCATTAAGCATAGGCAATAACAATAGGCAGAAATATAAAGTTGTAGGCAGGCAGTATAGACAGGCAGTGTGGGCAGGCAGTGTGGGCAGGCAGTGTGGGCAGGCAGTGTGGGCAAGCAGTGTGGGCAGGCAGTGGGTGGGCATGTAGTGTGGGCAGGCAGTGTTGGCAAGCAGTGTGGGCAGGCAGTGTGTGGGCATGTAGTGTGGTTAGGCAGAGTAGGCAGGTAGTGTGGGTAGGCAGTGTGGGCAAGCAGTGTGGGCAGGCAGTGTGTGGGCATGTAGTGTGGGTAGGCAGAGTAGGCAGGTAGTGTGGGTAGGCAGCGTAGGTAAGCAGTATACAAAGGCGCATTCTCGATATTTCGACAGGCATCTGCCCATCCAGAGGCGCAGCAGGTCGGTAGAGACCATAGGCGAGGACTTCCAGCCGAACAGAACCAGCTTCTCATCTCGGACAGTAGCATGGCCCTGGAATATGGCCTCCAGCCCAGTTGGGTTTTCTGGGTCAAAGGCCAAAATGTGGTGACAAGAGTTGTAGGCTTCTGAGGAGGAGATTCCAGGTCTCATCGGAGTCGTAAGACCCGCAGGTGGAACGACAGCTCCTCGGGCTTTGCGCAAGTCATAGCCTCGAGCACCCGCGGATGCAATCTGGAGCTGTCGGTCAGCTGGAAATCGCTGAAAATGGTGTCCAGCTCAGCCGAGCAGCTCATTTCTGGAGCAAGCTGACCCGGCTCCTCTGGGTTGACGTCGTGAAACATCTGAGAAACGTAGTCGCAGAGTGGACAAGAGATGGCCGATTGTAGGATTCTCTCCATCGAGCCCAGCTCCCATGTCTGGTCACTGAGCCTTTTTTCCGGCTCGCGCTTGAATGGGCGCCCAGAGACTTCGTGGTCGCAGCTGGCCCACGGTCGGGACGCGAAGATAATCCCACTCGATGCTTGAACAGAAGGCGCACAAATGGACGCCGCCTGTCTGCGCGTCTCCGGCGGCGACATCGGTCATTGCCGGTTGCCGATCCTCCATGTGCCCCCGTCGTGATGAAGCACACAAATGAATAGCTAAGTAATCGTTTTGCGCGCTAAGTTGGCTGCTGTTGTGGGCTAACGTGTGCATGTATTAGAAAGGCAGCAAAGCTTAGGTCCTGACGGATCTGAAGGGGTCACCGTAGCAGCGATTAAAAGACTTGGCTCCATTGAGCTGCCTAAACCGCTGCGTTGGGCATTTATAAGCGGGCCGCCGCACCATTTTTTAGATGCTCAAACATCCCTCATTCGTTCTGGTTCGCTTTGCCGTCTGCTCTCAATTCTATCCTTTCCAAAGTCTACTTAATCTCTCCACCCGAGCAATAATCATGGAGGACCTCGTCATCACACCTTCTCAGAAGGCGCAGCTACACGAGGTAGCCGATCTCATGCTCGAAATCTACCGCACCCTCGCACGCATGCGCTACCTCGACCCGTCGTGGATCCGCGAGGGGCCGCACGACATCAGTGTTCTTCTGCCCATGTATCATTCCCACGGCCTGGATGCCACGGTCATCTACCTGTATGGCATCCTCCCTTACGTTGACACGGGCGGCGCCGAGAACGTGGACTTTTTTCAAGGCGGTGAGTTTGCGGACTTCCGCCTGGATGAAAGTGTGGAGCGGGGCCGGGATCCGTTCTATGAAGGTGAAGACGAGGTGGCTCTGCGCCCGTGGATGACGCCTTTGTCGTTGCTGGGCAATCACCAAAGCGTCATTATCTACGATGCGAAGAAACATTGCATTGGGATTTTTGATCAAGAGTCTGGCGGAAGCACTGATCACAATCTGTGGGCTGTCGTGCAAGAGACGAGTGAGGGTGGGGAAGGGGCAGGGGAGGAGAAAGAAGAGGCAGGGGAAGATGGCGAGAATAGTCAGGACGAGGAGGAGGGCGAGGACGAGGAAGATGAGGACGAGGACGGGGATGAGGATGAGGATGAGGACATGAAGGAGGACGAGGACGAAGAAGATGGCGAAGGACCCTATGATGAGATGGACAGCCGGCCGGCCGCTAACGTCCTGCGCGACATCATCCGGTGGTACCATGAACTCATCGAGACCCCGGGAGGCGGCCAGCATTCCGGGGGCGAGTGGGATGCAGAGCTGGTCAAGCCTCTGTACCGCAAACACGGCTGGCCCCATGACAACTTCGATGGCGACGCTTTCCTCGTGGACCAGGCACGTGCAGCGGCTGCCGCCTCGGCCAAGTGGTCCGCCGAGGAACCGCTTCATGAGGTGGCCAAGTACAGAGGATGGCTCGAAGACGACGACAGTCCGGCCATGCGACAGCGGAGGGACAGGCTGGGGGCAGCGCAAACGGTCGACGAAGAGTGGGTTGCGCGATGGGAGTTGTGGCAGGCGGAGCAGAGGAATCGACATGTCCGGAAGAAACTCCACGAGGCAGAAGAAGTCAGGGACCGCGAATGTCCCAATGGACAATGCCAAAAGCCTGAAGATCTTCCGCTGTGGGAATTGAGGCAGCTGCGAATAAACTCCTGGGAGAAACAGCGGACGCTGGAAGCAACGCAACAAGAGGCAGCCAAAGAGACGGAGACTGGCGAGCCAGAGGGCGTACCAGGGATCCAGCTCAGGCTTCGTCACGCAGAGAAGCAAGCGGCAACTTATCATAAGGCGTATGAGGCATCCCGGATTAACGCCGAGCGCCTCTGTCCAGGCCGGCAGCCCTTCACCCTTGGCCTTGGTGTCGAGACCTCGGGATTAGATCTCGAAGAGAGGATGGCGAATCTAACTAGCTACATTGAGGACTCGCAGTCCCAGGCCGCGGCAATCCAGGATTGGATGGCCCAGCTGCCTGCTGATGGCACTGCCGATCAAGCAAGAAAACTGGCCCAAGAGGCTGTTAATAAGAAGGAGCAGTATATCGAAACTTGCATGGAACAGTGCCGTGGAGTGGCTCTATCGTTGGAGAAAGGGGTATGATTAGGAAGACGACGGGAGAACACCTACATCGGATACATAGTCTCGCGGTTCCTTATATGAAACAGGTAGTTGTGGCCAAGTTTCGGGAAGAGTGGAGGGCCGGCGTAGCGTGCCTTAAAGTTGGGCTACGCCAGGCCACCGAGACCTCGAGATTGTCACCAACCCCTCTGATGGATTCATTCAACTACGTATGGCATGCACCTCAACAAGATTATTACCAAGCAATGTAAGAACTAAGGCAGCAAGACAATGAGTGAGTTGGACTGGGTATGAATTAACTAATTCGTGATTAAATCGGTAGGTGGAATGCAGAAGATGAGTAAAGCAAACTCCAGCAACCCGCAATATGAGTGGTCAAGACCAGCAAGACGAGGATAACTACATTAAAGAAAGCGTCAGTTGACACAAGAGAGAGAAAGGTAGTAGATAGTGAGACTACTAGATTAGAAAGGCTTATGGAGAAGGAAACAGTCAAATCGCAAAAACACTCTGGATTATTTCTTCGTCGCATCGACAAGTTTCTGTACCAGTTCGCCAACTTCATCATTAGTAAGCACCTCCGTCGACCTCCTAAACCCCTCCAAGTAAGGAAGCCTTTCCTCGTCTTGGCAAAAGTCAGTCAAAGAGCATCGACAACCCCGACAGCATGAAGACACTCACAGAACATAACCTCCACCCACTTCGTCCTTGCGTGACCCTCGGTGCCGCGTCCAAACACGCGCATGTAGAGCGCCGTCTCGGCGAAGCTGAAGAACTCCTCCGTGTCTGTGAGGTTGAACGCCGGGTTGGCCTTCTTGGCGGCGGCGACGCGCGCCGAGCGGGCCGCGGCCGCGTCCGAGATGGAGATGGTGTCGCGGCCGAAGTGCGCCGCCGTGGTGCGGAAGATGGTCGTGTTGAAGCTGTGGTTGTCGCCCGAGTGGGTGTCGTCGCGGCTCAAGCTGCCGTCGTGCTCTAGTACTGAGAGGCGGAAATGCGTTAGCTGGAGGGCGGAAAGTAGGGCTGGAACACGTAGGTACCTCCATGTTCGTCGAGATCATCCAGATTCAAGGTGTTGGGGTTGCCGGTCGTGGATGTTGTTACCGCAAGCTTTGCGACGGGCAGGCTTACGCCGGGGCTGAGGTTGAGAGCTTCGTGAAACGCATTTACAAGGTCGTCGGTCGAAATGTTGAGCCCATTCCGAGGGAGGAAGCCGTGGTTTGCGAGGGAGTTGATCATGGGGCACGGACTGCGTCCTGGGCACGAGAAGGTTGGATAAGCAGGTTGCTCTTCAGTGATTGCGTTAGATGCTGCGGGCTCTCTTACGGTCAAGAATAGTTGGTGGCTGCCAGAGGCGCAAGTGCTCGCAGGTTGCAGAGACCGCGACCGTGAAGGTTAGCGTGGCAAGAGCGTTGAGATGCATAGCCCCGGGGGTGAAGATATGGTCCGGGGGGGGAGGGGAGGATTCGCTCGGCGAGACGAAAGGAGGAATAGGATAGAGTTGAGACATCCGGGGGTTATGACCTTGGACCGATACATGCAAGCCATTTATATCCTGTGTGTTTGACTGTGCCCTGCCGCCCTGCAGCAGATCGTTGGATCCATCGTGCGCCTTCAAAAGGCGGTCCCGCCCAACGACCGCTACTGCATCTCAAGTCCGGAGTATGGGGACGCGGGATGAGATTCCCGGTCAAATGCCTCTGTTTCTATTGGTGCAGAGGCGGATCTGACATCGCGGGGCGTCTTGGCGCAGCGTTCTAATTTCTTTTTCAGAACCCGGATATAACAGCTCCAACAGCATTCAAGGGATATGTGACCGAGGATCCAGCTGACTTTGGCTTCGCTTGGGCAATCCTATCACACTGCTGTCCTGACACACTTGTCAGTTGGGACGGTGAGGATGTATGCGTCCTCACTAATATGTAAACTTCGTCTTGCGTGCTGTATAGTTGAAAGCGGTCGTGTCGCCTACTGCATAGTGGTAAAGAGGGAATACCCTTATCCTCGGATCGTCCCGAGTTGAAGGATCGGGCCAGATCATCTAGAGACAGATCCCGGATAGCTGCTGGGATGGTCAAGTTCAGGGGCGCGTTGCCTCCCGTCTAATTACGTAGTTGTAGTGGGCCTCGTAGTGTACGAGATCGCAAGGTTACACCCGCCGTCACATTGGCAAAAATAAGTAAAATGGAGTGTAAGTCACTCTCCGTAGCCCCCTTCCTCCTCAAGGTACCTATGCTAGAGACAGCATCGATGCGCAGTGCTGAGTCGGAGCGATTTCGGCCGCGCCACAAAATGGTGACGCTAGCCTTGACTTGGAAATTATATGGCGTTTAGAGATCCACCATCACGAAGATCTCGCCGATCCTTGACGCCGATCCTTGGCGGGAAAAGTGCGAAAAAAGGGCTCTATTCTGAAGATTAAATTGGCTCTTGCACTCCATGGTGATGGGAATGGCCGTGATGAGCGTGTTGGTTGGGAAGAGCCAACAGTCACAATACATTGGCGTCAGGGTCATGATGGCTACCTCCGCGCTGTGCGTTCCATTTCCGTGGATCTTGATGACAGCATTGTATTCCATGCAGCTTGGAAAACGGGTCCAGCGTGGCGGCCTCGTTCACGAACCTGCTGGCGACGCGGGCGATGGCTGGCCTGTCGTGCTCCGTTTTTAGCACCGCGGTGGGCGGCGCCATCGGTTATATCTACACGGTCGGGACCGCACCGCCGCCAGCCATCGCCATGCTCATCGGCGCTGCACTCTGCGGGACCGGCGTGGGGCCTATGGTTCCCGAGGAAGGAGATTTCTGAGAACTTTTTTTGTAGTCCTTTGGGTGCACATGCCGTGGGTGCCGTTCTCGACGGTTTTCTGTCGTCGGATTGTCATGGTAGAGTTGAATGGCCATCTCGGTGCATCGTTGGCACTCAACACCTTAAGAGCAGAACCGTGAACCTTGCCGTCGTGAGTATGTCAGTATACCCACGTATAGATTGGTGATATATGTACTTGGCAGGTCTCTCCACGGTCCCTAATCCGTCGCCTCGATCAAGTTGTTCGATGTCAGTTTAGCGCACGATCAGGCCTGTCACCAGCTCGATTCCATCTCTAAGCTGGGTGAATAGCTTGATATTGCCAGTTGCTGCCTGTTCACTGTCAGAAGCCGAAAAGGGTAAAGGGGCCCTCAGTTCAACAACTGGAGCTTAGATCCCTACCGCGGTGAGAAACAAGACAACACCCAAGTTGACGATGTAGATGACCTGGGTAGCCGAGGCAGAGGTCTTTTAAGAATATGGCCAAGTTCGGTCCTTTTCTTGTCCTTGGATCTGTGGACAGACCCGCCCTTGTCTGCGCATTGCTTCCTTTGCTCTTCGGCTGCGATCCGAATACCATTTCAGGTCGGCGTGTACGGTGCATCCGCCGCGGGCCGCCCTGTTCTCGATCCGATCCTTCTCTGGAAACTTGAGGTAATTATTGGCTTGTGTGCTCCAAGGTTTACAACCTAGTCAGCCCTGAGTCGTCAATTTGACTTCGGTCCTCAGCCTGATGGTATCTCCAAGAAAAGCCGTTCACGTGATTCATTCCAATACTTGCCCGCAGGTGCTGGCTTATTTTTCGGGCACGGGGCAGCCGTTGCGCCGCCAAAGTTGCACTTTTGGCGCTTCAGCTCAACCCACTATTGCTGCAGAATTCGGCTAGACACAAAAAAGAGGCGCGGAGGTCGTGACGGCATTCGCTGCCTCCCTTCAGCAAATGAGCCTGATTCCTTGGCGTGCAGCGGTGAGTGGGAGCTCCCCTCCATTGTAAATACTGGCGTATTCCCAATGCGCCCTTTCTCTCCAACTTGGACCACTTTTCTTTTTTTTTGGAAGTTTACACCCCGCTCTTGACAATGGTTGTTGCGATTTGGAACAAGTCTCTTCTCGCGGCTTTTCTAGTCGCTTCGCTCGGGGTCTACGGCCTGCTCCTACCGGCGGAGCAGACGTTTCCCGGGCGGCTGCCCCGCCTGGATCCGAGCCCCGCCCCGACGCTCGCCGCTGTGGCGATCCCCGAACTTTTTGGACGCGACAACAGCGAAACCTGCGCCTATCTCTGGGGATCCACGGGTATGACAATCCTCCACCATCTCGTTGTGTAATCTATAATTACGCATCCGTACTTGTAACCGAACACCCATTGCGCTAACCCGATCTGTGCGTGCGCTTCGTCTAGAGTATGGGATTTCTTGCGATGCTGGATATACCTGCAGCACCAACCCCACAGGGAGCGTGTTTCACTGCTGCACAACTGGGTCGGGCAGCTGCTTCATGCCGAGCGCATGCCTTGACTACACAGCCTACCAGAGCGGCCTCTGTAGCGGCATGGGCGCGTCGACGGCCTGCTGGTGAGATGGCCGCCTCCGTTTCATCAGTCATTTTGTTTATTCTTTTGACTCAGCACTGATCAGTCGTTATACTGCATAGCTCCGACAGCAACACCCCATATTGCACCGGAGTTATCCTAGTAGATAAACCCAGCGTGTCGTTGGTGGGTTGCTTCAGCACAAAGACCTACCTCCCCTTGTACGCCAACCCGACCGAACCCACCACAACCTCCCCGACCATAACACGCACGTCAATCACATCTCCAGAGTCAACGACACCCTCTCCCACTCCCACTCCCACTACCACGTCCACGCCCACGCCCACTCCCACACCCACTCAACCAACGAGCAAAAACAGCACCCCAGTCGGCGCCATCGTCGGAGGCACCATCGGCGGCGTCGCAGTCATCGCCATCATCGCGGGCCTGATAGCATGGATCATCATCAAGACCCGCAGAGGAGGAGGAGCGGGAGCCGACCAACCGGGCCAGGCCGCGCCGCCGACGCCGCTGCCGCCCATGACCGGAGGAGCACCTCCATACGGAGGACACGCGTCGTACATTGACCCGCGGGCCAGCGTGGCCGCCAAGTCGCCCCACGAGAGCGTGTATTACAGCTCGTCGGTGGGGAGTCCCGTGGCGGGTAGTGACCGGGGCAGCGTTGCGTTTGGGGGGTTTTATCCGCAGATGCAGGCGCAGCAGCAGGCGCAGCAGCAACCGGGCCCTCAGCCCGTTGTTGGCGCCGCGCAGCAGGGCCAGGTGTATGATTTCCCGCAGCACCGGCCGGGGCTGTACGCGTCCGAGATGTCGGGAGGTACTCTCTAGCCTGTTGGATGAGCGGGTTGGCAGTGGATGGGGGACGTGCCAGTGATTCGTTTCGGCGGAGTTTGAGGTGCAGTTCTAAGGATAGTACCGATGGGATACCCGTGCTTGGAAACATTTAAATCGCTTATTCTAGACTGGTCTTTGTGCCTCTAATAATATCAGATCTTATTGATATACATGGACATTCGGTTGAACCTGCTTTCTCTCAACCACATGTAAATGCGCCGCGCATAGTACCGCTTTGGAAATTATGCCTCTGATCCTGATATTAGCTCGAGTTTCTCTTGGGTGGAGTGCACAATGGGAAACTTACAATGTCGGTAATAGATGAATACATCCCGCCAACCAGCAGGACCACCCCAATGAAGAATATCGCTGCATTGAGCAGAGATATGAAAAGATTCTCCTTGGCATGCCACTTGCCCTCCCTAAGAAGCATGAACCACATCATAGAAGGGATATAGAAGGTGAAGCCCGAGATGAACAACGCCGCCATGATGGACAGCAGGTCCGAAAAGAGGGGAATGGCCTCCGCAATGATCCAGGCGACGATAATAATGGCAAGCAGCACGCCGAGCCAAGTCAACCACCCGGTCTTCGTGTTGATGAACCGGATGATGCTCTTCTTGAATATCCGCCCGTGGATATACCGTGCCAACACGGTGGTGTTGATCGACCCGGAAATGAAGATGACTGGCAATGCGACGCCAAAAGCCACCCGCGACATGGTATGGCCTGCCGAGAGAAGTGCCGGTGATTCCACATCCTGGCCCACGAAGGCGTAGATCAGGGCGCCGGTCAGGGTGTAAATGACGATCTCGATCATGCCAAGCGCGTAGATTGACTTGGTATAGTGCCGTGGCGTGTGCATCTCATCCATGAAGGAGAACTGGCACATTGCAAAGGTGTAGGCGAATGCAATATTGGAGACGGCGATGAAGGCCTCCGAGAAGTTGATGTTCTCTTTGGGCCATGCAGACCAGTTCACATTGGCCAGACCACCCGGTGCGCTGTTGGATTGTATCCCTGTGCCGATGATGGTGATCCCAATCGCGAGCAGGATGGAGACAAAGTCGACGTAGCCGAGGATGGCCATCTCGGTAAACGAAGGCGGGATGGCGAGGGCAAAGAGCAAGATTGCACTGACGACACCAAACACGATGCTGCAGACATTGCTCTCTGTGATGCTCTGGAAGGCAATCGTGCCCGTCAGGCAGTGCGAGGCAGTGAGGAACGTCAACAGGAGCACAAACATGGCCCCGAAAAGCTCGTACCCAAACCGACCCATCATCAGCATCCCGGCATCAGCATAGGTGGTCATGTGCGGGAACTTGAGCTTGACCTGGCCGACGATGTAGCTGGTGTAGATGGCGATCAAGCCGATTCCGATACAGAGGATGACACCGGCGACCATGCCCAGCGTGGCGAAGGAGGATGGGAGGCTCAGGCTGCCAAGGGCGATGGCCTCGACGATCATGACGACCGTGAGCCGTTTCCAGCCCAGGCGGTGGAAGTGGGCATGGCCAGCGGCTGCCTTCTGCTTCTCAAAGTCGGAGAGTTCTGCCCCGACGATGGTCCCGACGACGCCCTCCTCGGGCGACGAAGAGGTATGACCAATATCATCGTGGGAAGCGGCCTTCTTCTGGTCTGAGTCGTACGTTGGCAACTCGGCGATGATGTCGTTATGGCCCATGTTGAAGGGGGTTACCTGCTGAGGCAGGAAGGTGGACCGACTGGCAGAGAAACGAAAGACGGATACGGAAAAGAAGGAAGAAACAAGAAAGAAGAAACAAGCAAAAAGAGGCGAATTCTACGCCGCGATTCACACAAATGACAGACCGCGATCGCTTGGCAAGATGGGAAGCCGAGAAGAGCAAGTCTGAACAAACGAGGAAAATCTGGGGAAAAAGAGCGCCTTGATTCAAGAGTTTATGAGTTTTAGGCTACACCACAGCAGACTAAAGGTAAACCTGTTACGATCCATAATTCAATAATATGGAGCCACCGAGGCTAAGCGGCGTCGTCGCCTCATTTTCGTCGCCTCCGTCTCGACCATGTGGGGACGAGTACGTAAAAAATAGCTCTAGAGGCAGGCAAATCTGGGGTACCGATTCCGTAGACCCGCTTATCCGCGAGCAGCGTCTGACGGACTCTGGGGAAGATAATGACGGGTTTGGACTTGTCTTTCATAAACTGTCTCCCATCGCCATACATCGTTTCATACAAATCTGAAGACGTTGAGGGGTTTTTTCCGTTCCTCCTCCCCTGGCTATCAGCCTCATTAGTCTCCGGCAGTTTGGCCACTAGCGCCGGGAAAGGGAAAATCTTTTCTGACTAGCAGGACGGCGAAGCCGATATCGGGATATTCCCCTTTGAAGCATAAAACGGTTTCTCTACCCTTGTCAGGAACCGCCGATGGGCCAATAGAATACGTACGATTTGTGGGCTGATCGGAAGTGTCCAATGAAAACAGGGTTATTCGCATTCAAGTTGCAGGGGTTTGCTCATCAACTACCGGCTTCTCCGGCCACAGCGCGGCGGCTCTCTCTTAACCTGCCCATTTCCCATTTCCCCTGCGGAGCAAACGCATGTTGTTCTAGGCCTACCTACTACCAATGCAACCATCACCGCTGCAACTTCTCTCGCCCCACCTTGGCAATGCGAGCGCTAGCTGATCTCTTCACCGAGGCTGACGATGTATCCACAATTCTCAGCTTGTCGGGACATACCAAGGCAATAGAGGCATTCGTCAGCGTCTCCAGGTTTGTCGCTGTCAATGACTTATGTGGGGGCGAGGAGGGGGAATACGGGCCGTTAGGTGTAGTGTAGACCCCAGGTTGGAATTGCGGTTACCCCAGATCCGGGGCCGACGACGGTTCTAGACTGCTCGTTGTTGCCAGTCTGAGCACTGGGTGCCAATGCTGTCGAGGAGGGAAGCTCCTTGGCAACAATCATCTTTGATGTCCAGATGAACGAGGAAGCCTCTTGGGAGATATAACGTAGTTGTTCTTTAAGACGATCTTGTTGTCTTTGCAAGGAGACAACTTCGCGAAGGCGTCATCGAGGAAAGGAAGGTTTGTAATTTGGGTGATGTACAGTAGCTTACTTCTTTGTCACTATTAAAGTTAATTTGCATTTACTTTGACAAGCTCTTAAACGGCAGCCTAGAAAGATTCCATGCTCGAAGAAATCCGCCTCGGCTTTTTTTCTCGCGACCTTCGTCGACAAAAGCGCGATATTCCAACAAGTCTTACGACTAAACCGTGGCTTCAATATCAAGAGATTGTGGAGGTAAGGTGTTCAACACAGAGCTATGACAGGCAATAACGGGGAAGTACAGGGGAATATGACTAGCAAGCTGATCGTCGATGCTACCTGCCAGCAGAGGCATGACACCACCTACGGATCTGTATGTACTGGCCGACGTACCACTGGCTGGTCAAATGAGGAAGGCGAGAAACTCTGGTGGATTCCACGCCTACGCTAGTGGTGTCATCGGTCTGGAAATGCGGCTCTAGCCTGAACTTTTTCCGAACTAATACGTCATTGCTGCAGTCGAGCTTCTCAGTACTACCTATGCAGCATTTGAAGGAAATATGGCGCAGTTGTCCCGCTTGGCAGAAACCGCGATGATTAACCCCTGAGCTAACATGTCACCAATCTTATGCGACGGCAAGCTGTTGTTCAGTGGATGTCTCCAGTTGATGCCCAAATACCTACCCATTCCTCCCCCCCCCCCTCTCTGTCCCTTGAAAAGGGTAATAAAAGGCATCCGCTTCTCCATTCCGAAGTAGAGCCGATAGTCAGGAGGTTGGGTGGACTCTGTTCACAAATTCGTCGTTGTTTCACCTTCCCACACAACCGATTCACAATACTAGTCAGTTGCGTCAATTAACGTCTTGAACCTTTTTTTCTACACTTCCGTTACCCGTGGTGGTTAATGGAGCTATAGCGGCTGATTTGAATCAGTGGCACGGTAGGAGAAATTAGCTCCAACGACGAATAGGTCATCGTGCCAGAGTTCGTACCTCTGCTATTGTTTCTCATGTTGCTGCTGCTTGATTTCCGCGATTCAAGTCCTCTAATCGCGGGGATTGGTCCCTACAACAATAGCTGCCACGATCTAGAATGCCCTCTCTTGAGGCTCTGATCTGCCATCGCATCCCCGCAAGCACTGTCGTCCTCATTTTGTTCGGCCGCCCTGTCGCTTGTGATGGCTATGAACGTTCGCATATTGCCCATGGTATGTACCGACGTGACCTGAGGCACACCTCATCACCTAGATAGCTGGAACTGGGTATTTGATACTTCTCGTCGTACGCTACCCGAAGTGAGTCATCCTTCTCGTTTTCTCAGGCAATAACTTTAAGCTCCTAAATCTCTCATTACGCCTGGGCATGTTGGGAGGTTGGAAGAAGCTCTCAGTTATCTTGGCTTTACCGCCATATCCACGCAAATATCCAATTTCGTTAATTATGAGAAAGGCTTACAAAAGCCCACATCTCACAAGATAGTGTAGTCTCAATCTGCACTATTTCGAGAGGTTAGTTCTTTAGACGTACCCTCCCTTCGCTCGGGGTATCATTCTTACATGCTTTGGAACATGAATTCGCACGTACGCTTGAATGGCGAAGCTAAATTAGGAAAATGCTAGGTCAGAAGTCAAAACAGCCTGACCTGCCGCCATGGCAACCAAAGCTCCGTTGCTTGGAATAAAACGACGTGGCGTGTAGGATTGGGCCTGGCCTCAGAAAAGGCGAGTCAATGATAACAGAAAAGACGAGTCAATGATAACTTGGCTGAGGACTGATTCGACGGCCGTTAAAAGATTCTCGGGACGAAACCTCTCGGTACTGTACCATGTGGACGCTAACGCTGCTGCATAGCGATAAACTCGCGCAGCAACGGCCGCCCGAGCCGAGGGCGGTCTGAGGTCCGACAGGCAGGCGTAGGACGTGTTCACGCGTAACAGCAGTCTCGGCTCCGAACGGCAGCGGGCGCGGCTGATAAAGCGCGCGCCCCCTCCTTAAAAAGTGAAGCATCTTGGAGCTGAAAATTGATTGGTAGATCAAGAAAAAGGGACTCGCAACACTGCTGTCCAAATGAGCTTCATATTCCGCGCATCTTAACTAATCACCGGGATTCCCATCCTCCAGTCTATCAGCAACATACACACAGGTGGCACAGGTGGCACAGGTCTTGGCATGCATGTCCATTCAATAATTCAATAATTCTGAGCCGGATATCCGATATACACCTCGCTCCCAGGGCCCCATGCGGGGATCCTCATTAAATACCGCGGCGTTGTCGTGAATCTTTGAATACCGTCCCAGCTCCAGCGCCCATAAACATCCTGTGTCGCGTTAGGCGTAACAATAGCAAGCCGCAAAGATGAAGCAATTCTCGCTACTCGCAGTTGGCCTTGGCCTAATCCTTCCCAGTTCCTTCATCTCATGTCTTACCATCGCCGCCTACGAAACCACCATAGAGCATACACCACTAAGGGTCGCCCTCGAGGATTACTGGACTGGCCCGCAATCCCAATTCACCCATGCTGGTGTTGTTGATATGGTTGGCAACAGTAGCATTGACCTAGCTGGTAACGCGGAGACGCAAGCTCTGCGAAACTATGCTACCAACAAGGACCTCCGCATAATCTACACCATCGTCGAGGTATTCTATCGCATAGTCGCCAATAGGCAGAGCGTTAGCTCAGCTAAGGACTTGAGAGGGAAGAAAATCGGCACTATGCTGAATACATCGGCGCAGTACTTCATCCAGCAGCTCCTAGCCAACGAGGGACTCTCTGAGACAGACTACACCATTGTCGCCGGGGATTTATGCAACGCAGAGCCCTGCGGTAATGGTACGCTGCCGTACATGCTTGTCAATGGCGAGATTAGCGCTATTGGCTACTGGGAACCAACCATAGAGCTCGCCGCTCGGGAGCTCGGCGACGACGCCATCATCTTTGAAGATCCATCAGCATACAGAGAAATCTACAATCTACACACCACAACCGAGAAACTTCAGGACCCAACTACTCGTGCGGAAATCGTCGACTTCGTCCGCGCGCTACACCAGGCCCAGCACCTCTACACCACGGATCCGGAGAGCGTATTGCCGCGCATCACGAACGCCACGGACGTGCCGGTAGATATTCTGGAGGCTGTGTGGCACGACCATAACTGGAACACCACCCTTACGCCTAACATGCTGAGCATTCTCGTTAAGGAGGACCAGTGGCTTGCTGGGTTGATGGGAAGAGATCCGATGACGGAAGAGGAGCTGGCGCCCCTTATCGATCCGAGCATTTTGGATGAGGCACTGGGACTTCATAATGGCACAGGCCCATGTATCCGTCATTCCCGATCAGCAAAGAGGCAGAGTTAAAAGGTGGTTGGTGTTTGAGGGACTAGGAGGATCACGTTTGCAGAAATAACGTAGTACTGGGTGGGAGTCCGGAATATAACTGCGGGAAAGTGGGTGTAGCACCTTTTCTTGGGATCTAATTCCCTCCAGCGGAAATTAGCCCGGCATTCTTACTAAGAATACAAAGGTGTTAGTCGCAGAGATGAGGGTCAGAACCTACCACTTTCGCTCAACCGGCTAGCAGAGGAAGACGTTAATGGCGAGGGTGATGAGTCAGGCGCAGATGCAGTAGCCTATTGTCACCCATACCATGATTCCGATCTTGCGCAAGATGGGAAAAGATATAGGTAGAAAGACAAGATTGCAGATTTGTAGAGATAGAAAGAAGATGGTGTAGAAGGTGAGGTGCCTGATCCAGCTCACCTACAAAACACGCCAGTCACCACAACGTTGAATAGAATAGAAAATACGCGCGCGGGACATCATGTCCGCCACGGCCCAGGCGTCTTTTACTCTCATCTATTAGACTCTCCTGACTTTGATTTCTGCCCCGTTTACTACCTTGAGTGGCAGAAGTGCAAGAAGTAGACTGTATTTACATTTATAAAACAAACATGTACACGGGCACTTTCAAAACTAATTCGTGATGCCCAAGATTTATGAATATCTACAACCCTAGCCCATGGGATTTGTGCTCGGAGCTTCCTCGGGTCCCACAGAGGCGTGCTGACCTCGCCCTTGCTACTCCGCCTCCAAAGATGGCACCTCGATCTCAGGAAACCTCGCCATCCCTCCACGCACCATCTTCCCCATCCAAGACGTGCACGCAACGCCGAGTTTCTGTCCAGTCGCCAACGCAAAGTCAGCCGCCGTGATAGTGATCCCCATGGCCGGGCTCACGACGTCGCGGCGAATCTGGGCATCAGTGTCGCGCTCCGTGACGACGACGGCAACCCGCGTAACCCCCGCGGGGATGCTCTTCCACGACACGAGCATGGTCTTGTTGACCTTGTCAAACTCCGCGGTCGCCGCCACCGCGCTGACGGACGACGGGTCCGGTAAAGGCGTGGGCAGCGTCCAGGCCGCGCTTGGCGAGCCCTGCCTCTCATCGGCGTCTACCGCGCTGATCTGGAGGGACTGGGGCAGCGCGGGAAGGCTGGAAATGGCGGACTTGGGTAACTTGAGCAGGACCGTGTCCTTGTTGTCGTCTTGCGTGTCGTAGAAGTCGTAGATGTAGATGGGCGGCGAAGAAGAGCCTGCCATGTCTTCGTCGTCGGATGGGGAGGCGCTGATCGGGTACACGAGAAACGAGGAAAGATCGGCCGTGGCTAACGAAGCCGACAGCGACATGGAGATGTAGAATGTTTGTGTTGGTACGTCGAAGAAGCTGTCAGCGGTGACGGTCGGCACGGGCAGGTCCGCAACCTGGACGCTGTCCGAGGCAAACAGGGTGACGACACCGCCCTTGGGTGGTGGCTGAATGCGGACGAAGACGTCAACATTTGCCCTACCACCGCTGAGCTGAAGGTCCTTGGTGGCGATCGAGACGGGAGGCTTCGGTGCCGGGGCAGAGTAGAGCGTCTTTCCAGCTTGCTTGACGACCATCTCGTAGCCCTTGGCTGGCTCCTCCTCTTGCCATGTCGCGTTTAGCTGTCCAGTCGCATATGATGCCGTGAGTTGGCTCGGCGCCTGGAGCACAGGGAGAAGATTGGACCATGTAAACGATGAGTCGGTGTTGACGGACGCGTTGGAGCTCTTCATGTGGACACGTGCTTGCAGCTGCAACTGCCGCTTGACGCCGTTGGCCAGGGCCCGATGCCAGCGCAGATCCGCGAGGGGGATCTGGACATTAAGATCTTGCCCATTCGTCTGCCAGTCGATCACTCGCAAGGCTACTTGATTCGACTCTGCGCTGCCGGCCTTGCCACTGGCGACCAGAATCAGTGCGATTACGTACGAACCCGGCACAGCCTTCGCGATGGTAACCCCGTAATTCATACAGGTTGAATCCAACGCGATCTGCAACGACGGCTGTGGCAGCCTCGGAATGTTCGTGAGCACGGCCGCCGAGGCCCATTTCGCCGAGGCGAAACTGCCATGCTTAGCGTCCGTGTACTTGGCTCTGACCCACGCGTAGACCTGGTTGAAGGAGGCGATCTTCGCGTTGTGGATCTGAATGCTGGTCCCCTTGGTCTCGTAGACGTCTGTTTCCGGCGAGGCCACATCGTCTGACGGCGACTTGTTGGTCCCGCTAACATATATCTCCCACTTGAAGTTCTCGGCCGGGACATCGGAGAGGGAGAATGGTTTCCCGCCCTTCTGCGGCATGGCTTTGCTCCAGTCGATCCGCAAAGCGGACCCCTTTCCGGTCAGCGTGGCTTCTGGGGGTTTGCTGAGGTTGAGCGTCTCTCGGATGCCCTGTCGAACTTCCAGCAACTTCGCTTTGGCATCAGCAAGCGTCTTCTCCATCCTCCCCCTGAAATCCTTGGCATCCTTGAGCGTGCCCCCACTGCCCCCCTTCTCTGGATTCGTCTCTAGCGCCTTAATGGCCTTATCCAGCATTCGTAGAATTTCTGCCGCCGTTCTTGCAAAGGCGACTGCTCCTCCAACGAGGGTTTCGAAGGCTGCAAGCATGCCTCCAAGTCCGAAGACGGCGACGCCAAATATGGCAGCAGCGGCCCCGAGGAGCCACTTCCAGAAGCCACCGGGGTGATTCTTATCATCCGGATCCTTCGGATCCTTTGGTGTGAGCTCCCAGAACCGCTTCCAGACGTTCGGCGGGTCCATCCTGCGGCAGATCAGCGCGCCGATCAGGTCTGCACCCCATTCCTTGGCGGACATCCACTCAATCAACGTAAACGCTTCTTCCTTGTTCTCCATGATGGCCTGTCCAATTTTGGACAGATTGTCTTGCATCGCTTTCCCCAGTAGCTTGACCAGGGCCTCGAACGAGAAGTCCTTGAATGGGATCGGGGCGATGAAGTTGATGGTCAACTTTGCCATATCTTTGACCTTCCTGTCGATGATGGGGATTTTCAGAACCACCTTGAATGTGCCTCCGATGAGGACATTAACGGCCGTCTTATCCACGCCGTCAAGCCCGACGCTCCAGTTGCATTCTGTCTTCAGGGCCTGGTCAAAGATGATCTTCAACAGATCCTTGCACTCTTTCTTGTAGATCTTGGACGCGTCCTTGATTGCCTTTTCGATGTCGAGGTCGAGAGTCTTGGACATATCCATGGCGGAAATGGAGAACTTGCCATTAGCATGTTTGATCGTGACTTTGGGTGTGATCTTGGCACCAAAGACATCGATGGTGCCGTCGTATGTCGCCTCTCCTGTGAAGACCTTGTTGCTGTACGAGAGGTCGACCTTGAAACTTGGCTTGTCCAGGACTGTGAGCCCTGCAGATACCTGGTATGTTTTCTGGAGGGTTCTATTAGCGACTTTCCATCGATCATCTGCTGGGCCAGGAGAGGACAGATGGACTTACGACGTTTTTATCGGCGCTCTCCTTACTCTTCTGCGAGTAGACGGAAACGACGGGTCCCTTTTGGTGGGTAGATGTGTCTGCAGTGCTCGCGGCCTTGCTTTCGAAGAACTTGAGGAATCCCCAATCGATGGCGTTGGGAAAGGTGCCGTCAATACGCACGCCGCTGCGGTCAGGTGGCAAGTATACGTTCACTCCCAGCGCAAGGCCAAAGATTTCAATATCGGCGGATATGTTGAGGTTCGGCTTGAAGACTGTGCCGTCTTCGGCAGTGTATTCTCTGTCGTATTTGGAGTAGCGTATGGTCGCGGCTTTCAGCTGTAGGTCGCCAAAGTCGGCGGGCCAAGAGGCGTCCGGCGTGGTCCCGTTGTTGATTATGTCCTCGAAGATGGAGCCAATCGGTAGCACGAGCGTCGTGGCCGAAGATATCTTGACGAGCTTGGGGACACCGTTGACAAAGTAGATGTTGGCATCGAGCGTCAAACTACCGATCTTGACTTGCCCCGACAGCTCAAACTCGAGTGACGGTTTGCCGGCGGGCGGGCTGCTGCTCTCACCCTGCTTCGCGGGTTTTGTGATCGTCCCTGAGAACTTTGATACTGCCAGGCTCAGGTCGAACAAGCCGCCAAAAGCATCGCGGATCACCACTGGCTGCGCGGGCTGAGTTGGTGCGACGGCGCTGCCATCACTGGCTGGTGCAGCACCGTCACCACTCGTAGGTGCCGGAGTCGCATTTTCTCCTCCGGTTGGCGCGGCAAGAGGTTCGCCTTGAACGAATTTGAAGGAGGTCGAGCTCTCGCTGGTGTTGAAAGAGACATGGAAAGCAAACTCCTTTGCATTTCCTTCAATCTTCAGCTCAAGCGAGGCTTCCATGGTGAGCTGCTTCTTGCCAGCATCCCACTCGCCGGCTGCCCTCCTTACCAGCATAGCTCCCCCAAACAGAGGGAGTTCTACGATGGCAACTAAGAACCTTCCCTCGCCAATGTACGCATCTAGATAGATCTTTGGTTTTTGGGGGGATTCCTTCTCCGTGCTCAGGGCTAACATCCCACTGATCGGTGGCGTGGTGCCGCCGACCGTGGCAGGACCAAGGCCAATTGTGGCATGGATGCATGCGCCCTTGGGTATTTTTTGGTCGGCGGGGATTAGGCTCAGGGCGCCAGACAGCTCCGTTTGTGTCTTCTTGGCTTCTTCGTCCTCCGCACGGGACTTGGCTTCGTCTGCTGCTTGTGCCTTGTCTGGGTCCTCCTTCTTGCTCGCGTTGACTCCATCGGTCAATGCCTTGCCGTAAGCTGCCATGTCTTGCTGCAGCTCACTAATCTTGCGCTCTTTGGTTGATATCTGAACGGTGATTATCTCGAATGTGAACCAGTCACCCACGGCCTTCTGAAGATCCGGCCACAGCGCTGCAATGTTATTCAGCTTGAGATAGATTAGGTAATCGTACTTGTCCTGCGTCTTCTTGGCCAGCAGCAGAGCGCTACCCACATCCTTGACCCTTCCGGCGAGGAGGAAGACCGAGGCCTCGAAGTCTAGGACAAGGGCAATCGCCGTCTCGGCTAGGACAATAGCCTGGGTTCCTGCCGGTTGTAAGTTCTTCCACGAGTCGGCGTCCCCCGAAAGGCCGCCGACTAGGTCGCGGATTTCGTTGACGGCTCCAGCCTGTTTCTGCAGCATGGCCGTCAGGACCGGTTTCTTGCCTTTGGCAAGCTGCAGCACGGCCGTCGCCGAAGTGAAGGCGTCGAAGCTCAAGCGGCCGTAGAGTACAGCGTCGTAGCTCTTCTGCTCCGATAAATTGGCCGTCAGCCGTCCGCCGAGCCCAGTCACCTTGATATCCAAGGTGCCGAAGCCTTTGATAGGCCACGCCAGTCCGTCGTTCTTGGCCCGGAGCTCAAACTTCTTCCCCGGCTCGTAGGTGACGTCCAGGAATGCCATGGGCAACCTTTCGGGTACCTCTGTCTTTTTCGGGATGTCGTAGTTATTTTTTCCAAGATACTTGTCAGCGAGCGCGCGGTAGTCGGGCGTCTTCTTCTCGTTCTTCGTATCAATGTCGCCAAGGGTGCCACGGAAGACCGTCTGGTCGTTCTCACTATAGTACCGTACGGCAACAAGAATCTGGTCGTCGACTTTCAAAAACGCCCACACGTCGGCAGTCAGAGCAGATCCGTGCGTGAAATGTACAGCCACTGAGAACTTCTCCAGCCTGATCCCCTCCTTGGGCCAGGCCTTGTCCGACTCCACGACCACATCCAAGGTCTGCAGTTGGGCCTTCTTTGTCTTGCCGTCATCCGACGGGACCCAGGCAACGCTACCGGAGACCTCGCTGATGATTAGGTCTGGGAAACTGGGATCTTCCAGGCCCGGCGGCTGTTTAATGGCAAGCTGTGTCCCGTCGAGAAGCAGAGACATGAGGCCGCTCAACTTGAGACTTTGCGCGCTCTCGGGCTCTAGAGCAAGCTCGATGACAGAGGCAACCTTGGGATCTCCCCATGCACCGGTCAGACGCAAACGAGCGTTTGCGTCCTTGCCCTTTACCACGCCGACGAGGTTGAAGAAAGAAGGCCGGCCCGGCTTCCCCTCTACCGCCGGCGTCCCCGCAATGTAGTCGAGACGCAGGCTCTGCAACGACGCGCTGCCCATGGACGCCGTTGCAGTGTTGACAAGATGGATGCTGACCATGCTGGGACGGAAGTTATTCGCGACATCAAACTCGACGCCCGCAGATTCCACGCCGAGCTTGCCGATAAGGTCGTCGAAGACATTGTTCTTCTCGTCAGCGCCGATCAGCTGGGCAATGGCGTCGGCGATAACGATGGCCCTGGTTGCTTGGAACGCTGCGCTGAGTCTCTTCGTGAGCGAGTTGTAGGTGAGCGTCGCGGCAAAGGATCGCGAGGGCACGTGTGCGCTGATGGAGACGGTAATCATCGTGGCCGGGTCCTTTCCTTTCTTCTTGACTGTGTCGGTCTCGATTATCGCGTCGATGTCGACCAGCTCGATTGACCCGACGGTAATCTTGGAATGATGGAGCTGGAATCTCGACCCGGTGATCTTGGATTTCTTTCCCTCTTTTTCGAGCACAAGGGACATGGAAACCAGCTCAACCTTGAGCAGGTCGCCAATCACAGGAACATCCTGAAGAGAAGGCAGCCCCAAGGCCTCCATGAGGTCGCTAATAGAAAGACCGTCAGGGGCAGCTACCTTAATGGAGCCTGTAATTAAGTATGTTAGCGTGCTGAAAACGCCGTGGTGGTGGACATGTCCGGTGTGCAGGAAAAGGAGAGCTCACCCAAGCTGTACGCCGTCGGGAGGATAATCTCGGCAGCCAGTGCCTTTTTCACAACGGTCAGCCTCCCAGCAGCTCGACCTTGCCACACCCCAAAGCTGTAATCAAGATCAAGCTCGGCAAAGTCGATGGACAGCGACTGGCCGATGGTAAGCTTCTCAACCGTGACCTTGAGCCCGAATTCGCGGACGGTGCTCTGATTATCGGCGCGCTCGAGCGCAACGGCCAGTTTCTGGATCCGGAACTTCTCCAGCACGTCTTCGACGATCGGGACGTCGGCTGCCAGCGACTTGGCCTGCGCTCCGATGCCCGCTGCGCTTGCCAGCTCCATGAGCGTGATGCCGGCCCCGTCACCCGAGACATACACCCGGTATTCGTAGCCTGCCAAACCCGGAAGCGGCTCGGCTGTTAGCGAGGCATTTAGCGTGACCACCTCTTTGGCAGTCTGGATTGGCGCGTGGAAGTCCACGGCGACGCCATACGTCCGGCGGTCCTTGTCCAGCGGGTTACGGATCTCCAGTCGCCCCGTGCCGCCGACGCCCGTCGGCAGGAAGTCGGGCGGCAGGAATGCCTTCCAGTCGTCAAAGGTTGTCGCGCCAAAGAGGCTCCAGAGCTCGTACTTGGCGATCTGAGCAACCGGTTGGGATACGACAAATCCGATACCGCTGTGCTGCAGGCCGGAGAGGGGCGACTTGGAAAATGGTATGGACTGATCAGGCTTGAGCTTGGCCTGGTCGTTCGGCCACAGAGCCGTCAGCTTACTGAGCTCCGTGGTTGACGTCGCCTGGAAGGTCCAGAGCACCGCTGGACTGTCCACCGCAGTCCCCGGAGAACCAGGGTTAGACATGGCAACGGAAAACGATAGAATGAGCGAGGCAACGGTGACGGATCCAACGAGAGTCAAGGTCTCTATCGGAAGTCCGGCGTTTTCCAGAACAACCTTCAGCTCCCCGAATTGCATGTCAAGCCCCGCAACATGCTCGTTGGCTTGCCGAAGCAGCTTGGAGATCTGCCAGGTCACGTCTGCCCGTTCGACAATGAGTCCGGATGCGGGGCCTGGATGTGCGATTACCGTCGAGTTCTCCAAGTCAATGGGCGTACTGAGCATGCCAGCTTGGATGAGCAATGCCGGCACCGAATTGAGAAGGTGAGCAGCGGTTGCCTTTCGTGTGCGGCCGGTCAGATAGGCCAGTAGCCTTGGCAAGGCCAACGACTTGAAGTTGAGCTCCTGCCCCGCTTCGGTGAAAATGTGGGAGAGCAGCTGGAGCAAGGTTGTCGCGCGGATGACGTTGGCGGATTCCAACCTGCGAGAGACGCTCAAAGACACCGACTTGTCGTCGAAAAGGGGGCGAAACTCCAGCTCGATGGCTTCCCCTGCGGGCCACTTGATATCCAGAAATCCGCCGCTGAGGCTCAGGGGTTCTCCGTCAATTACAAGCTTCCGACCTTCAAAGGCAAAGCGGAGGCTGGCGGCGGTCACGATATTGTTGAATGCCTTCTTCTCATAAGTGACTATCGATGCCCCCACATCGACCGGGTATCCGAGGATGGTCTTCTCCAGGGTGCGTTTGGTTGGTAATTTTGAGTAGTTACTCGCCCCTAGGATCGTTTCCATGACCTTTCCCATCGTCAACGGCTTTCCATCTGGCTCTGTCGACACTTGGGAGTCTTTGAGGAATTGATCGAGGCCTGCCGGTTTACCTTGGGCCAGTTTCGAGTCCTGAGCTGAATCCGGGACTAGGCGGGAAACGCTGACTGGTTTTAGGGGAGTCAGAGTGCCATTTCCCGTCTGCGACATAGCCGTGACCGTTGGCGACAGAGCGGCCTCACGGCTGCTATCGGGCGTGATAACAGTCGGCGTGGCGTCAAGATCGAAGGCGACCACTCCTGCCTCGTCTTCCACAATCGCTGTGTCGTCGTCTTCCACAGCCGCTGCCCAGTCGCCCACATCAGCTGAGACCGTGGTCTGGTTGGGGATTGCCAAAGCGTAAGACGGACTTGCAGTGAGTTGATACATAGGCTGAGATGCCATGAGTGCCATCGGGTGCGACTTGGCTCGGATGACATAAAATGCAACGGGCTGGACTATGCTCCAGTTGGTTCCCTTGTTGAGCTCTCTCGCTTCGTCCATCGAGAGCCAAGTAAGCGTTGGATTATTGCTGTCACGGAAATCCTTGTACCAGGTAAACCGAGGTCCAAAGTCGAGGCCGCTGAGGGTAAAGTAGAGACTGTAGCCTCCATATTTTTGGATCTCGTAGTGCACTCTCCAGTACAAAGCATCGTCTAGGGTCCACATGTTTAGATATCGCATATCGTCGATCGGTTGCCAGACATCGAATATCTTGAAGACGTTTTTGTCATCCGCGCCAGGCTCGACGTTGGTCAGAGGGTTCTCTGGGGGATTCGCGAGGTAGAAAGTGGGATTGGGGTTCTTTGATGGCTCAGGATGGGTTCCGAAGACGCAATGCACTTTTTCCTGTGTGTCCCTAGGAAGGATCGGTTGGTCGTGTTCGATGTCCGCGTATGCTTTCTCGATGTCGTTGGCGGTATCAAGATCCCAAAAGCTTGAGGAGTTGGTGAACTCGCGTTGATAAGTGGCTTCCTGGTCCTTGGGTACGTCGAAACCGCTGATGGACATAAAGGCACCGATAGCAAGGTATCGGATGGCGAAACAGCCCTGCTGCAGTCCGATCACCTGGTCTATGGGATACTCGGGGAATCGACGAGCGAGCGCCGCCATCGGTTCCAACGGAAGGGCGTGGCCATTCGTGACGTAGAGACTCCGCCGGATCGGCGGGCCGTCAGGGCTCGTCTTCTGCCGCAGCACCTCGTCCTCAATGGCCACGTAGGCAATGCCGAGGATGGTGGCCGTGTCCGGGTGGCCGTGGGTCCCATTCGCGCTTATCACGTAGGCATCGGCCGTGAACGTCCGATAAAAGTCCATGACTCTAGGCACCGCCGCCAGAGAGTTGTAGAAGGCCAGCCAATCCTTCTTGTAGGCGACCTCGGCGCCGTCCCACCGCCCCCACCAGTACCGCGGCCGGAGCTTCCACGGGTAGTGGTCTTTCGTCTTCACGATTGCGGGAGGAGGGTCGTCGTTCTTGTGCCGCGACTTGCGCGCCGCCGACGTATCCTTCCGCGAGAGCGCGACGTTCTCCTCCAGGAACACCTCGTAGAAGTCGTCTAGCACGAACTTGGCGTCCTCTCTCATTTGCTTCAGCTGGGCGTCGAACAACTCTTGCGCCTCCTTCTTCTCCCCCCTCTTTCTTTTGAGCTGCTCCCTGGCGTAATCCAGCGCGAGTTGGTCTCTCGCTTGCCTCTGGGTTTCCAGATCTGCGAGCTGGTTGAGGGTCACGAGAGACTCGGCGATGTTGATACGCCACTCGATGAGCTCGGAGAAAAGCTGCTGCGGATCCGGCGCCCATGGCAGCGGGTGAAGTTGGTTGCCATTGATTGCGGCTTGGACAATCTTGGTGGTGAGGATGTTGGCTCGGGTGAAGTTTAGCTGCCGGACCCCATCTATTTCGGCCGTCTTGAATGCGAAGAGGTAGAGGTTATGCCGCTCTCGGAGGTAATTGAGGTACATCAAGACAACGTCTTCCTCGAGAAGGTTTTCGGCCTGTGTGCCGGGTGGTGCCTGTGCAAGCCGAGCTTGTTCGTAGTCGTACCACTTGTTCCACAGGGCCCCCGCGATGAGGTGGCAATTGCTCTGCACTCCGAGTTCTGACATTTCGCTCCCAAGCGCGATGGAGTAATAGTCGAGGAGCGTCTCGGCCTTCCAGTCCGCTTCCAGGCCGTCTAGCGTGGCGCCAATGCCCAGCTCGAGGAGCTCGCGCAGCGCCACCTCGGCGGCGATTTCCTTCCCTATGCTTGGCTCCTGGTCCAGGAGCTGGTTATTCTTGACGCTGCCGTGATGCTGCACCTTGTAGATATTCACGTGCGGCCGCCCGTGGACGTTCGCGAAAGTCTCCCCATTGACGCGCCAGCCTACGCTATCTCCCGTCATCATGATCTGGCCGCCCGTATCCTGCACGGTGCAAAGCAGGATGCTGCTCAGGTTCGTCTTGGACTGGTCGATGTCGGCGTTGACGGGCTTCTTGATGCGTATCTTGGGCAGCTTGCGCGTGTGGCCCAGCGCGTTGCCGAGCGTATACGAGTAGATCTCGTCGTCGTCTTCCTCCTTCTCCTCCACAAGCGCCCCGTCGTCGTCATCGTCGCCCCCCTCATTCCCGTCCTCCGGCTCAATAGGCTGAGAGCCGGTGCTGGCGTTGTTGCCACCCGCGATCAAGGGAGAGCCCGCGGGCCGGTTCCAGGACGAAACGTGGGTGAAGGCGCCCTCTGTGTTTGTTGCTGCGGGATAGAAGATGTGCAGCCCCGCCAGGGGGCTATTGTCGTCCAGCGGCCCCGCCAAGAGCGTGCGCTTGAACTGGCGCTTGGTGAGCGGGCCCTCGATGGCCTTCTTCGAGTGCTCCCACTTCTTGAACTCTGTGCCGTTGGGGTTCGTGGGGACCGGCAACAGGAACGGGCCGGTGAAGTCGAGCTCGATGGGCGGCGGCACTCCTCCAGGGCCCGAGGGCGGCACCGGCCACAGCCTGTTGAGGAGGTACATGAGCCCCTCGTAGTGGTCATGGTCCGGATGCGAATTGATGATGGCATTGGGCTTGATCGTGGCCTCGACGGGTTGCCCCCGCGTGTGTTGGAACTGCTTCCAGAGGAGTTTGGCCACGGCCACATAGTTGCGAGAGTACGGCGCCCACTGGTGGTCCGTCACCCCTCGAGAGGTTGGCCCGCCATCAAGCAGCATGAGCTTTCGGACCTGGCCGAGCTGGTACTCTAGCAGGAAGGCGTCGCCGTACGCGCCATACACGACGTGGAGGACGGGCGAGGGCAAGGCATAGTCTGCCATGGTGGTGATATCTCTGTTGAACACGCTTGCTCCTTCGGGCTTGCCCTTCCAAGCTTGCACTTCCAAGTTTGTGCAGTCGGCGCGACTGGGGAAGGTCGGATAAGATATGTCGGGTCCATCGTCCACACCTCGCTAGGAGCAGATTAGCCTGTCACTTACAACGACGCTTCAGCCAGCCACGCTCCATACCTCAAGCCACGAAGAGCCCCGCGCGGGAGCTATACCTATTTCGCTGGTGGCACGACATGAGGCTAGCCTGTTAGGGAGTATCTTCCCCACGAGGCCGACTTGGACGCTAAAGACGCGAACCTCGTCGACATCACGCGGCCGAATGAACAAGGGGTATCTGCTGCCGAGAAAATTCGGCCTATTTATTCTTTCTCGCGAGAAGACCTTAGCATAACCTTACTCTTGACATACGGGTTTATTTTCGAAATTCTCCCCGCTTTACTAGCCATGTGACTTCTTTTGGGAATGGATCGCCCTGATATCGATATGGTAGTAGTGGCTGGCTACCACACTATTGAATGCAAGCGAGCGCGACTGCGACCTCTCCAAACCAATCCAGCGGCAGCAGTTACAGCAAGGCCTAACGCATGGATACCTGAGGCATCTATGATTCGGTCTAGACCCGCGACGTGCGTTCAACGTATGAGTCTAGTGGGACGCAGAGTGGCACCTTTTGAGAATATTTCAACATGAAAACCTAGAGACTCATTACTTAGGTATATAAGAATGATTGGGGTAATTGCTATTACATACGACCATACCCACTGGAGAACTCGGGATCCCGTCCGCTCTCCCATAGATAAGCCAGTGAGGGCCAGACTAGTAGTTGGGTCGGTGACGACCAGCGAATCCCTGGTGTTGTATGTTTTTTTTTTTTTTTCTCCCGTGGGGGAGAGGGTGGGGGTTTCCCCAACCTTTTTTTTTTTTTCACTTTATTTTATTCATTTTGTCTCTCCCTCCTGCTCTCTCTTCAGTTGGTGATGGGGAGGAGTGAAAGTACAGGTATTGTCTGTACCTAGGTATATTTTTGGGACGTCTTTGGGTCTCTCTGTGACTGCAGCTGGAAGTCTAAGCCTCACCCTGGCTTGATTCACTGCCCAGTACCTACTGTACAATATGGTTGGGCGGTGGCCGAGGACGCTGGCAATGGCTTGTTATGAAGGGATATCGTTGAACTTCACGTGTCTCTTCGAGGTCAATTTCAGGTAATTACGTCTCCGCCACGGTGCTGCTACTGCTGCTACCAAGGGGCAGGGTGATACCAATGGAGCGTACGTTGGGGGTTAGTGCGTCTTCGTCTGAATAGATGCCATATGGCTTAGAGGCCCATGAAGTGTGCACTTTCGAAGCCACTAACGTTGGCATATGAATGGATTGCGGAGGGCTCACATATGAGACCGAGGCACCAGGCCCTATCGTTCAGCTCGATCGACCCGAGGCTGAGGGGATTATGAATGGTCGGCATGAAGCTTCGGAGCTGGCTGGTAGGCAAGCTTCAACTTTCGACGTCAACCTCTGCTACCCGTTCTTCGGTTTTGGAGACGCGCTGTAAGCCTGCTTTTTCAACAGAGACGCCTCCTGGGCCGGCGTAAAAACTGATAGTGTACTGCCGCCTTGGTGCAAGTCTCAAGCGTAGCACTCCGCTTGACTAGGTCTTCGTTCGGAGGGAGGTCTGGGAGGTGTGCATCTGCCACAACAATGGACACAGAAGAATGCCTTGACAAAGCCACTGAGGCCACCGAGGGGGATTGTCGATGCTCCGAGTACTTGACCCTGGTTGCTCCAAAGAGCCAAGGCTCACCGCTTGGCCACTAGTCTGCAAGCTCCAGGAGAAAAGATTCCTGCCACCGCTGGGCGATATGGGCTAATACCCCAAGCACCCAGTCGAAAGCGAGCTGGGATAGACAACACCAAGTTGTATGTGCCAAGCCGCAACTCCCCCTCCCCCCTGGCTACCAGGCCACCTCAGTGGTCGGGAATATAAGCAGAATGTCGAAGTCAGTAAAAACCAGTTCGATCTTCCTGGTCAACTATCATACCGGGATACTCGCCGGCAAAGGAGTCGGCGGAGCTCGAATCTCGAACATTGAGAATGATGCTGCAGACCACGGGGCCTATGTCTTCTGGTCGGGCCGCCTCGACGCAGGCGGGGATGGCTTCGTATCTCCATGCAACCTCGGGAGCTTATAGGAGCTGAGCCACCAAAGGAAACAGGGTGGGAATAGCAGCCATCTTGTCAAGCCGGCTCTGCGAGAACGCACCCTGCCCATCAAAACTCTCCGCCACCCAGAGAACTAATTCTGCACCCACAGCTACCAATGCAAAAGATACAGGCAGTCGAGGGTCCGATAAGCCAGCTCCGCGCACTTCGCATCGGCGTCAGTCCCCACGATGCTGTTGAAGCCGGCGGGCACCCACCTCGAAGCGGCAGTTTTGGTGCTCAGAGAGAAGGGCACGACGGCATGACTGACTACGACGGCGCTGCCGGATCTAGATCCGCAGCTGACGCGGGAGGGGAACGTCTCCTCCGGCCGGTGCGCCGGCGAAGTGGGGGCAGGATGGCGTGGCGGGCACGTGAGAGGCTCGCGACAGTTCCAAACCTACATCGGAACTTTACGTTGGAACGCATCTAAGCAAAGCTAGCTTTATCTTGTTCGCACTCCATGATTGGCAGATTAGCTCCAGCTGGAGCTCCAGTAATGACTCGACAGTAATCTGAAGTTTGGGACTCATTAGACATGCTACGCTATGCTTCCTGAACCCCCGGCACAGCCTCAGCCACGGGGTTAGCCTCCTCCGCGTCGACACCTCTGAACTCGAAATACTTGCTCCACTCCGGATCATCGACCAGCTGCTGCACAAGCTCCTTCTCAAACGCGACCTGCAACTCCAAGCCCTCGTCCTCCCCGGCCGGTCCGTCATGCGGCGGGTAGACGATGACCAGGCCCTCGGTCACCGTGTCGAACAGGTGCCGGAAGGCGGTGGGCCTGGCGAAGCCGAAGTCGGCGGCGCACACGTCGGCGTCCCGCCAGTCGGTGATGACCAGGGACATGGGCGGGAACGAGTTGACGCGGACGGACAGGCCCTGCTTGTTGCGGATGGGCGCCAGCATCTGCAGCGCGCCGGCGAGCATGTCACCGGTGACGCCGTTGGTCATCTGGCGCGTGTAGCTCGCCAGCTTGGAGAGGGGCGCCTCCGAGATGATCTCGGCTGAGGTCAGCTGCGGCACGGCGGACATGGTGGACAGGGTGGCGAAGAAGAGGTTGCCCTGCATGCGGGCGGGCATCGTGGGGTTGGTGAGCCGCTTGGTCATGTTGACGCCCTCGGCCCATATCGGCTTGGAGGCCGGGTCCAGCTTGTAGACGGGCTCGCGGATCTTGGAGAAGACCCGCCATATGAGGGCGGAGACGGCATCGTATGTGGAGATCCAGGAGCCGTCGTCGGGCGAGGCGGCCTTCTTCAGCTCGGCGGCCTTGCTCTTGGGCAGGTGGAAGATCAGCGACTGCGAGACCTTGTGCTGTGGGTGGCGGTCGGCCTGGGGAGGCGCGTCGACCCGGGACTCGTCAGGAATCGGCGGGGCGGTGAAGCGGCTGCGATCAAGGCACTTGGGGTCGAAGGAGGGAAACTCGGTCTTGTTGATGATGGCGTAACAGTTCTCGGCCAGCTGCTTGGTGAAGGAGCCCCAGCCCACGACGTCGTTGCTGTAATGATGCGAGTGCATATTGAAGATGAGACCGCCAGGGATGAAGTTGGCTTTGTACGAGGCGATGGCGGGGCTGCTGTCCGGGTTGGCTTCCGGCTTCTCGCCGTAGGTCATAGGAGCATTGCTCAAGACCTTGATGTCACCAAGTGTGGTCGCAACGAAGTGGGCCTTCTCGATCTCGGCGAAGGACGGGAACGCATCCTCGGGAGAGTCGAGATGCTGGACAACAAACTTGACAGTACTGTTCTTCCGTTTGACAAAGGAGTGGTGGCCGTCCTCGTCCCTCTCGATGGTGCCGACAAGGTGTCTTGCCTGGCTGAGAGTCCGCTCTAGACCTTCCATGAGCACTGCCACAACTTTGCTGTCAGAGCATTAGGAGTTAGCAGCCTACTTTCCGAACAGAAAGGGGGGCCTGGCACTAACCTCTTCTCCGCATCGTCTAGCTTGAAGAAGAGAGCGTAGTTGTTGTAGGTCATCATCGACAAGTAGTCGAGGGTGGAGAGCTTGAAACGCTCCTCCTCCGGGTCATTCTCCCAACCCAGGGGGTGAAGCTGAAATTCCTCGACCTTGGGCATGACGACGGTGAAGCAGAGAGTTTGTGATCGATGTCTGATGCGGTGGCAGAATGAGGTGGACTGATCGTTGAACTCCTGTATCGGGGGCAGTCGCGGGGGATGCTAATTAAAGTACGATATCATCGAAGGGCAATGGTGATCTATGCTGTACCCCTCTTCAGGGATGCTGAGCATTAGTATGCGAATACCAAGACCATTTAACCCAAAACGAGATAAGCACCATACTTTAAAGATGACAGTGCAGTGCGCGCGCAGCAGGTTACATATACACTAGAGGCTGTGACATTGTTAAGATCGCTGGTACTAGGCCTAAACAGGTACATGATTTTAGCGTCGTAGATACAGTATGCGAGCTTGGTGCTGGATTCAAACGTTACGTGATTAGAATTCTAGGAAGGTCAGGAAGGTAGCCGGTGGGGGCCCCCCCTTGATCAGATAATGTGACCCTCGACAACGGAAGAGGTTGGCTGTCAGTTAAGGGTATCTTGGTGTCGCCCACCTCTTCACAAGTCCTACACAGATGGAAACCAGCGACCCCCAATTTAGGCGGAACGCGGATTTTTTTGGTAGCGACCTCCGTACATGATCCACAACAACGCTTCCAACACACATTGGAATGACTAGGTTTAGACGAGGAAATGAAGCGGTGAGTGCCCGACTCCAGCATGCTGCATGATTCAATACAACAGTTGTCAAGGGGATGGAATTGGCCGCTGCACCTCTCAGACCATCTTGTTAGAGGCTGGACTCGTGGAGTTCCCATGGCAATAACGACATCCCAACCCCCTTACGGCAATCATATGGTTCTCCGTACTGCGAATGCGACGTACGCAGGAACAAGAACAAGGTGGAGGATGGCCTCGACCTGGCGAGCATGGCTGCCGAGTGGTTGTTGATGGAGTGTTGTGGGTCTGTAGAGTCGGGAACCCCTGACGAAATCCCGGCTAGTGTTCCCGTCAAGGGTTGAATAAGGACCAATGATATCCCGCCTTGGTATGTAGCTTCACGCTTGGCACCCACCAATCAAGCCCAGTTCAACCCTTGAGCCTGCTCCGGTCAAAGGATTCAATCCTGGAGATTCCGATGTGAACCCCAGCAAGGCACGCAAGACATGCGAGGTTCTTATGCCCTGACCGGTCATGTTATGATTTGATCAAGCCCTGGTTGACTCCTAGTTAAGATCTGTTGATTCCCTAGTAAATATCCACCGTCCTATGACTTGAAGAGGTTAGCAAGTCCCAAGCTAACGAACTTTCAGAGGGTACATAATAGATTGTATCTCAAAACCCCCCATTTGCCTCACAAGGATTGTGCCTCACAAGGATTGCGGGACTTGGTGGGAGGGGAAAAGGGGGCGGGTGGGGGGCGATGCCTTGTGTTAAAGTGCCAGGATTCTCTGAGCCGACCGCAACCCCTAGGTACCTAGATAACATTAGATGTAGCTTCCGAGTGCCCACTGTTATACCGTTCTGGTACGCCGTTGCAACTGTGCAACTGTTGCAGGCATTGTTGTGGTGTCCGGGGGAACTTCACCTCCACCTGCCGATCCTTGTTGGTCTGTTGCCCTTGCTATCAAACGAGGCCCAATCCGGACGACCGTTAGCTTTGTGACCCTGGTTCGAACTTTCCAAGAGGTGGGTCTTCCGGTTGAGTTTTCCACAAGCCGATCGCTAGTCTGCCCGGCAAGCTTCCGAGCACGAAGCTTCCCCTCGCCCAGACGGGAGCGAGGGTGGATACTGATCATGTCATGGTGGTGCGATGCTTATATGTAGTTCATGAAATGCAGCAGGGGCTACTCACACAGGGTGGATCTTGGTGAAGTACAGTCACGGTGCCAAGCATGTTGAGGTGACTCGAAATGGGAGCAATGAAGCTATTGAGTTCCGTCTTCTTGAGGTTCAGAGATCAAGATCAATCCGAGGCTACCAAGTGAGATAAAGTACAATGTTTTTAGTACAGAAAGGAACTTCCATGGTTACAGGCCTGTCCGATTACACAAGTGGCTCTGACATGTACTGTACATACAGTTGCGTGGCGCGGTCCCAGCCACGGGGAACTTCTACCTCCACTGCATCTGGCGGTGGTCGTACATGGTCTCGTCGCCGCTCGGGATGTCCGAGTTCTGCGTGATCGTCACGTGTGTGGTGCGAACGATGCCCTTCTCGGGCTTGGTGGCGTAGGGGTCGCGGAGGTGCTCCGTGGACTCGGAGCTGAGGTTCTTCAACTCGGTGTCGTCGTCGATCTCCAGGTACGACTTGTTGACAGAGCGCATGTTCTTGGACCTCATCGTGCTGGCACCCGTCTGGTTCTTGCTGTTGACAGCGGTACCGGCGGTGACGCTCATGCCAAGGCCCATCTTCACCTTGCGCCAGACACCGCTCTCCAAGAGGATCTTGGGCACGCAAGGGACGCAGACGACGATGAAACCGCACGTCATCTCAGCGTAGGCCCAGAAGCAAACGGGGCCAATATTGTAGATGGAGTCGACGGCTTCGGCATATTGGACAGTGACGGCAAGACGGAAGGCGGCAGAGACACAAGCCCTGTGGTCGAGGTTAGCCAGGCAGGGGGGGCTTGGGGATTCGCGGGGATTGGCACGTACAACACACCGAGGGAGAAGATGACCGACACACCGACCTTCTTCTTCCAGTTCATCTGGAGATCCCAGATGGCCTTCTGAGGAAGGATGAGGACAATACAGTCCGAAACTAGTTGGAAGGTGGCCGAGACAGTCTCGATAGTGTGGGCGTTGATACACTTGCCCGGAACCCAGAACTCCCACTTCTTCTTGGTCGGGATGCAGGCTAGGTTCAGAGCAATCACGGCGCCGACCGCGAACGCAATCTGAATGCTGATCAAGATCCAGGAAACCCAGAAGAACCAGTTTCTCTTGCCTCGAGAAACAAACATACCCAGCCACTCCACCATGATGGATATCTTGAGAAGCGGAAGGCAGACCGAGTAGAAGATACCGGCGAGGTGGACAAGCTGATGGTTGTTAGTTCTTCATGCCTTGGGGAAGGCAAGGCATATGGGATAATGGGCTAGACTCACGTAACCCAACTCAACCGTTTGTCGAAGCTTGACATTCCATGTGTGAACATAGTATCCCGGGCTGTGGACTATTTTGATGGTGCAATAAGCCCAACCGACCAAACACCCCTGGTGAGAGCGGTCAGTCTGTGTCGACAGTGTCGAGGGAGAAATCAGATGACACCCACAAATGCAGTCAGGATTAAGTATTCTTGAACTTGTACCCTTTTCAGGAGAACAAGCCTGGCGTAGGCGCGGATTGCCAGACAGAGCACCACGACGGTCATACATACGGTTATGACTGCTACAGCCATGCCGTTCTGGTTGGGAGGGTTGATGAAGTTGCTAACTTCATTGTCCGGCGGAGCCATGACTGGCATGTCCAGCATGGCGTCTAGCATCTCCGGGGTAAGCTGGGAAAAGTCGACGGCCGACATGTTGGGCAAAGGTGGTGCTCGATGCTCGGTGCTCGGTGCTCGGTGCTTTTCTTGGGTGACGTATCTGCAGATGACAATGGATAGAATGAGCTGGACGGCCGCTGGCTTTTCAAGATTGGGCTGAGAGCGGCAACTGCGTGATCACGACGGGTGGCCGGATGGACGCCGCACTTTGTACCTGTAGAGAATGCTCAGTCACCGGTCAGTAGGGGTCGAACACAATGGGCCTGCCTCGCCGCGTCGTACCTGATGTCGGAATTGGATGCTCGCAAGGGTAGGCAGTCCGGCCGGTTGCTGCCGATCCCCAGTACCATATCTGCGGGATCCTGGCCTGTTTCTGGGAATGTAACCCAGGTCTCGCCACTAATCATACCAGGGCCACCAATCAATTTGCGGTGTTCCTGCATGGTGTGGGGATTTTTTATCTTCACGCATAATCATTGCTGAACTTGGAAGCGAAAGTATTTAGGGGGGGGAGGGCGCAGCCAAGGGAACTTCAGAGGTGGAACCGAACCAAACCTCGAAGAGTTTTTCGATGTGAGATGTGAGCATGATGGTGCCGCCTTTGTTCCCTGTGTTTTGGGTTAAGAGCTCAATGTTCCCCTCAAATCCTCTCGACTTTGTTCTTTGCAGGCGCCACTGGTTGAGACTTGTGGAGCAAGAGCTAGGGTTAGGGTCATTCAGGGGTGAATAACGACCCCCAAGCCCCCTAACAAGCCCAACCCCCCCTGCCCCAGGATCGAGACCCCCAACAAGACCCCCAACAAGACCCCGAAGATGCGTTTTCTCTGCCTGCATGGAAGGGCGACGTGTGCAAAGGTACGGCGCAGGTCTAAAAAGCAAACATAAGGGGAAAGGAGCCAAGCTGATAAGCAGCATACAAAAGATCTTCGAGATGCAAACAGGTGAGAGGCAGACCAATGCAGCAAAGTACAGTACATTACAGTACAGTGCTCCTATTTTCTGCTGTTTCAGTTTGGGATGGAGGGGCATGGAATTTTCACCACTAATAATACGCGACGTTGCAGCAAGGATACGCGAGGAGCTTGCCGAACACGACTTTGTGTTTCTCAACGGCGGCGTACCAATGCAACCAGGTGACGGTAAGGCGGCTTGCGCGACGGCGATCATAGCCAAGGTGATTTATACGACTTGAGACTTACTTTAGGCAGGTGCAACAGAGGCTGGCGAAGACCTGGGCGGCGGCCTGTATGGATATCTCGGGGAGCTCACCGACGTGAGCCAGTACCAAGACCTGCTCGACGGCCTCGTAGATGCGGTGCAAAGCCAGGGCCCCTTTGACGGCATTATGGGATTCTCCGAGGGGGGCATCGTCGCCGCCACTCTGCTTCTCGAGGACGCACGGCGGCCGTTTGCCAATTTCAAGTGCGGCATCCTCTTCAGCGCCGCTCCTCCACTGGACCCAGACGACCTCCGGGCCGGCATCGTCAGATGTCTGGATCCGGCCAAGGATGGAGTGTCAGTCCATGTTCCCACGGCTCACATCTACTCGCACGAGAACGGCCCGACTGGTACTGGCACTGGTACTGGCACTGGTACTGGCATTGCCAACGTGCAGTCGCCACTGAATAAGCTCTGGTCCGAAGCCGGGTGGAGTACGCCAGAGCAGGTGCATAATTCCCTGGCGCGGCTTTGTGACAATAGCCAGGTCTTTGTGCATGATCATGGGCATCAAGTGCCTGGGCCGAGGGATCATCAGGCGTTGAGAGGGGCTCTTCGAACGATTAATCGCACTGTCGAGAGTGCTGATGGCTGATGGCTGGTGGCTGGTGGTCGGCCCGAGGAGGAGAATGAAAGACAGAAATGTATGGAGAATTGGGAAGTGATTCCCTACCTTAGGTATTACAGACATCTAGAGTGAAAGCCTGCAGAGCACTGGTCTCTGTTCAACTGACATCCCGTTATATTTTCTTCTTGGGTTGCGATTCTGAATGATCCTGCATGATTGCGGAGGATTTTCGGGTTCTGCTAGCTTCTTAGCAAATTCTTTCAGCAGGGTTCTTAGCAGGGTTCTTAGCAGGTTACCACCTCTCATAGCATAGCCAAGAAATGACACTGGAAGAATGGAGTTAGTTTGTCCCCCAAGGATGAACTGAGCCCTTGTATTGGACCCTTCTGGAGCCAAGCCCTCCGGCTGCCCGCGGGCGACGGGATGGGGTTCCCCGACCCGTCCAAAGTGGGAATTCTGTAGGTTGAATTGTGGACGCCCAGTGGTTTAGTGTACACAACAGCCAGCTGTCAGAGAGGAGCGATGTTACGGGGGCTGCTCCGCCAGTTTGAAGGGCTAGCTCGAGTGACCTGGTGGGGCCATACAGCCACTGCAACAATTTTTGTAACTACCCCCTTGCTGAACTAACACTTGGATCCCCCGGTGGAGGTGTATTGTATGTGCAAACAAGTATCTACGCCCTTGCCGAAGTTACACTTGGTGTTGCGAATTAAAACCGTCTCGTCCGTCAATGAGAGACGAGATTTGGACAATCTTTACCGAATGTGTAAAGTCCGTGAATAAGACGTGTCGCCTGCAGAATACTCCATCCCATCCTCGTCTTAATCCCCTTACCAAGTTACCGACACAATGGATTCAATGACAGAACAGTCCAACCACCCACCACCCACCGGGAACCCCCCCGGCGATGACATCGCCGTGGTCGGCTTCTCCTTCAAGCTGCCCCAGGGCGTAGACGACGTTGCCAGTTTCTGGGATGTCCTGCACAACCGCAGGAACTTGATGACTCGCTGGCCCGAGGCCCGCATGAACGCCGAATCATTCGTGTCTGGTAAACGAAGCAAGGTGCGTAGTATTAGTTGAGAACCCCCGTGAGGTCGTTGCAGAGTAGTGCTTGCCGCAGCCTTGACACATACACAGTTCAATTGTCACGGCGGATACTTCATCAGCGATGACCCGGCTGCCTTCGATGCCCCCTTTTTCTCCATCTCCACGAAAGAAGCGGCCGGTATGTGCCTATAACGCAATTATTCCTCATCTGGAGGGAACGACGGGCTGACAAGGCCGATGGTGAAGCCCTCGATCCCATGCAAAGATGGACGTTGGAGACATCATACCGTGCCTTCGAAAATGGTGAGATGGCGAGCTTTCCGGACCAGACAGAGCGATCAATTCGCTGACCGAGCGGCTTGTAGCCGGAATCCCCGCCGAGAAGCTCAAGGGCTCGAGGACTGCCGTGTTTTCCGCGTCTTTCACAGACGATTGGTCAAGGATGCTCTCACAAGATCCCGAAAACGTGGAGCGAACTGCCGCCACCGGTGCCGCGTCGTCGCTCATCTCGAATCGCGTCAGCTGGTACTTTGACTTGAGAGGACCCAGCGTCCATATCGATACTGCCTGCTCCAGCAGTCTGTTCGCTGTCGACATGGCATGCCAGTCTTTGCGGGCCGGCGAGTGTTCAGCTGTGCGTGCTTGTTCCCCCTTTGCCCGAGCTGGTGGTTCTGGGAGCTAATCGTCCGCGGCACAAAGGCACTTGTCACCGGCTCCAGCCTGATCCTCACCCCTACCTTCACCCACTTCCTGTCGAATCTCGGCTTTTTATCTCCGGATAGCAAGTGTTGGACCTTTGACCACCGTGCAAACGGCTATGCTCGAGGTGAAGGTTTCATCGCACTCCTGTTGAAGCCCCTTTCCGCTGCTCTGCGGGATGGTGACATGATCCGCTCCGTCATCCGAGCTACTGGCTCAAATCAAGACGGGCAAACACCGTCATTGACCCAGCCCAGCCCCAGAGCGCAAGAGGAGTTGATACGCCACGTATACAAGAAGGCCAATCTCCCTTTCGACAAGACCCGTTATGTCGAAGCTCACGGTAAGATGAAGATAGTCGGCCTGTCGCACTTCCAGGGCATATATCTAGCTGACAAGCGCATGATAGGCACCGGAACCCCTGTTGGCGACCCCATCGAGTTGAAGGCCATAGGAAGAGTCTTCCGAGGCTCTCGATCTGCCGAAAAACCCCTTTACGTGTAAGCGACGTGGTGGTCGACTCGTCGTTGCTCTTCACCGACTCAGCTAATAAACTCTATGTAGTGGCTCCGTAAAGACCAATATCGGACATCTCGAAGGAAGCAGTGGCTTGGCCGGCGTTATCAAATCCATCAGTAAGGACGCCCCGGGGTTTCTCGATAACCTCGCCTGCTGAACAAGTCCGCGTTTTGCAGTATCTCTGGAGAAGGGCATCATCCCGCCTCATGCGCTCTTTGAGAAGATCAACCCGGACATCGATCTCGAGTTCTACCACACTTCAGTATGTGCCCACGCCTCAATTATTCCTCATATAGAAGAGCGACGAGCTGACAGGGCCGATTGTGAAGATCCCCACCGAGGAGATCGTGTGGCCAAGCGAGGGCTTGCGACGGATATCTGTGAATTCATTTGGTTTTGGAGGCACAAACACTCACGTTGTTCTCGATGACGTGTACCATTACCTGCAAGAGCGCGGCCTCACCGGCAATCATTGCACGGTGGCCTCTGCCAGTCCCACGTCAAATGGCCTCACCGTCACCAACGGCGCCGCTACCAATGGGACAGCTAACGGTTTCATCACTAACGGGAAAAGCAACAGAGTCATCACCGATGACACAAGCAATGGTGTCACTACCAGCGGATTGGCCAACGGCACAAAGAGGACAACGAACGGCCACGCCAACGGCCACGCCAACGGCCACGCCAACGGCCACGCCAACGGCCACGCCAACGGACACGCCAACGGCCACGCCAACGGCGTCAACGGTCATGCCCAAGGTAAGTCTCGACTGCTCGTCTGGTCCGCCGCGGATGAGAAGGCAGTCAAGCGCACGATCGAGCGGCAACAGACTTTCTACAAGGACCACGTCGCGGGTAACCCTACCAAACTCGACCAACTCGCCTACACACTGGCCGCTCGGCGAAGCAGCATGCTCTGGCGCACATCAGCCATCGTCACCGAGGGTGGGGCCGGTGACACTGCCAGCCTGTCTGCCGCCAAGCCAGTGCGCAGCTCGGGAGAAGTTGGACTGGCCTTTGCGTTCACCGGCCAGGGAGCACAGTACGCCGACATGGGCTGGGATCTCGTCCACCAATATCCGCTCTTTGCGGCAACACTGGAGCGGATCAACAAAATTTATAGCAGCCTCGGATGTGAATGGGAGCTGCTGGATGAACTGCGCAACAGCGAGAACATCGACCGTCCCGAGTACAGCCAGCCGCTATCTACGGCTGTACAAGTGGCCTTGATCGAGCTACTCAAGAGCTTCCATGTTGTGCCCAAGGCAGTCATCGGGCACTCCTCGGGCGAGATTGCTGCTGCATACGCCATCGGTGCGCTATCGCTGGAGTCAGCCTGCAAGGTCTCGTACTTCCGCGGTCAGCTGGCCGGCAAGCTCCGGGCTGCCAGCTCTCCTGCCGGCGCCATGATTTCGGTGAACCTCGCCGAGGACGAGGTTCCAGCCTACCTCGAGAAGGTCGGTGCCGCAGGCGTCAGCGTAGCTTGCATCAACAGCCCCCTAAACTGCACCCTGTCCGGTACGGAGAGCGCCATCGATGCCGTCAAGGAGCAGGCCGACAAAGACTCCATATTTGCCCAGAAGCTGAAGACAGGCGTGGCGTATCACTCGTCCGCCATGTTGGCTATCGCTGATGAATACAAGCAGCAGATGGGAAGCCTTGAAGCTTCCAGCTCTCGCTCCTCGATTCCCATGGTTTCTACTGTGACGGGCAAGACTGTCCGCCCTGCCGTCCTGACCACAGCACGGTATTGGGTGGACAACATGGTGTCTCCAGTCCGCTTTGCCGATGCCGTCCACGCCTTGACGCAGCAGTCCTCGACGTGGAAGGCCGGCTTCCTGGGCAGCATTACGGATCTTGTCGAGGTCGGGCCCACGGCTGCACTGCGCCGCCCTGTCGCAGACACACTGGCCAAGGCGGGTCCTCGTGCGAAGCAAGTTCGGTACTCAAGCGTGCTATATCGAAAGCGATCAGCGGTCGAGACTACGCTGGAGCTTGTCGGCCAGCTGTTTGCCTACGGGCACCCAGCATCGATCGCCGCCGTGAACCAACTTGGCGGCGTGGGGCCTTTCCTTGTCGATTGCCCCGAGTATCCATTTGATCACTCTAACAAGTACTGGGCAGAGTCGCGGATGAGCCGCGATTACAGACTACGTGGTACCGTGACTGGCGAAGCCTTGGGGACGCGGGTATCTGACTGGAATCCGCTGCTGCCGAGATGGAGGAACTTCCTGAGTGTTGAGTCGGAGCCATGGGTCGCCGACCATAATGTAAGCGCTACAGCCCCTCCCTTGTCTGCCCTGTTCCTTCGGTGTATTCTGTCTGCAAATATGATGCCATTCTAACACCGCTTGCACAGATCAGCAACACCGTGGTCTATCCGGCGGCAGGCATGCTGGTCATGGCCATGGAAGCCGCGCTGCAAACGGTACCCGCCACACGGACCATCGCGGGCTACTGTGTCAAGGAAGCGCGCTTCATGAGCCCCATCGTCGTGGGAGAGACCTGGGAAGACAGGACAGAGACTGTGGTTGAGCTTCGACCGGTGCAGATGCCATACGAGAAAGAGTCGACCTGGTCCGACATCCGCGTCTTCTGCTACCGTAACAACGAATGGTCCGAGTGTTTCTGGGCGCGCATCCAGCTTCAGTACGAGGACGATTCCTTGCAGGTTGATGTGCAGCAGGAGAAGAAGCTGCTCGGCGAAGATGTCCTGCGCCGGTATGAGCATGCGGTGGAGGCGTGCACGAGGCCGGTGGACTCGCACGTGTTCTATCGCAACGCCGCCGACCACGGGCTGCGATATGGAAACTGGTTCCAGCTGTTGGAGGATCTCCACTGGGACGGGAAGAAGACCGCCGTCGCTCGCATCGATGTCTCCAAGCCACAATTCCGCACGACGAGCCTCGTACACCCGGCCGTCTTGGACACCGTGTTCCACATGCTGCGGGCAAGCTCCCAAGCCTTCGCCTCAGCGTCGGCCACCAACGTTCCTGTCAAGCTAATCAACGCTTGGTTCTCGGCCTCAGGCTGGCAGAGCCCGCAAACTGGCTCCCTCCGCTGCTGGGGAACTGCAAACGTGGAGCAGGATGCCGGCGAGGATGGTACCATCTATACGATGGGCGATAATGGGAAAGTCTTGATGTCCATCGAGCATATAGTCACCGTGGCCGTTTCCAAGCCGGACGAAGGCGACACACCAGCAACAAAGCTCCTGCACAGTGTCCAGTGGAAACCACAGCTGAGTCTCCTCGACCCGCGGCAGCTATCGCAGGCATGCGTCACGAGTCGCGTCGTCAAGGATGACGCAACCATGCTCGCTCATCACATTGAAGTAACATCTGTCATGAATCTTGCTCTCTCCCGGACGCTGAGAGACATGACCACAGCGGAACATGAAAAGTTACCCGCCTCCCTTGAACGGCACATGGCATGGATGAAACACCACGTCAGCACGCTCGAGCCCACCCAGAAAGACAACCCAGACGATCCCATCAGCGACGAGGAGCTCGAACAACGCCTGCAAAATATCGAAGCCATGCACCCGTCCTGGAAGCTGCACACGAATGTAGTCCGCGAGCTGAAGAACATGCTAGTCGGCGCCAAGGATCCACTCGAGGTAATCTTCGACTCAGATCTCGCCGACGTGTTCTACGCCGACATGTTCGCGCAGATCTGCGACGTGCGCCTGTGCAACTTCCTCGAGCTGGCATCTCACGAAAACCCCGGCCTGCGAATACTCGAGGTCGGCGCCGGCACCGGCGGCTTCACGGGCCACGTCCTGGCTGCGCTGCAGTCGCTTGAGAGGGAGAGCGGCGGGCTGAGGCTGGCCGAGTACACGTACACCGACATTTCGCCCATGTTCTTCGAGCGCGCCCGTGAACGCTGGAAGGCGCTGGAAGGCCGCATAAGCTTCAAAACGCTGGATCTGGAGCGCACGCTCGAAAGTCAGGGCTTCAAGGTGGGATCGTACGACCTGCTCGTTGCTGGAAGTGTGTTGCATGCCACAGCGGATCTGGTGCGCACCATGAAGAATGTGCGAACCGCACTCAAGCCGGGTGGGCGGGCATTGATACTCGAGGTGATCGCACCGGAAGACGTCGTGGTGAACTTCTCGTTCGGCCTCGTTCCGGGATGGTGGCTGGCGCGTGAAGAGTGGCGGAAAATGTCGCCGCTTCTAAACGAGGAGCAGTGGGATGCCTGCTTGCAAAAGAGCGGATACTCCGGTAATGACCTTGTGCTCAGGGACAGTGAGGAGGACGGGTGTCACATCTGCAGCATTATCGTGTCGACAGCTGTCGATGAAGTCACGACAACGCCCAAACCCACCGAGTTGAAATCCAAGATTCTCTTGGTTGTCGACGAGCGCTCGGAAAAGCAGTCCGAGTTGGCCAACCTGATCCGCGACCACGTGAATGCCTTGGGTGGTGAACACCTTGGCAGCGTTCTGTCCCTGAAACGGTTCCAGGAGACCAAACCGAACCCCGACGACGTTGTCCTTTGTCTTGCGAGCCTTGACACTCCGTTCCTGTTCGACATGTCCGAGAGCAAACTCACCTGGGTACAGGATCTCATGCGCCACACTAAAAAGTTACTCTGGGTGACTGCATCAAGCATCGAGGACTCGCAACTGCCCTTCTATAGCCAAGCCCAAGGCTTCTTCCGCTCTCTGCGACTCGAGGCAGCCGACAGCCAAATCGTCACTCTCGCCATCGAGTCCCAGGGTGCTCCGAGTGCGGCGAGTTCTGCGCAGCACGTCACCAAGGTCCTTCAAGCCTCCTTCCTCGACTCGTCGCCCTCCCAGGAGCTGGAATATGTGGTACGGCACGGCCTTCTCGAGACCTGTAGGGCCGCAGAGGACGTCAAGGGCAATGCGGCGCTTAATGCCCTCCTCTCCTCGCAACTCCACAAAAAGCCTTGGTCCGAGGGGCCGGCACTATCGCTCTCAATAAAGAGAGCCGGAACGCTAGACTCGCTGTGCTTCACCGAGGACGCCGTATATGAGACAGAGCTAGCCACCGACGAGGTCGAGATCGAAGCCAAGGCCTGGGGTGTAAACTTCCGCGATGTCCTGCAGGCACTGGGTCGTCTAGAGGAAAGGACATTCGGCTATGACTGCGCGGGGGTCATCACAAGAGTCGGAAGTGGCTGCAGCGGCTCGCTCCAGGTAGGTGACCGGGTCTGCATGGCTTCGCCGGGCTGCATGCGCCGGTATCCGCGCGCGCCGGCGACATCGGTGATCAGGATACCCAAGGATGACATGTCCTTTGCGGCTGCGGCTGCGGTTCTCGTCCCAGGGATGACGGCATACCACGCGCTTGCAAACGTGGCGCGGATCGCAAAGGGTGAGACGATACTGATCCACTCGGCTGCGGGCAGCACCGGGCAGATGGCCGTTGCCGTTGCTAGGAGGCGAGGGGCCGTTGTCTACGCGACCGTCGGCAGCGAGGAGAAGAAGCGGTTCCTAGTAGATGTTCTGGGCGTCCCCGAGGGCCACATCTTCCACAGCCGCAACACGTCGTTTGCGAAGGCCATCATGCGCGTCACCGAGGGGCGCGGCGTCGATGTGGTGCTCAACTCGCTATCTGGGGACGGCCTGCGGGCATCGTGGGAATGCATGGCCCGCCGCGGGCGGTTTGTAGAGATCGGAAAGGCCGATATCATGGCCAATTCGGGACTTCCCATGTTCAGCTTCGCGAGGAACGTGAGCTTCTCGGCCGTAGACTTGCGTGAGATCTTTGTGGAAGATCCCCAACTCACTGCCGAGCTGTTGCAGAAGACCATGCAATTTTGGGATGACACCGGCGCCACCCCGACGCCGGTGCACTCGTTCCCTGCCTCCCAAGTCGAGCAGGCTTTCCGAACACTTCAAAACGACAAGAATATCGGCCGTGTCGTGATTGAGCCTAGGGCAGACGATATTGTTCCCGTGAGTGCTGTATTTACTCCTAATGCAATATTCCTGAGCTAACATATAAATCCTCGCAGCAATACCTCCTGGATCGGCAGCCGTGGAAGTTTGACAGCAGAGCGTCGTACCTCATCGCCGGCGGCTCTGGGGGCATAGGTCGTGCCATCATGACATGGATGGCAGATCGCGGCGCCAAATATCTGATTGTGCCATCCAGATCTGGAGCCTCGTCCAAGGCGGCGGCCGATGTCGTTGCTGAGTTGAAGGCGCGAGGCGTCTACATCGCCGCGCCAAAGTGTGATGTGGCCTTGGAGTCGGCGGTATCAAGCCTGCTTGATGAGTGTGCACGCACAATGCCCCCTATCAAGGGCTGCATCAACGCAGCATTGGTTCTGCAGGATGCCATGTTCGAGAACATGACTCTGGCCCAGTGGGATCTTGCTGTCAAGGCCAAGGTGGATACAGCATGGAATCTACACCGTCTCCTTCCCAAGGATCTTGACTTCTTTATCTTGCTGTCGTCCCTGGCTGGCATCGTCGGCCAGATGGCGACGACCAATTACGCCGGAGGCTGTACCTTCCAAGATGCCCTGGCACGCTACCGCATCGAACATGGCCAGAAGGCGGTGTCCATTGATATCGGCTGGATGCGCGACATTGGCATTGTCGCCGAAACAGCTGCTTTCCAACGCCAGCGTCTGGCCACCGAGGACATGCAACAGATCGACGGCCGCGATCTGATGGCCCTCCTGACACTGTGCTGCGACCCTGCTGCTCCACCGATGACTCCGGAGCAGAGCCAGATCCTTGTGGGCCTGCGAACGCCGGCCGACTTCCTCGCCAAGGGGCAGACACCTCCAGCCCTGTTGGAACGGCCGCTCTTCGCCGCCTTCTCGCGCATCATGGGCACCGAGACGATGGCCAAGGCGGGACAAGCGGCGGACCCGGCGGCACTGTTTTGCGCCGCCGCCGACTCGGAAGAGAAGGTCCAGGTTGTCATCAGCTCGCTGGTTGCCAAGCTGGCGCGCGCCATGTCCATCTCGCCCGAGGACGTGGAGCTCTCTAAGCCATTATCGAGCTATGGTGTTGACTCTCTGATGGCGGTCGAGCTTCGCAACTGGATCAGGCGCGACTTTGCTGCACCTGTGGCCGTCTTTGATATCATGGGGGGTGTGCCTATTTCGACGGTCGGAGAATTGGTGGTTGCTAGAAGCACTAGCGTTACTACATAGTAAATGTTGGAGCATATATTGTATCTTGAAGATGAATAATGATCGAAATATATGTGATCCAGAACAACACTTTCAATATCCCTCCAGAGGTGGCATAATGAGGCTCCCTGGCTACGCCGTAGGCCACACACCCTGCACACCCGCTGCACCCGTTGCACAGGTCAAAGCAGCGGCAGCACCGGCCCACTCACGAAGATGGAAATGACTCAAGGCAAGATTAGGGAAGCATTTTGTTCTGTAATTAAGCATTTGGGTGGTTGAGATAAGAAGATGGAGATAAGGAGAGGATCCCTGGCCCATGGCGTATGCTTGTTGCCCAGTGGTGGGCTGATAAGCTGGTGCCCATTTGGGTTTGCAGCCCCACAAATCTGTTCCCTGTCCCCCCACCCCCTTATCAACGCCACACTGGGGATGCAGAATTGCTATCAACTTAGACGGGGAAGATGATAGCCAGCAGGAAAACTCCCGACAATGATTAATTACTCAGGGCAGGGAGCTCCAAAGTATCAAAAGATAAAGTCCAACATGGCCCCGATTTCCACGGTCCATTGCTCTTGCTCTTCAATTGCTGGGTCTAGGTCTCTGAGGCGACCATCTTCTCCACCCGTTCCATCACCGTCACCATGGCCGCCACTGTTCCTCTCAGCCAAGGGGTCGGGTACGGCATCGTACTCGGCCTTGGTTTTGCTTTTGCCCTAGGTTTGTAATTCAACACCCCCGTCGACCACCTCCTCGTCTGATAGCTGTTGCACGAGTTGTCCCTCCATGAAATGGAAGAAAACAACATCAGCTAACAGGCCCCCACTCCAGGCATGATCCTCGTGACCTTTATCCTCCGCCGATATAACTCAGAGCTCCAAACTTCAGAAATGTTTACCACGGCAGGGCGTACCGTAAAGTCCGGCCTCGTCGGCGCCGCCGTTGTCTCCTCCTGGACGTGGGCAGCCACGCTCTTGCAGTCATCCGCCGTCTGCTATCGCTACGGCGTCAGCGGGCCGTTCTGGTACGCCTCGGGCGCCACCGTGCAGATCCTCCTCTTCGCGACCCTGGCCATCGAGCTGAAGCGCCGGGCTCCCAACGCCCACACCTACCTCGAGGTCATCCGCGCCCGCTACGGAACAGTCGCCCATCTCGTCTTCATGGTCTTTGGACTGGCCACCAACATCCTCGTCTCCCTCATGCTGATCGTTGGGGGGTCGGCGACGGTCTCTGCCCTCACGGGGATGCACACCATCGCTGCGATATATCTTCTCCCTCTCGGCGTGGTGCTGTATACCCTCGTGGGCGGACTGAAGGCCACCTTTCTTACGGATTGGGTGCATACCTTCATCCTCTTAATCATCATCATCCTCTTCTCCCTCACTACCTACGCCTCTTCCGACACGCTGGGGTCACCCTCTGCCGTGTACGACGCCCTAGCAAAGGCTGCCCAGAGTCATCCTGTAGAGGGAAACGCCGAGGGGAGCTACCTCACCATGCGGTCTCGCGAAGGTGCCGTCTTCTTCGTCATAAACATCGTGGGTATGTAATTAATCTTCAACCCCGGGTTTCCACCCCACAACCTCTGAGCAACCGTTAACACAAATAAGGCAACTTCGGAACCGTGTTCCTTGACAATGGGTATTACAACAAGGCCATTGCGGCGTCGCCCGTGCATGCCTTGCCCGGCTACCTGCTCGGTGGGCTCTGCTGGTTCGCCATCCCGTGGTTAACAGCGACAACCATGGGCCTGACGGCCCTATCGTTGGAGAACACCCCGGCCTTCCCCACCTACCCAAACCGGATGCCAGACGAAGCAGTGAGCGCAGGCCTCGTACTCCCCTACGCGGCGGTCGCCCTCCTAGGCAAAGGCGGCGCGGTAGCCACCCTCCTGATTGTGTTCATGGCCGTGACAAGCGCCACATCGGCGGAGCTGATCGCCGTATCCTCGATCCTGACGTACGACTTCTACCGCACCTACTTCAAGCCCAACGCCTCGGGCAAGCGCCTGATCTACACCTCCCACTGCGCCGTCGTTGCCTACGCGCTCTTCATCTCGACCTTCTCGGTCGGCCTGTGGTACGCGGGCATCTCGATGGGCTATCTGTACCTCATGATGGGCTGCGTCATCTCGTCGGCCGTCATCCCCGCCGCGCTGACGCTGACCTGGTCCGCGCAGAACAAGTGGGCCGCCGCGCTGTCGCCCATTCTCGGACTGGGGGTCGCGCTCGTGGCGTGGCTCGTGACGGCCAAGAGGGAGTGCGGCAGCCTCGACGTGGCGTGCACGGGGTCCAACTACCCGATGCTGGCGGGTAACGTGGCGGCGCTGCTGTCGCCTGTCGTGTTCGTGCCTGTGCTGACGTACGCGTTTGGGCCGCAGAACTACGATTGGAAGAGCATGATGGAGATCCGAAAGGGAGATGATCATGATGTTGCGGCGGAGGCAGATGTGGAGCTCGAGAACACGCTTGGGGGTGCGGTTGAGACGGAGGAGGAGTTCCAGGTCGAGCAGCGGAAGTTGCTAAGGGCGGGAATGATCAGCAAGTGGGCGACGGTTGTCATGGTACGTTTATTGCCTCCATTCAATTCCCCTCCTTGCCGCTATCCGTCCGCATTGTATACCGAAAGACCCCCGGCTTAGCTAACATTTTGCTTCTCTAGACCCTGGCATTCCTCGTTCTGTGGCCGATGCCCATGTACGGGTCGGGCTACATCTTCTCGAAGCCCTTCTTCACCGGCTGGGTTGTCGTCGGCATCATCTGGATATTCTGCTCTTTCTTCGGCGTCGGTCTCTTCCCCATTTTCGAAGGGCGCCATACTATTGCGCGGACCGTCCGGTTTATCTATCTGGACATCACGGGCAAGAAGTCCTTCAGGACCAGTCACCGGAAGGGTCCGGATACGGATCAGACGGTGATACAGGGGGAGAAAGGCGTGGACGGGAGCGGCGCGGTCACTCCGCGGGAGACTAGCGTGGCTGAGCCTACCAAGGAGAAGGACTAGACCCTTCGATTTCTAGAGACTGGGTTGGAATTTGAAGATGTACGAATGCTCTACGTAGTTGTGTTACTTGATATACCTTCACGCTCACTCGACTCAGCTTTGCATGGATGTTTGGTCATGATCATCTGGCAGGACGGATACATATAATGGGCATTCGCTTGTAGCTACTAGAAGAAGAGGCTATATAGTATTGCGGAACAAAAACCCAGTTTCCAAACTAACAATCCTTGGTAGTATAATAACTAATATAGCTTGTCATGCCTGAGATGCAGGTTCTCTCGTCTGGACAGATGAGGAACATAGTCTGGTCGTCGACACGGCGTGCGAGTCGAACGCCTGACCGAGCCGAGCCCGTCCCCGGATCGGAGTAAGTCGGCTCGGGCCGGGGAGATCTACATAGCCGGCTCATGGTGGAGGGCCACGCTAGCAAGTGCATTATTTGACGTGAAAGGCGCAGAGTATGCATTCCCTCTTGCCAACCTGCCCGACGCACCTCGTCTTGCGTAAGCGACAGGTATCGCATGGCCGGGAACGGGTCGGGGACATCCTTGCCGGCTGAGGACAAGAGAAGGATTCTTGGGCAGCGGTGTCTTCGGCTAATTAATCTAACTCTGGCTCCCGTTCATCAACCCGCAGTCGCTTATCGGGATCGCCAAATGGACTCTGGTCTGGAGCCGTTACTCACAAAAACGATCCAGTGCCCTGTGGAACATCCTTCAACGAGCAATACCGACCAATGGGTAGAAAACATCGAGGAAGAAGTTTGAGGAGGGTGGTGATCTTGATTGGCCGATTGACTGAGTCGCCTGCAGCCTCTAGGAAAGCTTATGCAGGGAAGCTTATCTTTCAAAACGTGCTGTCATCACGTAGCTGCCCCACACAAATTGATGTAGATATCGATCGCTAAGCTCCTATTGATCAACTTTAGCTGTTATCTTACATTAGGTAGCTTCTGCGGTTGCAATGCCAGCTTTCGTTTGGAGAGGATTGGCGTTGGAAGTAATGCAGCGAAAACAGTAATTAAATTTAGTAATTCAGTGTAAAATACCACCAAAATCAGGGCCGCTCAGATGGCTGGGTCATCCAGCCACTTCCCGCGAAAGTAGGCACTTATACGCCACCATCTCTGACAATTGGGCGCCGCCAGAGGAGCCCACTTCCCCGCTATGACTCACTCTGAATCACCGGCCGAGTCCGTGCTTCGCCGGGCTCCGAATTCCGCCGGCATCCCGGATTGACTTTTAATGGTCAACCTCTCGCCAGCTCACAAGAAAGCCTCATTTGACAACTCCACAGCACAGAAAAACATAGTGCAAATATGTCAGGCACGGGAAACCACGCGATTGTCTTCGGTGGGACGGGATTACTGGGGTGGTCAGTCGCTGACCAACTCCTATCCAATTATCCCGAACATGGGTCGTTTTCCACAGTCACGGCCGTTATGAACCGCCCCGTTGCAGAATCGGAACTGCACTTACAGGATGCTTTGCCTGAACGACCCCGGCTTCAGATTGCCTCAGGGATTAACTTGGCGAGTGGAACGGCAGACGATTTGGCACGAGATCTAAAGGAGAAAGTCGCCGGGATAGAGGCCATTACCCATGTGTTCTACTTTGGTATGCATGAAGTTCTGTCGTTCTAGGCGAGCGACTAATAAATAGACTCACAGTGTTCAACGAATTTGGCGAGGACCATCTTCGCGAATGCGAGATAAATTGTGGGATGATGCAGAGAGTTGCCGATGCATTCAACATATTGGCCCCGAAACTCCAGTCGTTTGTTTACTCTGGCGGGACACGGGTGAGTGACGTTCATATTTTATTCTTAGAATCACTGCCAAGTTACAGCCTATTGATATAATGCGTTAGGGATACGGCATCTACGTCCCAGGCGGCACCTTCCAGGCTCCCCTGGAAGAGTCCATGGCCGAACACCTGCCCGAGGACTATGCCAAGACTGTCGCGTACCCGTGGTTCAGAAAGATTCTCACCACAGCAAGCGCCGGGCGAGGGTGGACATGGACTGAAGTCTGTCCAGATGCCGTCGTCGGATTCACCCCCAACGGCTCCAACTTCTCCCTTGCGCTCCACTGGGCGCAGTACCTCTCCTTGTACAGCTACAACCATGGGATTCGAGGGTCATCCGGTACGCCCGATGGGGAAGTAGAAGTACCGTTTCCTGGAAATGAGGGTGGCTTTAACTCACTTGCCACGTCCGTGTCTTCTCACACACTTGGACGTATCGCGATATTCGCTGCACTAAACTCGGAGAAATGCGGCGGGAAGATACTTAACATGGCAGACAACGCACGACCCTCCAGCTACCGCGAGTTGTGGCCTGCCATCACCTCTTGGTTCGGCTTGGTTGGCGTTGGCCCGTCCGGTGACGACGATGCGTTGAAACCGAGCGAGTATATCGAGACGCATAGGCACATCTTCGAAGAGACTGGTCGGCCAAAGGGATTGACATGCGGAGTACGTGCTGGAAGCAAGCAGTTGGATAGCGTGGGCTGGTGGCTATGCTTTGACCGACACCTGAGTTTGGAGAGGCTAAGAGGTTTGGGGTTCCTGGAAGAGAGAGACCCGGCGGAGGGTTGGCTAGAAGCCTTTGATAAGTTCAAGGCAGCCGGCATAATTTAGGCATGCCCAGACACCTGGGGACCTCTCCGGGCGGCCGTAAATACTTATCTCGACGTCTGGACTCTGGCGCAACAAAATCGTCGTGCCCCGTGACCGGGATTAGCAAAGGGTACGTGCAATATCGAAATCCCCCGGTCCGGCCGCCGAATATAAATCAGCTCTATATCATCGATGACTCTATCGGCTCAGTGAATATTCTGCTCACCTTCCAAACCATGGACAATGTGCCCGACAGCCTCGAGTTCCGCACATTCTCATTCGTCTCCAGTCTCAGCTAAAAGGTCGCCAGGGGCTTCCATTCCATTGGGCGCACCGTAGAAAAGTCCAGTCCCTTCGCCAGGGTATACAAAATTTCCAGGTACGGAACATCAACACGTAGCCGCTGAGCAATGCGTACTGTATTCCCCAGAATCGCCTCCACTTCGATGGGTCGATGATTCCGGATATCCGTCAACATGCTGGGCTCCTTCCCCCCGCTCTTCAGTCTCTCCTTTGAACGGCTGAGCTGGCCATCTAGTTCCTCCTCCGTCACAACTGGGTATCCAGCCGCCTTTGCCACATTCCCAACTTCCATCATAACCTTCTTGACCATGCCCAGTGCCTCGAGAGATGACCGCAGCAGGTTGGCGTCGTCGCAGAGAGTCAGCGCGCACATGGGATTCCAAGCAGCGTTGACCGCCAGCTTGACCCATCGCTGTGTCTGCACATCGTCAAACACCTTGCACGTTGCTCCGCCGGCACTCCACAATTCCTGTAGCAGCTTGACTTTTGCCTTGGCTTCTGCAGGGGCGGTCGCAGGGTATGTTCCGACCTCGAAGCGTTCCAGCAGTCCCATTTCGATAACCCCCGGCTCGACTTGCGTGACAGGTAGGTATACCACGGCAGAAATAATGACGTTACCAGGATAGCTTTCTGCGTATTCGTCCTCGATGCAGATGCCGTTTTGGGCAAGGACAATTGCCGTGTCAGCCGACACTGCCTCCCGGATTAGGCCCGACGTCCCGGGGAACGCTTTGCTGCAGACGAGTATGAAATCAAAAGGTCCCTTTGCCGCCGAGACGGAGTCGACAGTGGTGGGTTTGTAGTGAACTTTTCCGAAGACGCCAGATCGAATCAAGAGACCCTTTTCCTTGACGGTGGCGTAGTTTGTTCGGCACACCACCGTCACCTCAGCGCCGGCATTGTGGAGGATCCAGCCGTAGACGGAGCCTACCGCGCCGGTACCGAAGATGAGAACCTTGACCATGACTCTTGCTGGTGGTGTTTTTGTGTGTGTATTCCGGCGGATAGAAACTGTTGCGGGTTAATTACCAATCAACCTCCTGAAGCCGCGCCCCGATAAAATTTATCGCGTGCATAAGCGTCCTCGTCACTGTTAGGCCGAAGTCGGACCCCGCATGTACTCCCCCCACCCGTTCTTCATCTTCACCGTCGACGATTAAAAACAAAAGGGAAAATATTGAAGAAAAAAAAAAGAAAGAAAAAAGGGGGGGTTACTGTAAAAATAAAAAATTTAAATGTTCAAAATAATAATAATGACACTCAATGAAGACGCTAGGCTCTCCAAGAAGGCAGCAGCCGTTGCCTCGGGCCGTCTGATGTTAACTGCGGCGGGGCTGACCCGAGGCTTAGCAGCCGCTAGCTCCCCTGAAAACCCCACTCGAGCACACTAATTATAAAGCCATTCCCGGTTCCAGAGCTGCGCTCCGCCTGCTTCAAGCTGAGCTCCCGGCTGAGCCGCCTGGAACGGCCTATTTTTAGGATCAAAGCCCCAAAAGGGGGGACCGCAAACTCTGGCCATGGTGTCTGTTTTGGGCCTCGTTAGATTTAGGGCACTACACATCTGGGAGGTGGCCAACAGATGATGTGGATTAAAGGTTATTCCTTGCCGTTAACCGCCCTGTACCTCTGCTTTGAAACAGCCGCTCAGGGGCCCCCGCATCCCCCATTTCTCGCACCGAAGTCGCCTTGATTCAGGTGAATATCGGATTCGCCGCGACTCAGAATTGGACCTCCCTCATTACTGTTCGGGTATTTTGGAGCAGGAATGGCAGATGCAAATGGGTCCACTATTAGCGGGCATGGCCGTAAGCGTCAGGGCTCGAACCGCAGTAACCACGATGACCGGGATAGCAAACGCCTCCAGCTGGATCACGCCGAAGGCCTACCTTTCCGCTTCGACCGGTCATTCGTACACAGCCCAGTGAAGACTCCGACGATTGAAAGTCCGGAAGTTCACCTTGCCTCTGCTCGTCCCCGCCACTCGCCGGCGGTGGAATCGGTACGCACCATCCCGCTTCTCATTGACTTGACCAAGGATGATGAGGATATCGTCATGGCACCGGCTCCCGAAGAGCCTCCCGCGCGTCCTTCCACGGGGCGAGACTTCTCGCCAACAAAACCAGACGTGGACACAACTCCGTTGGCTTCAAAACCTGGGCTCCCCGAGACTCTTGGTGTCCCATACGACACATGCTTCGGCTTGGTAGGTGTCTATGCGACCTCATTCTCATAAGATTCTACCTCGCTAATCCAATGCAGATTGAAACCCAGTCTTCCATAGGCTCTTCCATTGAGACAGATTCGGATTGGCTCCCTGTCAAAGTTGAGCTGTCTAATCAAGGCCTGAAGATATTGAGACTGGGCTCGGGAAATCACATTGGCTGGGCTTCTTCAACTTCTTCGCGGGTCATCTCCCAACTTGCCAAGAAAACCAAGGTCGTGCTAACTGCAACCCTTGTTGTCCCTGACAATCGTCGACAGTCGCAATATATCCAGGCCACTCTACGCATTATTGTCTACGGGTTCATGTCGGAAAAGCGTGCTGTTGCCAAAATCTTGTCTGATGGCGACCTCTACCTCCAGCACCCATCATTATCCGAATGCAATGGTCGAGTGCCTTATTTCAACCCGCAGTATCTTCTCCGTCCAGGAGGATCTATGCCAAAGCTGGAAAACTTGGTGATTTCAAGCCAGGGCAGATCGGGTCGTGGGCCAAGTGATTTTCTGGCGGAAATCGAGAAGAGTCGCTTGTTGCAGGTCTTCGAGTCCGCGCACGACCCAGACGCAACCTTCAGGATTCGTCCGAGCCTTCGACTGCAGTCTTCTCTCAAAGAGTATGTCGCCTCTGGGCCTCTGGGCCTATTCATGACGTATCTGACCTTCTCACCAGACACCAGATTAGTGCTTTAGCCATGATGGTAGAGAAGGAATGCGGAACCTATGATAAGCCAACATTTCCGTCCATCTGGGAGCCAATAGGGGATCAGAATGTGAAGACAAGGTGTGTCATTCCCGGCAGCAGTTACTCGCTGCTACCTACCTTACTTACAGACATCAGTTATCGGCACGCAGTCACCGGTGAGCGTCGAGATAGGCATCCGACCCTTGCGCGTGGGGGAATTCTTGCCGACGTAAGCTGCGCACTTGACACCTGCTGATACATTTGCCCTAATCTATAATTATTCAGGAGATGGGTCTTGGGAAAACCTTGTCGGCCATTGCACTGATCTTATGGCACCTTGATTTTCTCGAGTCTTCTAAGTCGGAGTCTCACTCTCGCCGGGCTACGTTAATAGTCACTCCAAAATCCAGTGAGGCACAAGGGCTTCACCTGTTACGATGTGTAATCTGACTGACCTGAACAGTTATACCCGAATGGAACCAGCAGTTTGAGAAGTACGATGACCCCGACGCAATGCTTTAAAGGAAGGGTATCTAATCGTGAGCACAGACATGTTAAGCCTGGACGTATCAGGGTCCGGACTTACCACGGAAGCAATCGGCAGCAGGTTGCTAAGGACTGGCACGATGTAGACGTGATACTCACAACTTACGACACTGTCAGGTCCGAAAAAGCGTCCGCCGGCCCGCTTTTTGAGACGAGATGGGCAAGAGTAATACTCGATGAAGGTATATCCGCCAGGTTCAAATGCGTCTGTTGCAGCCTCTAGCAAAGAAACGGTGCTAACCAACTCTCCCTACCTCGGCAGCGCACAACATTCGCAACCGAGACTCGAAGGTTTTTAGGGCAGCAGAGGCTATTATTGCGCCATGTCGTTGGTGCCTCACCGGCACACCGATACAGAACTGTCTAGATGACTTTGGGGCGCTGCTAGGTTTCATCGGCGTTCCGTCCTTTGAGACGCAGACCCAGTTCAATTACTGGATAATAGAACCCGTCAAGAAGAGGAAGGATTATGCATTTAAACGCCTTCGCCAACTGGTCAGAGCCACCTGCCTGCGAAGAACCAAGGCAAGCACAGCAAACACACTGAAGTTGCCGAAGAAGGTGGAGGTCAACGAGGTCCTAGACTTGGACCCAGGTGACAGGGAATTATACGACTTTTTCAAGCGCCGGGCTGCGACCGTGGCTCGAAATATGGAAAGGTTGTCGTCGCGGAACGGCAACTCCAAGAGGCCCAAACCACTGGGTGGCTGGGGCGGCTGGAGCGGAAACATCTTGCCTCTGGTTGGCCATCTTCGGCGCATCTGCGACCATGGAGGGGATCTCCTCCCCGCCGCGGCTCTGCGAGCGTGGCGAGACAAAGACATCGACTCGATCGACTGGCAGCTGATGAAGATGGCGTCGCAAAAGTGCGATCTCTGCGAAACGGAGTTGGAAGAGGGTAACGACGTGGTTGTCCCAGTGGAACTCGTCTGCGGTCATATCATCTGCGCCAGCTGCCGCAACGTCATAGAGGACATGAACGGGATCGGATCATCGTCTGCCTCCTGCCCTAAATGTTCCGGGAGATCGCCATTGCCCGCGCCTAGCCAGGGCAGCACCGTGGAGCAGTACAAGCCTTCCGTCAAGATCAAGGCTTTGTTGCGGAATCTCCGCAACGAACATTCAACGCAGCAGACGTGCGAAGATCGAATCGTCTCGAAAAGGTACTCGAGTCATCCTTTGCCTTGGTCACTGATGAGCGAAGCTGACACGAGTCAAAGTGTTGTCTTTAGTTGCTGGACTAGGATGCTTGACTTCATCCAGAAGGCCTTCAAAGAAGATAACATTGGCTTTCAGCGGATTGACGGACAGACGACACTCCCAGGCCGCGCGGCCGCACTCAAGGCATTCCGGGACGACCCAGATTGCAGGGTGATGCTTGCCAGCATCGGCAGCGTTGGAGAAGGGTAAGATTCCTCCGCTCTGCTGTCAGTCATGATCCGAGATTGATTAACATGTATTTCGGCTAGTGTCAACCTCACCGTCGCAAACCATGTCCATATTATGGAGCCCCAGTGGAATCCAATGGTGGAGGCTCAGGCGGTTGACAGGGTCCACCGAATTGGTCAGGAACGGGACGTCTTGATAACTCGCTACCTTATCAAAGACTCGATTGAGTTTGTAAATGCCCATTTTCATACTCCCTTTGCATGCTCTACTGCATACGTAAGTCATTGAAGAGGGCGTTTCGTTTGGCTGACAAGGCTTCCAGTACGTCCGTGGGGTTCAGGAGGAAAAGCTACGGCTCATCCACCAGTCACTCTCCTCCACAGAGCTCAGGCAGAGAGACGTTGATGTCCAGCGATACAAGGTTAGTAAAAGCTGCTACCACCACTTCCCTACCTTTGACATGTTAATCTGAACCTCTTCGCAGAAATTGTTGGAATCACTTAGCTAGAATCCGGCGCTTCGTCGGGTCCACGGGCGGGTAATTACTAGTACACACCTAATTGATGATAGCTTCATAAAAGGGGCATCTTCAATATTCGCAGGCACCGTTATGTTATTAATTAGCCATCGAGGTAAATCGTGGCAGCTTGATTCAACCGCTCATTCATCTTGGTCGCTGATGGAACCGATGCTGGACCGACTGCCTTGCCGGCCCCGTCCCCTACCCGCCGATTCCGCAAGCTTATCCCAGGTCAAGCCCAGCCACGTCTCGATCTTCCGTGCCCCTTCCTCCTTTTCCGGCCTGGCGCTGCCGAACCGAGTGTTTGCCTTGGCCCCTTCAAAGAGCAAGAACTTCATCAAGTGAGCTGCCTCTTCCGAAGTCTTCTTGCTGGCCCAGTGGAGTGCCGTATATCCTCTACTGTTTTCCGATTGAGGGTAGTCAATTGGCGCCCCTAGCTCAAGCAGCACCTTCGCCTGTTCAACAGAGCAAGTCGTCTGTGCGACCATCGTCAGAGCCCGACCCAGGTCAGGCGGCTTTACTCTACCCATCCCGGAGAGCAGCCGCCAGCTCTCGACCATGCGCATTTCTTGCTCTGGAAATCTCTTCGCTGTGTTGAGAACAGTCTTCTCAAACAATTCCTGCGCAAGGTGGGCGTTGTAGTTCTCGGTAGATTTGACAATATTTTCCCAAATATCGAAGACCTCGCCGGAATCCGACTTGAGGACCGCGACGACCACATCGCGGTATCGCCCAGATCTCTTGCAGCCCCATGCAGTGCCCTTCTCCAGGATCCACCTAGTGAGCTCCAGGTTGCCGCTTTGAACGGCATCGTGAATTACGACGCCGAACTTGACTTCGGCGTTTCGAGGCTCTTGTTTTTGGTCGTCCCATTCAAGGAACAGCTGGGTAATTTGCAAGGACCCTTGTCCAGCTGCCATCTTGATGAGTTCGGCTTCGGTAAATTGGTTCACCTTTTGACGACAGGCTGGCCAAATTGCCTCAAGCTCATCGATATCACCATCGCTCAGCAGGCCGTATATAAGGGTGTATAACGCCTCATCGTCCGACTCCGAAGGCTGGATGAAGGCACTCTCGCGTACCACCCTGTGAAGCCTCTGTCGATGCTGCTCTAAGCTAGCACAAGATGGAAAACCAATAATGGAGAAGTCGCAGGATTTCACCGAGCACTTCCACGGCCTGCTGTGATTCGTCATGTGGTTTCCACATTCCGTGTCTGTCTCGAACCCATCACGGCGGAATGGACATGAGAAGAAGTGGCATTTAAATAGGTACTTCCCGTAGTGTCGTTGCAACTTCGCACATACACAATCTTTTTTGTGCGTTGGTTGGTTCTTGATCTCGTGACAAAGTAGACTGTTGTAGTGGGCCTCGACCCTGGCACAGGAGTCTGAAACAGTCAACGGATCTAGACATGTCCAAGTTTGAGCTGCATGATGGCAAGTCAGCGACTCTTTCGTGTCTTATTTCGGAGGTATCTTTGTGTGTTTGGGGAGAGAGGGGGGTGGGGGGAGGGGGATGGGTGTCTCTTACCATTGTCTGATGTCCACAGATCTTTGGGACGGTCCTTGTAAAACAGAAGGGTCTGAGAAACGAATTCGGGAGCTTCTGGCCATGGTGAGTGTCCTGGCTGGTAAGGCCTCCTGCTGGACCCAGTGTCTTCATCGATGTCATTTCGGAATCTCGGATTCCCCAGCTCGGAAAAGAGGTTTTCCAGCAACCCGTTGATGACAACAAGGTGATTTTCATCTTGTGTCAACTGGATATACCGCTTGACCAGAGTGAACCATGTGGAAGACGCAAATGCTTGAAGTCGATATTTCCCCGCGAGAAGGTTCTCCCGAAGTTGGTCTTCGTCGAGCTCTTCTCCAAGTGCGTTATAGCAGAGATACGTCAAACAGACGACCAAAAGATCCATCGTGGACTCACACACGCTGACGGACTTCGTTCGATGGTTGAAGATGTATCTATAATTACAGGTTAGCAATGATACCCTGCACTGGAGTACTAGCACCTGGGTTATCACTCGCTCTTTCACTGTGAAGTGGACAAACTGTGGTGTCTCATCCACAACTTCGACAATCGGACCGCAGAGCTTGACGATATTCAATGAGCTGTCAACGACGGGTGCGTCGTCACAAGCCTCGACGCTCACTAGTATGGCTTGCTCAAGCTCGTATAGCGTGAGTGGAACGGGAGAACAACCAATCCATCCAAGGATCCTTTTCACCGTGTCTCGGTTTCTAGTGGATAGTCCATCAATTCGTGATAGAGCTCGCTCATACCTGCACACAAGATTAGAAGCAGCCATGCATGCATACCACATATGGTACTTACGCAGCGTCAAGGTCTTCAGGGAGTGCCCTCAGCTCCCTTCTGATATCGTCGATATTGTTCAAATCGACCACGTTGTCTATGACGATCCGAGCATACAAAAACATTCCTGAGGATAAAATCAGGAACTCGTCAGCAACTTCAAGGGGATGGATGTCATGAAAGAATTGCACTCACCTTTAGCTTTTGTAGAAATAGGAGACAGCAGAGCGTTAATCTCACTTTGCCGTTCAGCTAGGAAATCGGTACTCGCCATCCACTGGTCAAACCTGCTGTTGACATAGGTCTGAATCCCCACAGCATTTCTGCGATCAACTCGAATTTGTGTTGCCTTCGATTGCAGTATCTTGACCATATCATTCTCTGCTCTGCTACTGATGCAGATCTTCAGCCCCGAGTCTCTGCAGGCTTTCGAAACGTCCAGGAGCGAGTACAGGAACTGCTTTCGTTCGAACTCTTCAACTTCGTCCAGGCCATCTATGACCATGAACGTCCCGCCTGCACACTTGAGTGCAGTTGTAAGGAGGTCTTTGGCAACGTCCACATTGCTCTTCAGATCTCGTTTGTTGGTGTCCGTCAGGAGGGCCTGTAGATCGCTGTCGTCTGAGGCCAACTGAAACAGCAGGGTATGGATAATCGATATGGCAGTGGTGTCGGCACGGACATGGCTTGGAAATGCATACAGAGTGCGACCCTTTTCCTTTGCCTTGGTGACGACCCAGCAGGCAAGAAACGTCTTCCCTGTTCAAATATCTCAGTCAAACGCGTGCGGCTGTGTGTTGGCACCCTCAAAACTCACCGGCACCTGGAATTCCCTGCAGCCAAAGCAATCTCGTCAACTGAGAACCCATGTCCATCCATTGACTGAACACCTGGTCTCTCGCAAGCCACCTTTCGGTTCCCGGACAGGCGCGCCTTCGCAACCAATCCAATCTGTCATCGTACATCTGCGGGCAGATGGCGGTCTCCAATGCTTGAAACTTCTGCTTTCCCCGAAACACTTCGGACTCTCGGATTTCTGCAAACGACTTGATTCTAGCCTCTTCCTCCCGCCTGATGTGTTCAAAGGTGATATTCTCTCCCAAGAGTCGCGCGTGTCTCTCTATGTTGGCCTCGACTACTTTGATTCTCTCTTTACGCTTCGGCCAGAGCGTCTCGAACATGATCTTGCGGCCTTTTGAACTGTTAACGGACGCTGTGTTGTGCAAATCGGGGGAAGAGCGTCGAGAAGCTTACGTGGCAGGCTGAAGAACTTCAAAGTTTCCAAGTAGAAGTCAAGAATGTCCCTGTAAAAGAGCCCCAGCACGCCCTTGATTGATTCCTTGTTAAGAAAATGCTCGAGCGGAAATTGCGGAAGCAGCTCCCCAATTCTCTCTATCGTCTTGACGATAGCGTCGAATCCCTGCTGCCATTCGCTGGCCCACAAAAGGAGAAGCCTTACCGGGCCCCAAACTAGAGCCAAAACTTCGGGTTTCACCTGGATGAAAATGCTGATGACAGCCTCATAGCTGCTAAGTCGATCGAGAAATGGCTTGACTCGTTCCAAGTGGCGAAGATGGCGCTGCTCGCGCTGCAGCTTATCTGTGGCGTCCCACACTTGTTTGACGCTGGTTATGGCAAGGATATCGCGGAACGCCGTGTTCGAAGGAAGCCCTTCTTCGAATTCACGCTTGGCAGCGTCGAAGACTTGCTGCAAGGAGTCTGGAGAGGCCATCACGAGAGGATTGAGGAGCGGTACGGGGGAGTATTGGCGTTCAGAATACAGATCGAATCTCAAAATACACAGTCTAGAGCACTTGAGGCGTTCCTCTGTCGAAGAGAAAGCCGAGGAAATAGCACATCGGCAGCGGGCCCAGGATTTACCGACGCCTTGGGGGGACCTTGGATCCATCCACGAGGGAGGTTAAGCGCTCTTGCGGACCGGACCCCCGCTTCCAAGCAGCCGTTGAAAACATTGCCGACCAATAGGCTGTCTCCATCACGCGCAAACCTGCGCCCCCTGGCGCTAACCCCAGACACCATGATACCCCGAGCTCTTCACACCCACCTCGACTCTCCTTCGGTTATGCAAGGCTCGTCCCACTGCTAAATCTGGGCCTATCGTTGATGGCAGCTTCAGAATTTGTGAGGGCTTGGCTTCTCCCACACGCGCACAGTGTTCCACCAATAGGGAGAGGATCACAAAAATCCCCATCAGCGATGGGTCGATTATCCGAGCTGCAGCTTTGAAACCACCTGAGAGGGGTTTCGGGTTCTAGAATTTGTGGAACATATACAATTAATCTATCAAAGCTCTCTTGACCTAGTAGCCCGTGCCCCTTGAATATGTCTAATTCAATCTCGTCTTTCGCACACACATAATAGAGGTGCATCGTATCTACGTTGAGCTCAAGCAACACACCTCATGTGTTTCCCCTTGACTGTCTGCCAACCTATGGGATGCAGATAAATGCTCTTCAGCCGCAACTTGAAGAGAGTTCGGCTGTTACCCTACTCATGAGATGAGAGGAGGGGAAAGGCTTCGGTGTCAATCTGTTGCGTTCCAGGGGGGGAAAAGCACAACGACAGGGGCGATGACCCCTTTTTTAGAACGGGAAGGAATTGCCTCCCCAGTTCGAGTCTAAACCAGCAAGACGAGCCCAACCTTATACGACGGTTGTGACAAATAGCAGTAGGTACCGTGATTAAAACGTTTTAATGTAACAGCCGCAGCCATCTGCAGTTCCTTGCTACGCAATCAGCGTCAATGCCAAGGATATCGTCCCGAAGAAACAGGACTGGAAACTGCCATACCTTATCTATAAGTTTCTATGAATTACACATGAACGTCTTTCCAAGCGGATCACCGTAGAGGCTTTCATCATTAAAGTAATCAACAGGATATGAGACATCCACGCATTTCCCACCGCCTGTAGGCCCCACATGAGAACAATGAACCTGTTTGAACGATCAGTATCCACATTTTACCACGAAATGGAGAGAGACGAAAGGACGAGACGTGAACTTACATCTGGCCGTACTTGAGTAAGAACAAGGTGAATTGACCGGCAGACAATGTTGTCTCCCCATGCCTCGTCGTAATTTCCGTAAGGCTTCTGCGACAAGGCAGACGCACATTCATCAATACTCTCCCACTGCGTGTTCGGCCCCGTGCATCTCGTCTGAGTGACGGCACAGATCTGTTGGATGCTCTGTGTCCGGAACTGCGAATTGGATATCTGGGCGCCCGTACTGGCCTCGATCCAGTTGTTGAGATTCGGGATCCAGGCGTCGTATTTGAGGACCGCTCCATGCTTGTCGAACTTCCAAAATGCGACCTGCCGACAAGGTCGTCAAGGTTAAATAACAGGGTCGACTCAATCACGACACAATCGTTAGGCCATCACTCACCTGCTTCAGGGGGGCAAGCGGTTTGCCATGATCCGCGCAGCCCGGGTTCACGACGCTGCAGAACAAATACACAACGGAGGCGGCAACATCGCTGCATGCGGAGCTGAATTCCGCAATCTGATAGCCCGTGATGGCCGCCGACGCCGCGTTTCCCTGCGGGAGCGGTGCCAGGGCAAAAAAGTACTCGATGGAATCCTCGAAACCCACGAAATCGCCAACCGGGTCGACCCTGCCCGCGACGTCCTGGCTGAAGAGGCCCGGGGGAACGCCCGCCCCGCCTCCGAGGATTATCGGGAGCTGGTTGGGGTAGACGGTGAGGTTGTAGATGCGCGAGATGGTGTTGAAGTTGCGCTCGTCGTCACGAACCCTCCCCCATCCCGGCCATGGCCACCATGCTGGCCACGGCCACGGCAACCTTGTCGGCCGGGACTGTGCTGGCGAGACCAGACAGGCAAGGGCGCACGAGATGATGGTCAAAACGCGAAGGCGGAATATGTACATGGCTCGTTCGTTGGAGGCTCCGCGGGAAGATTGGACGGGGCAATGTGGAAATTCTCCATTTCTCAGGTGGAGAGGATTCTTCAGGTGGAGAGGAGCGGCGTCTTATCATCGGCCAACGGCCCAGCTCGTGGCATTGCCGCAGCTCCGGGGTCAATTGCAGGCAACGTGGCGACCCAACATCACCCAGATCCATGGTAAATGGCCTAGTAACTAGTCCCAACAAAGCAATCGGCGGTCAGACAGCACGCCTCGTCAATAACTTGTCAATGTGTCGGTGCTGTATTCGTGCCATCTTGCCGCATGTTGCATTTCAGGTCAGGCATATCCAAGGAACCCGCATATGGATTTTTCCGCATCCAGCATGGTCTAGTGGCCGCTGAACGACGTGTTCGCAGCTAGCTGGCCATATCTAGCGAGGAGGGGGAAATCGTCATCCAGCCATGCGAAAACCACGTTGCAGGGCACAAAGCAAGGCATGGGCGTGGATTGATATCCGGGAGGTTGGGACAAGGTCTAAAACTTATCTGCTACTTGGGTTTGGTGAGGCGAGTTCGATACCAAGTGGTTGGGGCTGTGGGGTAGGATGTAGCTTTATTTCGTGGCTGGTTGTGCCCATTGTGGACACGTGATGGGCGGATGACGTGCTGTCTTGCGCTACTCTCAGGGCACGGAACGGGGAGGCTGACGATTGGTCTTGGTTGCGCAAGGGAAGTCGAGAGGGATGGCTTGCCCGGAAAGGTCCTGAATCATATAGTTCGGGTCCTTTTGGGACCACATTTGGACCAGCGCTTGTCCCGTGATGAAGCATCCACCATTGCAAGAGACGAGACCCCCACCTTCTGTTACAATTATGGTGCACAAACCAGAGATAAAAACAGCCGCCCAACCAAATGCGGGCATTGGTGGGCTAACATTATCTGCTGAGGGTGTGACAACGCACAACGGCTGCAACAAGGGTAATTGGCTCGAAAACTTGGCCGAGGTTGCATGTCCCGCTGCATGCCAGAGCTGGGCATCACCAATCATTGACCACGGTTGTGCTGGCACCGCCCACAACCTGACATATCAGTAGTAGTCGCACAAAAAAGAGAGAGAAAAAGGTATGGAAAATTTGGGAAATTGGGGCAACCATCATAGCTCTCATGTTCAAGGAGGTCCCCTTCTTTTATCCGCCTCCCGCCGCATCTCTTTTGAACCCCTTGTAGATGTGTTAGGACTGCGGGACTGAATGCCGGGAATTGGAAGATCGTCTCGAGATGATTTCCTCGATTATTTGCTGAAAAAATCCCATCCTGTGATCCTCCAACCTGACTGGTCAGATTGTCTTGCACCTCCGCCGTTTTGCCGTGAATCGACCTAGGCATGTAATCCAGTAATATGCCGCAGAGCCCTGGTACTCAGGAACCCAGCTTGCTATCGGACACCCAACAGTAGCTGATTGACCTATGGCTTTCCTGCCCTGGAGAGCAACCATGCACCCAAGTGTGGCGGCTATGGGTAGGAACGAACGAACGAGAGAGCTTAGATGGTGGCATCCCGCTCCCTTTCCCAGGCCAAGCTCCATTTCCAGTAAGAAATCACATCTCATGAGCAACAAGAGCCACTAGGCAAGGGCCGCTTCACAGGGGCGAGCCAACGGCGAGCCAGTGTGGCGTGATTGCGCTAATGAAATCAACCACTCATCGACACTTCCTCCTCAGCTCCTGGCAGGGAGCTGAGGGAGGCAAATGCTGCCCCTAAACCTTCACGCTCGCACTTCTATTCTCTCTACCAGCACAGATCCCTCGCCGTCTCTGCTCAACACAAGATGCCACATCTACACCCGTCGGCCGCGCCAACGCTAAACGAAGTCCAACGAAGAAAAGGAAAAACATGGCGCCCGTCGACCATGCAGGCTCTCTACCTCAGCACTCCCTGCTGATCCTCGTCTGGGCGTGTTTCAGTGTCGCGTTCCTCTTCGTCGCTCTGCGCACGGCAATCCGCTTCAAGGTCGCGGACCGGCCGACGGCGGACGACTACTGGATCTTCCTCGCCTTCGCGACGTTGCTGACGCTGTGCATCCTCGAAACCATCCAGCTCCCGAGCCTGTACTATCTTGCGGCCATGATTGCGGGCGGCGCCGCTCCCAAATCGATAGTACAATTGATATCCTCCACCGAGACGTATCTGCGATTCGAGTTCGCCATCATCATCCTCTTCTGGACCGTCCTCTGGTGCGTCAAGGCGGGGTTTCTGGCCCTCTACTTCAAGCTGTTTCGAGAGCTGCGCCCCTATCGCCGGGCGTGGTATGTCCTCGCGACGTTCACCTTCCTCGCATACGTCGGGTGCCTGATCACGCTTTGCATGTCGTGCGGGCCCATCTCCAACTTTTTCTCGTTCGCGCAATGTGGCAGGCCGGAGGATGTGTGGGCATCGAACTTGAGTGTCTACTACAGCACGGCTGTTGACGTTTTCACCGATCTCTGCAGTAAGTGGTGCAGACTGCATATTCTGGAGAGGTGCTGACGCTCGCTAGTCATGGCCATGCCCCTCCGATTGATATACAATGTGAGAATATCGCCAAGGCAAAAGGTCGGCCTTGTCTGCGTCTTCGGTCTCTGCTTCGTCATGATCGCCTTCGCCATCATCCGGGCAAAACAGGTCTTGGTGCCGCAGTACTTTGTCAACCTGACCCTGCTGATGATCTGGTCCACACTCGCCGCGTCAATATGTGAGGATTTCATCCTTCATCCTTTACTCACTCGACACTTTCTCCTCTCCGGAATCAACTCCTACAGGAACCCTTGGCTAACCAAGTGTCGTCACCTGCAGCCGTCATAGTCGGCAGTCTCCCCGCCCTCAAACTCTTCGTCACCAACCGCGCCTCCACAAGGCGCTCTCGCTACGGTTCCTCCGGGAGCAGGAGAAAGCCACCGTCCGACGTTCGCAGCAACAGTATCCCACTCAGCTCGCTTTCGAGTGACAAGAAGTCACCCAGTGGACGGCGCCATTGTAGCGGGGATTCACAGGAAGAGATACTCAAGTCCGACGACAGCCAGTTCGTCCTGGTTACACACGATATCGTGAGTTCTACCGTTCCGTTTGTTTCCCTCGTCTCGGAAATGAAACGCTGACGGAGGTGTTTCGTGGAGCAGACTGTCTCATATGGCGAAGTTGGCCACCCGGATCCTGTCTACCAGAATCGTCAACATGTTTCTGGTTATGGCGAGGCTGTGTGATCTTCCACCGCGACCTTTCCCCGTTATATACCACTCTAGAGATCGTTTCTCGCAATGGGAACTTCGGGGAGTTTCCACCAGCTCTTCCAGCACATCAGGACGGGGCGTGTAATTGTTAAAATAAAGACATAAGAGGTCGGTATGGCAACAAAGAGCAAGGAAAGTGGAAGGACGGTCTTGACGGTGTAATGATTAATGTGCTGATAATTGTCAAGAAACTACCATGAGAAGCAGAAGCAGGCTTAAACATAGTAAAACAATCGATGCAAATCTATAACAACAGCATACGTAGCATTTAGACAGACATATTATGTGCTCTCGTCTAGAACAAATAGACATCTAGTTTTGTTGCAAGACGGGATCTAGTGTGAAGGATAGTCGATAGAGTCCAAGACCGAGGACAACCCTCCTTGATAGCATGTTGTTTTTCCACAACAAGTTAAGTCCATCTCAGATCTCAGTCAAGATAATGTGTAGATTGACGACAAGCTTGAGGTATCTGCTGGTCATTTCCATTCAGGCAATGCTGTACCTACATCTTGGTCCCATCCCAAGTCCCATGGATATGGTAGCCCCTCAAATTTAACTAATCAACCTAGACCTCAGGGTTCGCGGTGACAAATCCCTCCATGTACCAATAACTGTTGGGGAGTCGTTGGGGAGTCATTAACCACGAGAACCCCGGGTAGGTAGCAAACTTGAGTTCCTTCATAATAGCCACACAGTTGTCAAAGTCCTCTTTCCGCCTTGGTCATACACACCATAATAGCCTCCCTTTGAGTATAAACCACCTTCCTCCATACATTAAACCTTCATTACCATCAACATATTTAGCCCTCACAGAGTATACCTAAAGAAGGGGCTTAGATCTCCCAGGTCAAGCAACTCCTGATCCGTATACAGAGCCCTGACCTCCTCGTCAGTCTTGCCAGCCATAAACTCATCCCTCCTCTTATTCTCCCTCGCATACGCAAACCTCAGCACCAGGGCGGCAATAACAGCAGCAACCAAGATACCCAGGCAAGTACCGTACCCCGCCGGATACCGGGGCGCCTGTCTCGCCAAGAAGATATTGCTGCCCGCGATACCGCCAAAGTTCCCCACCGAGATCATGATAGCCATGCCGACGGCGCGCTTGCTGCTGGGCGCGAGGTTGTTCCCGATCATGGCGACCAGGATGATGAAGGGCGAGTACAGGCCTGCGGCGATGAAGAACAGGAACAGGTACGAGACGCCCGTCATGCGCGGGTGCGGGATGGCGATCTCGGCGATCAGCCCCACGATGCCGATCAGGAATCCGCCGATGATGAACGGCGTCCGCTGCTGGTAGTAGTCGCTGGCCCAGGCGAAGCCGAGCACGAAGATCATGGCTACCACGTAGATGGGGACTGTCATCAGTTGGGCTAGGGCGCTCTTGTACCCGAGCTGCTCGACGATGGTGGGCACGGTTGCGGTGAAACTGGGGTGAGTCGTTAGTGGGGTGGTAAGTTGGTTGGCAAGTGAGGCGAACAGGGAGAGAAAGTTGGGAGAAAGGTTGGGGGGGGAACGCACCCATAAGTTGAGATGGTGCAGGCCCAGAAGCAGATGACGGCGCACCAGATCCTCCAGTCTTTGAAGGCTGCAGTGATGTGCTTCATCTGGATGCGGTCTATATTCGTGACGCGACCGTGGCCCGAGCCAGTCTCCAGAGCGATGCGGTTGATAACGAACTCCTTCTCGTGAATCTTGAGAAAGCCTGCCGTCTCGGGGCTGTCGGGCAAGATTTTCCAGATGACGAGTGACATGAGGACTGGGACGATGCCTTCGAGGATGAAGATCCAATTCCAACCGTTCAGACCGGCGATTCTGGAAGAATGCGTCAGCAAATGGACCATCCGCTATAGAGTCCCGTGGGCGAGTTTACCCAGCCATGTGCTCGATCGCATATGCTAGAAGTCCGCTGAAGGCGCCGGCAAGGGATGCCGCGGCGTAAAAGAAGGCCATTCGCCGTTGCACCTCATATCTTTTGTACCAGATCGTCAGGAGAAACCTTTTATGGAGCGGTCAGTGAACATTCTACACTCCAGATCTGGGGGTTATAAGCTCACGTCGACGCGGGGAAGAAGCCAGCCTCAGCCACGCCTAGGAAGAACCGCGCGGCAACGAGGCCTTCGTAGGTTTTCACGATACCCATGAGCGTCATGACTAGGCCCCAACTAAAGAGCAGGATGGATATCCAAACTGATGGACGCATCAGCTTTAGGACGATGTTGCTTGGCACTTCAAACCTAAACATGACATTATCAGCATGGCGTTCTAATTAAATAGATCATTCCAGCTTGCCAGGGCCAGTTGGCGGGGACTTACAAGCCATAGGGAACAAAGAACACGGTAAGTGCGGTATTGTACATCAGCCCCTTGAGCTTCAGGTCGGTCGCCATACCAGCAATTTTTGCATTGCCGATATTGCTTCGGTCGACGTAGGCGACACTTGGAACGAGATCAGCACTGTGGAGTCGGAGTCTTTGGTGAGCATGATAAATCACGATCGGCACTCACAGATAAAGAAATGACAGCAACGGCACAAGTCGCCAATCGATCTTGCGCAAGATCCTTGCCTCTTCTTCTGGGCTGACGGAACTGACCACTGCGCTGGCAGGAAGACCCAGCTCGACGGTACGAAGACCGCCGGGACCTAGGCCGGCGTCAAGTTTTTCGTCAGCGACACGTTCGAGGTCGTGACTCTGCTCCCTCTCCACTGTCCTATCCTGTTCGGCCATGATGCCGGGTGTGCTCGAGAAGGGCTGTAATGTGCGAAGAAAAGAAGCCTGGTGTGGGAGAAGAGTCAGGGCATTCCTCGCTGCTCGCAATGGCAGATGGATGCGAGGGAGTCCTAGGTTCATCGAGTGGCATTTATAGGTAGGAAGGCATCGTAATGCCACACCCTCCTTCGAACATGTCAGCCAAGCTTCGATGGCATGTCAGCCAACCTTCCTAGAGAGGTTAGCATCCCGTTGGCTACCGGCTTGCCGTTGACATTGGGTTGGGTGGGTCGGTGCGGGGAAGCGGCATATCATCAGCAAATAGCATCAACCGGCACAAACATGGTGTTGTGGGTTGTGCCGACTGGCGAAACAAATCTAGCTTGACACATGCATCCGTGATGATGGTGTCGTAGCACTCGTAGCGGATGCGACGGCATCGAAAATGTCGGTTGTGGAAATTAAACGAGGGCATAATTTATATCACTTATCATGAATGACCTTTTTTGGAATGTAAGAGGTTTTTTTTAGATGTGGTAACCAGGCATTAGATAGACGGGAACAGTCTTACTGCATCCATTTTGTACGACCTTCCCGATTTGCGATTCGCACCTAAACAACGTACTCGGACTGGCGAATTAGATTGCGAACATGACCGTGATGACCCAAAACCGCAACTAAACTACCAGCTGGACGCGCACATATAAACCTTGTGACATTGTGTAATTCAGCGCATAGAAATCCAGCCCAGCGGATCGAGCATTTTCATTCGTCCTTCTCAGACTCTTCATCTGGACAAACTTGCACATCGACCACGACCAACACCTTTTCGCCCTGGACCAGCCTCGTGGCCTCCCTTAACGTAACTAACAATTTTGCGCGCTGCGTGACCTGTGGCCCCAGCACCTTAGCCCCGAGAGAAGCAGCGTTCTGCGAGATATCCGGCAAGGGGTCATCGATCCGAGTGCCGACCCCCTTGTTCCGTGTAGGCCGACCTCGCTCCCGAGCAATATCTTCCTGGTGTTCCTCGTCGTTGTAGAACGAGGCGTTGTTGGCGATGATCACCAGAAGCGGTACTCGGTAGCGGGCCGCCGTCCAGAGGGCCGACGAGCCCATCAGGAAGTCGCCGTCGCCCAGGATGGCTACGGGCAAGAACTCGGTATCCTTGAGGGCGAGGGCTGCACCGACCGCCATGCCGGGCCCTGAGCCGGTTCCTTCGCCGCCGTCCTGGCCCAGGTAGGCGAGTGAGTGTGTGGCACGGAGATCGCGGCCTCTCCATCCAAGAGGTAGTCGGATCAGGCACGTTTTGTCCGGGTTAATGGCGCCGTACAACGCCTCAGCCAAATCTTTCATGTAGATCTTGGTGTCCCCCGGCTGCTGGTGGCGCGGCTGCTGGTTCACTTCTCCGTCCATCTGCTTGGTAATATCTGACAATCCTTGCTGACGTTCCAGGTGTCTACCACCATCCGGTTGTAGTTCGGTTGGTAGACTTGCAGCTAGTAGCGCAGATACAGTCGCGTCTACATCTGCTCGAACGGCAAGGTCGATGGGCGGTTGGCCAAAGTGATCCTTGGACCAGCCACCACGGAGGGTGGAATCGAGGCTGACGTCCACGATGTAAGCCCGTGGCTCTGTACCAGCGCCATATGCGGTCTGCAGTGTTCCGGCCAAGTCGACCCAGTCAAATGAGACGATAGTGTCGGCACTTCGAATCACCTCGCTCTCCTGCGGACTAAGGAACAATTCGGGAGGACTAGCATGGAGAACGTGCTGGGTTGGGAACGCAGCTCCCACCCTGAGGTCTGTGAGGACACGGGCATGGTATCTCTCTGCCAGCTGGACTCGCTCGTGCCAACTCTTCTGTGAGCGGTTCACACGGCCCATCAGGAAGAGGGGTCGCTGCGAAGTGTGCAGGGTAACTCGGATCCTCTCCACGTCCTCTGCAGAAGGACCGGGAGGGGTTGCTTCATGAAGATAGCGTTGGGTGGTTGGAAAGTGCAGCGCCGCCGGGTCCTCCACCAGGGTTTCTTGCAGAGTCACGTCGAGGCAGACAAAGGTCGGTCCTCGAGGCATCTGCGATGCCGCTGCAGCAGCCGTGATAACGCTGTAGATGGCGGCCTGCACCGAGGCTGGCTGATCGTCGAACTTGATAAAGTGCCGGATAAGTGCCGCCTCGTCAGCTGCAGTGTGAATCCAATCGATCCACGGCCGTCTCTTCGCAGCGTCCAGGGGCCCGACACCGCCCAAGACCACGACGGGGACCCGGTCGCAGAAAGCATTGTAGATGGCCATGGTAGCGTGCATCAAGCCTACGCTGTCGTGGACCGCTGCAGCCATTGGGCGCTCGGCGACCTTGGCAAATCCGTGAGCGATGGCGACGCAGTGTTCCTCGTGGAGACACAAGATGATCTCCGGGTTTTGATCTCCGTTGTAGTTGACCAAGCTGTCATGCAGGCCACGAAAGCTGTAGCCAGGTACCAGGGCAACATAGCTGAGGTTGAGCCGAGACAGTTGCGTGACGATGGCATCGCTGCTCCAGACGCGGTTTGGAGGTGCATGTTCTACCATGTTGGGCCGGGAATAGGGGGGGGGAAATGGAATGGATGGATGAATAAAGGTCCAGGGACGAGGATGAACCGGTTCTTTGTGGAAAGGAGAATATGGGTCGTCTTGGAGCTTCCCATAAATAGTTGTACATCACGTCGCAACACGAGGACTACCCCTAGAGGCTGGGCCATTCCGAAGAGTCGGGTTCGCATTCCGAGAAGCTGGGTTATTAGTTACACGATCGAGGTCATGCGACTTACCATTGGTTTCACAGGGGGACATAACGGGGAATGGTCAGGCATATGCTAGATCTCGGTGTTGCCCGAGAACTTTTGTGTCTCACACCCCCTGTCCCCGGGTCCCACACCCGACTCAGTGCAACTCTACAACGTTCCACCGTCCACCCAGCGGCATCTAGAACCAAGCCAGGTTTGTCGTCTCATGGCTGATCCTACTGACTTCGGGCGATCCGGTGAAGGCAGCCTGCTCGGAGATTTCCGCAAAAAGCGTGTATTCCGCAGGCTTTTAGTACGGCGGCGCACCGCCGGCAAGCGCGGGAGCAATTTTGCAGGCGAGTATCCGCAGCGGGAAGTTCCATGAGACGACTGTATAGTGGGGTCGTTGTGGTTCCTGCACTTGTGAAGAGTAAATAACAACGTGCAATTTCTACATGTCTTTATGGCACTGTCTTTCTAAGGACTATTTTCTACCATTTTATCTAGCAGGTGCGGATCAACAGCTATAGCCAAGTAGTGCCAGGCATGGTGAACCCCAACTTTTGCAATCACTGTGATGGTCGCGTTTAGGGATAGCACAAGTCGTTGCAAAAGTTGGGGCTCACGTCGCTATGGCAATAGGCATCCAGTTGTCGCCGCCGTAGGAGATGGCGTTGGGTGCTACTGTTATCTAATCTAAAGGGATTCTGTTGTGCAGCGTTAATCAAGCAGGTCGTTTTTATTGAAGGTATCTAGAAGCTGAAAACCGAGAAACCGTTCTTCGTCACCGTCTTCTGAATTTGGTTAGCCCGAATCTGGGTACTTCTCCCAGCCAGCATATGGCGGGTGCTGCAAGTGGCTGTCTTTAGAGAGCTGGCTTGCTTGCATGAAGTTGGGAAGCATGGCCAATCGAAGGAAGACTGCAAGCGAGAAGATGCTGCCATAAAGAAACTTCAAGGGCAATGGTCTGGCAGCCATCCCTCGTATCCAATAGCATCGCCGTAAGAAAAGTGCACTTCTGTAAATCCCATGCAGGAGGCCGGCACCCCCGCCAGCAGAGCTGTCAGGTTGTTGTGTACCCCGCGAGGAAATGATAAATGGCAAGATCTTCCGTAACTACGGCAATATTCTTTGCAACAACTTCCTTCTGCTAATTCAGTTCCACGTTGAGCAAACTCAATTTTCGCTGTCGCAGCAAGCCATCGTCATGGCGTACTGGTATTGGATTCTAGCTCATTCTGTGGTATGTGCGACGAAACATTGTGCCAACGACACAAGGACTCTCTACTGACATCTAATTACCAGCTTCTGCTTCTGCTACTGGCTATTGCAATGTGAGAAAAGGCTGCCCTGGCTTCCAAGCTCGTGTGAGGGTTTGACACTGACAAGACTTCTACCTAGTTTCGAGCACGTCAACACGGCATCACTCTCCCTACCGCTCTCCCCGGCCCTAACCATCTTCACGATCCTCCTCCCCTTATTCGCCCTGGCCAACGCCGTCTACCACCCCCGGCTCGTCAACTCCACCGACCCTTCCACTATTACCAGACCCAACCTACTGCCAACCACCCTCCAAATCCTCCAACTCCTCCAATTCACCCTAACAACCATCCTCGCCACACTCCTCTCCACCGCCGGCCTCGTCCCCTCCCCCACCCAGACCTGCCTCCTCTCCACCCGGTGGCAGCGCCTCTGGAGCGCCCACGACGGCGACGCCATCCGCGCCATCCAGGACGCCCTCGGCTGCTGCGGCTACAACTCGGTCAAGGACCGGTCCTGGCCGTTCCCCCGGGGAGGTTCCCGCGTCGATTGCGCCGCACAGTTTGGGAGGACGGCGGCCTGCGCGGGGCCGTGGATGGAGGCTCTTAGGCGGGGGTCGGGGGCTGGGTTCGCTGTTGTGGTGGGGGTTGGGGTCTTGCAGGTGAGTAAGGGGGGGCTAATGCTCGCTTTTTTGCTGTGCGATTATGCACATTGCTGATGATGGATGCAACAAATCCCAGTTTGTTGATCTGTTGGTGTCGAGGTGGCTTCACTCCCGACAAGGCTCGACTTGGTCTACGGGCTTTAAACGGGACCGCGACAGGACTCGGCCGCTTCTCGAAGGAAACGAGGTAGAAAGGCGCGACGACGACGATGACGATAACGACGATGACTACAACATGGCGGAGGACACAACTGGGGGGGAGGGCGACCAGGGCGGTCGTCGGCGCCGCGCAGACGGTTACGGTGGTACCGGGATGAGAATTGAGCCTGACCACCATGATCACTGGGGGACTGGAGGAGGATCCGTTTAGAGGCGTGGGGAATATGATATTTTCGGGGCGGGATTGAAAACCCCTCCTACTTGCACGAGAGACATTTCTTGACATTATTCGAGGGGGGTGACGTGTGCGATTGCGATCACGCAAAGTTTCCCGTACGTGGCGACTTGGTACTACCAGATCTGTTTATTATTGCTTGCCGGAGATATGCTCAAACAAGGGTAGAACTCCTATTTATCTCCATAGCTCACGGCCTCGTCTTGACCACTCCGGCCTTTGGCCGTACTTTCATGCGCAAGGGATGGAGATGCATGTGCCACATCGCAGAGCATGCATCCAGAAGCCTCTGAACCCCTCTCACCCGCGGTAACTGGACAAAAGATAAAGAACTCGGTCTAATCCATGACTATTTAAGGAGGGCTGTCTCGCCAGGCCGTGGTCTAGGTCCCCTTCCTCAGGCACAGTTTGGGAGACCTGCCCTTCATCCTCAGACCTTGCTCTGATCCCACATGCGTCGAGCGGTAAAGAAACTCAAGGCCACCAGACGACCAGCAACATTCCCAGACATCTTCGGTCTTACCCTTCCAAGTCTTGCCTACAACCTTTAGATGATCCCGCAAGCAGCACTGCCAACAAACGCAAGACTTCATGAGGCGAAGGGCTAGGGCCGAAGCTGGACAAGAGTATGAGATTGACAGGACAGGTTGCCAGGAACCAGATGCCGAAGAAACCTGATTCTCCCAAGCATGCTATATAATTGATTGTCAGCTGGGCAAAGAAAACATCAAAGTGGTTACTTACAATAAAATAAACCCACTGTAGCGACGTGCCAAATCGGCAGCAGAACCTATCTGCTCGACTCTAGCGTAGGAATATACCCCGTCCAAGGCGTGCTGACATATACGGACTCCGGCATCTGGCGAAGGCTTGAGAACGCGATAACCAGCAGTGACAAACGGGACAGGCAGTATAGCAAGCTCGTCACATAGAGAATTCCCAGATTCAGATCCAATGTTGAGGGAAGTAAGTTCTTCCGTGGGAAGAGACTCGTCGTGGCTTTTTCCAAGAGCTTCTTCGACACCTCCTCCCCTCTCATCAAGCGATCTAAGTGTTGGAAGTTTTTAATGAATTCACTGTCCATGTGTAGATCCAGTTGATTCGTATCCAGGTGGCCAAACTCGCCTGGACTCTCCAAGAAGTTGAGTAGGTCTGACACAAGATCTGACGTCCGCTCGCCGCTCTGATTCTGCTCTAGGGAAAAGATGCTAGTGTAAGGTTGCGGTGCATGCGGCTGGGCGATAGCGTCCTCGAGCTTCTCGTATGCTTCGCCAACTGGGCCTTTATCACGAACATACCAAGAGTACTCCCTCATCAACCGAAGGCAATTTCCCGCGAAGAGTTCGGGATCACCTGTGGAGACGGTCCACTGTGCGAAGGGTATCGTGACCAGGCCAACAACCGGACTCCCCGCGGCGACGACAGTGGCGGTCTGCCAGAGGATTCTCTCCACGGTCGAAGGAAATTCGAAATGCCAGGCTATGGCATGCATGGCACCAAAGAGTCCTGACGCAAAAGCCAAGAGATAGACGCCCGGATGAGCGACAGGATTCTCGGAAATCGGGATGTTGTCATTTGGGATCCTGTCTGGGATCCCAGAGCTTGGCTTGCCCCCTTCCGTAATGGCGTGACCCGGCTTGTTCATTAAGACATCCCAGAAGCTGTCGTATGTTTTCTTGAAGCGCAGGATGGGGGGCGAAGATGCCTCCCGTGATGGTGATGCCTCCCGTGATGATGATGCTTCCCGTGATGGTGATGCCTCCCGTGATGATGATGCCTCCCGTGATGATGATGCCTCCCATGATAATTCGTCCTGTGAGGGTACTTGCTGGGGGGATCTTCCTGGTACCGGTATGTTCTGTCGTCTGAGTCGCATTCCCGTTTCCACTTTTTGAGGCTTGGAGAGATAGACAAGGTAAATAACTGCGCCGCACACTGCGAAGCCCAACGTGATCGTCTCAAGTTGTGAGAAGGCTAGCCCCTGGTTCGTTCGCACGATGAGGGAGAGTGCGAGCTGCAGGAACCCCAAAACGGCAACGCCTTTTGCGAACCAGTCACGCTTGCTTTTGTCCGCAATCTCCTCCTCCGTAATCGTTGGGACCTCAAACCCTGACTCTTCCGCCAGTTGAAGGGCCGTCAGTGGAAATTGTTGCTGTCCTTCCGCCTCCTCGTAATAGAAACCGCCCATGTTCGCGAAGAAGCAGTGGGTAAGTGTCCACTTTGAACTATCTTCGACAGGTTGGCTTTCGGTGTCTGCGGCTTTCTGCTGTTTGGAGGAGCATAATAGCCAGTACGAAAAACGGTTCAGCAAGTATGAACGCCTTGGAGTGAGCCACCAGGGCAGCTCAACAGATCTCCCGTTCAGTTCCATCAGCCGAAGAGCCTGCAAAGCCATGACGAATTCGTAGATGGCGTGGACGACGATCAACTCGGGGAACAATATCGTTATGATCATCCACTTGACGCTCCGCAACCGCCGGCTCCATTTGCCATCTCGTCGACCCCCTGGGACGTTGAGATGCTGAATGCTCCACGTGCAGGCAACGATGGTTGATAAGCAGCTGCTAGTAATGTCCCAAGTGCCGCGGTGGCTATTTCCAGCTTGCCAGCCGACAGGTTGGTCATTGGGCGGGGGGTCGCCCGTACTGTCCCGAGCAGCAGCCGGCGCCGAAAGGCAAAATACCAAGCAAAGGCAAGCCGCAAACATTGGATCCTGTATTTAAAGCAGCTTCTTCTGCGGCATGTTTGGATGCTAATTAATAACTCGGCCCACGATGAACTGAGAGACTAATATTTGTTGCTTTGGTCGAACCGGCAGGCAGCAAAGGCTCCGAGGTAGGCGCCGAGAGATGTGTCAACATCTGGTTCGCCAAAAAGAAACGACGACTGACAGGGAAGTGCCAACCCCCTCCACAGTCATGGATGGTGATTGGCTTTTTGTGCATGCACAGCCAGCCACAGCCACGCTGCGTTCGTGGGCGCAGTGTAGACATTCACGAAGCTGACCTCCGCTCCTCATTCTCTCTCTTCTCTCTCCAGGAATCACGCCTTGATCGGATTGTGTGTCCTACCCTCATGCCATTCGCAATTCGCGCGTAACCGAACGAACATGGAGAAGCCATCTCCAACCACGTCGACGAACAGACTTAGCACCTGGGTGTCGAAGCTGAAATCTGCGAACACCATTGTCAAAACGCATGACAGGCTCCGTTGGGCTGCAATTAACGGCAACCGGGAGGAAATATCTAAACTCCTGAAAGAACATTCACGCTTCTCCACTCTCACCGGGGGACAGAGCGCCTTGGACGTCAACGCCCAAGACAAACTTGGGAGATCCGCGCTGCATTGGGCTGCAGCTCGGGGAAAGGCAGAGTGTGCAAGTGAACTCACGCTTCATGAGAAGGCGAATCGACTACTCAAAGACAAAGATGGCAGAACTCCGCTTCACGAGGCTGTAATCAGAGGCCACGAGGCCATTGTCAACATACTCCTGGAAAATCAGATCCCTCATGCTGTCGACAGAGGAGACAATCACGGTCGAACGGCACTTCACTGGGCAGCTGAGAATGGGAATGAGGAGATGGTGCAGTTCCTTATCGACAGGGATGCCGATATCTTGAAGGAAGATAAGTGCAAAGATACAGCACTGCATATGGCGGCTCGAAACGGTCATCAGACTATAGTACAGACGCTTGTGAAGAAGAATGCCCCCGTTGAAGCCGCCACAGTGCGCTTGGCAGCTGAGAATAACCACCAAGAGGTAGCGAAGTTTCTCATCCAGAATAAAGACCCCGAGGAAGAGGATGGGGTAATTGCAGTGGAATTAGCACAGAAATGGCCTGGTGTTGGAGAGATACTACTCTTGCGGGCTGCTGGGGAGGGGCACGAGGCTGTGGTCAAGCTGCTGCTTGAGGGGGGAGCTAGCGTCGATGCAAAAGATCGGGATGGCCAGACGCCGCTGTGGCGGGCTGCTTGGGGGGGGCACGAGGCTGTGGTCAAGCTGCTGCTTGAGGGGGGAGCTAGCGTTGATGCAAAAAATCAGGATGGCCGGACGCCGCTGTGGCAGGCTGCTTGGGAGGGGCACGAGGCTATGGTCAAGCTGCTGCTTGAGGGGGGAGCTAGCATCGATGCAAAAGATCGGGGTGGCCAGACGCCGCTGTGGCGGGCTGCTGGGGAGGGGCACGAGGCTGTGGTCAAGCTGCTGCTTGAGGGGGGAGCTAGCGTCGATGCAAAAGATCAGGATGGCCAGACGCCGCTGTGGCGGGCTGCTAGGGAGGGGCACGAGGCTGTGGTCAAGCTGCTGCTTGAGGGGGGAGCTAGCGTCGATGCAAAAGATCGGGATGGCCAGACGCCGCTGTGGCAGGCTGCTAGGGAGGGGCACAAGGCTATGGTCAAGCTGCTGCTTGAGGGGGGAGCTAGCATCGATGCAAAAGATCGGGATGGCCAGACGCCGCTGTGGCGGGCTGCTGGGGAGGGGCACGAGGCTGTGGTCAAGCTGCTGCTTGAGGGGGGAGCTAGCGTTGATGCAAAAGATCAGGATGGCCAGACGCCGCTGTGGTGGGCTGCTAGGGAGGGGCACGAGGCTGTGGCCAAGCTGCTACAAGATGCTTCTAAAATGGGCGATAAAGTAAACTAGCAATTACTATTTTATTTCTATTCAGATTTGTCTTCAACAGAAGGGCCTGGGAGACGGGGTAAATATATACTTCTCATGATTACATTCTAGCAGTTTCTAGTTGATTCCATTTTATTTGCTAGAATTGCCCTGCTCTCTATTTATTTGCGTCGGGACTCTGCTATTCATTAAGCTTCACACAACCGCCAAGCCTGATCAGGCGTTTCACAGGGGTTCCATCGCGTTCCATGCCATGCGCATGTCAGATTGCAACCTATGTTCATGCCAATAGAGACAAGCCCAAGTGGCAGGTGAGCTGGTCTCGTGACTCACGTCCCATGGTGGCAGAATGGAAGCTCCCAGACAGCGCCACAGTCAGCACACCCACCGCACACCCACCACGCACCGACTGCACAGATTAAAGCAGCAGCAGCAGCACCAGCCTACTCACGAAGATGGAAATGGCTGATGGCGAGCATTTTTAGATGTAACGGGGTAAGCCTGTGAAGAGCCTCGGCGAAGCGCCTGGCAACACAACCACAATTGACGGTACAGCCAAGGTGCCTTAAGAATCCGTTTGACAAAGGGAATAACGATGTAAGGGTGGCGGGAAACATCGTCAGAGTCTAGATTTACATCTCACAATATCATGTTTTTTATAGATACATTCGCTGCAAGGACATAGACAGTTGTCTAATATAATATGCTGAGAAGAATTGTGCTATTTTATTCTATACAGACCGTAATTATTATGTACAATTCCTAAGCTCTGAAAGGACGATTATCGACACTAGAAGTTTCGTAGGTTAAACTTGATAGAATCCATACTCGTGAACAATACACCGCTTTCCGACATTGCACTTTTTAAAGGCCCAAATGAGTCGGTGGTGAATCCGGCGATGGAGCGGGTTACCCTGAACGTCTTGAGATGTGGAAATGTGCCATTCCGTAGTTCCCATGCCAGAGTCAGTATCGGTTTGTACATGCAATGGTGGGTAAAATTGATGAAAATGGTTTCGATCGAGGCTGGCAGCGTCTCGATGAACAAATCGGCATGTACAGAGGGCTTTCCTATCACTCCATAGCAGAGACACGCACAATCCAAAACAAGAGTCTGCAGATTAGCAAACTCTTTCAGGGATGTTATCGCTTGCTCCCGCATAAAACATCCACAGGCCAGCCCGCCGAAACTGATCTCAAAATGGCGCAGGGTGTCCTTGCATGGGAGAATTTCTCGAACGATATCCCCAGGGCCGAAAAGGTCCCCGGGAAACCGAGCTCCGCGCTTGGGAACGTGCGAAATGAACGCCTCAAGCTTCGGACATGCCGCGGCAAGCTGTGTCAGTTGTCCCCAGGTGAGAACCGACAAGTTGAGCTTGAGCCATTTCAGATTCCCCAGGGCCAACCCGGGGGGCGTCCGAAGGCACCTGCTGACCTCGAGGAGTTCGAGGTTGGGGGCTCTCTCCAACAGGCTGGCGACCTGGCCCAGATCGTGGCTACTCCCGGCATTGGGGTCGGGGAAGCGCAGGCGTAGCGATCTCAGGGATGGGAGTAGAGTTTTTGTCGTCGACGGTGGGAAGAAGGTGCCGCACTGCATCTCGCCGGGAATCATGAGGTAGAGCTGCTGTAGGTTGACGCCGACGGAGCCCAGGAGCAGGCCGACGAAGATGGCCGCCGATGTCCATCGGCGCTGGGGCTGCCGACAAAAGTAGTCCCAGGATAATAGTTTTTCGTCGACCGGTGGCGCCCAACCGTCCGGCAACGAGAGGCCCCGGCGCACCGCTTCGTCCCGTAGGAAGCGCCAGTGCTTCCCTCCCAGCCAGGACAAGTCTGCGTCGATGGCGACGCGGCTGACAAGAGCGCCTAGCCCTGGGCGCCGGCAGATTGAGCGGAGGAACTTGCCCGCCGACCGTGGGGTGGTCGCGATGTAGTCATGATAGATGTATGGCGTTGCGATTTGGTAAAGTCTGCGACATGTCTGACTTAACCTGGCAAAATCACTCCGAGTGTCTGGTGATTGTTGGTAGGCTTAGAGAGGCATTGACTCCTCTCCTAGTCTCTTTCAGATCTGAATATCTTGTACATCCAAGACAGAATTGAGCGCATATGTTGTCAAGTATTTCAGTTGGGAGGTGGTCCAAGGTCATTAGGAGGAGACACCAAGAGCGTTTGAGCCGAATTGCAATAAGGAAAGATGTGTATTAATTGACAAAGAAGACAGTGAAACAGCTGAAGCTGATGGTTGGGGTTGATGACTGTCATTGGAACAATTTTATGCTGCCTTCCCAGCCCCCTCTTTCCCACCTTCACCAGATCAGGTGATGGATTTACCACAGTAAGCAACCTCGGCTCAATATTGCATCATCTCCAATCAGCCCTCATCAGCCTTGCATCAGGCAGACGAGACTGAGTGCGCCACGCAAGTGTAGACAGTGCTAGAACCTTAAGATTTCTTCCACTCCCGCAGCTGCTTGGCAAGGATGAGATGTCCAGAGGAAGACGCCAGCTTTGCCGCTCGCTTGCATCGCGTCTCGATTGTTTCCGGTTCGCCATCGTTCCGAAGCAGCAGGTGGACAAGGTCGAGGCGCCCATGCTCCGCGGCCGCTTCGAGGGCGGTTCGCCCCCCAACAGGCGCCGGTGCGGCATTGACATCGGCTCCCATCTTGAGGAGCATCAGGGCGATGCGCAGATGGCCTCCTATTGCAGCCTTCTGCAATGCTGTTGCTCCGTGGGATTTGCTAGCGGGCGAATTGACGTCTGCGCCGTGTGATAGAAGAAATTGGACCATGCGGACGTCGCCAGAGCCAGCTGCGGCTTGTATCGCCGTCCCACCCCATCCTGGACCCGGAGGGGCGTTTATGTCGGCACCAGCATCTAGTAGGGTCTTGACGAGGCCAATATTTCCTGTTCTGACTGCTCCCTGAAGTGCCGTCTTCCCGTGTATGCCCAAGGCAGGGGCGTTGATGTCTGCTCCCGCCGCTAGAAGGACTTGGACCGTCTGTACGGATCCCTTCTCAGCAGCTACCTGAAGAGCACTGCCGTGATTTGCATTCACATCAGCGCCATGGTCAACCAGGATCTGGATCACTTCGTCGTTGATCGCCCACCGGCTGACTGCTATATGTAGCGCACCATCTCCAATCCAGTTTGACTGGTTGGGGTTGGCGTCCTTGGACAGCAGCAGCTTGACGATGTCAATATGATCTCTATTGACTGCACGATGAAGCGCTGTGCTGCCAAACATGCTAACAGCGGGAGCGTTGACGTCCGCCTTTGCATCCAGCAAGCAGCGGACTACCTCAGCCAAGCCTGTCTGGGCCGCCATTTGAAGCGGAGTCCCAGATTCGCCTCGACTGCCTTTGTTGACATCGGCACCAGCGTGGATAAGACAACGAGCCATCTCGATTGCCTTTGTTGCCGTCGGGTCATACTTCAGTTGTCTCACGCAGGTAGAAAGGGGTGTTGGTAGATCCCAATAGCCATCGGGGTTGGCTCCTTTGTCCAAGAGCAATTGGGCCAACTCGTATCGGTTATTGTCGATGGCAGCGCAGAGAGCTGGAACTCCATAGCTCGGACTTGGTATGCCGTTCACATCTGCGCCTTCTTCGAGCAGTCTTTCGAGTATCAAATCATGACCGGCCCTGACTGCGGCTTGCAGTGCGGTCAGCCCATGCGAAGTTCTTGCGGCCGGACCATTCACATTAGCGCCGGACTGGAGGAGGAAGTTGACCATCTCAATATCTCCTTGCTCAGCTGCAGCTTGGAGACAAGTACGGCCGCTCACGGGTGCCGCGTCGGTATTGACATCCGCGCCAAGATTGACTAGCAGCTTGACAAGGTCGAGGTTCTTCGACTGCGCAGCTGCCTGGATTGCAGCTCGGCCACCAATGGGATTGGGAGGGGCGTTGATCTCGGCGCCTTCGTTGAGCAAGAGCTGAACCACGTCCTCGTTTCCGGATTGCGCGGCTTCTTGAAGAGCAGTCATCCGACAGAGCCCCTGTGCGGGATTATTCACATCCGCCCCTTTCATCAGCAGGAGCTCCATAAATTTGCGTCTGCTGTGTTTTGCTGACGCAATCTGCAATGCAGTTCCCTGACCTCCTATCGCATTGACATCTGCGCCGAGGCTCAATAGCAACCGAACCAAAACAGCATTGTTGTTTGCTACTGCTGCTTGTAGCGCCGTTAGGATCGTCCCCTTATTGCATAGGAACGGATCGTAGTCTTTATCGTCGGTGTCGTCCTCGGCGTCCTCGACATCAGAATCGCTGTCAGAATCGGAATGGCTTTCAAAATCGCCGCCGTGCTCGTAGAACCCGAGCCTTCGCAGATAATAACTCTTAGAGGGAAATCCATTGACATTTGCGCCAGCTTCCAGTAAAACCTGAGCCATTTCTGTCTTGTCTACCACCGCTGCGATTTGAAGTGGTGTCAGGAAGAAACTGTAGTGGCACTGCTCCGCTGCCTCACGGCATGCATCTTCATACGCCATGCCGATGGGACTATCGACATCCGCTCCGGCCTCAATCAAGATCTCAACCAATTCTGTATTGCCGTGCGAGGCTGCCACTTGAAGTGCCGTGCCTGTTTCTCCCGTCGCTTCGTTGACGCGCGCACCTGCCTTCAACAGCACTTGGGCAAGAGCTATATCGCCGCGATGTATAGCACTTTTGAGCAGTGTCGACCGACGTCCCCAATCGTCGACAGGCGCATTCACGTCTGCGCCGCGACCAATCAGCATTTCCGCTATGGCGAGACTGGCGGCACAGCGATGACATCTCGTAACCGCAAGTTCAAGTACCGTCGTAGAGGTAGGGATCTCGTCCACATTGGGATTTGCTCCAGCGTCTAATAAAAGACGAACGAGGATGGAATTGCCTTTCCGGGTAGCTTCATGAAGAGCGGTAGTTTTTACCTCCATTCCAGCAAGGGTGTTGGGATCGACACCTCTCACGATGAGAGCGCGAACCGTGTCAATCTCTTCCAGTCTCGTCGCGCTTAAGAGAAGGTTGGACGCGAAAATCTCCGTTGTAGGCATCTTTTTCTCAATCAGATGCTCAATGACGCAAAACTTTCCGCCCCGAATGACCCAGGCGAGGAGTTTGTCGATTCTTGAAGCCGCAAGCAGATTATTTGAGGAGAGATAGACCGCATACCGCAGCAGTTGGAAGGATGCATCCAAGGTAGACTTGCTATAAAGCTTTTGTACATGCCGGACGACCTCTCCGCTATGCCTCTCGATTGCAATGTTCTCTAGGTTCGATGCAATTTTGGACGTGTACTCTGAACAATCTGGATCGATTAATTCGCCCAAGCATTCTCCAAGAAGCCGTCTGGCCTCACGGTCGGTTTGCTCGAGTGTCGGAGACCCGGGGTGCGGCGATGCATGAAGGGTTCCGTCCCAATGTGCGGATGGTTGATCACTCGAAGTGGATTGAGGTAGCCGATACGCTGGGTTCTCGGACACACCAGTGGGCAGGTCGCACTGAGCTTGTGGAAGCATCCACGACAGGTTCGACGGGCCGGAGAGGTCAGCAAATATATCCATATCCCAGGCCACGGATAGGTCGGAGGACGAGGCAGAGAGTCCAAAATCATATGCGGGGGCAGTCTGGCCCATGAGCTCGACTATTACTGATTAGTCACGGAGAAATGACTTGGAAACTTTCGGTTTCACTCACTGCATGACTCTAAGATGTCCTGGAACTGAAACCATGGTATATGTGCAAACTCGATGCCTCCAATAGCTTCCGCTGGCGGAGTACGAACGACGACTCCATCCGGAACGTCCATTGGATCGACTTTATAAAACATTAGCCTTCACACATGTCGTAGTCTGTTGGATTAAGACAAGCGCAACTTGCCTGATTCTCCCTCAGCCTCAAATCGAGGGCCAACATATCTCGATATTGCCTTTTTCAATTTCTTCGCCGAGATCAATCGCTCATTGATGAGAATCTCAGTCTCTTTCCCCTCCAATTTCCGTTTCTGCACCACACTGGCAGCGAATTTCCACTTGTCGTTGGTGGAGTTTTTCCCCACGTGCCATTGCCTCAACTTCCGCACGTATTGCGCCTTGCTGCTGGCATGTTAAAGGGTCTGGCCAGTTGTGGTGTTGGGAAAGATGACTGACCTAGCGGAGAATCCATGCTCATTCTCCATCCGCCTTCCGACCTCATCCAGCGTCAAGTTTTCCTCCAGATAGAGGGCGGATATTCTCGCCTTGTGCGAGTCCCATTCTGCTGAAGAAATTTTCCGTGCAGTCGCCATAGCTAGTAGACAGAATGTGCAAGGGCGGGAACTGATCGCGTTGGAGAAGAGGGATGGTGAGGCAACAGGAGCCGATGCGGTTTGCCCTGTACTTATGCTTTACATACGGTTGATCATTCCCTGCGTGGAAGAAATTGTGTCTACCTCAATGAGAAGACCAGAATTTGCGCTCTGTTTGTCGAGGGGACGATCCTATTGGTATGGCGTTTTGGGGGCGTACCCTGGCCGAGTTCTACGTACTGCGCCTGGTACACCTGCACCGGGGATTTAAAAGTTAGCATGGCAGGGGTAAACTACAACCTGGAAAACAGTTGCAGGATGGTCCCACCAAGTACTCGCGCTAAGCCTTGAAACCACCGTGGGAGGTACGCCAGAATTTGTAGCTAATTAACCCCCCCACTCCCGAGCCCCGTCGACGCACATTCTGGCACAGGGCTGAGTACCCATAAGGCACCCCGGCCGCTCCTCTTGGTGCTGATTGGTCGTGACCAAAATTTGTGTTCTCCACTTGGACATCTAAGCCCACCCCCATTGGACGACAAACAAGGTGAGAAGACCAGAATTTCGACGGACACAGGTTGAAGATGGAACTCATATAGATCAGAAGAGATGTCTTGGTCGACTTTCCCAAGCTACTGCAACCCTACCTGCTTGTGTTTCTCTTCAACTCCAGTACACCCAGAAAAGCGACAGACTACTCAGCGTTCTCCATGTCCTTGTCAGTCGAGGCGATAATTTCCATTGTTGGGGTGTTAATCAACATCCCCCCCGCCGCCCTTCTACTCTGGAACCTCGGCAAGAGGAACCGGTCGAAAAAAACCAGAGTATCAGGTACTTGCCACAAACAATTTCACACTTCCCAGCATGACTTGTAACACGACAATAGGGGAAGATGCCGAACGAAAACCCTCCGAACAGACTGGAAGCACCTCTGGACCAAGCCAACAGAACGTCGATGTCGTGATTATTTTCCAAGCGCCCTGAGCAGTGCAAGCATGTATCTGTCAGTGATATCTAGTCCCAATAAAGAAGTGCGGTTCATTGGCAGGAGAGCCTGCATCCTGTCTAGAGATGAAGTAGGGCGCTGGTGTTGGTTATATGGTGAATATTATGGGGTTTCTCATACCGAATCAGGAAGTGCTCTACTGTCTCTCGCGATTGTCCGCTTAAACATTGGTCCGTTGGTTCTGCTTTGATCTGATGGGGGTATTACCTGTTGCGGCGTGCCATTACTGTTCTGAGTTGGGCCAGTATGCTGGCCTCCTTGCGGTAGAGTTGGTCGTACAGCTTGTGTGCTTCCCTAGCAATGCAGATCCAACTTAAAAGGGGAGGCAGACAAATGCAATATCTGCATAACTGTACTTGTCATTCACCAGGTACTGATGTCCTTCAAGAAAAGAACTCCATTCAGCACACCCAACACGCGGCGGATTTCGTTGACATGTCGATCAGTGGCGCTCTGAATCTTCTCCTTGTGGTGGATCTTGAACCATTGTCGGATTGGCCCTCGGCGATGCGAATTCTAGGGGAGGAGAGGAGGCCGGCGGGGAGCTTCTTGGGTCGCGGCAGTGGCCTCGAATGGGGACGCTTGGGTTCTTCTGGAGGTAGGAAACGACACACCGGGTGATTTTGTCTGTGATGCCCGCGATACCGACTGCGAACTCATATTGCGGAGAGTTGGGACTGGTAATATTCGGTGCAATTGGCCTCCTAAGAAAAAAGTTGGAAAGTCGGAGGGAGCGCCGAGTCACAAAAAAGTCGGAAAGCCGGAGCGCCGAGTTACGACTGACAAATCGGAGGGGTAACCTGTCGAGCCGAGAGAGAGCGCCGAGATTGCCTCCGGTGCCCCGATCCGCCCGGCCCCACTCTTTTGGAGGTGCCTAGTATGAGCATGACGTCATTGAGATCGAGGATGTAAAAAGATACTCAACTCTCAATTCTCAACACATTCCAGGATCACTCTTGACTCTTGACTGGCCTTTCTTCTCCTGCAACTCCAAACCATGTCCAAACTCATCACTATTTTTGGCGTCACTGGCTACCAGGGTGGCTCTGTCGTCAAGCACATTCTTGAGGACCCCCAGCTTTCCAAGGAGTACAAGATCCGGGGTATCACCCGTGATACCTCAAAGAAGTCCGCCAAGACCTGGCCAAGCAGGGTGTCGAGGTTGTGTCGGTATGTTTCCCTGGCGAGTCCGACCGCGGCCATTTGAATAACTAACAAGATCTAGGCCGACCTGAACTCCATTGATTCCTTGACAGCTGCCCTCACAGGCTCCCACACCGTGTTCCTCGTCACCAACTACTGGGATACCGGCAACGGCGACATAGAATATTCCCAGGGCAAGAACGTGACCGACGTGGCCAAGAAGGTCGGCGTTTCCTATATCCTCTTCTCGTCGCTCTACCATGTCACCGAGGAGACCAAAGGCCGCCTAACCAATGTCCCGCATTTCGACAGCAAGGCGAACATTGAGAAATACATCCGGGCTTCGGGGCTCAAGTGTACCTTCGTCCTGCCTGGCTACTATATGAGCAACTTTACTCAGATGCTCAAAAAGGCGAAGGACGGCACCTACCAGCTGTTCTACCCCGTTGATGGCAAGAAGGCCAAGCTCCCCCTGTTTGACGCCGCTCATGATACCGGTATGTCTTTCGACTTTCTCCATAACTGTGCCTTGTATTGCAACTGATGATTCCCAGGCCTCTTCGTGAAGGCCGCTCTTAAGATTGCTGATAGCCTGCAGGGCAAGCGGGTTCTAGAGGCTGCCGACTACTACACGCCCGAGGAGATCATTGAGATATTCAGCAAAGTCACTGGTAAGAAGGCGGCATTTATTCAGGTTACTCCCGAGCAGTACAGAGCGTCCCTGCCCGAGGCTATTGCGCTGGAGTACCTCGAGAACCAGGTTTTTGTCGAGGACCCTGGCTACTACCTCGGAGCGAGTCTCGAGCCTAGCCTAAAGCTTCTAGACGCTAAGCCTACTACCTGGGCTCAGTTCGTTGAGAAGAACGCCGCGGCTTGGCCCTAGGAGCCCCTGCACACGGCAATATTTCAGAGCCATGGGGACTTTTTTATATGCGAGGTGGACGAAACTTATCCAGGAAACTAATTATTAAACTGCCAAATTGACGTTATCGCATTATGCATCAATATCCATATCTAATCCAGCCTTGTAAAAAGAGGACAACAGAAAGAAGGGACGAAGAGATTCTTCTCGAATCGCAAACTCGAGACTGTGAAAGCACCCTTGATGCTTAGCACACCCACGACTTTCGGTGGATAATTATTGGTAATATGATGCCATTTTGTTACACCGTCAGATTTAGCCGGCAGGATATCGCAGTTCTTCTTCGAAATGACATGTCTCTGGACATGGCTATTGACAAGAAAACATTGGTCTAAAAGATGCACAAGAGCGAAGCATCCACGAGCTTATCGAAAATGCGCCAACATCAGCCCTCGAAACCGGCCACCCCGCTCCCCAGCCCCATCTCCAATCAAGCAAAACACATCAATCCCGCAACGAGCGCCGCCACAGCCACGCCGGCAACAGTCGGCGCCCTCGAAGCAGCACCGGCCTCGTGGAAAGCCGTGATGGCGGTGGTCCGGTTATTCTGCCTCAGGCAGCCGCCGAACTGGGACAGCGTGTCGCTCTTGTTGGAGTACTGCGACGACGTCTCGCACCACAGGTAGCAGCTGTCCACCAGGTTGACGCTGTTCGGCGCGCAGCAGGCTACCACGGCCTTGTCTTTCGGGTTGTCACCGGGGGTGATGACGTAGTTGATGTCTTTGGGGAGGGGTAGTGACTCGAGGGCTGGGATGGAATTGTTGGCTGGACATATCAGTGCCATGGTTGTTATTTGGCGTGGAGGGTTGTGAGATTGGGTGCGAATATTTCTTGGTTTTGGACGTGTGCGGCTGCTTCAAATGATCGAAGCGCAAATGAAGAGGTGAGAGAGGATGGACGTCGTGAGAGAATGGAGGAAATGGTTTGGTCTAATTATGCGAAATTGATGAGGCGATGTTTTGTGCCTGGAAAGATCAACGGAATCCTGGGGAAAGGATCGCCGAAGGATGCGCTAGGCTACCATACGCGAGCCCTGCACCACTTGATGATTGGAAGGGTTGAACTTGGCACTGTAACGTGAAACCTGATCGGGGGCCAATTTTGATCATCAATAACAGTTACGCAACTACTACCATGCATTAGGAATTAATAGAACCTGTATCCTCACATCTTCCCCCCTAAATCGCAGTTGGCCTCGCAATCGCTGCCGTGCTAGAACACACACAACCACCCGTCGCAAGACTCGTCACCGGCGGCGCCGTGCACGTAGCTTCGAACCGCCACGGCTCCGTAGTCGAAGGGAACGGATCCGCTCGAACAATCTCGGCCTTCACAAGCGTCACGATAATCTGTCCCGTGCTCAACGAAAATGCCCGGTGACCCAGGACCCGCAATAGGCTCGCGATCTCTCCGCTGTGTGCCGTGACGCTGATCAGCTGCCCCTCATCGCTCTCAAACACCTCGTTCAGGGCCGTCCGGCTGCGCACGTCCTCGGCGTCAGACGACTCCGAGTACGTGCCGTTCCACAGCGGGTCGGTCTCCGCGAAGCCCGCCTCGATGGTCCAGTCCGGGAACCGGCCGTGGATGTACGTCCGGCTGCTCCGGCGGTCGCAGGTGTGGATGCTGACGCCCTCGCGGAACAGCTCCTTGACCGTGGGGCGGAAGGGGCGGTCCGCCGGCAGGGACAGCGTCGAGAAGGTCAGGTTGGCCGTGTCCATGGCCCGGGTCAGCGGGGACACGTAGTAGCTCTGCGGCGGGGGCTGTTTCTCGTTGGCGATCTGAGACGCCCAGAACGCGTTGGCTCGGAAGGCCTCGGCCTCGCCTTTGGGGGTCAGGTGGGCGTCGGCGAAGATGGCGGTGCCGTTGCCGTCGAGCTCGGACCAGTAGCACTGTGGACGTGGATTAGGGAAGTCAGCACGTCGAAGCGTGCGAGTGGGTTGGGAGGGGGCGTGAGCGGGAGACTGACGTTCCATGCCGGAGTTCCGTAGAAACTTTCGGCGGCGTTGTGATACCCTTCACCATGGCGACCCAGGAAAAGCACCTTATAGGACGTGCCCGTGGGAGCCTTCTTGTTTAACTGCTTCACATGGAAGACAAACCGCTGCCACAGCGTCTTCTCGCCGCACTTGCTGAGCAGTTCATCCGACGGGTACGTGCGATCAATGATGCCGAAGTTGTGTTCTGCCTAGTGAAGGGTCAGCCTCAGGTTCTGCTTCAAGTTACTAATGATAAAGTGGGATGACGGACATAGTCGAACGTCGATGGATTGGTTGCAGGGTCATCCTGTAGGAAGAAACCTGCCATGGATGAGAGGTTTAGGTACGAATCGGAGCAGGATTGTGCCCATGTGGTCGATACCAATAGAGGCACCGAGAGTGCGAGGTACTGAAGGCGCACCATGGTTTGTCTCGACGAAGAGCAGAATCAAGAGATTAGTATGACAATAATGGCAGATGGCGAAGGACGTGGAGCTTGGGAGTAGAGGAAGATCATTCCCTTGCCAGCAATTTAAAGCTGTCCCAAGAGTCTGGCTCCGCAGCAGCTACAAGTGAGGTTGGTAATATGAACAGGGTAACAGGCGGGGCGGTGGGGAGCGATGATGATACCAACGCCAATCGATCGACAACGTGCATGCAGGGCTGCCGTTGTGCCAGAGCTGCTTACCATTCTTCTTCAGCAGTTCCACATGCCCCCACGGAGATTAAACCTTAACAAGTTCAGTCGCCCGCGACTGAACCAGTTTAGCTCAGGAGCTTAAACAGAAAGGAACAAACTTTGACAAGCTTTACACGTGTATCGGTTCTTAGCTCGTCTGCGGCGGGGGACTTATTCGTCTCTCGCGTGGCGAAGTGGCCCCACGTCCGCAACCGCTTGATCTGCTAAACCTCTCGCACCCCGGGACGATCCCGACAGCCAAGCGTATCTGGTCCGAGTTTCTCCCCTAGTTCGAGACCAAAGAGGCGCACGTGGGCGGCAATTCCACACTATCTATACCGGTTAGCCCTTTATCTAATAGTCTCCGCGTGTATTTGCGTAGCTTACAGAGCAGTGTCCCCCATGTCGCTGCCAGACTGCGAGTGGGAGGTGAAGGTAATATGCGTTGTGCGCGTCATTTGCATGCATTGTGATGGTCACCTGAGTGGTGGCGCTGCTGTAGGTGTTTTTGAGACTCCGACTTGTCAACGATGGATATGCGGATACGTCCTCCCCAATCTTGTAGTGGGTGTCCAAGGTTATGCCAGACTTGGTGTGACCTAGAACGGGACCCGAAGTGCGAATCTTGGCACGGGGCTCATAAATAGGGTTTCGATCCTTCATGCGAATGAAAAGCAGAGGTTCTGGCTTTTCATAAAGGTGTGCAAGCCCCACGGACCGGTTGGTTCGGGATTCTCAGACCAGAGAGCGTCCAGTATGTCCAGGATATCGTTGATGTTACCTATCCCAAGGTGACTCTTCATATCCTGCAACCTTTGTCGGACTTTGTTCCTTTTTTCCTGGTCCGATATGCAGGATCCGACTATGGCCAGGGGCCAGCATAGCAGGGTGTTATTCTGAGCCGCCGATGGTATTCCGTCCAGATAGGCAAGCGCACTCTCGACCGTAGTGTCGATCAGGTCCGAGCCGAGGGTTCTTTTTTTTACCGTCGCGGATGGCTGGAAGGTGCCGGTATAGAGATACACGAGGACAGCCTCTCGATAAAAGAATCCGCTGTACCAAAGGGCCGGGTTGGCTTCTTTGTCAGGAGGAAGCCAGGAAAGGATCTCGGCTTGGAGTGTGGCAAAAAGTGAGAATCTCTCGGCCAACGACTCCGCAGACAGGGATAGGCAGTCCGAGGGGTCATAATTTGTGACAAAAGTATTGACCCTTGGGATGAGGAGCAGAAGCTCGATCCAGCATCCGCACAGACTACCGACAAAGGGGCTTCCGGCAAGTGCATGCGCTTTTGCCTCGATCGTTTCATGTATTGTAAACTGCATGCTGAGTTTTGGGTCGAGGGAGATGAGGCTCAGCGTCGAGACGTAGACGTAGAATTCAACAAGAAAGTCTTCCAGCGCGGATCGTTGTCCAACCAGAGCATTGGCCAGGATGGATGACACGAGATTGTTGGCGGCATTCAGGTGCTTGAAAATCGCGCCGTCTCGATTGCCTCTGACCGTCTACACGGAGTCCTGATTAGCTCTCGAGTTCCTACGGCTTCACTTGAGGGAATAAAAGGGCGGGAGAGCAAACGGCGCCGTACCTCGGTAAAGCACAAAACCAAAGAACCAACACCCAGCGCCATGATCTTGGCACCGCCCTCATGGACGTAATCGTCGATACTGTTGCGGAAGAGCACCAAGGCCCTATGATAATAAGAATGTGCCAATGTCGCCTGCTCCGCCGGCAGAGCAACAGCCCGATGCAGGGCGCTCACGGTTAGAATCAGGTGCATGATGAGGTCACTCGATAGCGCCATCGGCATCAGCTGCGACAGAAAAGGGTTCTCGACACGGAAGCCCCCGGACATGGCGAGGGACGTCCGGGTGAGATAGTGCCCGAGGATGTGGAAGCCTTCTTCTCCGCATTGTTCCCATACGCCGCATGTCCCGAAGGGAGAGAGGCTCGGCGTCGTGACAAGTCTATGGCTGTTGCACAACCTGGCAAGAGCACCTGTATCTGATGAGAAAGTCGGAGAGCCGGGGGAGATAGTGGGGGAAAGGTGCGATGTGTCGCCGGCGGAATGAGGAGGTGTATCAAGGCTGGTGAGGATAGAAAGGGTACTCGGGACGGTCATTTCCTGTGGCAAAACAGGCTCCGGAGAGAGGCTACTGGCGCATTCGTGCCTCGGGCTCTCCAAATTTATCTCCAAATTTCGTTCGCGAGAATCTGCTTGGGGTAGCTGGGAGTCGATATGGGCGTCAGTTCCATGCGGGGAATGCCAATCTGCCGCCGGCGAGCCAGGACTGGCATGTGAAGGGCTGGCGTGTGGAGGGCTGGCGTGTGGAGGGCTGGCGTGTGGAGGGCTGGCAACCGTGATTTCGGTCGGCGAGGACGGGACATGGCGCTTGCTCGCCGGTCTTCTGCGGAGGCGCCAATTCTGGACGGAAACTGGCCATTCACATATCAAGCCGTTGCGTTCGCATCCTCGGCAGACCGGCCGCTGCTCCTCGCATTTCTTCTTCCTGGCTCGACATGTCAGACAACCAGTCCTGACCCGGGTGATCTTGGAGGTTCCGAAAGGCATGATGCTGCCTGCAAGAGGAGATGGACCGGCGATGCCGATTACTACCCTTGTCCCCAGTAATTATGAAGTGAAAGTGGGCGTGTTCGGAGCTCACGGGGGTGGGGATGAGGGCGGATTCTTGCTCGAAAGCTGGGTGTCAGTGAATACCAATCTCAACGCCGTTTCATTTCGATGGTTATAATTAATGGTTGAACAGAGCATGAGGAAGAAAAGGGAATATGGACGACCGGAGTTCACAACCGAAGCTGGGGCGGGGTACTCCGCACTAGAAGCTTGGTTCCAGTTCCCCGGTTCCCCAGAGTTCCCCAATGTTGGCAGTGTGGCCTCCATGTCAGGGGCTCAAAATGCGCCAATTTATTCCACTATACTAAAACCAGCTAGGTTTCTTAGCAAATGCAGGGAGGTCTAGACAACCACCGTGCCAATGCTTTTCCCCTATGTTCCACGCCCCTTTGTACTTTAACACTGAATAGCAGTGGAGCTATCTGTTTCCTCTTACCTCTGGTGCTCATCATGCCCGTCATTTCTGACTTGGCCGACTGACATCAGAGGGTTGACTCCGTTTCATTGAAGTAGGTTGTCTCGGAGATGCGCTTGTAGAAAAGGGCGAACGTTAAGAGAAATGAGCTTGCCATGGAGAAGAACTGGACAATGGTCTGAGTCCTGTCGATCAACAAATTGTCGTTAGTGCTGACGGGGCAGAGAAGAAGCATGAGGCTGGAAGAGTAGGAGTGAAGAGGGTGGAGGTGTCGTATAATCCTGGAACTTGCATATGTTATTGCACGATCTCTCCCTCGGATTTAAATACCAGACAGAGGCCGCTGATGAGCATCGCTATGGAGAAGCCCCCATAGCGGGCCAAGAGCCGTGGCTCATACGTGAAGGAGGAGAGGATCCATATGACAGCTATTTGGTTGGTGGTGTAAGTGATGTCGAAAAGTAACGTCATGGAGTGAAAGGCGCTAATGGGGCCGTCGATCTGGGCCACACAGGGCTTGTGTTAGTCCTTTGATATTGTAGACGACTCGGACAGGCAGAACAATTGCCTGGGCAGCGAGGATGACGATGAAGGCGACGGCGATGAAGGCAATCAGCCTGCGTGTCTGACGCCGGAACCGGAACTTCTCGTTGTCGAGGATACTGCCAGATATAAAAATCGGCGGAATGCGGACAACCCAACAGACGCGGCGCTGCGGGCAATTTCGTCGGGAGACTTGATGAAAACAACACTGGATGGCCGAAGCTTGCAGTTAGCAACAGTCTTGTATGCCCATTGTGTAGATGGAGATCAGTAGCTACTTACCATAGCACCATTGCCATAATGCTCCCGCTGAAGAAACCCACGATGGTGAAGAGAACATCGCTGGCTCTGATGGCAACTTTTATCGAGGACGGCTCCCTACTGCCCGCCCCGAGGAGTGGCATTGGGCTAATACCACGGTTTGCGCTTAGCCTTGATTCGGCGCAAGAGCGCGTGACGGCCAGGTAGATGCCCACAGTTAGGAAGAGGAATAACCCTGAGATGACCATTTGCATTCATGGGTTGCAAAGATTAGATATGTCTACTACTCGCGTGGGTTCATACCAACTTGGCCAGGCTGAGTTTGTCCCTGAAATTGGCCATGATTCTCGATTCGACGGAGGACAGGATACAACGAGTAGTGCTGTCCAAGATGTGAATACATAGCCCGGGACGATATTCACCACTCCAAGGAACAAAAATGAAGTCCTTATAGTAGGATTGCATGAGAAGAGCCCAACGGTTTCTTCCCATTTTGGCACCGAGAATCAACGTGCTTGTTGCGACTCGATAAGGCGGAGGTGATAGGGACGGAAACACAGACGAGTGGAGAAACTAGGACACATGCCACCGTTCAAAGTAACTTACAACATCAGAGCCGCCATGATGATATCCTTGTAAGCACATTGGCTTTAGGAACATGTGTCTTAGGACTAGTACGTAATAGGAGCGCGCGGTAAGAGCTAGAATTCCAATTCTTAGCGTTTATTGGACGAGAGACTGCGCGGTCCCCGCGGTCCGCCGTGATGGAGGCGCTAGAGTAATTAGTCTGCGAACTAGACACTGGCTTGCGAGACTAGTGAGAATATCATTCGGCTCTGCGTGACTCGCATTCACAGAACGCGGAGCAGAACATCTAACAATGCGGGGTTCAAATGGTAATCCCCGACTGGATGGGTTGGCAAGAGCAAGCAACAGCTGCGAGACTCGAAGTCGACGTCCCTTACAGTTACATACGTGCGGCATAATTACCCCGAAGGAGCTCGCCATTACCGACAAGCATGACCACTGAGCCCATAGCTAACTACCGGCAGGCTGAAGAGCTACAATGTGACCTTGGCTGCAAGGGGGTCGGTGTCAGTCAGCTGCTGGTAAGTCCACTGGTGTGTGTGATGCTGATGATCGCTCAATTGGCCAACCAACTGCCTAACTCACATATTCTTCGACAAAGCCCTCGAGCTTGCCAAGAAATTAGATAGCCCCCTGGAAAATGCCAGCAAGCCTGTTAGCCTTCAGATCCATGTTTTGGTTGGGGCGAAGGCAGGGGAGGACACACCAGTGGCGAAGATTCTCCGTGATCTTGGTTCAGTCTTTACATCAAGACTAACTATTTCTGGAGTAAATACCGGCCTGAGCAAGCTCCCTCATCTCTTCGAAAAGACAATAAACTACGTTTGGCAGCCCTGGCGTGACTGGATCGACTGCAACGGTAAGTATCTATTGTAGCTCGCAACCTTGACTCATTTGCCAACAATTGTCTTCAGATTATTCTATCTAAATAAATTATAAATAAGCAATCAGGAGTGAACACTGTGCACGTCGTGACAAGATAAGGAACCTACTGCATTTGCGAAGCCATATACCACCAAAAGGCATAAGGAGGTCCAATCTAGCCACCTGGCTCGCATCCTGACTGTAGCTTGCATCATAGGTTCTCCCCGGACGATACCGAGATCCATGAAGCTCCTCCTTTCATCAGCCCCATCTACCTTGATCATTCTCACGATTACATAGAGCTCTGTCTGTGCTAGTGCAGTAACCACAACTTTACATTGCTGCTGACATATTACCCGCGCCTATCGTCCGTTCCTGTGGTCCGCTCCTGTAGTCCGCTGCTGCGATTACGTTGTGCAATCCCCTGTCCAGGCGTTATCGAATTACAGCTCACGAGATTGGCTGTCACGTCACCGATCTGTCTTGGACCGGTCAGGCGGCGCCCCAACCGCGTAAACAGTCTGGGGAAGTCTGTACTCTGGCGATCTACTCCCTCGTATGGCGCCTACGGCACCACCCGGCTGGGGGAGGGGCGGGGTGGAGGATAGCGGCTTAACTCTGTCCTAGTGGCATTTCTCACTATTTGCTAGCGTATGTATTACGGGACGTCGGTGCGCGCGGTTCCACACTGATGGAACCACTGATAAATTGCAGATGCCCTCTTTGACTCTTTGCTCAATTAGGTTGCAAGATGAAATAGACCACCTACACACCGTCAAGGGCAACAGTCTCCCGCGCTCAACTTGAAAAATAACGTTTGTTCAACAGGCTCTCAATGCCAAATTGCTGTCCAAGTAAAAATCGTGAACGGACTGAGACACCATGGACGCCGCCGACCAACAGCTGTCGCAATTCGGTTACAAAAATGAACTCAAGAGGTCCCTGTCCATATGGACTGTCCTCAGCTTGTGAGTTGTTTCGATGGTATAGAAGCTCAAACTTGACATTGACCCACCGTCATTACCACAGATCAGTAGCCATCATGGGTGTCCCCTTCGGCTTGTCGACAACGTTCTATATCACCCTCGTCAACGGGCAATCGGTGACAGTGATATGGGGCTGGGTATTCATGACCACCATCTCGGTCTGCATCGCCGCATCCATGGCCGAGATATGCGCCGTCTACCCGACAGCAGGCGGCCCCTACTTCTGGTCCGCGATGCTGTCAAAACCCAAGTACGCGCCAATTGCCTCGTGGATCACGGGGTGGCTGAACCTGGTGGGCAACTGGCTGGTCACAACCAGCATCAACTTTTCAGGCGGCCAGATCGTTCTCTCGGCCGTCACACTCTGGCACCCCGACTACGTACCCACGGCATGGCAGACTGTCATCGCCTTCTGGGCTTTCACTTTCGTGCCGTCGGCCGTCAACATCTTTGGCACGAGGTATCTGAGCCTTATCAACATGACCTGCGTGGTCTGGACCTCCGCCTCCATCGTCATCTTCATGGTCGTGCTGCTAGCCACCGCCGAGGACCGTCACAGCGCCAAGTTCGTCTTTACCCACTATGACACCTCAGCCAGCGGCTGGCCTTCCGGCTGGTCCTTCTTCGTCGGCCTCCTGCAAGGCGCCTACGTGATGCTCGGCTACGGGCTCATCTCATCACTCTGCGAGGAGGTCCACAACCCACACATCGAAGTCCCACGCGCAATGGTCATCTCGGTCCTCTTCGCCGGCCTCCTAGGCGCCGCCTTCCTCATCCCCATCCTCTTCACGCTCCCCAACGTCGACCTGCTCCTCGGCGTCGCCAGCGGCCAGCCCATCGCCCTCCTCTTCCACACCGTCACGCGCTCCGCGCCGGGCGCGTTCTGCCTGCTGATCCTGATCATCGGCATCTTCCTCTTCGCCAGCATCGGCTCCGTCACCGTGTCTAGCCGCTACACCTACGCGTTTGCCCGCGACGGCGCTATCCCCGGTCACAAGCTATGGGCACGCATTAGTCCGCGCTTCGGGCTGCCGCTGAATGCCATCCTGCTCAGCACCGCGGTCAACTTCTGCTTGGGGCCCATCTACTTTGGGTCGACGGCTGCGTTCAACTCGTTCACTGGCACTGCTACCATCTGCTTGTCGACCTCGTATGGGGTTCCGGTCCTGGTTTCGTTGCTAAGGGGTCGGAGGGGGGTGCGGAACTCGCCGTTCTCGCTGCGTCCGTTTGGTTTTGTTATCAACCTCGTGTCGGTCACTTGGGTCGGGTTTGCGATTGTGCTGTTTTGTATGCCCGTCGGCCTGCCGGTTACAGCGACGACGATGAACTACACCAGCGTTGTGTTTACGGGCTTTGCCGTTGTTAGTGTTGTGTGGTACTTGGTGTATGGTCGGAAGCATTTCTCGGGGCCGATTGCGCTGGTTATTAATGCCCAGGCCGACGAGGCCGAGGAGACGGACAAGGGAGTGGGAATCCTGCCTACCAAGGACCAGTATGAAGCTCGGATCTGATTTGTTAAATTTCATACTGAGATTTTTGTGTACCTGTCGTGTTTAAGAGAGGCATGCAGTGATCCTTACCGTGCCTAATTGCAGAGGCGCTTTCACGGACTTCCTCCATGCTCCATCTCCACCGCTAGCAGGGCTGCCATCCCGCCATCGTCGGGCCTGCACCACTGCTTGTCCTCGATCTTGTCCTCGTCCTCGTCCTCGTCCTCTTTCTCCCAGCCTTCGACCTGGTCGTCGGTGGGAAATTTGTTCTTGCTAGGACTAACGCCCCGACTACGTGGGAAAGCCTCGAAAAGCGAGGTCTTGGCCCGGATCTGGGGCCGCGCATTGCCTAGCTGGTGTAGGTACATGTGTCGGGATCGAGAAGCAACACAGCGTACTCTTGCATGCCTCCAAAGAAAGGGAACATCTCCTCGGTGAAGAGCGTCCATGCAACGCTGGCGAGGAGCTGCTCTACCGAGACGCCACTGAGGGCGTGGAAGGGGCGGGTATGGTACGACTCCGTCAGCTGTAGCGAGCGGGCGGCAGTAAGAGTGCATGGCGAGACGAGAGGCGGCGGCGGTGGCGCCGTCGCCGTCTTCTTCATCACCATCATCATCGAGGGTGCGACGGCAACCGGGATGCGCAGGGCGGACCACGGATAGGACAGGCTGTTGTGAGTCGTCGTCATAGTCAATGCCCTGGACACTGCCACCGCAAACGACACTGAGCCGGAGATGCTTGGGACAGAGGTGTTGGGGCCTCGACGTTGTTGTTTTGGACAGCGGGTCAAGCCGTTGTCGGTGCGGGGATGGCCCCCCCCCTTTTCGCTTCCCTGCTTCGAGCCTGTTCGCGTGCAGAGCATTGGTCGATGCAACAGACCTCTGCTTCTGAAACAGATCTCCATTCGCCCCTTGTTTTATCCTCAACATCTTCAACTGTTAATGAGTTTGCGCCTTCCATCAATTTTGCATGCTTCATCGCATGGTAGCTTGATAGTATGCAACAGTCGCAACCATCGATTCTTGGAGGTACCAAGCTCGGTGACTCGGTATTTTCAAGAGAGTGGAATGCACAGGATCGCCAAACACATGTCTTTCTGGGAGATATTTTTCTTCATCATTGGCATCGCAATTGCATCCGCTCAGAGTACGCGCCCCGGACAGAATGTCTACAGATTCCCCAATGCGCGGGTCCTCGCAACCCAACAAGAAGTCGCAGACTATGGTCATCCATTACGCGTAGTGGTGGATGATGGCGAGCAGAGGGCTATCAAATACGTCTTTCTCGATTCCAAGTTGTTGCAAGCGGGCTATCCTACTGGTTCTGAGCAGGTCCCATTTGATCTGCCACACCTTCCACCAGGCGATTGGAACGAAGCCCACATTCACCTGGACAGACACACCAGGACACCCAGCATCACCAATACGACCAGAACAAGTCAACTAGGGATAATGCACAATTGGCATCCTCGAAAGATTGACTATCTTGAGTTTGTCAACGTTGAGACGCTTCAGCAGGATCGTATGCAAGTCGTTGCACATCCCGACTTCGACGCACCCATCCTGATCAAGATTGCAAGTTTCCCGTGGGAGATTCCGTCTCTGGAGCAAGAGGTTTCAGTGTACCGGCTCCTTCATGGCTCGGGGGTCGCGCCGGAATTCCTTGGCCACGTTACCGAGGGCGGGCGAACCATCGGGTTCATCACCGAGTATATACGAGAGATGTCGTCGATAAGGGCCAGAAGCATGCAAGGTTGCCTGATCGCTCTTCGCAGTCTTCATCAAAGAGGGATCGCGCACGGGGATGCTCATGAAGGGAACTGTTTGATACGCGAGGATGGCTCATCCGTTCTTATTGATTTTGAGCTATCTGTGGAAACCTGGCTGCCCGAAGAATTCGAGAGAGATTTGGACATTATGGGTCGCTGCATCCAGGCCATCTCCGAGCCTTCGTGATGGTGGAACATTTGGGAAGGAGCGTTACGCAATATGGCGAGTAATTATTAGACTTGGGTTTCACAGACCAACTATGAGAAATGCCTTCTGGATCTTCCCAGTTTTTAAACCTACTGTGGCGGGCGGATGACGGACTGCACTGCTCGCCACTATCTAGCTTTTCAATCACGATACCTGGTTCAAAGTACCGTGTGAAGTTCTCGGTCACAATCACAGGCGCTGGAGGTACGTCACTCCACTACCGCCATCCGCCGCACAGACCTTTAGGGGCAGCGCGCCAGCCAGCTGAAAAACCCCGGCTGCTTCATTCCTTTCTGAAACTATGCATGTTTCTCCCACTTCCGTTTGCCGCTCCCAATGTTCAGGAGCGCGACGCGAGGCCGAGGGCTCGGCACGCTGAGGCCGAGTTCAGCTTTAAGGGTGTGTGGGCGACGCGTAATTGTTTGCTACTGGTGACGTTTCTTGGTCGTCTCGTGTGCCCTCCACTTCCGCGTTGCGTTTGCCACCATGCTGAAAGCTCAGTGGCCTGCCTTGGTCCTGGTAGGTCGACAATGAGCTCTGCCTCGACACCACGTTGACCACCAACGTGAGACTTCACAATCGCTGGAATAATCTTTGTTGATGACTTTTTCCGCCCACTTGGGCGGTCGCCCGAGATGGACGGTGTTTGGAGCCCGCGACCAAATCTGTGACTGAGGAGGAGGCAGTGAATCTGACTTTGGTTGAGGTCATCTCGCTAGGAAAAGTACCCCGCCCCCGCAGCCACAACCCCCTGGCTGGAAATGTTACTGAAAAAGTCTCATATGTCGATCCGTCGTGCTGCCTCAATGTTACGCAAATGGTTCTCCTCGGCAAGCGTTACCGACTGCCGCCAGTAGGGAACGTTTGATCTGATAGTCGGTTACCATCGTCTAAAGAATATTGCAGAACCTGGTGGCGCTAGATCGGATGAAATGTGGTTCAGGGCGCCGATCAAACGCCAGAGAGGTCGTCCCACCTTTAACATGCGACAGCTCGGCAACGGGTGTTGGAAGATCATCAAGAGATCCAAGTCAGATCGAGATGGGCTGGCCTCTGGGGAAATATAGAAGGAGCGCCAAGCCCGGATCCAAGAGAAGATTGAACACCATCTGCACATCACTTCACTCCTCCTTTCTATTCTCCTGCCAGTCTGCGACAGCATACGACCCGGCGTCGTTCGTTATTTGTACTTGTTTCAGTGTAATATCACTCGCTTCGATTTATTCGTTCATTCATACCAACCGCCAATATGGTTCGCATCACCTTCGCTGCTGCTCTGGCTTGTAAGGCTGCCGTCCACCCGCAATGGGGAATTATATTGGTCAGGCTCGTGTTAACTCATTGCTCTTTAGTCGCCGTCTCCGTCATGGCCCTTACTCCCAACGCTGCCGGTGCCAAGGATGTCGGTAACGGCAAAGGCCAGCAGTTCACCACTGGCGGATGCGTCGCGGATGCCGACTGCCGAAGCGCCTGCTGCGCTGAGATCGGCGGGGCTGGTCTCGGCATATGCTCTGCCGTAGGGGCTCAACGCCAGAATGGCAAGCTCGGATGTGGTTTCGTTGATCCCAACGCTGCTGTAAGAATTGTCTCGCGTTCGGTCCCTTTACAACGTTGCTAACGAGATTCTAGCAAAACATCGCGGCTGCCAACGCCCAGGTTAAGAAGCAAGGTTTCTAGGTGGACGACTTCGCGAAATCGTTCAAGTTATCCATGTGGTCATAAGGAGGAAGATGGGAAGCTCCAGGATCGCTAGGCACCTGTCGAACAGTTGGTGCGGGAAGCGTCCAGATGGAGCGTGGCTCCCTGTTATCCCCGGCTGCGGCCTGGGGGACAGCTGCCACATAGCTTAGCTTAGAGAAATCAACTGCTATTGCTTCACCATCGATTGCTCTTGACCACCCCCTACACAGACCGAACATCACCTCCGCACCGGCTCGCTCACGAACAGGGAAACTGTCGGAGCTTGGATTTAAATCTCACAATATGCTGTACTTGTCTTGGTATCAAAGAGCGGCTTATGTCCTGTCCTGCATTTGCTTGATACCTTGTGCTAACTTCCACATCCAAGTAAAGTCCACGTTGTCAAGCTAAAGCAAAGCCACTAAACCCATTCTTCATGCTCTCTGCCAGTAACCTTCTATACTCTGGTATGCCGCCGGGGAAGTTCAGCGCCTCACGTGGCTTTCCCTCAACATTCGCACCCATGTAGTACGAGTTGGCCAGCGGATACAATGTTTGGTTCGTGAGATCGTTGACCAGCTTCCGCCATCCCCCTTCGGCCTCCGCGGTAGGCTCCATGCGCCGGATGCCCTGCTCACGATGTCTGACAATCGTGTCGACGATCCAGTCGCCTTGAATCTCGACGCACGTCGGCCCGTTGGAGAAGGCGGTCGGCCCCTGGGGTCCGTACGTGAAGAACATGTTGGGAAAGCCGCTCGTCATGATCCCCAGGTGCGTCCAGGTGCCCGACGCCCACTTGTCGCTCAAAGACTGACCGGCACCGTTTCGGATGTCGATGTCCTTGAGCCCGCCCGTAATGGCGTCAAACCCCGTAGCCAGGGCTAGAATGTCCAGCTTGTGTAGTTTGCCGTCGGCCGTAACCACGCCCTCTTCGGTAACCCGCTCGACGGGGGACTTTGCGAGATCGGCGACGTTGACGTTGGGCTGGTTGACGGCGTCGTAGTAGTTGATGAAAAGACCGGGCCGCTTGGTTCCGAAGGGATGACGCGGCTCGAGCGGCGCCACGATGTCGCGCTTCTCGGGGTCGGTGATCATGGCGCGGACCTTGCGCGCCCAGAAGTCGTAGGTTTCCCGGTTGGCCTTTAGGTCCGTGAGCACGTCGCGGTACGAGCCAACCCAGAGCAGGAAGCCGCCCCTTGACCATTTGTCCTCGAGGAATGCCTCGCGCTCCTCCGGGGTGTGGTCAAAGGTGCCAATGTCGTGAGCGTTGAAGTCGTAGCCTCCCTTGCTCTCCAGCCTGCTCTGGTATATCGCCGGGTAGTCGTCTTTGGCACTCCTCTGGACCTCCTCCGTGAGCTTGACTTGATGCAGCGGGAGAGCCACGATCGGTGTTCGCTGGAACACAGTCAGCTCTCCAGCATCTGCAGCCATGGCTGACACCATTTGCAGGCCCGTGCTGCCTGTGCCGACAACGCCAACCCTCTTTCCACGGAAGTCGACGCCATTCTCGCCGGGCCAGAAGCTAGAATGGTGGATTTCGCCCTTGAAGGTGTCGAGGCCGGGCCATTTGGGGAAGTATCTCTTGGCCGCGAAGCCGACAGAGGGTATGAACCAGGTGGCTCGGTATGGGATGTCGTTGCCCTCGGTCTCGATCGACCAGCGGCAGTCTGCGTCGCTGAAGGTGGCGCCGACTACCTTGGTATTGTAGATGGTGTCTTTGCTCAGATCAAGCACCTTGTCGACGTGCTCAAAGTAGCGCACCAGCTCGCCGGCGGCCGGGAACTTTTCAGTCCAGTTCCACGTCTTCCAGACCTCGGGGATGGAGTATTCGTATAGCGGAACGTGGGTGTCGACCCGGGCGCCAGGGTAACAGTTCCACCGCCATACACCGCCGAGACCCGCCGCTGATTCGATCAGGAGGACCTTAAAACCTCTTTTGCGTAGTTTGTACAAGAGGTAGCAACCAGAGAAGCCACCGCCGATCACCACGACATCAAAGTCGGTGGCGTGTCCGTTAGCCGTCACCGGTGCGGCCGGCAAAGCTTGACCTTCTTGGCCGTGACCGATATCGACGCGCATGATTCCAGGAACCGTTCAGTTCTTCGTGGGAGTGGGTATGAAGGAGGAGACACAGCAATGAGATATGGGAAGCAACGGGTATGGACGACAAGTAGGCTACAGGGGCAGTAGTGAATGATTAAGGTCGACCATGTTCTTCGCAAAAGCCCCTTTCTCTCATACTAGACATGATATATATTTCGGGTAGGAATAGAGTCTGGTCGGCCACTCTAACTCGACGAGTATTGCCGCGCGCAAATTGGTTTGCTTTAGCATGGTAATATGGCGCGGTAACCAGCATACAGCAGCGTCCCACGCCGTGTCCACAAGAAAGTCCAGTCGAAGTCCAGAATTCCCGGCATCGGATGCCAAGACCAGCTCGGTCGAGGTCGCCCCAAACGGACGGGTGGACGGGCGGACAGGCGGATAGACCTGTGCCGACAAGTTGGGGTTTGTCAGGCAGAAGGGTCTGGGTCCTGGGAGAAGGGATCCGCCAAGTCAGTTCTGTTTGCCCAGACCGTGTGGCGAAGCGCTCTATGAGCGCGGGTAGTATTGAATGGCATCGATGCGCGCCAATTAGCCACTAGATGCATCATGCTGGTCGCCAACTGACTACATTCGTACTCCTAATTAGCGCAGCGCGGTCCGCGCGGTCTTCACGGTCCTCCCCCAGGCCTCACAAGGATTCCCCAGACTCCTGTCTCAACCCCGCAGCACACTAATCCATAATTAGTAACTGTGAATGGAATGATGGGTTGCCTAACAAGAATCCACAGCATGCAAGCAGCCAAACGGTACGTAAGGAGGAGTTAGATCTCCTGTCCGCGGTAAAGCGCGCGACATCAGGAGGTGTCACGTCGCTTTGTTCACATCGACCCAAAATCCCTCGCCCCCTCTTGCAACGAATTAAAATTAAATAAAAGGAAATCACGCCGAGAGTTCCTGTCTGCCTGTGGATTGGCAACACCTCTCGTTAGCACACCAGCATCGCTTCTTTCCCCTCTGCTATCATCATTCAACGTACCGTCACCATGGCGCAATCAGTCAAAGGCAAGACAGCCATCGTCACTGGCGCTGGCAGCGGCATCAACCTCTCGTTTGCGACAATGCTCTTGGCAAAGGGATGTAACGTCGTCATTGCCGACCTTGCTCTAAGACCGGAGGCCCGGGAGGTAGTCGATGCCCACTCGCTGCCTTCTGAGAGCCGCGGCCGAGCCGTCTTCCAGAAAACCGACGTGAGAGACTGGTCACAGCTGGAGCGCATGTTCCAGACGGCGGAACGGGAGTTTGGTTCTGTCGATATCGTGTGTCCCGGCGCGGGCGTCTATGAGCCAGTAAGTACATTGCGGAGAGGCGTGTGTTTGCCAACCTGGGGACGGACGAAGCGGGAAAGGGGAGGCGGGGGGTTCCGAGGGAGATGACGCACGAAACAGAACATGACGAAGAAGACCAAACTGACTGGACCATGTTGTCCTCTTTTGCAGCCATTTAGCAACTTCTGGAATCCTCCAGGAACTCCCCAGAGCCGCGACGCCCTCGACGGAAACCGTTATGCCCTCCTTGACATCAATGTTGTCCACCCTATCCGCACCAGCCAACTCGCAATCGCCAGATTCCTCAACGATGCCAACTCCCCAAGCCCGAAGTCGCTCATCCTGATCTCGAGCACCAGCGCCCAGGACACCAGCATAGCAACGCCACTATACGACGCCTCCAAGCACGCCATCACGGGCTTCGTGCGAGCGCTGCGGGACATCGAGGGAGCAGCGCGGATCCGCGTGGCTGCCGTGGCGCCAGGGATCATCAAGACGCCAATCTACACCGACAACCCGGAGAAGTTGGCCATGATCGACGACCTGAATGACGTCTGGGTCGAGCCTGAGGAGGTTGCCGAGGTCATGATTGCCCTGATTGAGCGGGATGCCATGAGCTCCACTATCGGTGAATACGCGCCTGACAGGCTAGACATCCCCATCGAGAGCGGGCTCATTGTCGAGGTCACCAAGGGCCGGGCACGGCCTGTAACCGCCTACCATGACCCTGGGCCGTCTGGGCCTGGTGCTATAGCTTCTAACATGGCTGCTGCGGAGGGTGCTGTGAAAGGGCTGTTGAAGAAGGGTTGGGGTATGGTTTGATGTCAAGGACGAAGAACAGGCGGCAGGGGAAAATAGGGCTGGAAATCCTACAAGATGGCAACGGCTTAGGATATATCTACCAACCGAAGGATTTGGGTGTATCTTAGGCCAGAACATTTCAACAAGTTAATCTTGACGCATGTGGTAATAGACCGTTGTCGTTGAATCTTCTCACTCTGCTTGTCTGACAATCTCTTCTGTCTCTTCCTGTCCAAGATGGGGCCGGCTTCCGAGGGTGCCACTAATCGGAATCTCCAATTACCCCTTGCGGCCATCTATTGATTATAGCTGCTAGCGCCATCGCATTGCAGGCAATAAGCCTCTCATGGACTAACCTGCCGATAGCGTGGAAAGTACCAGACACAGCGATCCCAGCCGGGTCGTTACCCTTGCCGACTTTCCTCTGAGCCAATTTGCTCGATTATGGTAGTTGGCTGAGTATGGTGGCCTTGCCATTGCTAAAACAGTTCAAAGATTAATAACTTCAAATTCAAATGGAAAATCAAGTGTAAAGCAAGTGGAAGGAAGCCGGTCCTCCGGCTTCCGGATCGCCGCACACATTTACCCGGCCCTCCGAAGCGCCGTGCTACCTCAGCTCTAGGCACATCTCTTGCCCCTAAATAAACAACGCTTACTTGATGAACACGCTTACAGTTGATACTTCAGTTGCTCCCGAATAAATCTAGCCACGTCCAAGCGACCTTTTGCTAGTATCTTCAACTGTCTCAGCAAAAAATGGCTGCTATTCCAGCAAAGCAGACGGCAGTCTGGGTTGATAATCCCAGCAAAGATGCCAATATCTACCTTAGAGACGACGTGCCAGTCCCGATCCCAGGAGACGATGACGTGCTCGTCAAGATGGAGTGTAGCGGCCTTTGGTAAGTCTGTCTTCAACCTGTGTTTTCCGACTTTAGCTTTCCGCGGGATGCCCGAACTGAGACATCCAAAGCCACTCGGACATATACAACATGGCCGGCTCCCACCCGATGGACGTCCACATCCCCGGACACGAGGGAGTCGGCACCGTAGTCCAGCTCGGGAGACGAGTGGCGCAGACCGGCCTGCTGAGCCTGGGCCGGCGCGTGGGCATCAAGTGGATCCACGAGACGTGCGGAGCCTGCGAGATCTGCGAGCGCGACGAGACCTCGTGTCCGGACCAGCATAACTCGGGCCGCGACAGGCCCGGCACGCTTCAGCAGTTTGTCTGCGTCCCGGCTAGGCATGCCTCGCCCATCCCGGATGGGATCAGAAGTGAGATGGCGGCGCCACTTCTCTGCGGTGAGTCTGAGTGAGATAAGCAAAGGAGGAGGAGTATTACACTAATCACTGTCTCGGGTGTCTGGTCTTAATAGCCGGTTTGACTATGTACTCGGCCATCGGGAAATCTCAGACGCGAAAAGGCGACTGGATCGTCATTCAGGGCGCGGGCGGGGGGTTGGGGCATCTGTACGTAACCCAGTCTCGTCCCACTTAAAAGAGATCAGAGGCTAACCTGTGATGCAGCGGTATTCAGATCGCGGCCCGACGAGGTCTAAGGGTCATTGCAATTGACGGGTGGGACCTCCGAACTTGGATAAGATCGATTAGTTTGAGAATAAACGCTGACAATCAGCCTAGAGAGGACAAACGGCAACTCTGTCAAACCATGGGGGCATCGGCATTCTTCGATTTTTGCGACCCGGAGCTGAATGACAAGGTCCGTTCCCTTACGTCTTCGTTTGGTGCGCACGCGGTGGTGTGCTGCGCAGGGTCAGAGGCGGGCTATAACCAGGCCATCGAATTGTTGAGAGGAGGGGGTACGCTGGTCTGTGTTGGACTGCCGTCCAATAGGGGCTATCATCTGCCTATTGGCCCCATGGACATGGTTGTTCGTGGGTTGACCATCATCGGCTCGGCAGTGGGCACAGAAGACGAGATGCAGGAGCTGTTAGAACTGGCGAGGAAGGGAGAAGTGGTAGCCCAGGTAGACGTCTTGCCGCTGGCACGCTTCAAAGAGGCCATCGAGGAAGTTAAGGCATCCAAGACAGCCGGGAGGATTGTCCTGCAGATGCCTGGATATGAGGAATAATTATTTAGTGGGAATTTCGCATGCTTTTACTGAGTAATTTAAAGGGGCATGGTGAACACCAAGAACACTCTTTCTTCACCCGGCCGTAGTCTGAGCCAACTAATTAAAACATCTCTAGATAATACAGAGTGCGTTTGCAAGACTTGCCACACCACCGGGCAAGTTCATCGGTGCACTCATGAACAGGAACGAGTACTTCCCGGTCTGCTTGCATGTTTCCGACAAATGCTCCAGATCCAGCATCTCACCGATCATGACACCCCAGCAGGGGAGCAGGTACTCGTGCAGAATAGGCTTCGACCGCGGCGGCCACTCCTCAAACCCCGGCTGGTCGCCCCCGACGACGGCAAAGTACTGGTCATGTAGCCACGCCTTCATCTCGTCCGAGGGATCCACCCCGATGCTCGTCGGGTGCTCGTCTGCCACTTTGGCCAGCTCGTCCTCCAGCCCCGCAGCCAGGCAGTCGTTGTACTTCCGCATCCACCCGCTGCGGATCAGAAGAATGTCACCCCTCTGGAACTCGACTCCCTCCCACGCCGCCACGGCCAGCAGCTGGTCGAGCGAGATGCCACGCGTCTCGAACGGGTCGCACTCCATCCCGCCGCCGACCTCGTCGCACCACCGCGCAAAGTCCAGGAGCACCCCGCGCCCGACGATGCCGCGCCTGCTGCACGCCTGCATCCCGCACCGCGTGCTCGGCTCCCCGCTCCCGGCCTGTCCACCTCCACCTCCACCTCCGACGATCTCCTCCTGTCTCAGGTTATTGTAGAAAAACCCGCTAGTCTGGTGCGCCACATGTCGGAACCCGTCGATCTGCGAGCCCGACTGCGTATTCATGTGCAAGATCTCGTCGTTGACAAGAAGGCCAGGCAGAGTCTTGATCCGCACCTCGCACGCCGGCCTGCCGAAGCCCGGCCTCCGCGGCAGCGTCACGTCCCAGTTGAGCGAACACACCAGTCCGTGCCGCGCCTCCGCTGCCACCACAGACTGGACGTGCTCCGGCGTGAGGAGGTTCAGGCGGCCGATCTTTTCGCGACATGTGACTGCCGTCAGCTGCGGTTGAGCCCCGGGACCAGGCTATCTTGCCTGGATGGTGTGGGTGGGTGGGTGTTATATCCCCGAACTAACCTCATCGTCTGGTCCCCAAATCCATGCTGCTTCCTTGGGCACACCCTCGGGCTTTGCGGTGGCCACGATTTCCTCAAGGGTGGGTAGGAACTCGCCTCCCTTGGTGGGATTTTCGTACCGCGTCGGCATTGTGTATGGCAATTTTCCTACGTTTGCTCTGCTTTGGTTGTTGGTTTGGCACTTTTTTGCTCCGGCCTCCCCTTTTATTTTCATGTTTCCTTAGGCGCTTTATTAAGTTAGTTGCCATTATCATGACACCTAGCGTACTGCATGCGGGCGGGCCTCCGGTCCTTGCTCGGAGCATGTTAGTGCGTGAGCCAAATTAGCGGCACAATCCACGGTAATAACTTACGGCTGTTTTGAGCAACCCTGTCTCACAATGTCTCAAGTGGTCTCGGCGCAGCGGGGAAAATGAGTTGCGATTAGGAGAATCATGGCAACTTGAAAGATAAGGCAGGCTATGTACAATAAAATACAAGGGAAGCATTGGTTATGATTCGGGAGACCAATGTTCCCCTTCCTCAGTAAGCCCCTCCTTGCGAAGTTCGGGGCCATGCACTTTTCCACGTCTTGGGCGTAACTTAGGTTGGTACTTTACAATGCAAACGTAAACATGAGGCGCACTGATTTAATAGGTTGCTGGCATAGTACTGAGTCTCCCTCCGTCCGTGAGGACCACCATGCCGTTACAATACGCCCCTCCCCGGGAAGCCAGATACAGAATGGTCCCGGCTATATCGTTGGCGTCACCAGTCCGTCCAGCGGGGATGGTTGCCAGAAGTGCATCCTGGTCGACGTCCAGGGCCGGGCTCGACATTTCTGTAGGATACACTGATTTTTGCCTAGGTTAGCCTGTAGTAGTTCAGATGGAAGGTAAGAGGATAGCGCAAGTTAACTAACATCCAGGAGCAATCGCATTGCAACGAATTTGAAAAGGAACCAGATAAGTCGACAGCTGCTTCATCAAGTGTATGACGGCGGCCTTGCTGGTAGCATACGCGAAGCCGCTGGGGGCTGTTCGGTTGAAAGCCGTGATGCTCGCGGTGGTGACGATCTGGCTGGAAAATCCAACGTTCTTCTGCCTGTTCCCCGCGTCCAGCAACTTCAGAAACGCAAGCACGGTGTAGAAGGTGCCGGCGTCGTTGACCCTATAGGTACTGAGGAATGACTCAAACGGGGTGCTCCACCAGGCGTCGAATACGTCCGATATCGACGCTCCGGCTGGGATCCGGGGCGGATACGGCCCTGGCACGCCGGCATTGGCAACCAACAGATTTACATGGCCAACCTGGTTCTTGATTGCTTCTGTCGCCTTGATGAGGCTGTCCTGAGACGTGATATCGCACTGAATCGGGAACAGATTCCCAAATTTCTATTCGTGCCTTTTATATCAGCGACAGGAGTGTGCAGAGAACGTTTGGGAAAACTGACCGACTGTTTACTGGCCTCCTCTAGTTTGGCTGGGTTGATGTCGAGGATAAACACTTTCGCCCCGTTGGCCTCCAGGGCCCGGGCCATCAGCAACCCGATGCCTTGAGTATGGTCGAATTAGTCTTGGGGTAATTACGAAGCACAGCTGGGGGGCAAGGCTAAGGTGCTCACCTCCGCCTGCACCTGTCACAGCTGCGACCAAGCCGTTGACATTGAACAGGTCGGCCGCGCTAGGAACGGGTTCTGCAGTGATTGTCATGGCACTTTTTTTCCAGACTGAGAACGCAAAAATGGCGTAATTAAAGCTGGGATCAATGGTTTTCTTCTCCGGTAGCAATGCGAATGAACGACCGGATATGAATGCGTTTGGATGTTGAACTCTTGCGTCGTCCGGAGTGTTCCCGAAATCGCGTGCCGAGGAGAAAATTGGGGACCGGCGCTCTTTCATTTTACCTTCCGTTACCGGAGTTCCGAGCAGGGCCGGAGGTACCTAACCTAGCATTCGACCGGAACCCCGCAGGCCCGCGCATCGAGGGTGTGAGTCATCAGCCCCACGATGAATGGCATGGCACGAACTTCGCCATAATGTGCTTACATTCCGTCTTCACCATGTGACGAAACATAACGAAACATTGTGTTGCTCTCTTACCCCTCCGCTCTGTTCTTCTCCAAAACCGGAGGGAAATCTTGTTCAAACACCGCATAATCAAGACAAGCTCGTTCGTTCCTTAGCCCACGATGCCGCGCCCAAACGAAGTATTTCTCTCGCTGCCGGATGACACCCCGAAGTCCAGCACAACGACGATCAATATTGCCGGATTCCATGTGCACCTTTACGGTGTCAGCGAGCTGACTCCCGAACAAGCCAAGGACACAGTGGTGCTTTTCCACATCCACGGCCGGACGAGGACGTACAAGGATGCCGAGGCGATTGGACACCAGCTCCTGCACCAGATTAGACAACGGGGCGGCAACAAGAAAGGTCTTGTCATCGCCACGTTTGACAATCGCAATCATGGCTCAAGAACGGTGCGTTGACGTGTGCCTTGCCCCATGTGTTCCTTGCTTCTCGCTGCCGTGCTCTTGGCTAATACGAAACTGGAATCCAGGTTGACAACAATGCCATGTAAGCTTGTATAATCTGTCCTTCTCCTAAATACACTCCAAGGCTCACAAGGACACGCTGCAGCAACGACTGGAAGAGCGGAAACCCGCGACACGCGTATGTGTTCTCTGTTCTCCCCCTCTGTTCTCTCCCTATGTTCTCTCCCTCTGTTCTCTCCCTCTGTTCTCTCCCTCTGTTCTCTCCCTCTGTTCTCTCCCTCTGTTCTCTCCCTCTGTTCTCTCCCTCTGTTCTCTCCCTCTTGTTATCTTGCCAAGAATGTAAATCGGGTTTTCTTCTTTTTCTGACTGGAATGCAGGCAAGACATGCTTTCAACGATGGGTAAGGATCTTCCTTCCACATGCAAATCGCTAATAATTCTCGGCCTTGATTTATCTGACACCCCCTGTTCACTTGCATAGACGGAATCGTCACCGACGTCCAGACCGTCATCACCTTCCTCGAGAGCTACGTGGACGGCATCTTCCGGCCGACCCAGTTCATCGTCACCGGCCTGTCGCTTGGCGGCCACGCCAGCTGGGACGTGCTCGCCCGGGACCCCCGCGTCAACGCGGCCGTCATCGTGGTCGGTTGCCCGGACCTGACCGCCATGCTCCTCGACCGCCTCGGCGGCTACTCGTCGACGGCCGACGTGCCGTCCGGCACGGAAAAGTGGCCCAAGTCGGTGGAGAGACTCTACCTCGCGCGGGACCGGAGCTTGACGGAGATTCGGGGGAAGAAGATACTTGTGCTCAACGGGGCCGAGGATCCCCTGGTGCCGAGCCGGTTCACGCGGCCGTGGGTCGAGAAATACGCCGCCAACAACGACGTCATCTTCGTCGAGCAGGAGGATACTGGCCATTGGATGTCGTATCAGATGATGGAGAGGATTGAGGACTGGCTGCAGCAGTTCTTGAACTGAGAACTCTTGTGACCTAGGTTTTGTTTAGGGAAGTTGACATGCTGTCTGACGCCTTCAAGATCGGTGTGGTTTGTGATTATGATGATACACTGCCTTCACAAGCTTTATTAACTTGTCTACTCAGAGGAAAACCACCAGATCCCCGAAGTCGCCTGGGCTCCAGTATTTGGAAAGGCAAAGTCGTTGCTTGTCCCTGCTTCAGACGCCGATAGGAATTGAGAATCAGAAAGGACTGCAAGCGTCATGTTAGCACATGGTTAGAAACGATCTCAGGAAAAGGCTAGAGCTCTCGCTATACGTACGCTTCTCGATGTCCAACACAGACTCGTTGAACATGTCCTTGTCGAACATCGAATCGTCGATAAAACCGGTCATCAACCCACCAGGCGGTTCTGGCGGCTGGCCGACACTCGTATCAGGAAAAGCAAACTGACTAGGTCGATCTAGGCCTACCGCCGCCGCCTGCCAGGCCGCCGCCTCGGTGGTTCCCCCACGGCCCCACGGCGATGGTTCCCTCTGAGAGGCAGCCGCCGCATTCACACGGCCATTCCCATTCCAAATGCCATTCCCACCACTCCCACTCCCTCTCCCTCTCCCAGCCTCATCCACTCCCTGCCCAGCGCCACGCGCATCCGCATCCTCATCATGCGCAAGTATCTCAGCGATCTCCTTCCTAACGACCTCTCGCGCCAAGTTCTCCAGCAGGGCCAACCCCTGCCCTGACACGACGACCTTCCGGCGCAGGCGCCTCTGCATGCGGATGATACGCCTCAGCCCCTGCTTGGCCTCCCACGCCCTGCGGCTTAGCGGGTCGCTGTTTGCGAAGACGCTGAGCACGACGCCCGCCGTGAACAGGTGGATGCCCACGTACGACACCGCGTGCGCCTGCTGGCCGCGCCCGAAGATGTGGTGCCCGCCGATGCGCGAGATGCGCAGCGCCGCGCGCCAGCACGCGTCCACGGACCGCGAGAAGGCGTCGCGCGTGGGTTGCTGGTTGCTGTTGCTGCTCCGTAGCGCTAGGATGGGCCGGTGGATCAGGATCAGCGCGTTGTCGTACGCGAGCTGTAGGAGCAGCGCTTGCATGCCGTAGATGCCGTTGCGGATCCGCCGACGCCGCTGCTGCGTTGCCTCGCAGCCCTTGAGGAGGTCGTCGCTTGCCGGGATGATGATTTCGTCGTCGTCGTTGTTGTCGTTGTCGTTGTCATCACCGTCAATGGCCACGAGCCCGTTGTATGGCGGGTACGACATGTCGTCGGACAGGCGGAGGGCCGCGGGGAGGTCGTTGTGCCAGTTGCGCAGCTTGGCTTCGAGCCTCTGGGCAGTTTCGATCAGTCCTTCTGCCTTGGGCTGCTGCAACGCCTCCGGGGCTGATGCAGCCGGCTCGAATTTAGACAGGATGGGGTTCCGTCCACCGCTAGACGGCCTGTAGAGACAAGATATGATCTCGCCAAGAATGATGTAAACGTGCAATTTGTAGGTCTGGTAAGTGAGAAGCGTGACGGGGCCGCCACCGCCACCTCCACCACCGGTCGGAGTCGGTCCGGCGAGGTCGTCTTCGATCATCAGGAACGAAGAGCATCCTGGGAGGGGATAGACGTCGTCCTCGCACGGCGTCCCGGCAAGGCAGTCATCGTCCGACATGACGAGCGGGAGACCGTAGCACATGGCCAGGAAGCGGTCTGCCGTGTGGACGGCCCAGAACAGCCGCCGCCTCAGTTGGCACCTCTCGGCGTGGGCCATGCGCTGGTAGTAGGGCGACTTCCACCGTCGCTCTGAGCCGTCCCTGTGCAGGCCCAGGGCCTGGGCTGTGCGGATGGTCGACCCCGAGTAGGCCCACGCCAGGTTAGACTCGCCGTGGAAGAGGCACAGACTGCCCAGCAAGAGGAGTGACTGCACTGTGGCCAGTGTCCCGCAAGCAAGGTTGTCGGTGGTGTTGCTCCGGACGACGGAGAATAGCTGGGATGTGGTATTCACAATGTCGAACTCGTTCCCGTTCCCGTTCCCGTTCCCGTTCCCGTCAGCTGCGGCAGAGCTGCCGACGCCATAGGGTTGTTGCGATGTGCGGCAGATCCCGGCGTATATCTCCTTGCATCGCTTGGCGCGGGCCGAGTGGATGGATGTGTATCGACCCCCCAGAACGATCACTGTCAGGACAAGTACGGAGAAGGTAAAGTCCTCGTCCGTATTGAACACCAGCTTCGGGTCCTGGTCATAGAGATCCATCATGGACTTGTAGTGATGCAGAAAGTGCCCTTCGTGCAGCACGACCATGAACCAATGCACCGTGTTGAAATAGACGGCAACCAAGTAGTCGGCAACGGGCCGAGGAGGTAGGTGGGCCAGCAAGGACGCTGCCGATGCCCTCGAGTGTGACCATGGGAGCACTGCGCGATATTGGGGGTCGATGATGCTGCTGGTCGCCGACGGCGACTCCATCGTCTCTCCTCCCCGATCGCCAGCCACGAGGCCCAACCTCGTCGCCAGCAGCGCCGCAGGGGAGCCGTAGCCTTCCTGTTGCTGCTCGGAGGGGTTCGTGCTCTCCATCAGGTGGCCGGGGGTTAGGGCGAACAGGTTGGTGTTCATGTTGGCCTCCTTCACTTCGATGATGCCGGCGTCGTCCTCGTCCCTTCCCTCGATGTTGACGTCGCCGTCTTCCCCGCCGACGCCATCGCCATCGCCATCGCCGTTGCCATCGCCGCCGCCCCGTTCGGGGCTACCAGTACCGCCGCCTGCCTGGCCTGAGTAGGCCGACTCTGCTCGGAGGACATGCCGTGTCGGAGAGATCTGGCGAGCCCTTGCGACGACGGGAGTATCGCCGCTCGGGTGGCCGCTGGTGTCAAGCCTCCGAACCTTGGCTGGACGCTCCTCCGGCGGATTGGAAGATGCCAATCGCACATTATGTTGAACTTCACTCCCGGCGCCGTCGGACCTACTCCTGTGATTGTGAGAGCGACTAATGCACTCAACACCGGCCTTCACGCACATGGAACAAGGCCGGAAAGCATCGCACTGTGGCGGCAGTGAGTGAGCCTCTCTGCCTATGTCTGACGGCGATTAGGACATAAATGTGGGGATGAACATACCTTGGATTTCTGCTTCCGGCATCGCACGCACGCGCGCACAATCTGCCGGGTCGTAGCAAACGAGTCTTCACTGTGGTCGCCGGCCCGGACTGACGGCGATTGCTGGGGTGCAAGCTCAGCTGTCTGGGCTTCCAGGCAGACGTTGATTGTCGACGACATGCCGGGCTCCGACAACGATAAACACCAGCAACTTTCCTTTCAGTCGGGGCCGGAGGATACGAGCAGGGTTGAGCGATTGCGACTCTCGGGAGACGCGGCCAAGGAGTCTCGGCACCCACCCGTCAACAATTACCGCGCACTAGTCCATGCCACTAGACCCATTTATTTCCCCGCGCTGGCGAAGCTAGAGATATTCGGAGTCAAAGTGGGACATGACCTCTTAACCTTGGTAATCGGTAATAAGTGCACTAGTCTTGATAGTAGAACGAACCGAGGCTTAAGGTCCAGATTCATAACCCTAACCCTAGTATTTGGTGAATCGAGAAGCCCCTGAATTCCAGGCCGGAGGGCCGGAGCGGCGGGGCATCCCAGATTGCCGCCGCAAAGCAAACCGGAGCTCCGTTCCAGCTACCAAGGTCAAACCCAACCAAGCGAACAACACTTGCTTCGAGTAACTCTCTTCAAGGAGATAGCACAGCGCCTGCAGTTGTTATATTACCGCCATCGTAGCTCAAAATGGCATTTCTCCTTTTTTTCCCATCCCCAAAGTTGCCTGCATTGACACAGCCAAAAGATCCGCCTCCAAGCCACAAATATCACCATCTTCTCAATCCCCGAATCCAACATAAACACGTCAAATCAGTGCTGCAGCTCCAATGACGATAGACGAAGGACCCGCGGCCGCATTAGCTGGCGAATACCCCAACCGGGTCGATTCTACCCATGCTCATGTCCCAAAAGTTCCCAGCGCTAAAGCTGCCGACCGCGTCGCCGCCACCGCTTGGAGGGTAGACAGTCATGAAATCGACCATGTCCGTCCCATGAAGGTTATAGTCATCGGTGCGGGCATTTCCGGCATTCTCGCCGCCATTCGATTTCCTCGCCGCATCGCAAACGTGGATCTCGTCGTCTACGACAAGAACCCAGAGATCGGCGGGACCTGGTACGAGAACAAATATCCTGGTGTTGCGTGCGGTATGTATTTAATGGAGTCCCCGTCCCCCCTTTTTTTTCGGAATAACCTGGTTTAGCAAACAGCACATGTATATGTATTTAACTAACTGGGCCCGTACAGACATTCCCGCCCATGTTTACCAGGCCTCCTTCGAGCCCAACCCGAATTGGACGCAGTTCTATGCATCAGGAGGGGAGATTCTCGAGTACTGGAAAGGTATCGTGGACAAGTACGACGTGAGGAAGTATATGAAATTGAGTCACAAGATTATCGAGGCAAGATTCAACGACGCCGACTCGAAATGGCATGTCAAGGTTGAGAACTGCCTCACCGGCGAGGTCGTCGAGGACACATGCGACGTCCTCTACGCCTGCATTGGCTCCCTCAACGACTGGCACTGGCCCGACATCCCCGGCCTCCACTCTTTCAAGGGCAAGCTCCTCCACACGGCCGCGTGGGACCAGGATTGGGACCCTACCGGCGCCTCTGTCGCCGTCATCGGGTCGGGATCGAGCGCCATCCAGGTCGTCCCCGCCATCCAGCCAAAGGTCAAGCATCTCGACAACTACGTCCGCGGACAGGCCTGGATCGCGCCTCCCGTTGCCGAGGCCGAGGTACGCAAGCACACTCTCACCGAGTCCAACTTCAAGTTCTCCGCCGACGAGCTGCGGGATTTCAACGAGAGGCCAGAGGCGCTACTGGCCTACCGCAAGATGCTAGACAGCGAGATCCAGTCCATGACCAAGGTCACCCTCCGTGGCAAGCTCGCAGACCAGGCGGCCGAAGCCTTCACCAAGAACATGAGCGCCAAACTGGCCAAGAAGCCCGAGATTCTCGACAAGATCCTACCTTCCTTCACCCCGGGCTGCCGGCGCATCACCCCCGGGCCGGGCTACCTCGAGGCCCTGACCGAGGACAACGTATCGTTCGTCTCGGACGCCATATCGCAAGTGACCGAGGAGGGGATCGTCACCACCGACGGCACCGTCCGGAAGGTGGACGCCATCATCTGCGCCACGGGCTTCGACACCTCCTTCACGGGGCGGTTCCCCATCATCGGTTCCGCCGGCATCGACCTGGACGCCAAGTGGCGCGACTACCCGGACACGTACATCGGCCTGTGCACGCCGGGCTTGCCCAACTTCTTCATCGCCCACGGGCCCAACGCCGGCCTGGGCGTCGGGTCGGTCAGCATCGTGCTGGAGCGGACGTGCGACTACGTGTGCGCCGTGGTGGCCAAGATGCAGCGCGACCGCATCGCCACCATCCAGCCTCGGCGCGACGCCACCGACGCTTTCGTTGCCTTCTGCGGGGAGTATTTCTCCCGCACCGTGTTCTCACTGCCGTGTCGGTCGTGGTACAAGCGCGGCACCGTCGACGGGCCCGTCACGGCGCTGTGGCCCGGCTCGGCGCTGCACTTCGTCAAGACGCTGGAGAGGCCGCGGTTCGAGGACTACGAGTACACTTATGTCGAGGGGAACCCCGTCGCGTGGCTCGGGAACGGCTTCACTGTGTGCGAGAGGGATGCCAAGTCGGACAAGTCCAAGTACCTTGATCCTGAGAGTATCGATTATCCGTCGATAACTGTCCCATCCGCTTGAGAGTCGAAGCTTGTTGAGATATGTCGGTGTTAGAAATATTTCGTGGCCCAAATAGAATCTTCCTTGTTACGCCCACCCGAAGGGCTCTAAGTTCCCTTGGACATGCGTTGTGTTCTCTGTGCGTTCTTCCATTGTCCTGTTCTGATTACCCCTCCTACCTCCACTTACGTGGCCGAGGCACTTGACGGTGCCAATGGTAGCTGAGGCTGAATTGCGGCGGAAGGGGGTCTGTACTGCGCCTAGACCCTAGTCAGGGCACGCAGGTGCTGCGCTAGCAGGAGACCGCTCGCCCTACCGCCAATGATAAGGAGAGTTTTGTGGGCTATGGTGAACTATGATTTGTTATTGGCAAATGTCATACGATTTGCCGCCGGCAAATGTTTGCCGAAATCGACTTGCCAGAACTAGCCTCCAGGGGTGGTTGCAAATCTGCTATGCTATCTAGTTACCTACTGCGTATGCATGGCTCGGCATGGATGGTTTCAGCTAATGTGTACGGTGAGGTGATAATGGCATACTTAACCACGGCCTGGAACTTGGTTGCAAAGGACATGACGCCATGGCAAGGCTTAGCGTTGCGAGATGGCGGGCCCAAGAAGTGGAACCAAGGATCATTTGAGGTCGTTAGGTGCAGCCTGACGCACTTCTCACGAGGGCCTGATAAATGCAAGGCACTATGCATGCAGTACTGTGGCAGAAGTGGTATCCTGACTGTCTGCAGCCTGCATGCATCCATCTTTTTTGCCACCCCCTGATTCTGGTACCGTTGTATTCTGCAATAGATTACGCTAGGGTTGGACGTTCTCGCTAATATTTTAAGGTAGAGAAATTAGTCTCGTGGCATCTTGTTTTGGTTGCTGGTATACGGTTAGGGCTGCTTGATTTGAGTCATTAGCCCCCATTGGTCTACAATGAGTTGACACATCATATTTTCCCCTGATCTCTGTGATCTGGGTGACGGAATTGTGGGCAACCCGCTAATCTAATCCTAGAGTCAATCGCCTTGGTGGACCAAGATTGCACCGGCTAAGGCACGGGTTAGGATTATCACTCTGAAGTGAATGGTTGAGATGTATCAAAGAGTCAGGACGCCGCCTGTTTTGCGTAGGGTATAAACTGGAACAATTTCCAAATCACTTCTACGGCATAGTGACCAAGGATGAGTCGCTTTTGCAGCGATTCTACTCCCTGATGCACTAGGTCGCGATATCGGATGGCATCCTGGAGAAAATATTTGCGGATTTCGTGGTCTTCACCCATTTGCGCATATTCTGCCCGCAATTAGTATTTGCCCAGAGAGTCACGGGATATTGAGACGAATCACGTACCTCCAGAGCAGTGGACTCATCGCCGCATGGCCGTCGGCGCAAGTTAGCTATCTGTGGAACCAATCGCAGAATCAGACGCCAGCGAGTGGTGGAAATCCTCGCAGACCAACATAAAGGGCAGCTACCTGTTCACGAAATACTTCAATACATTGGAATGAAAGTGGAAATACATGGTTATTGTGCCGGTTGCCTCTTGCAAGGATAATTTTTGTATCGCGAAATTAGTCGGTGGCGAATTACCAAGGGATTTCCTGGCAGCTAATTAGGGGTCGGGCATCCACACGAGCCAGAAGCACTCTGGCAGCCGGATGTCAAGGTATTACAGGTTATAAACGTGCGGTAATCTCTACATCGTTTTCACAACATAAGTAAGGTAACTGGACTCTAACATCAATAATCTAACATCAATCCGCTGGTAGTTTCGTACAGTCTCACGACACTGTCGAGATGGAAGCAGTGCACCGGTTTCCACAGGCTCAGCCCCCCAACAGCCGGCCGGCAAGCGCATGGGGATGCTGTCTCCAAGGCGTGACCCTTGTCTAGTGTGATCGCTTTGACCCGACCTTATGTTCCCTCCACGTGTTATTGACGAGCTACTGTTTGGGGCTGCAGGGTGGCATCTATCCGATGGGGCTGTGATGGATCGATCCAGGAGCTAGTTCCTTGTCCTAGCATCGTGGTTGCTCACTTCCCCAGAACCAGCAATGTTTTGCATATGAAGACCTTGCAGCTCGCTAAACCCAGAATGCCTAGGCACGCTATGCATCATGGCCTCGCTGACAGGATATGGCGTCTCTAACACGAGAGCCATCTGGGGCTGGTCCCACTGGATAGGACAATAGTTGCCAGGCTAAATGTCAACGTGGAGAAAGTGGCGAGGAGGAGGAATCAAGCAGAAGTCGGAAATAATTCCTTATTATTATGTTCAGGCCTCCGTGCCTGTGGTTTGGCACCAGCACGCCACTTGTCAACAACAAGCAGCAAGCAACAGCTGAACTCTACTGATCTCGGGGGCAGCACGCCATGACTTGGGTACAGAACGCAACCCCCGAAGTCGACGCTCAGTCCGAGTACCCGACCATCATCGCCGTCTGCAGCGTGCTCTCCGTCTTGTCGATTGCCACGGTCTCTACGAGGCTATGGATCCGATTCTCAGGCTACGGCCTCTGGGCTGACGACTGGTTTTCGGCCCTGTCCATGACCTTTGCACTCATCTACTCCATCCTCTGCATTGTCCGTGAGTAACTTCCCTCCTCAAATGCATGCACACAGACTAGCGATGCTCACAACGCCTGTTGCGCACACATAGAAACGAGGCTTGGTCTTGGACTGCCCATTGCCCTTAGACCTGAGGCGAATCTGGTCCTGTTTACTCGAGTCAACTTCGCGGGACGACCCATATACCAGATCGGAGTTAGCTTCTTCAAGATCGCTCTGCTCGTCAGCTATCTGCGCCTCTTTAAAGGAACAAACCAGATGACATACCGAAGGCTGGTATGGGGGTGCATTGTCTTGGTCTTTGCCGCACACCTGGCCTGCACGTTTGCCTTGGTTTTTGCTTGCTCGCCGGTGCGTCCATCCAACCCCAGGTTGCTAATCCGTCAGGCCTTTCTCCGATACTGATGGTATTACACACAGATCGATAAATCGTGGAATCCCTTGAAAGAAGGGAGTTGCCTCCCCTCCGGACCCTCATTCAGAGCCTACGCCATCGTCACCATCCTGTGTGACGTGATCGTCGCTGTCTTGCCGGTTCCTGTGCTTCTCCGGCTCAACATACATAAGAACAAAAAGGTCGCACTCATCGGCATCTTCCTTCTCGGTCTCTTCACCACCATCTGTTCGATCTTGCGATGCATCCAGATCAATCGCATCCAGTATGGTGATGGCAACTCAACACAACTCGTCTTATGGGGAACAGTTGAGTTCAACGTCGGTGTAGGTGTCGCCTTCTTTCGCTGAAGCAGTTCGTCTGGAAAGCTAACAAATACCTTCCTTCGGCAGAACATGGTCTCTTCCCTGCCCTTCCTGGCCCCGGCATTCATGCGACGGGCCAACGAGTACGTGTCCAACAGCAAAGGAGAGTCACGCGAAAGGTCTAGGCATCTGGGGGCAGGTGGCTCCCAAGCCTACAAGCTCAGTAGTGTCAACCGCTGCACCGCATTCGTCAGCGGGCACCACAACGACAGCGACGAGAACATCCTGGTGGTGCAGCAGCCGGATAACTCCATCATCAAGTCAGTCACGTATACTGTCAGGGTCGAGGACGAGGAAGATGCAATCAAGCGCGACGAGCCCCGTGCGCTCTAGGCCATTGGTTTGGCGAAGCGAGATTCTGTTCCCGCCAAGGTGTAAGGCCTGCGTGGGTGTCTCAGGGAAATCGTTTCTGATCTGTGCGTGAGCAGGGCCCCGACCTGACCTCTTGGGCAACTACACTAGTAAACTCCGTAATAATGCGAAACCCCTGTTGTGGAGTGGCGTGGCGCGCAAACGACTTCAATCTAGTTGATTAGTGTACCACGAGATGAAGTATAGTTTACTAATGCGTAAGGAACCCCGGCCCTCTTCCCGATGGGCAGCAATCCCTACTCCCCGCAGACAACTCCAGTAACATTCTCCGCGTTATCGCATTCCACCTTTGCTAGCGTACTCGTGCCAGACACAATCAATCGACGCCCGCAAATGTCAAGTCATGACACGGTGCCGCTCAGGAAAATACCATATTCGCCTTGCACTCTTCCTGCCACATTCGTGACAAGATTTACTGGAGGAGATTGAAATAGGCGATGGGAGACAAGTGAAGGCCAGATGCCTTGAAATGTGCAGGCAGTAGCTAATTATACCCAACCGCTTACAAGAGAATAATTACTTAGGAAAATGACCGACCAAACAGCCTCAGTATCCCATACTAGCTGTAGGGCGCGTACACCTGGTTGACAGGCAACCCGTTACTCCATGTACCGAAACTGTGGATGCTTATGGCCCAGCTTGCGAAGTTCCTCCTCGGACAGATTGTGTAGGCGGTGGTCACGCTTGCCCTGAGCGCGGATCTTGTTCTCGTACTTACAGTGAGCGAGACCAAAAGCAGCTAAGAAAAAGCAGAATAACTGCAAAGAGAGGTTTATGGAGTGCCCGATGTGAAATTTAGGAGAGTCGGTTGAGAGATAGGTCCACCTAGACAAGGTGAACTCAGCAGCGAACAAAACAGATAGGCAGGGAGTAAGGGAGACTTACGTCGATAGGACACCTCCGATGCTGCCAATGGACACCATGTAACCCCCGGCAACGGCGGCGACAGCAGGGTTGTTGGTGTCTGTTGAGGATCAGTATTGAACCTTGGGCAACCAACGATTCCAGAAAGAAAAAGAAAGAGAAAAGAGAAAAGAGAAAAGAGAAAAGAGAAAAGAGAAAAGAGAAAAGAGAAAAGAGAAAAGAGAAAAGAGAAAAGAGAAAAGAGAAAAGAGAACGCACACACAACGCACACATAGGGGGAGAGGGAGGAGAGAGAGGGAGAGTGAGAGCTTACTATTGATGCCCCAACTCAAGAACCCCGAGCTCGCAGCAAAGATACCGATCGCGCTCAGAAAAACGGCGGCGTACTTGGTGTGGACGTCCTCGGAGAAGCGCAGCATGAAGTATCCGGTGATGGAAAACACCACAGAGCCGAGCATGAAAATGCCACGCTTGTTGACGCGGTCGCTAGCGTGACCCAGCGCCACGGTGACGCAACAGGCGACCACGTAAGGCGGAACCGAGTACAGCTGAGCCTTGGTCGAGGTCCAGCCGAACTCCTTAAGTATGGTGGGCACGAACGCGCCCATGCCCTGTACGGCCGAGTTGGTACAGAAGAAACACCAGGCGCACACATTGGTGTGGATGTTGAAAATTGCTTGGCGGACGTGGTGCCACGTCACCGCCTCCTTCGGATTCTGCATACACCAAGGTTAAAAAAGAAAAGAAAAGAAAAGGCTCCCATGAGAGTAGGAGCCGGACTATCGCACGCACCGCATCATGCTCGCGCCGCATGCGCTCGCCAGCAATGTAGCGCTGGCGCGGAGTAAGGTACTTCCATGAACCCGGGCTCTGGGGCATGAAAAAGGTAGCCCCTATGGCGATGAGCATCGTGACCAGACCCTCAAAGAAGAAGATGTTGCGCCAGCTAATTAGATAGTCGGGTATCAGGTCAGCGGGCAGGAGGCCTTATGTACTGCAAGAGGACCGGGAAAAGAGTCACTTACGTATCGATGGTCGTAGCAGCGGTGCCCCAGGGTGGGATGGAACTAATAGTAAACGCGACGGGTGAGCGAGGATCACGAACCGAGGCGCACGGCCAGATACAATACGATCTAATATCATACCTTAGAGCAGCAGCTAGAAGCCCTCCAAATGAGCTGGCTAGCGCACTTGATGCGATGAAGATGCTCATCCGGAAGAAGAGCTCGGCTTTCTTGTAAAAGCAGCTGAGGAAGAAAGCAGTGGCTGGCATAGCACCACCCTCGAAGATGCCTAGGAAGGCGCGTGTCACAGCCAGGCTGGCGTATGACTGGACGAAGGCTGTACATAGGGAGATAAGCCCAAAGCAGAATACAAGCATGGGCACTGCACGCGGTGGTTAGTATTCAATATTGGCTTCAGGGGGGGAAGGAGTGGGGATTTGGCTGCGTAGCAGTGGATACGGGTGGAGAGAAGGCATTATCCATACTGTAAAAGCGTGGTCCGAAACGTTTGAGGATGACATTGCTTGGGACTTCGACGCTGCAAATGTGATAGCACAAGAGAATATTCTTTAGCAAAGTCCCGGGTGCCATGCGCGGGGTACAATTAACGGGAGCACAAACCTCAAATAAGTGATGAAGAAGATGGAAAGCACGATGTTGTAGCGGTACTTGATCAAGTTGAGGTCGCTAGCCATTCCTTCGATCTTGGCATTTCTGCGGAACATTAGTTCGGTCAACTCGTCTTGTTGTTCGAGCTGTTGCCATCCGAGTCACCACTCACCCAATGTTGGCTCGGTCGATCGCACAGCACATGTCTTTGAAGGACATTGGGAGTTAGCACACACCGCCTTGACATGGCTTTAAGAAAACAAAATAGATGGAGAGTGAAAGGGGTTAGAAACTCACATAAAATCGTCACCATGGGGACAATTGTAAGATCAAACTTTCGGCGGATGGCTGTTTCCTCCGCGGTGGTCCACTCAGCGTCTATCTCTATATTAGCCTCGTCAACAGCACCAGTGCCAGTGTGGCTGGAGCCAGTTGAGTCTGCCTGGAAGACATCATCGCCTGACTTCTCCGCCATAGTTGCCATGGTGATGTGAAGAATGGGGACGAATAACGAGAAGTTTTGCTCCGATAATTATAGGAAGAAGGAGTCAGCTTAAAGTTGGTGGTGTCTCGAGTCCCGACACGTCCAGGCATCATCCCCTTTATTATCATCGCCCAAGCTGAAGCTGGCTGAATCTCGACATCGCTTATCTGTCGTATTTCTCCCCCTTTCGTCTTGCTTGGTATTTAACCCCGCTTACCCCAGATATGCCCAGCCTTGCTATCTTGCTATCAACAGTAAGAGGTTAGATGCCTCCGCTTTCGGCTCCACTATCCACCCCTATCCACATACACTAGTATACGTGTACGCTGATTGATCGGGCTTTTGCTGCCGCCGGCGAGTGGGGCCGTCTTGGATCGGCTGCAAGAAACCGGCACGTGACAGGGACAGGCCCGACGAAGTCAGTGTCGGTTCAAGCTAGACTCATGGGTTGGGAGAGCGGAGAGCTAGATCGCCATAGCGTCCGATATGGGGTAGCAGAGCGCCGGTGTGGATCCCCGTTGATGACGCATGTTTCAAGTCTAAGAGCATGACCCGAGAGGCATAACTACGGCTCCGTACGAGCCCTCTCGACGGCAGCAGATCGGACTCATCGCCGCCAACAAAGGTTTCCCAGTTGACGATATAGGGTACCATCCATAACGCCCATCCTCCCTCCCTTATACCTCCCCTTACTCCCAACTCTTTCTGACTACTTCCTCTACTCCCTCAGCTGCCATACTTCTCCCTCGGCTGCCATACTCCCTACTGGAGCTCTTCCCCCCCCTCATCCACCATGGCTCCCAAGATCACCATCTCCATTGATCGTGGAGGCACCTTCACCGATGTCCACGCCATTGTCCCTGGCAAGAATGACATCGTGTTGAAGCTGTTGTCGGTCGATCCCGCCAACTATTCCGATGCCCCGACTGAGGGCATCCGCCGCGTGCTTGAGGCCGCAACGGGCGAGATAATCCCGCGCGGCGTCCCGCTGCGCCTCGACGGCATCGAGTGTCTGCGCATGGGGACTACAGTCGCAACCAATGCTCTGCTCGAGCGCAAGGGCACTCGTTCCGCGTTGCTGACCACCAAGGGCTTCCGCGACCTGCTGCGCATCGGCAACCAGGCCCGGCCTGATATCTTCGACCTGTCGGCGGCAAGACCGGACGTTCTGTTCAAAGCTGTTGTCGAGGTGGACGAGCGCGTCATTCCCGCCCACCCTCGTGCCGACAAGGCGGCCCTTGCTCCTTACCGTTCCATCCTGGGAACGACAGGGGAGACCTACCACGTCCTGCAGGAGCTTGACGTTGCAGCCGTCACGGCCGATCTCCGGTCGCTCAAGGAGCAGGGGTTCGGCTCTGTCGCCGTCGCTCTTATCAACTCGTTTGCCTGCCCCGAGCATGAGCGCACCATCGGCGACATAGCCTCGAGCCTCGGCCTGTCGGTTGCGCTGTCGTCGACCCTGCAACCCATGATCAAGGTCGTGCCGCGCGGTATGTCGGCGACGGCCGATGCCTACCTGACCCCCGTCATCAAAGACTATGTTGATGCCATCTCGGCCAACTTTGAGGGGGGCCTCGCCGGTGCCCATGGCTGCCGGGTCGAGTTCATGCAATCAGACGGCGGCCTGGTCGACTTCCGCCACTTCAGTGGTCTGCGTGCGATTCTGTCAGGCCCGGCTGCCGGCGTCGTCGGCTTCTCGGCCACCAGCTGGGATCCCGAGGCTCGGGTACCGATCATCGGCCTCGACATGGGCGGCACCTCGACCGACGTGTCGCGCTTCGACGGCAATCTAGAACACACCTTCTCCTCGAGCATCTCTGGCGTCAGCATCCAGGCGCCGCAGCTCGACATCAACACTGTCGCCGCAGGCGGTGGATCCATCCTGTCATGGCGCAATGGTCTGTTCATGGTCGGTCCCGAGTCTGCCTCGGCACATCCGGGTCCGGCCTGCTACCGTAAGGGCGGGCCTCTGACTGTGACGGATGCCAACCTCTTTCTCGGAAGGTTGCTGCCCGAGTACTTCCCCAAGATCTTCGGCCCCAACGAGGACCAACCGCTTGACCGTGACATCACCACCAAGCTATTTACCGAGCTGACCGACAAGATTAACGCCGATCAGTCGGTCCATTATACGCCCGAGCAGGTCGCCCTCGGGTTCCTCAAGGTTGCTGACGAGTCCATGACACGGCCGATTCGCAACCTAACCGAGGCGCGCGGCTTTGAGACTTCCTCTCACCATCTCGCCTGCTTCGGTGGGGCGGGTGGTCAGCACGCGTGCAACGTGGCGGCGTCGCTGGGTATATCGCGCGTCATCGTGCACCGCTACTCGTCTATCCTCTCGGCGTATGGCCTAGCGCTGGCGGACATTGTGCACGAGGCCCAGGAGCCCATGGCTGCCGAGTTTTACGCCGCCAAGGCGTCCATCGCCGATCGTCTGCGAGGGCTCCAGAAGCGTTCCGCGGCCCATCTCAGCACCCAGGGCTTCGGGCCCGAGCACCTGCGGCACGAGCTGTTCCTCAATATGCGCTACGAGGGGTCCGACACCAGCCTGATGATTCTAGAGCCCGCGGATGGCGACTTTGCCGCGGCCTTTGTCGAGCGCCACCGCCGCGAGTTCAGCTTCGCTCTGGACCGTCCCGTCTTGGTGGACGACGTGCGCGTGCGGACGGTTGCCGCGTCGGGGACCGTCACCGAAAAGAGTCCGCTGCGCCAGCTGGAGGAAGCGACACTCCGCGAGGCCAGCGCCCCAACCAAGGTCAGCCCCGTCTACTTCGACGCCGAGTTCGGGTTTATCGACACACCGGTCTACAAGCTGCTAGACCTTGGGAAGAACGTCCGCCTGCACGGCCCCGCCATCATCATCGACGAGACGCAGACCATCGTCGTGGCGCCCGCCGCCGTCGCATATGTGCTGCAGACGTGCCTCCTCATCGACCTCGAGGCCGATACTAAGGCCGACGCCATCGCTGGCGCGGTTACGGAGACTGTCGACCCGATCCGGCTGACCATTTTTGGCCACCGCTTCATGTCCGTGGCCGAGCAAATGGGCCGCACGCTGCAAAAGACCGCCGTTTCGACCAACATCAAGGAGCGGCTCGACTTCTCGTGCGCGCTGTTCTCGCCCGACGGCGGGCTCGTCGCCAACGCGCCGCACGTGCCGGTGCACCTCGGGTCGATGCAGTTCGCGGTGCGCTTCCAGCACCAGCACTGGCTCGGCCGGCTGAAGGAGGGCGACATGCTCGTGGCCAACCACCCCGTCTCGGGCGGAACCCACCTGCCCGACGTGACGGTGGTGACGCCCGTGTTTTCCCGCGGCACCGACGAGATCATCTTCTACGTGGCGTCGCGCGGCCATCACGCCGACATTGGCGGGATCCTGCCGGGGTCGATGCCCCCCAACTCGACCGAGCTGTGGCAGGAAGGCACGGCCATCGAGTACGAGAAGGTGGTGTCTGGCGGCGTATTCAACGAGGCGCGCATGCGGGAGCTGTTCCTGGACATCCCGGGCCGGTACAAGGGCTGCTCTGGAAGCCGCAACATCAGCGACAACCTGTCGGATCTCAAGGCGCAGATCGCGGCTAACACGCGCGGCATCGCGCTCATCCAGGGCCTGATCGACGAGTACGGGCTGGGCACGGTGCAGATGTACATGTACGCGATCCAGACGACAGCCGAGATGGCGGTGCGGAACCTTCTCCGGGGGCTATTCCAGCGTTTTGAGGGCCGGCCGTTGGAGGCGCTGGACTTCATGGACGACGGGACGCCGATCCGCCTATCCATCACCATCGCGGAGGACGGGTCGGCGGTGTTCGACTTCGCCGGCACGGGCCCCGAGGTGTACGGCAACATCAACGCGCCCGAGGCCATCACGCACTCGGCCATCATCTACGCGCTGCGCTGCATGATCAGCGCCGACATCCCGCTCAACCAGGGCTGCCTCAGCCCCATCGACATCCGCATCCCGCGCCCCAGCATCCTCAGCCCCACGCGCGCCGCCGCCGTCGTCGGCGGAAACGTCACCACCTCGCAGCGCGTCACCGACGTCGTTCTCAAGGCCCTCGGCGCGTGCGCCGCCTCGCAGGGCTGCCTCAATAACTTGACCTTTGGTATTGATGCCAAGGTGGATGAGGCGACCGGCGCTGTTGTACCTGGATTTGGATACTACGAGACGTAAGCCAAGCCACTCTCCTCGCGATTTCTCCTTTATCTTCGATATCATGAGCCAAACTGACCCATCACGCCAAAACGTAGCATCGCAGGCGGCGCCGGTGCCGGGCCGACATGGCACGGCGAGAGCGGGGTGCACGTGCACATGACCAACACGCGGATCACGGACCCAGAGATTCTGGAGAAGCGGTACCCGTGCGTGCTGCGGCGGTTCGAGCTGCGCGGGGGCACTGGCGGGAAGGGCGAGTTCCGGGGCGGCGACGGCGTGGCGCGCGAGATCGAGTTCCTGACCCCCGTGCAGTGCTCTATCCTGTCGGAGCGCCGCGTCCACCGGCCGTACGGCATGGAGGGTGGCGAGGCGGGGCAGACTGGGTTGAACTTGTGGCTGAGCAAGGACGCGTACACGGGCGAGAATAGGATTGTTAGTATGGGTGGTAAGGGGAGCGTTCCGATGGGCACGGGTGATCGGGTAGTCATTATGACGCCTGGAGGTGGTGGTTGGGGGACGAAGGAGGTGAATGGGTTCAGCAGGGATTGATGTTGTATGCCTGTACTGTAATTCGTCCGTACATACAAACGCTTTCGAATAATCATGCTGCAAAAAAGAGACGCAGTAAATAAATAAATAAAAGCGTATCATTTTACGTGTGTGTACTTGATGATTTCACTTTCTTGTTTGTACAAGCACATACATATAATTACCCAAGAAGATTCCCTATCCTTCTCTACGATCATCAAAGTTTCCAGCATCGCCGTCCCCACCCATATCCTCCCCACGCATCAGCGCCATTTCAATCCACTGGCGGTCCATATCAATGCCGATCGAACCAATCACCTCAGCCCACATGGACGGATCCTCGTCCGCGCCAATGTCAAACGGAATCTGCTGTTCTTGCTGTCCCGGCTGCTCGCCACCACCACCACCGTCCGGCACGACCCACGCCGGCTGCTCGCCCTGGCCGCCGTCACCGTGCGTGTCTCCCGGCGGTGGCGGCGTGCTCGGCTTCTTGGTGGCGCGGATCTTGGTCAGCAGCGTGTGGCACGCGCGGATGTACTTGTTGCCCTTCTCGGCCATGCCCTGCAGCACCAGGAGTGCCGTGTCCATCGCCGAGGCGTTCGTCTGCCTGTAGGGGAAGGCGATATTGACCATGACGAGCAGAAGCGCTGCTGAGAAGGCCTGCTCACCGTCGAGGAAACCGTAGGTGGCTAGTCGCATTCAGATATTATCAGTCAGCATACGAATAGCGATCGTGGGATTGACGAGAGAGGTAGAGAGGTAGGTAAGCATTATTAGGTAATAAGTTATTCCGAGCTAACATACCGACGAGGTTATGCTTGGCGGCCGCGCTCAAGATGGACGTGCTGGAACGGGCTGCTGTAATGGAGGTGTCAATGACGCTGACAATGTCGGCGGACAGCCCGTCCTCCCAGCGGGCACCGCTGGCACGCTGCCCGTTGGTGGCGTTGGCTGCCATCTGCCGCTGCACGGCATATAGCAGCAGCGGCCGCGCCGTCATGTTGACGCAGTGGTAGTAGTGCAGGTACGTAGACACGATCTCGCGGTTGATCTGCTTGTCGAGGTCGGCGGGGTCGAGGCGCATCTCGGATGGCAGGCCGGCGAACCACTCAGACAGGCTCTTCATGATATCCTGGATCGAAGCCGAGAGGCTGGTCCCGGACTGGCGCTTTTTGCGGTAGATGTCCTGGCCGATGCGGCCCAGGATGCGCGACAGTAGCGTGTAGTTGCGCAGCACGACGCAGCGGCGTGCGTCCTCGCCCTCAATTGGGCTAGGCAGCAGCACATCCATGTCATCGTCGCTGACCGAGATGGGGTGGCCTGATGTGACGCTCAGCAACCGCTCGAGGCTATACGTCGACCACCATACCCGCCGGCGACGCTCGCGTTCGTACAGGTCCATCTCTTGATCCAATACTTCATGATGCAGACCCAGCGAGACGGCCATGCGGAGCGCGTGCCCGATGTACAGGTAGGCCGAGTCGCGCCGGTTCAGCGTCTGCATGTAGTAGGCGACGTAGCTCAGCACCTCGACGAACAGGACCGAGCCGTCCTCGCGCACGTCTGGCAGGAACTGCAGAGCGCACTTGAAGTAGTGGAAGCCGGGAGGGCCGTCGTGGCCGGCCCACTGGTTGACCGAGTACATTTGGCCAAAGGCGAAGATAAGCAGCATCTGACAGTAGATGAGGCAGTCGTCGCGGTCGCCCAAGTCTGGGGGAGAGGCATACACATGGTTCAGGCGGTCGTAAAAGCCATCATCGTCGAGGAATGAAAATATGGTCCCGATGTAGGCGTGCTGAGCAAGGTAGAGGCGCTTAGCAAAGTCGTACGGTGGGAGCTGCGGCATCTCGGGCATCATCGGGGGACGCCGCAGCCACGAAGTGTCCTCATAGTGCGGATATATATGCCAAGCAAGAGTCTCGGTCGTCGGGTTGAGCCGGTTCGCAATGTATGTCGACGACGAGTTGCCCATATAGTCTACACGCGCAGTGAGTGTCTCGGTACGGAGACGCATAAGGGGGGGACTCGGCACTCACGGTATTGTCCTGGCCGGCACAGAACCCAGTTATCAGTGCCTGGGAAGGCCCAATCGACCTCCGTGGCCGTCGTGTCGGCCGGGCTGGGCATGCCATTGTCTACACGCGTACCGGCCGCCCGCGCCTGCGATTGCAATCTGAGCAGATAGCTGTTTGCAGCTTATGGGGTAAGCAGATGGTCGTCCACTAGAGATTGATACGCAGACGAGCGAGCCCATGGCCCAATTTTCACTGACCTTTCCGTTACGCTGATGCGCTTCTCTGACTCGGAGTAGACACACGTCTGGCCAGCATCGACACAGGCCGCACAGGGGTAAGGGGGAGTGCCACAACACTTTTGCTTCCGCCGCCGACAGCGCTCACAGCTGCGACTCTAGTCAGTTCTGCTTTCAAGATTGCTGGTACAGCATGAGCTCCATTATGCGTACGCAACTGGAGATCGTCGTAGCACGTCGTGCGACTGCTGATGCCGACGGGCAAGTGACTTGGAGGCCTGCATGGTTTGGGACTCATGGGGTGCAACGACCGACCACTGCCGACCGATCGTTCCGATGTTAGAACAATCATGCGGGGATGAAGGATCCCGGCGTTATCTCGTAATCTCTTGGCGCCGAGAATGCGGGGAAGCCGGTGGGTCCTCCTTCCCCCTTATCATGTTGTCGGGGTGGGTCCTCCATCGCCCCTTATCATGTGTCGGCCCCACAACCCGATCTTGACTCGGCGACGCCACGGTCGGACCGCATCTCCCGGTCCGGTGAGCTGGCACAGCTGGGTGACTTGCACGGTCGGCAGGAAAAGAATACGTACCCCTAGTTGCAATCTCCATCGGGAGTGTTTGGGGGGGAGGAAGGGCGAAGAAGTCGCGTCCACATGACAAAGAGCAAGGACAAGCCGCCCGATTGATTTAAAGAGGTGCATCCGAGGCAATCAGTCAGCTCTTAATAGCCTACAGACCATAGCTACTCACCGGCAGACATCAGCGTGGTATTCACCTACAATGCTCTCGACGTATACTCTCTTCTTTCTGCTGGCGGGGGCAGCGCTCCTGGTGGTACAACTCGCTATCACCAGCTCCAAGCTGGCCGGCATCCCGGGCCCTTGGATAGCACGCTTCACGGACCTCTGGCGCTTCCGAGCCCAGAACTCAAAGGGATGGTCAGCCCGGCTTGTCGCCCTGCACGAGAAGCACGGAAAACTGGTGCGCATCGGGCCCAGGCATGTCAGCATCAGCGACCCTAAGGCAGTACCCATCGTATACGGCACCAGTCCTGTGTGGTTGAAGGGCCCATCATACTATGGCGCAGCGACCGTCAGCCAAGGGCGCACGGTGCCGAGCGTGATCGCCATGACCGAGAGGCAGCATACGGCGGTGCGCAAGTCGGCGGGACGCGCCTTTACCACCAACTCGATGCTCGACTACGAGGCGTCGATCGAGACCTCGGCAACGGAGCTGGTGCGTGTTCTTGAAGACCACCCGACTACCGACGTCGCCAACTGGCTGCAGTTATTTGCCATGGACGTGCTGATGCGAATCGCCTTTGGGGAGTCCCTGGGCTTTATGGGCAAGGGTGGCGACGTCGACGGTATACTGGATGCCGTCATGGCCCGCTTCGACCACTGGAATGCGTGGGCGGCTTTGCCGGGCGCTGACTACCTTTTCAACAAGGGACCGTTAGCATCACTGCTGCGGAAGCAGGGTGACAGCCCGCTGGCCCGCGTCGGACTCGCCAAGCTGATGGCGCGGAAGGGCGCTGCCGACCAGACGGAGAAGAAAGACCTACTGCAGAAGTTCCTCGACGGCCAGGCCAAGTACCCGGACATTGTATCGCACGACGAGATCCTAGGCATCATCATGTCAACCATTGGCGCGGGCGCCGACACGACGGCCGGCACGATAGCCTACACGCTCTACCTGCTCTGCAAGCACCCAGCTGCGGCCCAGAAGCTGCGAGCAGAGCTAGACGAGGCACAGCGGGCGGGGACCTTGACAAGCCCGCCCAGGTGGTCTCAGGTCAGCCAGCTGCCATACCTCGACGCGACGCTCAAGGAGTCGATGCGCGTGTTCCCCATCGCCGCTTGGGGTCTTGACCGCATAGTGCCGCCGGGTGGCGCCACCATCGCCGGCCAGTACATCCCCGCTGGAACCGTGGTCGGCTGCCAGATCGACGCGGTGCATCTGGATGAGGACGTGTACGGACAGGACTCGTCGACCTTCCGGCCGGAGCGTTGGCTCGAGGCTAGTGAAGACCAGCACCGCCGCATGGACCGAGCCTTTCTCGCCTTTAGCGCTGGCAAGCGCACGTGCACAGGTCTCCATATTGCGTGGCTCGAGATGAAGAAGGTTCTTCCGCTACTTCTTATGAATTTCGAGGTAAGTCGAAGTGGTTCGAGGCTGGGGCTCCGGGACATACGATAAGTCACTAACCGACATATGCAGATGGACCTTGTCGATCCCGGTCAGGATGTCGTGGGCTCGGTACGAATCAGTGCTGTCAAGTACCCACCACCTATCTGGATGCATGTCAAGAAGAGGCAACCGATTGATGTACCAGATGCACCAATACCGTAATGGCATAAATGCCAGAAAGGTGCACCGTTCAAAAGCTGTTGTCATATTCCTAGGGCTAGCCTACAAAATTGCGCAATAGAGCACATTAGACGCGCCTGACTGTCGAAACCAAAGTCCAGTCAGTATGTTTGCAAACTCGTGTCTGTTCTACCCTGTGATGTCGGCGAATGTGCTAGCCGATGAGAAAATTTCCGTCACTATGCTCGAGAGCCAACCGAACTTTTATGAATATGTGAGAGACGTGTGGGACGGCGAGTCGACAATTACGTGAAACTGCACAGCCTACACCAGCCCCGTCTCTATCCTTTGGCTGGACGAGTCATGCCCCGGATGGCAGCCGCAGCAGGCACGGACCAGCGGCTTGCGTCGAGGCCGACATGGTGCCCGAAGGACGCCCGCGTCTCCACTAGGTAGTGTGACGTTGCCTGGTACAACCAAAAGTGCCCAAATACAGATCAATGACAATAAACTCACAACCTAAATTATGCTTTAAAATTGTGGAATGAATCTCCCCGGTGAACGGTATGCTAGTAATTTCCGACGCCTAAGAGTACCATCACATACCGCTCGACATCACCAACAACACTATGTCGAAGTTCGACAAAGCCTCCCAGTACAATCGTCCACAACGAAATCCTCGCTTCCCACCGCAGTGACCGCATAAAACACATTCTCAGGGTCATACTTCCGCTTCACCTCCAGCAGCCGCGGATAGTTTGCCCCGTAGAAGTTCTGCTGGAAGTTATTTTGCCTAAAGTTCGCCTCGTTGAGGTACGTCCCGGAACCGGGCGTCACAGCTTCAAGCTGCGGCGTTACAACATCCGTGAGCGCCGCCTCCTTCGCCGCCATCCTGTTTTCGGACCCCGCGACGCTCAGATCGGCGGTGTAGTCCCACGGTCCGACGACGATGCAGTGCGACGCGGCCTCCCGCCACGCGGGCAGCACGGCATTGGCGGCCACGGAAACGTTGGCGCTGAGGTCGAGCGCCTGGCACGCCAGGAAGAAGTCGCCGTTGGCCGTGGTGTTGCGCAGCGCGCTTGTCAACATGCTGTTCTGCTCGGGGTCCTGTACTACTGAACGCGGGACTAGCCGGCTGCTGGTCACCTGGCCGGACGTAAAGGGGCCGTAGGGCAGGGGACCGAAATCCTGCGCAAAGTGCTCGAGAAAAGTCGGTGATGAGTGTGCCTCGAAGATGAAGGGGACGCCACGCTTGTCGAGCTCAGAGAGGATCGGCTGTAGGAGCAAAATCACCTCATTTGTTGTCTTGTTCGGTGCTGTGAAGTCGAACATGCTGAAGGTGCTATTGTAGATTGAGTAAAGGATCGTGGTCCCGGTGCGTAGGATGGGCGAGAGCCCAGCGTGGAAGACCCCGACGGCATCCCAATACGCCTCGCTGCCGATTTGCTCGTCGTCGAAGCGTAGATATGCGCCGCCTATGGGGCTGTCTGGATGGAGCCTTGTTGTCATGCTCAAGACAACCGCAAATGTGCCGCCCCCGCCGCCAGCCAGGGCCCAATAAAGGTCTTGGTTGCTTGTCGGCGTCGCGACAAGATGCTTTCCATCCGCTGTTACCACCTCCCATTCTAGAACATTGTCTGCGCTTAAGCCGTACAGACCGCTGAGGGTGGAGTGGCCACCTCCTTGAGAGTAGCCGCCCACTATCCCAACAGTGGCGCAAGTACCGCCGACCACAGTACGTCCATGTTTATTGGCGGTCTCATATGCCTCGAATCCCTGCACTCCTGCACCGAGCTTGAGGGCTGGTCCTTTGTAGTAATCGCTACTGTATGCTTCGATAAACTCTCTCGTTTTCAGGTTGTGGGTCCAAAGTGCGAGGCCCCCTTTTCCGGTTGATTTTCCAAGATAACTAGACGTGGACGTTAATTAGTTGGCTTGCACTGCTCCCAGCCACTTGCAAGCACGTACTCGTGACCAGTGTTCTTGATGACAAGTCGGACATTGTTCCTTCTGGCAAAATCGATACCTGCAGCAATGTCGGCGGCTCCTGTGACATTGATTGAATAGCTCGCATAATGGCCAAGGTCACAGGGTTTTGTTTTTGGCGTATAAGGGTCGCAGGACTGGTTCTGGGCGAAGGGAAAACTAACTTCTCCTGGGAAAGGGTAGCTAGATAATCCTAGTATTAGAGTCTGGAGCATGGTTGACGGAGGAGGCATGCTTACTGAGCTTGAGAGTAGTTCCAGAGCGCCTTGAGATAGGCGCATTCGGTTGCATTGTACCTTCCATCGAATGGTCCTCCAGAGTGACAAACGCTTGCTACCGGGACCGTCGCAATAAGCCGGCCGCCAACCGTCTGATTCAAACTGCTCCAGTCCCCGTCTGATGGCCAATCCGGATCACCTGGTAAGCTCTTGCAAGATGCGTTACCTGCTGCCACTGCTGTTATTGCTCCAGACGTCAAAAAGAAGAGCGCACTTGTGAGGATCATCATGTCTCCACCCTAAACGCCTGGTGAGGTGCAGAGGCACAGCGTCGATAAGGTGAAATGGAAGGACGACACTAGAGGAATCACTAGATGCATCGTCCCATCACTAGTGGGTGCATCTTGATAGTTTCAGGCAGTGGTCAGCCCTTTTTTTCACTGCATCTTAAGCTACAGTGTTATTTTAACCGGGGAAGTTAATCCATTTCTAGCTGCAATTTTGCCTGTATAAACCATAGTGTTTTGTTTCATTGTAACATAGAACCCGTACATTTTGCCGCAGCCAGCTAGGGATGCGGAATATCTAGCACCGGAATTGTCTTATTTTGAAAGCATATTAGAGCTATCCCATTATGATGGGGCCTTCTCCTCCTCCTTTCCGTATACCAGATCGCTTTCTCCCCTGGCTTACACTCGCGGAACTCGGTGGGGCAAGTGGGAGGAAAATTTTGAGATGTCGACTACGTCAGCCAAGTTCCCAAGATGTGGTAGTGAAAACTTATTAATCTCAGCATTAAAGAATAATTACACATTAGTTGATAATTAATTACAGGCTTGTCGCTCGAGCCTGGTAAGCCTTGTCTCTGCCTCTGAGTTCTCCTACCCAGCAGACTAAATTGTGGTCGAAAAGTAGAAGCGCTCCAACGTCGCGCGCGAGGACAAGATCCAATGTCAGAAGATATCTTGTGCATGGTAGAACCATGCGCGTGGACTAGGACGGACCCCGATATACAACGGCCTTGATGACCTTGGCGTGGTCACCAGATGTTACAAAGACGGTAAATAGATGAATCGTCCACAAGCGCCGCGGAAGCCGCAACCTCGTTGCCACTGGCAAGGGCTGCCTGCGCGTATCCCCAAACGCAATGGTGGCAGGGGGGCATCCACCGTCACCTCCCCTCTCCGTCCGCTCCCCTCGCCGTCTCCTCCCAATCTATATCTAATGCATGTCTAACGACAAAGCCCAGCGCAAAGAGCTGGAGCACAACCCGCGACGAAAAGAGTCAAAAGACCAGTCAGCCAGCCACCGATCCTCATCCCTACTGCGTTGGCAGATGAGACCTCGCAGAGACCGCAACACCCAGGCTTCACGCGCGTGTCGTGTTTGCTCTCTGCTATGCGACGGTGAACCAGCGAAAAGTCCGGGTTGGGGTCGTATGTCCGTGGCGTATCTGGCGTAGGGCTCCTTGGTAGCTCTCCCGGCTTCTCGTTTAGTGCGGGGAGAGGCTGGGCTGGCGAGAAGTATGCTGAGCTGGGACGGGACTGGGTTGGTATTGGAGTGGTGTATGGACTGGGAGAGGGTGACCTGTATTCATGGTCCAGCCGGTCCTGCATGTAGGAGGACGCAGGGCGGGACTGGGTTGGTATTGGAGTGGTGTATGGACTGGGAGAGGGTGACCTGTATCCATGGTCCAGCCGGTCCTGCATGTAGGAGGCAGGGCGGGACCGATTATGGATAGGGGTGGTATATGGACTAGGGGACATTGATCTTGGTCGATAGACCATCCGTTCCTGCGGGTACGGATTGGGGGCGCGATAGCTCTGGCGGCTGCCTGGCCGGGATATAGGGGACCCAGGCCTGCTGGACGCAGCGGACAGAGGAAGCGGCGTATTCAACGGCTCGAAATCGACCGAGGTGCGTGCGCAGTGGCGAAGATGATCGGTGTAGCTCTCCCGGTGGTCTGGCGGCGGCGGCGGCGTCGCTGGCCTGGCTGGATAGTGGTTGGGGATCATTGTCTCGGAATGAAATGCCATAAGTCAACAGCTGACGCAGGCCAGTCTTGAGAATTTATTATTATTACAACGACTGAATTGAAAATTTTGTCGGCGTCGTATGATGTCGGCAGGGTTGGGGCTCTACCTTGAGCTCCACCAAAAAAGCCACCGCCACTCGAAAAGTCTAGAACACGTAACTATTTGCATGGCATCCTCCGCAGACCCACACTCCACGCTACGCGGCGGCGTTGCCGGGCGAATGGCTCGTGGTCGAAATGACTCCACACTGCTGCTGGGCACTTGTGATCCTTGTGCACGAGCCACCTACTCCCTTAACCCCTTTTCCACCCAGGCAGATCAGAGGGTTGATAGAACATTGTTATTTGACTGCTAAAACAGGGACTCGAGTCTTCGGCCATCAGCGCTGTTGTCAATCATGGGATACACGAAAATGATTCCCTTTACTTGATATCCTAGTTTTATTCCTATGTCTAAGTATATACACAGTCAGCAGCCACACCCCCTCCCCCTGACAGAAAACAGGACGAAGCACGAGTCTATGTGGTTTTGTTCACCAGGCGGACCCGATCGAGGTCTCTATTACCGTGATACTTCCCTTGCGAGGACACAGGATAGAACCCGAGGAAGTGATGTGGAGAAGTCCGATGTCCTGATCCGGCAACCAGTCTCTGGGGATGAAAAAGTACCGCTGCACGTCGCCAACCCCTCGAGAAGACCTCAGAGGCCACGCACACACTCCGAAGGACCGGTCAATGTATATTAACCTCTCTCCCTTGAGGATGTCGAGCGGGCTCTCGGTCTCTTTGGCAACGTCCTCTGGGATACACAGGGGCGTGAGATAACTTTTCTCAGTGGTCATGTGGGAATTCACCGGCACATCCTCAAAGATCAAATATCTTGGTCGCAGTTTGCGTGAGCGTGTCCGACGAGCGATGGTCACTATTATATGGCCCTGGTAGTGAGTCTTCGTTATGCGCTCTACCATCTCCTCGATGTTTCCGGGGTGAGAGGTGCTATCCTCGGCCAGGTCCTGCGAGAGGGCTGGTCGCGTGACTGCAGGTGGGCACTCGGTCTCGGGATCCAATATATCCCAGCTCATTACCTCCTTCAGGTCCGCCCATTGGTGTAGGATGAGCCTACCTGGCGTGGCTGAGATGACATGTTCCTTGGAAACGGGATGGGCTACCCATTTCGGGGAGGTTATGGGGCAATTGTGCTGCTGCTGTAACGAAACCGGGCTCAAAGCCCAAAGTTGCGCGGATTCCTTGGAAGCCACAAGAAGAGTCTTCGAATCCGAGGACAGAAGCAATTGAGTGATTCTGCCACCATCCAACCCGGGCTTGAATCTCGCGATGCGGCGCTGTTTCCATCCGGTTCCCGTCGGCTGCACCTCGATCAGGGAAATTCGACCGCCAATCTCGGAATAGCAAAAATGCACCCCATCGTCGCTCCAGGAAAGATGCTCAATTCCGAGTCTGGTAGCTGTCTGTGAAACGTGGATCCTTTTATCGGTGCTGTAGTCGACGAGCTCGACAAGCCCTTCTTCGTCACCGAGACAAACCAACGATCCACGAGGCATCGGAGAAGCCAAAACGATTGGCGACGGATCATTCGCAAAGGATTCTGAGGCCATGTTTGACCGCCCCACACTTTCGTCGGGTGCTTGGCTGCTGTTCGCAGCCTGGTCATCGATGAGGGAGAGTCTTATGAGGCTGTTAGGTTCCCAGATATTGCAGCAACTCCCACGTATATCGTAGAACCTCCGCCCATCCTGGCTGAAGCAAAAGGCTGTGATCATATCTTCCGAGGAGAGCTGGTAGATGAGGGTCCACGTCTGATAGTCGTACAACTTGATAGTCCCATGCATGCCTTGGATCGCAAATACCGTTCCATCCGGGCTGCAATGGATATCTGCGGGCATTTGCCCAGGATCGGGTGGCTGCTCCTGGTATGTGCCATCAAGGATATTGATCCGGAAAGAATATCCATCGAGAAAGATGCCAAGAAGTTCATCGCTATTGGGGTGCCATGAGATCCGACTTGCGAAAGGTAGTGCATTCGGGTTCCGGTCTTGCGTATGGCCTCGGTTCAGTCGCCTGAAAACCCTGACAGGGGGGCTAAGTGACCAGACTGTCAAGGGGAACCTCCTGAAGGTAGCAGCGATCTTATTTCCGTCGGGACTAATCGCCAGCGCGGTAGGTGAATTCAAGTAAGTGCCTTCTAGTGACTCGACCTCGGTCAAGACCGCCGCGTCGACCAGCTCCCAGCTCCCATGCCCATTCTCCACCGAGACCCTCATGACACATCGACGGTCGGAGCCCATGATCAAGGCCATGTCTCGATCGACAAAGGATAGGCAGAGGGCTCTAGTTTCTGAAGGATTCTCGATAGACCTAATAATTTGTCCCGACTGGGAGCTCCAGATCTTGGTTGTGCGGAACCCGTAAGTTGCAAGGCAATCCCCCTTCGAGTTGAAGCAGATGGAAGATATGGGTTCACCATGCTCCAATAGCTGCACTTGGTGAAACGTGGCGCTGTCCCATATTGTTATTGCCCCAAAATTGTTGACCACGGCCAGATGACGACCAGAACAGGCGATTAGAGAGACCTGGTTTTCAGTACCAATTGATACTCGAGCAAGACGATCGTCCCAGTCCTCCGAAACTCCCGTGACCCGAACAGTGGATGAGGAAAGTTGGCTGAACGTCTTGTAGATAGCGGAGCTCTGGGGGCAGAACGGTGCAATGGAGGTGAAGATAGAGGTGGGATCCCGGGAGAGGGTACTGCCAAATTTCCCGGGAATTTTCAACAGGTCGCGTGACCAGGCTTCGAGGATTTCCAGGTCTTCGAACCGTCGAAGTGAAGGCTCGCGTGCCGCATCCGTCCTCCTCTTCCGCTGGACGAAAGAATGGAGTGTGTGCGAAGCTTCGATCAGGACCTTCAGCTGGCCAACGGAGGCCAGCACCTGTATCCAGAGGAGAACAGATTGCTGGGAGAAGAACCTGATCAGAATGTCCAATCTGTCGTCGGATTCCTCAGAGTTCTTGAGGGCACCAAGGTGGTGGGTCCATGACCTTGCCCGATACTCCAAAATACTTGGGGGCTCGATTTGCAGCATAGAACGGAGGCCCTTGTCTAAGAAGGCGTTTATTGACTGCTTGAATAGCTCGTCATGCGCATCGGAGGCGTCGAGCGAGAACGGCAAGGTCGAGGTGCTTGTCAAGTATTCTCGGGCTGTCTGGTGCAGCAACGCGACGCGGTTGTTGCCTTCCAACACGATGAACTGACCGCAGAGTCTGTTGATGGTGGTCGACAAGTCTAGCAAGTGGCCGAATTCGGGCTTCAAAATCGCAGAGAGCTCATCGATGGCGATGGACCGCCTCGCGTAGATGGCCCAGAGTAGTAATTGACGGGCGAGATTTTGGTCACTGGGTCTCCTGATGCGGCGAATAGTCTCTTCCATGTGCCCGTAAAGTGACTCCATCCCCGCTGGGAGCTCACTAAGCCTTTCTCTCAAGTCGACCTCGGTGTGGCAATCCTTAACTTCTTCCAATATGAGCTACACCCATAGAAAGTTGTCGTTTGCTTGCTCTAGGATTTTGGTCCTTACTTCGCCCTTGATCGAAGAGTTCCACATGAGATAGCTGAGCTCTTCCTCCGCGTAAATCCGGATGTCCGTTGTGTCATTATCAATGGACAAAGCAGTGGCAGGGACCTTAGAGGAGACCCTCTGGAAGGTAGATGCGAGAGCTGGGTTCCACCTGCTGGTGAGGAGAACGCGGATGGGTGTTGATGACTTGTTTATCTCGGCCAGCAACTCAAAGATGTGCTGTGGAGAACCAGACTCGTCCACGCCGTCGATTATCCAGTACAGCGGTGCGTGGAACTCGATCTGGAATAGCAAGTCCGCAAACAATCTCTTCCACGTCAGTTTCCAATCCGCCTCTTTTGGCCTGTATCCCCCTCCGCTGGCCAGGCTGGCAAGGGCCCGTCGGTAGGATGGAATTTTCAGCGCGGTCTGGAATGCTAGGGACCTCAGGAGACCTCCGATAGAGCGTTTTGTCTCGTCACCAGTCCTGAAGAAGAAATGTTGAACGAGAGCCCCTTGATCTCGGAGCCGATGAACGAGGAAGGAGGACAAGACCGACTTCCCGCGAGCGGGTCTACCATGGACCCATAGGATCTCAGATGTTGAAGGGGACGACGTCCATTTGGCGACAGCAGGTTCTGTGAGAACCCATTCACATGTCCCTTCGGCTCTGCGACCCCAGAAGTGACTGAGGTCGTGGTCCACGTCGCCAGAAAGTGACAAGAGTCCTTGGAGTTTTCCGATTTCTTTCTCAGTTGCTTCGGAATCTAATCACAAAACATCTTAGCTCATGCGCGAGAGATGCGGTTGCCTTCCAACGCGGTACGACGTACCTGAAAAGGATAATATCAGAGCCTTCAGTGCCCCCACAACTACGAGATAGTTCGGGTCTTGGGGGCTGTCGAATTTGCAGACGTTGTGATGATCCGCATTCAGCGAACGGGAAATCTCGGCCGGGTAGCCCAGTTTTGCCGACTCTTTATCCAGTATTGTCTGTTTAAGATCAGCACCAGAGGCAAACATACCCGATCAATGTGCCCGCGGAGTGATCAACGTACAACAGAGGCCGGGCCAACTTGTGTCTGAAGAGTCTCGTAGAATGAAAAGATTTGAAGACGAGTTGCAACATGGCGGAATTGGTCATTGATCATTCGAAGGAATGGGCCGTGTTTGTGAAGTTCCGCAACGTATTGCTTCCACGAAGAGAGGAAGCTGATCGAGAGCAAACGGTTGAGAAATTCCGAAAGGTCTACGCCGTGATGGGGTGTCGCAAGAAAGATGACCGCCTTGATGGACTCCACAATCGCCTCATAGCGGGGGTCCAGTTTGGCATCCAAATATGCCTAATCACGGAGATGGGGTCGTTAAAAAAAGGGCTCAACCGGCGAAAGGGAGAGAGCAGTGACCTTCTTGAACACGAGACCGCCCATGGAATGTGTTACAAACACAGTTGGCACCTAGGGACAAACGGACAGACAAGTTAGCAATGACTTGGAGATACCGGTGCAAGGGAGATATTCGGGCGATATGTAACATACTTGCCCAAAGCGCAGGTCCTGCCCATGGGAATCCCGGCCGTATAGCAGATCATAGAGCAGATTCTTCGCAAAATCAGATATTCCCAGTGTTGTGCTCTGCGGTGAAAGAAAGAAAGCATCGTATCCGAACGTGAAGATCCTAGCCTGATGCATGTCTGGATCCGCCGGAAGCCATTGTAGAGGCCAAAATAAAGCCAGGTCCTTGTTCTTAGACCATGATAGTCTGCTTGATCCGCCCAAGCCATGAATGAAGATTATATCGGCGACGGGCCGGCCCTCTGGGCAATGGAGCAAGGTAAAACCCGACGGATCCGAGGCTCGGTCTGGACGCGGAGACTTTGATCGCCGAGGCAGCCCAGCTATTGTCACGAGGCTATCTCCTGCCTTGCGGGGATTCGACGGAGTGGGGGACATCGACCGGTTTTCAGGAGGCTTGTTGCCTTCAGGCAGAAGGGTTTCATCGCTGTCAATGCTTTTGCTGCGTTTTCCAGAGCCGGCAGGAGACGTAGCGCGGTGCGGCTCCAGGAGTTGGTCGCTCACTCGGCGGTTCCTGGATGAGCTGAAGAGCTTGCGGGGAAACTACGTTGTTGAGGGCTGTTAGCTATCCATTCCCTGCGGCTGTCGGTATTCGGCCTTACCATCCTTAGCAACCGCCTGCCTGCCACCTGTCACCAGCCTGGCTCGATGGTCGAATGTGTGTTTTGTGTGGTGGTCAATTATCCGTGCGGCTTCATTCGAGGATGTTTTTATTTGTCTGACATTTTCGAGGAAATCCAGGCTCCAATCCTACACTACGGGATAGCATCACGCAGGGGTGCCTCAGGCTCGTATGCACCAGCGAAGACGGACATGGACTGGCAGGGGGAGAAAGCGGAGCGGAATAAGGTCCAAAACCGGCAACATTACTCTACAAAAGCTGCCGTGGCACAGGCTCTAATGCACTAGACTCAAGTAGCGATTACCACAAGGCTCTCTTAAAAGCACTGCTCCCTTGGGTCAACCCTTGAGAGAAGAATATGAGGGTGGCCTTGGGCAGGAGATTAATTACAGCTCCCGAGGACAGAAGTGAGTGTTCCGGAACTTCCAACAACAGATAAATTACTGAAACTCTCCGCCAACGATCTCTTGTTGTAAGCTAGTTACATTTGGTGGCTTGTCCATGCCTCTCGAATCCCCTCTTTGTGATATCTCCTGCCACTCTGGAGAGTCCTCATCCCATGGTACGTACTTCTGGACCAAGTACACCATGTCGTCAAATGCGCTATAACCAAAGCCGTGAGCAAGATGATCGATTTGCTCCCCGCCCCCTTCTAGGGATGACTTACAATTGGCGTGCCGGCGACCCGGCATAGCAAGCAGAATGCATAAAGTTTGTCTTGGCACTGTAGAGCCTGTTCCTGTCGTCCCACTCCTCCTCAGGCTCGCTGGCTTCGAAGTTCCTGAGGTACTCGGCGCGATAGGCCTTGGCCTTTAACCTGTGCCTATCAGCTCTCCAGATTCCCAGCTCCATTTCGTTGTGGGCGTAGTAAGCAGCACAGTCGAAGATCCAGGGGTCCCCGGTGTCACCATCATTGCCAACGTTGCCCTCCCATAAATCACCGTGGATCAGACATGGCTTTACGGATCTCCCTTCAGCTTCCAATGCCCCAATCAGCCTTGGGATCAGGTGTGACTGGACTCGCTCGTAAATCAGCTGAAGCTCTGGCCACACGCCGTTGGTCTCTGTATCTTGGCGATAGGCTTCGGCGAGGAGCTTGGAGAAGAACGACGTCCAGCTTGGATCCCAAGCCACCGATTGGAGGCGAGCACCATCAAATGTTTGGACCTGGAAGCCGAACATGCCGGTTGGTGAGACGCTTTTCTGGTGCATTTCAGCAAGCCTAGCACCGAGCCTGGCCGGATCGGGTAGTCCCGCCACGAAGTTTTTGAACTCGATCAGCAAGAAATAGGTCGTGGGCACCAGACTCTTCAGCTCGCCCCAGGCAATCGGGCGAGGGACAAGATCTGGGGCAAGTTTGTGAAGCTCCGTCATCCCGGTGAACTCCCCTTCGAGCTGCTGATTGCCCAAGTCACCAGCCACATACTAATGTAGTGTAAATTGTTAGTCGTCGTTAAGTTGGGGAGCTCCCGACACCTGCCGAAGCTAGTTCACGACTAGTGGCGGGAGCTTAAAAGGGGCGGGCCGCGAAAAGCTCCAGGCTAGAACGGACCTTGAGAAACAATGGAATTGGCCGGCCATCCCTGTCCGCCGCATTGACCTTCGCCGTGAAAGACCAGGCCGAGTCCCCGTAGCTACTTACCGACTCAACTATGGTGCCCTGGGGTAGCGCTTTGGTAGAGATGTGATCAGCACAAGCTTGGCGACCGCCATCTATATCAGCTTCGAGGAGTGGGAGGAGAAAGCCATTCTCACCAGCGTGGACAGCTTCATCAAGTGGGATGTTCCCTCCTCTGGAATTGCTCAACGACGCCAACTGATTTTTGAGCCGGCTCTGTAGCTGTACTGCCATGAGATCGAAGGGTAGTATATAAATACAATTGCCGACTTCTTCGTATAACTAATTAGTGTGCGACACCGACACAAAACACTTGACTCGCAAGTGGAGAAGGACAACGGTAATGAGAGCGAGCAATCTCAGTCCTCTGGCCTTTCATACCCCCCTCTCCAGCGACACCGGACATCGGCAACGGTGCGGGGTTTCCCCCCGCGCCCCCACGGCGCACTGCACACTGCGTAGTAATTAATCACAGAATCAAAATGTGCAGTACACCGCCTCGTTTGTTACGTGTACAGATGTACTATGATGATATAATCACGTGTGCATGGCTAGACTGACTGTCTGCGATCACTCAATCAACAAGCTTGCCAGTGCTTCCAAGTCCTCTTGAGTAATCAATCAACGAGGCGACTATCATTACTGTTGCTTGAAACCCATTGAGAGCGCCTTTGGCAAGATTTCCAAGATAATTGTGATGGACAAGAAGCAACTCCATCAGCCAACCGAGCCACGACGGGCTCACATTCCCAACGATCCGGCTACACTACCATTTTCGACATTCACCGCGTGGGAGAAGAGATGGATATTATTCTTGGGAGCCTTTGCGGCCATGTTCTCTCCTATGAGCAGCTTCATCTTCTACCCAGCCATCACCTCCATGGCGGAGGGCCTTGGCGTCACCACTGGTCTGATCAACTTGGCCGTCACGACCTACATGGTCGTTTCCGGCATAGTTCCATCACTCCTTGGCAATGTGGCCGACAAACTCGGCCGACGGCCAGTCTACATCATGGCTCTGTCAATATACTTCGTGGCCAATGTCGGGCTGGCGCTGCAGAACAGCTTCCCCGCACTCCTGGTTTTACGGATGGTGCAAAGTGCTGGGAGTTCCGGTAATTTCCATTCGCGTAGTCGCACCAATCCAAGATGGGACAATCAACTAACAGAGAAAGGGACAATTTCACTGGGATATGGCATCATATCTGACATTGCAAGCCCCGCCGAGAGGGGCCTCTATGTCGGGATTTTCAACCTTGGGTAAGTCGTCCTACGTCATTCTAGACTCGGCATTCAGCCAGAAGGAGAACCAACACTCAGCCTAGCCCAAACGTGGCGCCTCCAATCGGCCCCATATTGGGAGGCGTACTCGGAGCACGACTGGGCTGGAAATGGATATTCTGGTTCCTTTGCATTATTGGAGGCGTATGCCTTGTCTTGATATTGATCACGCTGCCGGAAACTGCAAGATGCCTAGTTGGAAATGGTAGCATTCCAGCCAAAAGAATCAACCGGACATTTTGGTCGTTGCTCACCGACAAGGGGGACCAAATATCACGGAGAATGGAGAGCAATGAGCGACCGAAAGTTGGATTACCTAACCCCTTGGCCTCGCTGAAACTCCTGCTTCTCCACGATGTGGCAATCATCGTGGTATGCAACGGCGTTTGCTACGCCAATTATTGCTCTCTTCAGGCTTCTCTTTCCTCGCTGTTCATTGACATGTACGATTATCAGGAACTCCAAGCAGGTCTAATCTACCTCCCGTTTGGTGGCGGCTGCTTGTTTAGCGTTTATGCTTGGGGTATGTGTTCTTTGCCCCGTTTCCAACTATCATGGTCTGGCTCATCTTCTGTAGGAAAACTCTTGAACTATGACTATTCCCGCACCGCAAAAGAACAAGGAGTTGACGTGGATGTGGCCCGCGAAGATTGTCTAGATAACTTTCCCATCGAGAAAGCAAGACTACGTAATGTTTTTTATCTTATTGGCTTGAATACGATCGCCACGATTAGCTACGGATGGGCCCTTCATAGGAGAGTGGCAAGTTTGCCTTTGCTCCCATCCGACCCAATGATTATAATAATTGGCTTCGCTGACAAATATAAAGCATGTGGCAATACCACTTATGCTCCAGGCAGTGCTAGGCTTTGCAAGTTCGGGAATATTTGTGGTGAGCGATGGCAGGCCCTCCTGTTGAGGCCAGAGACTAAAGTAATTATTAATTGTTTCCAACCTTGCCTAGGCTCTCCTCACTCTTCTTACAGACCTGAATCCAGAAAGGTCCTCGACAGCGTCAGCGTCGGCAAATATTGTTCGATGCGGCCTCGCTGCAGCGTTGCTCGCCGTGTTACAACCCCTGATCGATCGGGTTGGGGTGGGATGGTGTTTCACCTTCCTGGGAGCACTCTGTGGGCTCTGTGGGCCATTGTTGCTTCTCGAAGTGCGGAGGGGCCCCGAGTGGAGAAGAAGCAGGAAATGCTAGGGGGGGAGGGGGGGAACAGCAACTCGAGGCAGTGGCGCTTGGTGGGAAAACAATGACGCACTCGGTTGCTGGTCTAGACACTACAGAAGGCAAATGAGTAAGTGATCTTCCACGACGCAAGCGTGTTTTACTGCCACTCCGGCTTCCTTAGTTCCTTTACAGGATGGACTAGCAATGATTAACCGAAAGGATGCAGATGAGCAGCTAGGATGGGAAACGTGCGAATACGGGGTTTGGAAGAAGAGTGTCGAGACAACTCGTCGGCGCTGTGGGAACTGCGGAAAACCCGGACACATGCGCAAACCTGCCAAGAGGGTGGTATAATAACTGATGTATGTAGTTCCGAGGAGTTTCAATCTGCAACTGAGGTCAATTAATGCAAGGGTTGTGGTCCGGAACTCGGTAATATGCACGACTGGGTGATAGACTACGTTACTTGACACGGACATCCGTAGAATCTCCCTCGGCTCGGTGTTGGAGTCCAAGTGAAGTTAGTAATATATGCACATCGGTAGCGGTCTAGACTTAGCTTTTCTCCTCAATCTTGATCCTTCTTTACATCCATCGTAAAATAACGCTCCGGGGCGGGTCATCCCGCTCGGCATCCTTGCCGAGATCCCTTCCCCGCATCCTCCCCGCATCCTCCCCGCATCCTCGCCGGGATCCCTTCCCCACAGCCTCCCTCTGCACTTCCCTTCCTCTTCGTCCACCTCCTTCTCCCTCTGTGCGTCAATCTCTTTCAGGGCCAATCCCTTCCCTACTAGCTCAATCTCCTTGACGAGCTTGACGTGTTCCATATTATCCACGTGCTCGGCCCTGCAGGTTGGGCAAATGACATCTGTCTCCAAGCAATACATGCCCCAGGTCTAGGGCTCCAGGTCTAGGGCTCGAGCAACCTGTTGGGATGCAGGCCAGCTTGGTGATGCTACTCATGACGGCAACAGCTCCGAGCCAGCGCGCCCGCAGTCAGCCGCCGAGTGTCAGAGGTGGCAGTGGTATTATTACCGGCACACGTGACAGCAGACCCTCTTCCTTTTCCTCTTCAGCTTCCTGGTCCCTTTCTCGGCCTTGTAGAGAGTCTGAGCCCTTTGCTTCGTAGACGCTACTCTCACCCCTGGACAAGATTTTAACACGCTCCCTCCTTGCCCTTCCTTTCTCAAATCCAACCTCCTTACAGCCTAAATCAGAAGCCTCACCAGGGTTTGAATAGCGCCTGGCTAGGACAACTACCTTGTTCGCGACAAGCGACAACCGTACCCTGAAGCACCTCGGGAGGGATTTGGAGTAGCAGCAGCCTTAGTTTAGACACTACAGCCGAGCGCTCTGTCTTCCACGCACACGGTTTCTCCGCCAGTTTATGGCATGCGAGACATAATGTGGTCGCTAAACAGAAGGGCGGCCCGCAGTGCCGTTTGGTTACCGTTCAAGTGGGTCGTGGGATTCATGGCATAGAGAACTATCTATGGCGATTGGTTGGGGCGTATTTAATGGTCGCATGGTTTCGTGGGGCATGAACACGGCGCACACCGGAAGGATTACAAAGACGGCACACCAGAAGGATCACAAAGATTGCCTACCGGAAGGATCACGGGGATCGCCCACCGGAAGGATCACGGGGATAGCCTACTGGAAGGATTACAAAGATACAGCGGTAGTCTGATCTTCTCGTAAACAGCAAGGTATAAAGAGAGCGAAAGCAGCTGGATATCTTGAGGTTGAGTTCGTTCTCTATCCAACTTCAGCCACGCAACATTCAATAAGCCAACCTTTACCTAAAGCATCTGCTTCTATACATCAATCAAAATGAAGGCCGTCAGCGTTATCGCCACCCTCTTCCTCGCCGTTGCGATGGCCGCTCCTGCTCCTGCCGATGATCCCATCGCAGCTCTCGAGAAGCGCGGCTGCGGTCCGGCCTGCGGATGCCTGTCTGGAGTCTGTACCTGCACGACCTGCACTGCCACCGGAGGCTGCTTCCAGGTTTCAAGTGGCCAGAAGTGTTAAGGTATATAAGATTCTCTCATCGCGATTTTGCTTACAACTGGCTAAACAGCTTGACTGACTTTGACACTATTACTACGAAAACAGCACCAAGATTGCGTGGCAGTATCCTTCGATCGGGAATTAGGGCTGGATTGGAGGGATCTTCCGGGCCGATAACTCCTTTCCACCGCCATCGAGTTGTTAATTCGTATTGGGAATTGGACCAACATGTGTTAGACATCAACAACTATAGGTGGGCGGAAGTACATGAAAATTTACGCCTGTTGACCCACTGAGGAGGGACCACTGCCGAGATGGATGGGGTTCCAGCTGGATGGACGGGCTCTCCTCGCATAACCAAGAGAGAGCTGCAGGGGTACGGAATCTGGGGTACTCAACTCCCTTGGAATTTTCTTCCATTCTTGCCTTTTCAGTACACTACAATATATAACCCAAATGAGGATACGTTGTCTTCGTCCGCTCTCGACAAAGGCAGATTGGTAAAGGCTGCTTTGACAGCTTTTTCTTCGTTTAATTCCGTCATCTTTTTGCTTCTATCACTAACTGTGCAAGCCCGGTCAAATACTCTAGAAAACCATTTGACTGACTACTTTATCACAGCATCCAGCCGAGTGCCATATTGATGTTTGAGCTAGAGTCAGGCGCAGATCTTGCTACAGTAAACCCAACTTTCCGGTGCGGCTGCCCCTTTTGTGCAACAGGGTTATTGTAGGAAGAAGGCCCACGAACGCTCACATTATTTGCAGAGCCTAACTAAGTCACATCTAATATATCATCTCGAACCATGAGACTGGAACTGTTCCCTTCTGAACCCACTACTTTTTCGCACGACGTCTGCCTGTGAACAAGGCCGCGCCCCTAACCTAGTTGCTTATCGAAAAAGATGGTAAAAGGCCGAAGTGTCACAAATGTCGCCATATTTGTCATTGAAGTCAGGGTTTGAGCAGGTTTAAAGCACTAGAACCAACAGTACAGTACAAAATACATCATCTTCGTAAATCCACCAAAGTTAAACAGTCTGCCTATCGGGATAAGCCAGGCAGCCGGTTCTACCTCATTCGTAGTCGCTGCGGTTTATTAAACACAATATCTATCGGCTGCAGCGTGTCCAAATCAACAGCCCCTGCGATCCAGTTTACTGGACTGGTATGAGGCTCTCCAGTCGTCTTCCTCCTAACCTGTAGGTAAAGCACTGAATATGAATGTTGGGTCAGCAGTCTATCCCTCTTGATCAAATTTGATGTAGCAAGAGCAAAACAGGACTGGGACCATAAACTCACTCTTAGCCAAAAGCACGTACTGGTCAGCAAATAGAGTTGTTGATGGCCACCCAAACTTAAACTGATCGTAGCTGGCATCAAGGCACGCTCCGTATCCATAGACGCCATTACTAGGCCCGTCTGTGATCACGGCTCTGCCCCCGGCCCGGCCCGACGGGTCCTCCACTGTGATTATCTGATTAGCTAACCAGCTGTGTGATTGTGTTGCCAGGATTATTCTTCAATGGCAGTGCCGCACAGAGTCTCACTTACAACCACCGGCTACATGGACCCACTGATTCAGGAGTTAGCTATGACCACATATCCACCGTGTGTTGTGTGAGTGGGTAGGGTTATTACCTCGTGTAGAATTGTCTGTGATAGTGGATGAATGGCGTCGAGGATGTTGAACCCAGGCAGCAGACCGTCGTTAACGACTGTGTCAAAGGGCCTCGTGTCCTGCGTTCCGTCCGGGTTGATTCGACGGTCGCTGATAAAGATATGGGCCTGGTCGCTGCAGTCTGCAATCTGGTTATTGGGCAATGGCATTTTGTACCCTAAGAGTACTCATGGTTAGACATGCCCGCCACACGGAAGGAAAGAGGACATTACAGCAACCAGGTGCCTTTCGCCTACTGCGCCGAGGACTTCCGCCTGCCGCCCAAGACATGTGAGCAGTGCGGCGGCGACGGCAAGGTGCCCGGGACGTGTGACAGGTTGCTCCTATCGGGCAGCCAGCCGGACTCCTGCTGGACTCATGGCGAACGCTGTCAGGGCTTTTACTGCCAGTGTACGCACGACGGCGAGGACCACACTCCGCAAATCACCTCGACGGCTGTCGTCGGTGGAGAGACAGCGACGGTGGTGTTCGAGCCAAAGACCTTGACGGAATATGCAGGGTTACGTGCCAGCACGACTCTGACTGTCACGGAAACGACAACGACTTTGGACGGTGCGACCGGGTTAGAGACTGGTGTGTTGGTCGTTTTTGCTGGTGGAGTTTCGTGGTGGGCCATTTGTGAGTACACTCCCTACCTAGATCCCCTTCATATATCTTGTTGTATGTACATGTACTGTACATGCATACATACATACCATCTTTTAAGGCCGCATTCAATTGCTAACGGTGTGGCACTGCAGCTGGATCCGGGGGTGCCGCTGCTCTGGGAGCCATCCAACCACCGGCCCAGAAGCCGGACGGGTCTCGCAACGACGACCAGCAATGCCAATCCAACCCAAAAGAAGACTGCAACGAATGCGGGGGAGCCGATGCTGTCGGCCTGTGCAAGACAGGCAGCCATGCCGGCTGTCCTTGCGACGAGAACCAGCACTGCCCCGACCAGCCGCCAAAGTGCACCGATGGGGACTGCGGTGGGGACAACGGCCAATCTCAGTGCGCCGCCAATGGCGCCATCAACCTTGCCTCTGCTGCCCAGACTCGCCCCCAGACTGTAGCGTCGACGACTGCCAGGGTGGTCTCGACCAAAAATGCAGCGCCAATAAGTGGAACGAATGCCCCTGTCGGGTCGTGGCAGCCGACGGCGCACTTTGCGGCACGCAGGGAGTGCCCGACCCGCTCCCTGACCGGGCCTCGGCAACCTCGCTCGCGCGGCGCATCTTCACCGAGGTGTACAACGGCGACCTCAAAAGCGCACCGTGGTGGTCCCCAAAGGCAATAACCACGTCTCGCGTGACGCCGTCCGATTGCTCCTTCGTCACGACCACGTTCGCGACCCCGCTGCCGAGCATGGGTCCGGTGCAGTGCTGGTGCGGGTGTGATGGCGACACGATGGTGGCCATGACCTGGGGCAGCTCGGCTTCGTCGACCAGCTCCTGGTGTCTCCCTGGATCGGGCGACTTCGCGCCTGACGGCTGGACGCAGCTGCCAAACCGTGTATCGTATTGCGGCGGATTGCCAGCACCAACCACCACAGCGCCACCACCACCACCACCTCCTCCTCCTCCTCCTCCGCCGCCGACGACAACCGCGACATCGTCGTATTGCGATCCTTATTGGTGCGGGGCGCCATTCTGCGCGCCATGTGGGGCTGAGAAAAAGAGGTTTGTGACTGTTCGAGGTTGAAGCCTGGGGTATGGATACAGCATAGGTAGATCGATACCTACCTACATAAGGTACTGCACATCCACAGTGATACCTAGGTACCTAGGTAGGTGTGGGGTTTTGAGGTGGTCATGTATGAATAGCTAGCCAATTAAATGCACGCAGTGCGGAATATCATTTTCGATCGTATGGATTTGCTAGCCGCCCGCTGATGGCGCCTGCTTTTCCGATTGGCAACAGTTGCATAAACCCGCGTCGTCACTCTCTCACACTGCAGACAAACCTCCACGCCAAGGCTGCAGACTTCAGCGAGGACAGAGGGCCTCTGACGAATCAAGCGTCAGTTAACCGGAGCGTGCTACTGACATAAGGTATTTTCCATGGTACAAAACCAACCCACAACCAACGCAATAAATGTGCAACTTGAGAGAAAAAGATCTCCTCTCCTGTTCCAACTTCCACATTATCCATCAAGCCTCCTTTATTCCCTTCCTATTACTCCCAATATACATTTTATCATTTAGCTATCATCTTTCTGGCCTGTCTCTCTTGGCACGTTGCAGCCAAAGCCGAAGAACCAGCCCAACCTGGAGAACCAGCCCAAGCCGAAGAAGCCTCATTTGAAGATACACCAGAGCAACTGTTTGAAACTGGCAATTGCCCGACCGATCCAAAGCTCGAGTGTGACGATCCCTTATGCACAGGCATGCTCGGCATGCACACCGAGTTCGAGCAGTATACCTGCACCAACCGGTCGCCCGTCACGATACTCGGGCGCCCCGCCATCGTATTCCACTGCTGGTGCTGCCCCGAGCGGTTCAGCACGTGGTGTAACAACGCGCCGTGTGCGGCGCCACCCGGCACGCGCATCTGCCAGGGCGAGACCCTGCGGGGGTGTCCCTGCGTGACGACCGAAGACCGCCGCGCCGTGGCCACCACCACGCTGTACGTCGAGGGGCCGCCCCTAGTCATCCCACGTCGGACCCGGTCGCCGACATTCACCTCGGTGGAGAATATATGGGCGTTGCTGCGCGAGTTTCATGATATGGGCCACCGGCTCCCCAGTGGCGAGTCGGTGTACGAGTCCACTCTGCGGGCAGCGAGGCCGCGCGGCCCCAACTCGCGTGTGGGTAACGAATCCGTCGCCCCGGCTGAGGCGGGTGAGATGGGCACTGGAAATGGCACCGAGAGAGAAGCGAGTGATGGACCGCCGCCTTCGGGGGACAGTGTGTCTTCAGCGTTTAGTAGGCTGCCGACGGGTGTGGGATATATCCAGTATGACTTGAGGAAGATGTAATTGGTTTTGCTAGGAAGTCTCCATATGACAAGATTTCAGGAGTACAAGAATAATGGACAGGTGTCTTTACAGGCGGCTAATGACCCTCTCATACACTGTGATTCTCCGCGGACTAAACCTTTCTTTCACTGAGTGCCTCGGCGTGCAGCCTGGCGTGCAGAGGCCTGCAACTTCCTAGACTTCAACCACTGGCATTCTAGATAAAGAGCATTACGACGCCGAAGAGCCACACAATCAGCGACACGGCCACGCGCTTTTATTAGTGCGTGCGACTGATTCAAGGGCCTGGTGCTGTCTCGGACAGAGGCAAACTCTTCCAATTCTCCCACCGGTCTGACGTCCTTTGGGGCCATATATCATTCCAGACAGTCAGGTAAGTATCCTCCTCAAGGTACTTGAGCTCCTCGCCCATGGTAACTCTCGTCTTCTTGCCAAGCTCTCGCACAGAGACTTTACCTTGGACGTCGTCCCGCTCGCAGACCCAGCTCCGCCCAATCCAAGCCAATATATCGTTGAAATCCCCGTCGTAAAACCCCGGTCCCTCGTTCCGTCCAATCTGCAGCTTCAAGTACTTCACGCTGCCACCAGACGATATCAAGTTGAAGATGGAAAGCGCCAGGGAGGAGTCCATGGCGCCATTGGTAAAGGCATCGCGGATGTCGAGGAAGGACATTCTCTCGGAGAGAACATGTACTCGTTCTTGCTCATCCTCCCTGTCCCCTTCTTCCTCGTGGTCTTCCTCCGTGGATCCTATGGAGAACTGAAGTTTCAAGGAGACATGCTTCAGCCGCGGCAGTCTGCTCAGCGCGCGGTAGGTTCCTGTTTCTCGACCGTCGCCATGCGTTCTATTGACGGGGAACTCGACGTGCTCTAGATTCGGGCAATGTTGGACAAGAAGCTGTATAACGGCTTCTGAAAAGTCGACCACGGGTCTCCATGAGCCACAGTATCGGTATGGGATCACTCGAAGCTGGCGTAGAGTCCCGCCATGGCGACGTAAAGCAGACTTGAATGTGGCATTGCTGATGAAACCCGTTAAGTCCAATGTCTCGAGGGGATTTAGGTGCTCAAGTAATAGCATCAGAACCTCCTGCATCTGACGAGCGCTGGTGTCAGATATTGATAATCTCAGCATGTGTAGCGACTGGAAACAGCCGCCACTCATGGCCATCTCGGCCAAGGTTTGCAGCGATTCAACAACACCACGACTGTCGTCGATCCAGTGAATCGTGAGGCAGCGCAACTTCACAAAGTCTGCGTGACGACTCCAGTTGATAATCTGCGTTTGAGACAGCCCACTGTACCCTATGACCAGGCTCCGGAGACTGCCTAGCCGAGGGGGTTCATCTGCCACCTCTGCTGTTGTCCCGGGGAAGAAGCCAGGCCAAGCTGGTCTCGGAGCACGAAATGCATTGATCAGATCAATCGAATTGCCCGGGTGACGACGCAGCATCCAGACATGCGCCAGTTTAGGCGCTGCCCCAGCAACCATACGCAACACGGCCTCTTGGCTGTAATCCACATTGCCGAAGGTGTCATAGTCATAATACGGCACAACAATGCTGTGCAGACACGGCGAAGTCGCAAGTGCGTATTCGTCGGGGTCGATAGAGTGAGGTTGGTCACGATGTTGAATGAGACTGCCAAGATGGAAGTTGTGCATGTGAAGGCGACAGCCCACGGTATGGACGGCTGAGAGGATGTATCGTGGTGGCGAGAATGTGTAGGCCCAGACGAGATCCTCAAGGCCTGGCAGCTGCCCAATAAATTCACCTAGGGGCTTCCAAGCTTCGGTATATTCGTCTCCCTGTTGCGGAAGAGGTATGTAGCTGTTCAGCCAGGACTGGACGGGGATTTCGCAAGGTCGGCAGAACTCCTGCACGTCAAAATAGTTCCGTATGTCGTGGTTCCCAAACTCTTCCACCTCCTCTTCTCCTCCATCTTGCTCACTGACTGGGGCATCCGGTCTCTCCCACTCCTCGGTGCGACTTTCTCGCTCCTCCTGTGGCCCAGCCCCCAATACCTTGAGGCGGCGGACATGGCGAGCGCGGCCATGGATAACAAGCACCTCACTCCATCGTCTCAAGTCATCCTGCAGCTTGTTCTGGTCCAGCACTTTGAGCAGAATTTGACTGAACCGCTCCGGTGCGGATACAACACAACAGCACCTGCTCGCCAATGAGAATGCCCACAGGCTGCGCCGGTTAGAATCGCATGGTGCAAGGTATTCACAGATGCGCTCCAAAACGATCAGCGGCAAAGTCTCTAGAGTGCGTGCTGTTGAGGGTGTCATTGGCGCTCTTGCCTAGCCTCTTGCGCGTAGTCGTTGCGTTGTTGGCGCAATCAAGGTTGTCAGTTTGAAGTGCGGGGAAGCCACTGCTAAGAAGGGTGAGTGAGCACCATGAAATTGGATACAGCGATCCGTAAATTAACGATATTCGATGTTGGAATATCCTCGAATTGGCCATTTAAACCCCCAGCGAGCCCCCCCTTGCAGAGACAACCTCTTTCGAAACCAGCCAGCATTGTTTCCTTATCTATCCTTTGCATACGCGAATTTATTACATCTCAATTTTCCCAACCTCCTCACCTGTCGCATGTCGAATAGCATACGACACCAAATCCAACGTATCAGCTGGTACAAACAAGTCCTTCGACTGGCCCATAACCGTGTCAAAGTTGGCCAAATATCCTTCAGGTGACTTCTCGCGAGAATGACCCGGGACTGTGGCTAGGGTCGTCCTCGCGGCTCTTCCTCCGCCAACGCTAAACAGCTCGCCCGAGACGGGACACTCCTCGCTCGCCAGCACGACGACGAAGTCAGCCACTAAGTGTGGCTCGAAGTACTGCCGAGTGATGCGCTTGATGACGGGAGACAGGTCCGACATGCGCGAAACGGCAGACGGCATGATCCCATTGATCTTGATGTCGGCCTTGGTGCTCATCCGGCCCAGGTCCCGAGTGAGCCCAAAGACGGCACCCTTGGATGCCACGTAGCCTCCGTCGCCGCCGGCGCCCATCCCAACGATGCTGTCGGACGATGTGTTGATGATCCGGCCGTACCCTTGTTTCTCCATGGTCGGGTACACGGCACTGATGAGCAAGATGCTGCCCAGCGCCGCGATCTCCCACGTCCGCCGGAACGACGCCTCATTGACGTTGTCATGCGAGCTCATCTGTCCGGCGATGCCGGCGTTGTTGACGAGGATGTGCACCGCGCCGTACGCGGCCAGCGTGTTCTGCACAAGCTGCTGGACTTCGGTCTGGATCGAGATGTCATGCCCGTCGGCCATCGCCTCCCCGCCTCGAGCTTTGATCTCCTCTACGACGGCCTCGGAGCGCGAAGATGTTCCTCGTTGGCCGTCGAGGGTGCCGCCGTAGTCGTTGACTACTACTTTTGCGCCGTACGCTGCCAAAAGCAGCGCGTACTCGCGGCCAAGACCACCGCCAGCCCCGGTCACGATGGCCACTCGGCCCTGGAGCGATGTAAGTTTGGTGGGTGTTGTCATGGTTGTTTGCGAGCTTAGACAAGGGCAGGGAGAAGCAGGTGTGGAGAAATAGTTAGATATCAGAGTCGCTTCCGTGAGATAATCAAGGTGCGGATGTCTTGCTTAGTGCTGGCTGGGCCGAGACAGTCATTAATGGACAACTCCCGTAGTCACTTACAGTAAGAAGCGGGGAATGTAAGAGTCGCTCAACGGACCCTAGTTTAGTCCCGAGGCAAGAAAACTAGCCCGGAACGGTGTCTTGCTGACTCGCCTGGAGTTGTCAGCGATGGTGGAGAAAAGGTGGATACCTGACAAAGTAACGACACCAGATTGAGAACGTTAAGAAATCATGTGTTCAAAGGGTGAGTCGTCCTAGTCGAGGCGAGGAGGTGGTCGAACCTCGGTCACCTTGTTTGTTGTTCCAATTTCTCGCAAGTTGTGCCCGATTATTATACCACCCTCAGTTGCAGAGCGTCATGCCACGAGGAACGTTTGTTTTGGATGGCCTCCGGCTAGCGGCATGCATCTTATCTCTTCGCTGTACGTCCCCAACCTTTGATTATTGGCTGTTAGGTGTTTAGTCTAACCTCTTGCCCACGTCGACTTCATTTTAGTCTTGATCATACCCAAAACCAAGTTTTGGGCGTACATTTCTCGCCTCCGAGGGCGCAAACTGCCCACACTCCCGCACTTGCTCGCCAATACCGCAATTAGGTGGTAAGTCTTCCCCCTGTTTTCTTTTGGCATGACCTTGACCTTGACTGACAAGAGTGGTAAGGCTCGCGAGATCGCTTTCAGTTCATCAATTCAGGGCTGTTACAACCAGCGCCGTGGACAAGCAGGCGCTTTTACTGTCCTGCCCTGAACTAGTCAAGGCTGGTGCAAAATGCGAAAATGTTTGTCGACCTGCTTGATCAGCGCCAGTCTCAAGAGGTGTGGTTAATGCTGACGAAACCACGCAAACGCAGGTTCACGCCCCCGGTTTTCGAGCCGTTTATCTAACCCGATTCCCACAGTCCACTCACACGCTCCTGTACGTTCACGGTGGCGGGTTCGTATCTGGCTCTCCCGATTCAGTCTCCCCGTATCTTATGCAGCTCTGCATCGAGCTGTGCGCCCGTGGGCTCGTCGCCGATATACTCGCCGTCCAGTACGATCTAGCACCCGAGCATCCTTATCCGCAAGCACTACGCCAGGTCGTGGCTGCATACGAGTATGCTCTCACCCAGTCGAAGCCAATAGTATTAATCGGAGATTCGGCCGGTGGAAATCTGTGCTTGGCCCTACTGCTACATCTTGCCAAGCCGCACCCAATGATCTCCGCATCCAATACTGACCCGCAAGGCAACAGTGACATTGTTGCCACCTGTCTTGCCAGTCCGTGGGTTGATCTTCGCAATGAGAGCGAGTCGTACCGTGAAAATGCAGGGATGGACTGCTTGGATAAGTGGGCTTTGGATTCATGGCGGGACTTATATCTTGCCTCACAACCTCTGGACGAATACGTGTGTCCCATCGACTGTGAGGTTGGATGGAAAGACATCCTTCCGCCCAAGACGCTCCTCATGTCTGGAGCCTTGGATCTCTTTGTAGCCGACATCAGACGTTTGGTCAGGAATATCGAACTGGTCAGTCCTAGTGACCAGGTGAAGTTTGACCCTTTGAACTTGTTGCTAACAAATCAGCAGGACGGATACCAAGGTCTAGATGTCGACATTGCCTGTCTCAAGGGCCATGTCTGGAATATTGTCGACTTTGGAGCGACCAAGCCAGCGCAGGGATTACTCGAGGTCAAGGACGAGGCGCTGGTGGGTGTGCGCTTCCAGGCGGATTGGATTGCCAAGCACTGCCAACTGTAGAGTATTAAGTTCAGGATTCAGACATCAGAGATTGAAATTGAATAGACAATCAGAGTCAGTTCTTGATCCAAGGTGATGATGATAATAAGAGAAACAATTCGATTAAGTATCACCACCGTGTTGCCGAGTGTGTCAATCAGAACAATACTAACAAGTGAAAAGAAACCTCGCAACATTTGAGACAGAAATACGGTACTCTGGCTAACCCCCACATAGGTAAGACTCCCTCAAAGTAAGCATCTAAGGAAGGCTAGCCAATGATTATAGCTAGTTACTCCCCTTTCACGATCGGGTCCTCCCCAGAGCTGTCGCCAAGATTAGTCTTATGGAAGTGACGCGGCTTAACCCCCGCTGCGTAGAGCTCGTCCAACTCAGCCACGGTCCGATCCTTCGTCTCTGGAAGCCAAAACCAGCATCCGATAAAGCCGATCAGGGTGGTTACACCGAAAATAAAACCGACCTTGCCGCCAAGGTTCCCTGCGTCCGGGTTAAACATGTAAGGGAACACGAAGCCGACCAGCCACTGGATGACGACGAGAACAATGTTGGCCAGCCCCTGAGTTCGCGAGCGAAGCCGCCACGACGGGATTTCTGCCACAACAGTCCACGCCACCGTTCCCAGCGTAAGTTGGTAGATGAACCCCTATTTTTCGGTCAGCCGAAAGAACGAACATGAACTCCACGTGGAGCAAGTCCAGGGAAGTGGACACCTCCGAAATTCCAATAGGATCGTACGTACCCAAACAAACATGAACGCAATAGTAACCAGGTACGTATCCTTTCGTCCCGGAACCGAAGCACCGCCGACGATAAGCAGGGTCAAGGCGCAAGCAAACTGGCCCCAGACAATGAGCGGGCGGCGGCCAACAAAGCCAATCAGCGACCAGGAGAGAATGTTGGCGACGAACATGCTGCAGTTATTCAGCATGCCAAGCAAGAACGACATCTTAGCATCGAACCCGGTGAGCTGGTAGTAGTACGACTGGTAACCGAGCACGAAGATGATCCCCGAGAGGTACTGGCAGCCATACACAAACATGCAGATGAGCGTGCGCTTGCGGTCGACGGCGGCGAAGCAATCCGCATACGTGACATTCGCCGTCTGCGCCCGGTGCTCCTGCTCCGTATGTGCCGTGTCCCGGATCAAGGCCAAGATGGCGTCCGGATCGATCGAAGCCGACTTGGCGCCGTGGAGTCGCCGGATAGACCGCTTCGCCGCATCGATCCGCCCGGTCCGGACCAGCCACACGGGCGACTCGGGCCAGAACCAGACCGTGAGCAACATAACGCAGGGGACGATCCACTGGCACGCGAACGGGATGATGTACGCATCGGCGTGGTTCTGCGGGCCCAGGCGGTACATGATCCCCGTGAACACGAGCACGCCCGAGAACTGGATGATGTTCGTCATGGCGGTGAGCCAGCCGCGCAGCTTCAGCGGCGCCACCTCGGACGCGTACAGCGGCCCGATCACCAGCCAGGCACCGATGGACAGGCCGTTCACCGCCTTGCCCGCCGTGAGCAGCCCCAGCGAGCCGTTCCGGGTGGAGACGTACTGTATTGCGACCCCGACGACTGAGACGGCGCACGACAAGAGGTTGGTGTAGCGACGCCCGATCCGGTCTGCGAGCCAGCCCGTCAGCGCGGCGCCGAGGACGGCTCCCAGCTGGGAGACGCCGCCGTAGAGGCTCTGCCAGGTCGCCGGGATAATGTATGCGGCCGCCTCGCCTGTTCCGTAGAGTTTGCCGTAGTCCTCACTGTGGGGCCGGGCTTGTTAGTACCAGCCCCCTAGTGATATGTGATACAACAGGATGTAGTATCCAGAGACTCTGAACATACCGGAACTTGGGGATGGCAAGGAGACTCCCCGCAATGATGCCATCGATGCCGTAGCCGAAGACGATCAGCTGCCCGTAGAGAACCCAGAGGGTGCTCCTCCAGTAGATCCAAACGCTGCGGAAGAAACTCAGGTTCTTCTCGTACTCGATCTGGCGCGCAGCCACCTCAGCCCATTGTTGGTGTTGTTGTTGCTGATCAGATTTCTCAAGGTGCTCCTCGACAACCTCGGACTTGTGGCTTTCTGTCATGATTGAATGGCAGTGAATATGCGGTTGGTTGGCTGTCTGTCTTCTCGGACACGGGTTCTAGTTTGCGGCTCCGGAGTTCTGTTTTCGCCCGAGGTTCTCAGTCTAGACAAGAGCTGACAATGCCTCCCAAAGCCGAGAAAAATCAGGGAACTTTATGCAGGGTAATTATACTGTACTCTTCGCTAGCGCCTCGAACCCCATACCATACCAACCTCTTTCTCAGCTTCACGTTTGTGCCTGTGCCCTCCTTGCCTGACGCAAGTAGAAATTAGTCCTTTCCAGAAATCCGTGCGCGGACGGAGGGGCGAAGGAGCTATCACTGGGTAACGACAGAGATTGGTTTGTTGGGGACTCTAGCCTCTAGTGGAGCTGACTTGCCTCGAGCTAGCTGACACAGCGCGCGGACTCAGCAATTATTTGTGAGGGCGCCAAGGTATGGGGCCGCGGGACCAGGTTGCGGGGAGATGAGTGGAGTTGGTTGCGGGGAAGATGAGGGACCAAAGGAATGACCTTAAACCCCAAGGATCGGCAAGCTCACTTAGGATCGTATAATCTGGCGTTGAAGTTCCAACCCGTCTTTTCACATTGGCAGAATACACGTCTTGAATCGACACCTTCCCAGCCGTCACAAGCCATCCCAAACGACAATATGACTCCTCGTGAACAGCCGTTGCAAAACGACTATGAATTCACCTTTGATAATCGAATCGGCGGCACGCCACTTGAGACAGGTGAACCCGCCCCTTACAAAGTTTCGGAGCATCTGCTATGGGCTCCACGCAAGATGAGGGTCGCCTCAATTGGCGCGGGGGCCTCTGGGATCATGTTGTGCTACAAGAAGGAGAAGGAGTTTGGCGACTCGATCGATTTGGTGGTTTATGAGCGTAAGTTTCCCACTGAACTCCCCACCGACCAACCCCCCCACCCAACCCCCCCCCCCCCCTTACAGAGAAAAGGAAAAAGGAGGCCCAAACTAACAATGTAGACTAGGATATCCCAAATGCGGCGGCGTCTGGTACGCCAACAAGTATCCCGGCTGCCGTTGCGACGTGCCCTCCCCAGCCTATCAGTTCTCCTTCGCGCCCAAGCCCGACTGGTCGCGCTACTATTCGCCCTCGGCCGAGATCCAAACCTACTACGAAAGCTTCGCCCGCGACCACGGCTATCTAGACCGATACATCAAGCTCTCACACGAAGTAACCGGGGCGACCTGGGACGAGGCCACGAGCCAGTGGATTCTCTCCGTCACCGAGACGACCGAGTCCGGAACGAAGCTGCGCAGCTTCGAAGACCGCGTCGACTTCCTGGTCGCCAACATCGGCGTGCTGAACACCTGGAGATGGCCCGATATCCCCAACCGGGAAGCCTTCCGCGGGAAGATGACCCACTCGGCCGATTATGATACGAGCCTGGACCTCGCCGGCAAGACGGTCATCGTCATCGGCTCGGGCGCCTCGTCTATCCAGATCATCCCGGCGATCAAGAAGACGGCGGGAAAGATCATTTCGTTCTACCGTACGCCTCAGTGGATCAGTCCTGGCCTTGCCATGGAGGGCTACACCGATGCTCAAGGCCGGAACTTTGACTGTATGTGTATTCTGACTCTGCATTACCAAGAATTGTGCATGGTTCGAGTTGGTGTGGAAGATGCTAACCGTGGTGGGCTTCCCACGGCACTGCACAGACACGGACGAGCAAAAGCAATTCTTCGCCTCCAACCCGGCGGCATATCTCGAGCACCGGAAGGCCTTGGAAAGCAAGATCAATTCCAGCTTCCGTGGCAATATTGCCGGTCACCAGATCCAGAAGCTCACTCGAGAGGTACGCTATCCCGGCGTTTGCCCATCCCCATCCCCATCTCCTTTTGCCTTCACCGGCTGCATGTTTTGTCCCAGCTACTGAAGAAACACCGGCGGTGACAATAGGCAGTTTCCAAGCACATGGCCTCCACCCTGAAGAACAAGGAAGGTCTCGTCAAGCGTCTGGTGCCCGACTTCCCCGTCGGCTGCCGTCGCCTGGGTCCAGCCGAGGGCTTCCTTGAAGCGTTCCTCGAGGAAAACGTCGAGCTTGCCAGCGGCGATATCGCCAGCTTCACTGAGAATGGTGTGCGTACGACCGAGGGTGTCGAGTACGCGGCCGACGTGATCATCTGCGCCACTGGGTTTGACGTCAGCTTCCGACCTTACTTCCCCGTTGTTGGTGTCAACGGCGTCTCCTTGGCCGAGGCGTGGAAGGATGATCCGTCGGCTTACCTGGCTATGGCTGCTAGTGGATTTCCCAATTTTATGAGTGAGTTTGTTGTGTTTTCGGCCCTCGCTACGTTTTCTGGTAGCTTCCGTGGCGGATAATCATACCCTGGTGATTGGACTAACATTGCCGTGTGAAATGCAGTCGGCTCTCTCGGCCCAAATTGCCCTGCAGGACATGGGTCATTTGTCACAGTGCTCGAAGCCGCGCAGAACTACATTTGCAAGGTGATACGCAAGATCCAGACAGAGAATATCCGATCCTTGGACGTGAAACCAGAAGCTGTGGCCGAGTATAACGAACACGTTCACGAGTGGCTGAAGAGAACGTAAGTAAACCCTCTGGTCGGTGATCTGTCATCACCCCGTACATGACCAGCAAGAAGAGGAATGATGCTAACATTGTGTGCAGGGTGTGGGCAGCTGGGTGCAGGTCATGGTACAACCGGGGGCGGCCGGGGGGGAAGGTGATTGCGCAGTATCCCGGGTCTCTGGTCCATTGGCGCCTGATGCTGGAGCATCCGCGGTTTGAGGACTACAACATCTCTTACCGCAGCCGGAATAGATTCGAGTTCATGGGAAATGGCTTCTCCGAACTCGAGGTTAGTGGCGGGGACTTGGCCTGGTATTTAGAGCCCGCTTTTATCGAAAAGCCGCTGTTTGATCATTGATGATTATGACCTGTATTATTTTACGGTTTTCTATAGCAAATACGCTGCTCAAACTAGCCTATGGTTGGCTGGAAGTGAGACATGGCAGGCTATGAAGACAAGCATACTTTTAGAACAAAAGTCTTCTTCATTCTTGATCAAGGAAGGTTCTTCAACTAAGATTTGTGCCAATATCGGTCCTGCTAATGTTCGAGAGATTCGACGAGTTTGAGGGGTTTGAGGAGTTTGAAGGTAAACCTAGACTGTCATTCCCTTTGAGCAGCCGCTTCCAATGAGGGTATCGGTCGAAGAACCCGTGGCCGAGCTTCCAGTTTCTCAAGTCCAAGATTTCCGCTTCCAAGCGTTTGGGGTCGTTTAGTGTAGCCTGGTCTGGTGTTTGAATGTCTACGGTCAGGTACCGAACTATATCGCGCGAGACATCGTAGAGACCAATTTCGTCAGACATGGACATGTGAATGAGTGCTTCGCGCATTTCTGGCCTGGATGGATGAGTTAGCAAGCTCATACCAGGGACGGCACCAACTGGAAGCGATAATGGTAGTTTGGGGGCCGGGGGGAGGGAAGGGCTGAGGTTTATATTACCACGCGACGAGGTCTGCCGCAACGGGATGCGAAACAGTCAGTTGAAGCCGTGTTGGCCGCAGCCATGTAGGTAGGTTTTGGTAAGCCTCCTCGTCCCTAACAATTTGCCACTAATTACGACGGGGAAGTCAGTTTCATCAACCGCATTACAAGAATCCGAGGTGGCAGAGCCAGACATACCCTGAAGAGAAGATATAGCACCCAATAAGTAGCCAGGAACTCCGAGGTCCGTCTTCTCTGTCTAACAGGCTCCAGCAGCTTCTTCAGATCGATCGACAGGGTATTCTTAGGGTTATCGAACAAGAAGTCCACAAGCGTCGGCGGGCCAACGGATTCTATATTGGCCCGCGCCCGGTCGATTATGGTCGACACCTCTCTATCCCGTTGCGACGGCGGGTTTTGGTTAAGTGGAAGCGCCCGTGACTCTGGCTTCCCGCTCGCCATGGGCGCGGCGATCAACGGACTGGACGAAGGCAACCAGTCTCCGAAGTCGACACCTAGTAAGTCGATCATGTTTTTGAGCGACAGTGCTGAAGAGGCGACGGGTGATGCCTGTCTCCAGGGGTTATGGCCACTAGGTATTGGGGAGCCGCGGGGAGGTGAGAGCAAGTAGGAAGCGAGGGGTTGTGCACCTGGGGGCCAGATGTTGGCGTTGAGACTCTGTCGAGAGTCTTTCTGGAGGGGATCGTCAGGGTCGGCTCCGGTGGTGTTCTGTCGGGGCGAAGCTGCCAGATACATCATATTTGCCAACTCGAATTGCTGCATCTGTGTCGAGCTCTCGTAATTGTGGCAGTGGCTGTGGTTTTGGTTGTGATGAAGAGGATGGGAGTGGGGATGAGCTTGAGGATGAGGATGAGAATGAGGGTTGAAGTCCTGCAGGGCGGTGTCCGTTTGTTGCAACAAGCGAGACAGGGCGTCAAATGCACAAAACTCTGGCACCATATCTGCATAATCCCCATCTGGTTGGCGAGATTGATCATTGAATGATATGTTGGTATCAACGGGGGCAGCGATATCGCCCGAGGTAGTTGTCGTGTCCATATGTCCTCGATCAAACGGGACGTCCGCCGTGTTACGTGAGGATGCCATTGCATCAAGGCCTATCGAGGCTGCGTCTGTTCCTGATGCGGCCATCAAAGCATCCATGTGTGCTGTATGTTGACCTTCGTTGAGGTTCTCCGCGTCCCCTACGGTGCGGATGTCCTGAATTTCTGTTCTCGGAGGTTGCTGGCTCGGGTCGTGGATGGGCAAATTCTGGTTCTGCTCGGCCGGATGCTGTTTGCTGGCGTTTTTGGTCGGGTGGTAACTTAGAGGTTGGTTTCCGGTCGCCGTGTTCAAAACGGATTGGCGCCTGAGCTGCCGGTAGCGCTGCATCAAGGCTTCCATCTCATCCCAGAGGCTATTTATTTGCTTCACCTGAAGGACATTTGGAGTGAGTATGGGCGTCGCCAAGGTCAGTATGGATGATTAATTATTACCTCTTCTTGCAATCGCAGGTTTTGGGCTACCAAGTCGGCCGTCCCCGAGTCTCCTCCATTACCCGACTTGAGCATGTTGAGCCGGCCCTCGAGTTCCTCGATGTAGAGCTTCTGGCGTTTTCGATGATGCCTCTGCGCGAGCTTGTCCGTGAACCGCTTCCGCTCCCGCCGCCTCTTTTCCGCCTCAGCCTGCGACTCCTCGGTTTGTTGTGCGGTCTGCACGGCGGGATTCGTGGCTTGAGGCGAACCAGGCCATGCCGTCTGGCCGCTGCTCGTGTCGGAAGCATTGGCATCGCCCTGAGGCGGCGACAGTCTGGAAGTTTGGTTCATTTGGTGGCCACAGTTGTACTGCTGCAGTTTCGTCTCTGTGGACACGGAAGGGGAAAATCGGAATTAGGACGGGAGTTGGGGGAGTTGTGTAGAATGATGCGGGGTCAATCCAGAAATTTGAGACCCGGATCGGGGATCTCAGCTGCACCGAGCAAGTCTGGGGACGGGATGGGGAGAGTGAGCGGGGTGCCGAATGGAAAGTGCGGGGTAGCGGGGTAAGTCTCTCGGTGGAAACCAATCAGAAGCGCAGAATATGTGTTAGTGCGGAGTCAGGGGCCAGGGGTCAACTACTAGTTTGGGAGCAAAAGGATACGACGGCTTGCTGATTGGTTCATCATTGACGACATTATACGGGCCTCCATAAATCTGTCTTCTGTCTCAGTGGAGAAGAGAAGCAATAATGCTACTAATTAGATGTCTAGAAAACAGGACCGCCAGACAGCAAACTACCTAGTTATCAGCTACACGCTCTATCTTCAAGTACCCATTCCACATGTCGTCAAACTTTCTTAATAACAGCTTCTGCTCGACTAGATCTGCCGCAGTGGCAAGGGAGTACCTCCGCCAGATTTCTGGTGCTTCCGGCGTTGGCGCCAAATCGGATGGTGTTGCTTCTCGCGTCGTGGCAGAAGTTAAGTGCGGTGGGCTCTGGGGGCTGCTGGGACAGTCTATTGCTGTTCCTGCCCCCGTCCCCGTCCCCGTCCAGAGTATATCGCTGGCGACAAGGCAAGCCTGGAGTAACATTCGGCAATCTCGGCGCAAGTTAGCATAGTCGGGTGGCCTACTCTCTGGTCGTTCGAGGGAGAGTAAGGCAGTTAATGTAACAATCATGGGTCGCAGCAGCGCAGCTTCGGCGCCGATGCTTGGCTCCCTGTGATCTCCCCCCTCGCACCTGCCGAGAAACTTTCTCGAAGTCGCCAGGATTCCTCGAATTCTGTGTACAATTTGCTCATTCCGTATCCTATCCCAGTTGAGTCCGCTGCCATCCTTGTTCCTTCTTTTATCTGGTGCTCGATGGAGAGCGATAATGATCCGGGTGACTAGCAACTCGAGGTTCACCCTTGTTGCGACCACAGTCTGATCGCTTTCCTCGTCTAGCACCTCCCTCAGACCTTGGACTTGGGTGTCGCATTGGCGCTGCGCAAACTCTTGGGCTATTGACTCGACTCTCCAGAAATATTCGTCGTGATGGATCCGGTTCTGGCTCGATTTTCGCCGCCGCTTACGAGCAGGAGCTCTTGGATGCCGCCCAAGTACAATCTGAGCCATCCGCTCACATACAGCTATCTTTTGGCGAAAGCATGATGCTTTTTGCATGCGCGTCCAATATTCTGGGATTTGGCTCTCGAGGGATGCCGCAGGATTCAGATCGAAATCTTCCAGCAGAAGGGGCTCAGCGGTAGATGGATCGAGAACGAATGATGGGGGGTGTAATGGCCGTGTTGCTTCGAGTGAGTAACGGAGGAAGTGCAGCTGCTCCATCATGAAGCCGCACCACCACAGTCGCCTCCACAGCCTGGGTCTGGCTTGTATACTCAAATCGAGATGTTCGGTCGCTGGGGCTAACCGTGTTTCGCGGAGTATCGCTGTGGCTGCCTGTAACCAGCGCGCACTTATTTGTCCGTAAGCCCTTATGTTGACGTTTGTGGCAGCGAAGACCATTAAGAGCAGGGATTGAACATGCTCTAAAGGATCGAAATTGGGTACAGATGCCAGCTGTTTCTGGATTGTCGTCCCGTCAGTTCGCCCAACAACACACCCCCGGTTCTATGCGTACCTCGAGATCGTGGAAGTTCCTCTCAAAGGCCTCTACGCGGTTGGAGAAGCCATGGCGGCCCAGAATTATCTGATCAAGCCATGGCAATGCCGATGCGAGCAAGGCATGATGCAATAGGCTACCCTTTGGAAAGGGCGCCTCGCCTGCTTTGCAGGAACGAAGCACGGCAGGATAGTCGAGGACAGGAAGGTCAAAGTAGATGTGCTCAAGGTAGATTCTAGCTGACACAGGTCCTAATTCGGTCGTGGGATCCTCAGCCACAGATGATAACTGGTTGGGGATTATTGTAGCGAACTTGTCGCACTCTGCTGGTTGGGTCAACAGCACGGAAGCCATTAGCCACGGCAGATGAAGTTACAAAGTGACCCCATGAACTGTTTGGACATGATCCAACATCGATTGGCTCCCATAAACAGGGAGCATCAACTTTCTACGCCATCTTGTGATGCTCGAGACAGGCCACTATCTCTGCGTGCTCACTTCCACACTGCAGCCACATCTTTCCCCCGCACTTGTGTGGGTTTACGCTGACTCGACAAGCTGACTCGTTTCGTTGAACAAAAGCTGACACAGCTAGCTTGTGTGGGGGGGTTAATGTGGGACCTGGCTTGCCATGTGATAACCTGGCCAGGTTACTCCAAGTCTGGAACTCCTGCTAGTTAGCTCGGCAAAAACAAGGTCAAGCGTCCCCGATATTTTTCAACTTGCAGCCGAGGAGTGTCGCTGACTGGCCCATTGGCTAGCTGCGTTCGGAACCCTCTGATATTGGTATTAATGTCCAAGCACAAGGCAAAGTACATAGAAAATGTAACTCATTTCTCGAGGAACTGGATCGTATTCAGCTCGTACCGCTTCCGTTCTTGTGACATAATTTCGAGGACTCTTTTTCGTGCTACCCCAACCCACCACACCTCATCTCCGCATCTCCATCCATTCGCCATGACGCTCAACGACGACAGCCGTGACGTTCCCCGAACCTCTATGCCCAGCCCGACGAAAGATGAACTCAAGCTGTCCGGGGGGGTGGCAGTCATTACGGGGGCAGGCGGTGGAATTGGGTCCGGATTGGCCCGCAGAGCAGCTCAGCTAGGAATGACCGTGGTCATCGCCGACATTGCCATCGACAGAGCCGAGACTGTGGCACGGGAGATCATCGACGCGGGCGGCCAGGCCGAGGCAGTGGTGGTAGATGTCTCCCGACCGGACGAACTCGACAGGCTGGCCGAAATGGTCCACGAGCGACACGGGCACGTCCGACTACTCGTCAACAACGCCGGCATTGAGACGCTGGGCCTCTGCTGGGAAGTCCCTGCGGCGAGATGGGAGGCGACTCTCAACATCAACATACACGGCATCGTCCATGGGGTGCGTGCCTTCGCTCCTCGGATGCTCGCCACGGGTCAGGAATGCTGGATTGCCAACCTGTCGAGCGCTGGCGCGTTTGGAATGATGCCGACACAGGCGGCGTATATCATGACCAAGCATGCGGTCCAGTCGTTTACCGAGGGCCTGTTCCTTGACATGAAGACCATCAAAGCCCCGGTTCACGTGTGCTCCGTCATCCCTGGTCTGGTCCGAACCGATATCTTCGATGCTACCCCAAGGCCGTCCGGAGGGGGACAAAACGGACGTATGGCGGAATTTCGAAAGATTATGTCGGATATGGCTCGTGATCACGGCATGGATGTCGAACAAGCGAGCCGGATCATCATGGCACAGATCGCGGCAGGCAAGTTTTGGGTATCGACGCATCCCGAGACGACGGATGAAATCATCGCCCATCGCATCGAGTTTCTTAGGCAGCAGGTAGATCCGGATGTTATGCCTGGGTCCAGACACCTTGTCGACTTTTAGGTGACTTCAAGAAGTCGCGTTGCCCGACTTGTGGAAAATCACGGATACTTTTTTATGTCGCTCCGGGTCTCATACTCATATGCATTAGAGGTTAAAGTCAATGTAGTTAAATCTCTATTCGATACAAGGTAGACATTATATCATGGTAGAATAGTTTGAGCAATTCTCACAACTTGGCCCTATTCTGCTTCTCAGCCTCCCCCCTCTCCTTCCATTGGTCCTTCAACACTCTCCTCAGGATCTTGCCAGAGGAGCTCTTCGGTATCGAGTCGAGGAATTCTATACCGCCGGCAAGCCACTTGTGCCGAGCCTTGCGTGACTTGACGTATTCTTTCAGTTCTCTCTCCGTCTCGCTGCACTTCGACACCCCGGATCGAACGACAATAAAGGCTCTTGGAAGTTCTCCCGAGTAGGCGTCAGGTATTCCCACTATTGCCACATCGCTGACGTGGGGGTGGCCGTGAAGCAAATCCTCGAGCTCGGCAGGTGCGATGCCGTGACCACGAACCTGGAGAAGAATGGTCTGATGAGTGCCTTGGCACTTTCCTGGGAGTTTCTTTGGAGAGAGGTCTTTTGGATGGTTCTAGTTACCTTGATCATTTCCTTGATTCGATCATGGATGGTGATGAAACCATCCACGTCTATGGCTCCCAAATCCCCAGTTCGCAAATAGCCATCCTCGCCATACGTTTCCGCGGTTGCGGCTGGATTATTCAGATACCCCATGGAAACCTGCGGCCCACGCGCCCAGATCTGTTGGCTGTTAGCACAGTGCAGCAGAACATTTCTTCCTCAAGCAGACTGTCATCCTCTTGCCTACTTACCTCTCCAGCGTGGCCCGCGGCAACCTCATTCCCGGTAGCTGGATCCACGATCCGGATCTCCGTTCCGGAGACAATCTTCCCCACCTTTGCAGCGTTCTCCCATGTACAAAGGTGAGGCGGCGTAAGCGCTAGACACGACGTGCTCTCCGTCATGCCCCAGGCCTGCCGGATTGCGACGCGCGGGAACCGAGCTGAGAGCTTGGCAATGACCTCCTCGGCCAATGGCGCCGCACCCGTGTTGAACTGCTCCAGGAACGACAAGTCGTACCCTTGCGCAGCCGGATCGTTGAGGAGCCGGATGAGTAGTGCTGCCCGCGTTTGCCAGGTGGGTTAGCAATCCCGTTCAGACTGTGAAGCTAGCTGTGTGGCAACAAGTCCGCAATGGAAACGGGGAGTAAGCAAACGTACGTGGAACTAGCCACAACTCGTTGCAGCGGTACTGGACAATTGTGTCCATCATTTTCCGCATATCGAACCTGGCCATTACGACCATGTCATATCCCAGAACAATGGGCAGGTGAAGGAGGTGAACAAGGCCGGTTACTACCAAAAGGATTAGCTCTGTAGATTATCATCTTGTCTCGTGCACCTCTGATAAGAAAGGAATTGCGACATCTAGATAGACGGCCTTACTATGGTAGAATGGAAGGATTCCAAGGACTGTGCGGTGTCTATTCGGGGGTGTCAGCTGCCGCACTTGGCAGAGTTGTGCGATGATGTTAGTATGCGATATCATGACCTGTGATGATGTGCAATGTGCCGGTCAGCTTGTATTCCCCACTGTCCAGGGATGTGACTGAGGCTGGTGGATGTAGCCCAGCATTACAATTTCGAGACAGAGAGGATTTCCGTACCGCCTTTGGCCGCCCCGTCGTCCCTGAGGTGAAAGAGAGAAAGGCACAGGTGGTTGAGTCGCTCTCGGCGGGTTTCCACTCAGGTTGGACGCCTCCTGTCGAATCCAACAACCGGCCATCATCGATCAGGCCCTGAATATTTGCGTGGCATTGACTTGATCCTTCTAAGAGAATGAGTCGATCATCGGCCAAACCAACCATCTTACATGCCTTATGCACCTCGTCTAACGTGGCCAGATTTGCGAGGACAATGGTGGCATTAGAAGTACGGAAGAAATAGGCCAGGTCCTCAGCGGTGGATTCATTTGGTAACGTCGTGACAATAGCTCCGAGCCTGTTTGCGGATAACATTGCCACGGGGTGCCAAATCGAGTTGCTGCTGACAATGGCTACTGTCTGATGTGCCTTGAGACCGCATGATTGTGCCAGTGCTGTTGATAGCCAGATGGCCTGGCTCTTAAGGCTCCGAAAGGACAGGAAAGCACCTGTGTCTGCATCTCGAAATCCTCGCTCGTTTGATGGTTCAAGGGTGGAGCCGGATTCGCCGCCACTTCTAGATGTATCATTTCTTGATCCGAAGAGCCAATTCCACACGGACACATTGGTTAGGTCTATCTCGGTGTATGTCAGCTCTCAAGCATGGAAGGTGATGCAACTGCGGCGTAATTATTGGTGCATTGTTCACTTACATGGCGCGAGCCGTGGCCCAGAGTGAGGCATAACGTGCTGCGGCAAATTCGAGGAAACTAATTATGTTTCTATCTGTTTGGCGTTGTCCCTTTAGAAGATTCGCTGAAACATAAATAGTAAACAAATCTGCCCGAGTTCGGCAAGAACAAATCCTTCGGGTAACCTGAACCGACCATGTCCTCGCTGACTCGGGGAGGCTGACTCAGTCATTCGGGTTTGCCAGGTGTTGTGGGGTCATGAGGGAGCCCCCCTCAACACCAGGTTGGCCCACATAAGCCAGGGTTTGGGTGGTTGAAAATAGCGTCATTTTCTAACAACAACAACAATAAGTCAGGTGGGTCCTCCATTTTAGAGTCAGACAGAGTGATAATTACATGTCAATTGTTATATCCCACGACACGCAAACCTCTCTGCTAAACTCTTCACAACCTCCTCCCAGCAATCATCTACATCATCTTTGCGGTACTCCTTAGATCCTTCCTTGTAGTGAGAGAATCCATGTATCGCCTCGGGATATTCCTTTAGCAATACCTTAACCCCAGCTTTCCTAAGATTTTCAGCATATTCCACGGCCTCAAGCCCAAGGCAGTCAAGCCCCGCAACCATGATTACAGCAGGAGGCAAAATTGGTTGAAGGGACTTCAATAGTTCGAGGTCGGCGGATAAAGGCGCAACAAATATCTGGTCCTTCATGACGTACGGTGGCAGATACGACTCCTCCATCATCTCTGCGGCCCAGACTGGAAGGCTCTTCTCGCGCACTCGTGGATTCCCTGCGGCTGCCCTGTCGAGACGATCCCGGTAGAGAATGTTGCAGCTTGTGCTTGGGTAAAGCAGAACTTGTGCCGCAAGCCTGAAGCCAGCCGGCAGCCCTTCCCGAAGCTGCGCGCATGATCCCGCCGTAAACGATGTCAGGAGTGCCAATGCGGTGGCCAAGTTTCCCCCAGCCGAATTCCCCATGACCGCAACTCGAGTTGGATCAATGTGCACATCCATCTCTTCGGCCATCAATGGCGACAGCGCCCACTTCAAGACTGCATGCAGCTGTAGCAATGCATGTGGGAAGGGGTAATACGGCGACTTTGCGTAGTCGACTGAGAGAACAACGGCTCCGAGCTGATAGGAAATCCACCGTCAGCTTTTAAGGGTCTTGAGGTGCTTGGCTTGTTCTTGGGGTTGACTACCTGGTCTGACAGCATACGATCATTCTGCTCGCCGTCACTCGGCTCCCCAAGGACGAAGCCTCCTCCTTCCGCAACGAGAAGCAAAGGACGAGGATCGTCCAGGTCCTTGTTGTCTTTTGGTAAGCAGACTGAAAGGCTTACTTTCCCTCCCCCGACTCCGGGCGTATCAATCACAACTTGTCTGTCGAAGCATCGGCCTGTGCCAGTCATGGAATGCACAAGCGTGCGCATAAGCCATGTACCCGCATGGAGATAGATTCTATGCGGCAGCGAATAGCCTTGGCCGCTGGTAATTTGTGGTGCTTCTATGTCTTCTTGCTTCATCTTGAAGAGTGTGTCTGTGTAGCAAACCGGAATGTGGTGTAGGTGGATGGATGATGGGAAGGTTTGTTTAGGCACGTCGAATTCTAAAATGCGGGGTTTGGGCGGTAATATTCCCTGTTGTTGTGGTGCTCTAGCCCTATTAATGAGTCAGCTATACTCACTTTAGCTGACATCGCCAAGATCGACAGGTATATCAATTCGGTGCCTGTAAGCTCCGCACCTCGTCTAGATTCTCATAGACAAGATAGTGAAGCCGAGACTCGATGGACCATTGACTAAGCTTCACTGACTCGATCTTGCCCTCTGTTATACGCACTTTAGTCAAAACCACGCATCGATTTATGTCGTGCTACTAGCTTTCTGCCGCCGTTGTCTTACTTGCGATTACCCTTTGATGTAAAAGCCGCCTATTTGAGCGTTTGAAGGAGTTTTCAGTCTCCTAATCAGTGCTGTACTTCAGTAATAGTCACAAGTTCTTGACACATCCAGCACCGATGTCTGCGACACCTTACGGACGATACCCATGCTTTGACAGCTCACAACGGCCGCTGCATGTTCTCGTCTCTGGAGCTGGCCCGTCGGGCATAGCTATGGCCATTGAGCTCAAAAAGCTGCCCAACGTCACCTTCCATGTTTTTGAGAAGAACCGCGACGTAGGAGGGACCTGGCTGGAAAACAGGTATCCAGGAGCTGCCTGCGATATTGCCAGTCATGCGTACCAATACACGTTCCAGTCTAAAACAGACTGGTCCACACAGTATGCTTTCTCTCTCAATATTACGTTTCTTGGCATCCTTATAGCTACTGACGATTAACTCAGTTTTGCTCCGGCAGATGAGATCGGGCAGTACTTTACCTCAGTGGCCAAGACCTACGATATTTACCCGTTTATTTCATTCAACTCTCGAGTAGTGTCGGCAAAATGGCACGAGGAAAGGGCAAAATGGCAGCTAGAAGTTGCCAGCGTCCTCGATGACTCGAAACCAGAAACTTTCGAGGGAGATGTGTTCATCAATGCAGGGGGGGTTCTGAATGACTGGAAATGGCCGGATATTGAAGGGCTGGGGAACTTCCAAGGCAATTTGATACACACTGCTGCGTGGGTTAGTGCGTGGTCCATGCGAATCCGAACCAATCGCGATCAAATCTTTTTGCACGTACGAGCTGACATTCTCACGGTCTAAAGGACGACAAAGTAGACCTAACCGACAAGTCTGTTGCCATCATCGGGTCTGGCGCCACCAGTGTTCAAGTTGTGCCCAGCATCCAGCCCGCGGCCAAACAACTCACCGTCTATGTGAGGTCGCCCACCTATATCTTGCCCACTGTTGGATTCGGAGTTGAGTCTTCAACTTTCAATGAGCATTGTAGGTTATCTGCAGTTTGACCTGAACTGTCCTTCCTTCACTAACCTAGAATGCAGACTCGGAATCCCAAATCCAAAGGTTCGCCAGCGACCCAGCCTATTACAAAGAGTTTCGGAAGGGTATCGAGCAGCAAATGAACGAGAACTTCATTGCTAGCGTGAAGAGTTCTAAAGAACAGGCGGAGGGGCGGAAAGTAGGCCATTTCCATTCTTGGGATCGATTAGTATAGCTCTCTATGTTGACACATTGGCCCATCTAAACAGTGGGCGGAGACGATGATGAGGCAGGCCATAGGCTCTCCAGAATTACAAGAGAAGCTTATTCCAAGGTAACGCCACACATACTCCATCCGGACACTACATACGAAGTTTAGATGGCTAATCATTGACTAATTAGTTGGGAACTCGGCTGCCGACGACTTACACCGGGACGTCCGTATCTCGACGCGGTGCAGAAGGCCAACGTCGACATCATTCGAACGGCGATCAAGAGGGTCACCAAGATCGGCATAGAGACGATAGACGGCCAAGTACACGAGGCGGATATCATCGTCTGCGCAACAGGGTTCAACACCTCCTTCTCCTCGCGATATGACATTACTGGGCGACATGGGTGCAGCTTGCGATCTCTTTGGCAGAACCGTGGCCCAGAGGCATATCTTGGGCTGGCAATTGCAGGGCTGCCCAATTATTTCAGTGAGAATCCCATTTTCTCACGGTTTATTCGCAGCGAGGCTAAGAACATGAATCAGCTCTTCTCGGCCCCAATTGTCCGATAGCCAATGGCTCCCTAATCCCTTGCATTGAGTGGAGGTAAGAAGAATTTCGGCGGGTATCAGACGTTGCTAAACAATTTCAGTGTGCAGTATATCATTCAGGCCCTCTTGAAGATTCAGACGGAGCAGATCAAGACACTCGACGTGAAGAAGGCTATGCAAATCCATTTCAACGAGTACGCGCAGAATGTGCACCAGGACCTGGTCTGGACCGGACAGTGCAATAGCTGGTGTAAGTTTTTCACCCTTCCGAAATTCGAGGGAACATAATTAACTCACCGCCGTGTAGACAAGGATAAAGCCAGCGGCCGAGTCACTGCAGTTTGGCCGGGTTCCAGTATCCACTATATGGAGATGACGAGGTCCCCACGATGGGAAGACTATGATATTGAATATGTCCATGTGAGCAGTGAACCTACCTCTTCCTGTATCAGTGGTTTATTGACCGATGACTTTTCTCTTAATGCAGCCCAACCCATTCATGTTCATGGGAAATGGGATATCCCAGCGGGAAGCGAAAAATGAAGACCTCACGTTCTGTAAGAGACACTAATAATCGTCGTACGGTCTCTTCCTGACCAGACTTATTGACAATTATCAGACTTGGACAAAATGGACCAACAGAATGGACTCTGTTGACTTGAATAACCCTCGCCGTTCTGTTAGGGTTCCTCATTAGCAGGGCACCAGCAAGCGGCCCCAACCAACAACAGATGGACTTAGATAGAGAGAGTGGCGTCATTAGGCATGTTAGAAGCAGGGTGACGAAGCGAGTGATAGCGCATAGGCAAATCCCTTCTCTTCTTTTCAGGCAGTTATCCGTCACAGCTTGAAAAGAACCATCTTTGACCAAACCCCCTACTCTGGTCTGCGGTCTCCATCACCTGTTTGTGATTCTCGAGAGGGTAAGGCCTGACGATGGTCTTTTTCATTTTGAGATTTCCCGTCTCGGTCTGCCTGCTCATTTGTGCCACATCCTGGCGGTCTTGGGCAAACTGGCCACGGACGGTAGGGCAGTGGCTGTGCTGTAAGCGTCTGTTTAATAGGCATATGCACGGATAAGTTCTGAGGGATCATAATCGCCCAGCACGGTAGATCAGTGGCCGTTCAAGCATCTAAGGGCTCAAGACATCCAGCCTACACGTGTCGTCATCATTATGTCATCATCCTCCCCCCACGATATTACTCACGGCCTCAAAAAGTGTTGATTACCTCGCCGGCCCAGCCCTAAACCAGCTCAACGAAAGGCTCCCCGAGTCATCAAACCACCTTCCTTCGCCCCAAACAAACTTATCCGTCACCGTCCAGTTGCCATGGATCATGTGTCTGTCCGGGCCAATGCCGAAGACGGCTATCCAGCCATCCTCTGACTGAATGGCTAGGGGCACGCTGTTGAAATAGCCACCAAGCGCTTCCCAATCGGTGGCCCAGGTCCCGCCCACACGGGCCTTGTGCATGAGCGTGTCGTCCGTCCCGACGGCCAGGACATCTATTCTCCCGTCCGCCGCAGTCAGCACATGAGGAGCTGATTCGAAGCTACCGCCCAGAGCCTGCGTCTTGCTGTAGTTTGCCGTCGTCGACCACTCGGTGTAGTACATCTGCTTATCGGAACCGACGCCCACGACAGCCGTAGTCTCGTCGTCGACGGCGACGAGCGTCGGGTCGCCGCGGTAGCCGACGTCGCTGCCGGGCTTGCTGTTGCCCTCCCACCCCCGCCAGCTGCCGTTGATGTAGTGGATCCAGCCGACGTCGTGCAGCGAGCCCTGGAGCCCGCCGTAGCTGACGACGTCGACGCGGTCGGCGCCGGGGCACACCGCCGAGGCCGCGGCGCTCGTGAACCCGCCCCAGCTCTGCCAGCCGTCGCTGAGGTCCGGGTCCCAGTCGGTGCCGTTGAAGCTCCGGTGCATCAGCCCGCCGCTCTCGCTGGTTGCGAACACCTCGATATTGTCGGGGCCCCAGGAGCAGACTGCCGGGGGGTTGATGGAGCTCCCCTCGAGGTTCTTCCAGCTGCTGGTCCACTTGTCGCCCTCAAATGTCTTGGATCTCACGGAACCGTCCGTCCACACGGCGAACACGTCCACTCGGTTGTTACCCACGGCAACCGCGGCCGGCTGGCTCTCAAACTCGCCGCCCAGGCTCTCCCAGTCGGCGACCCACGCGTCCCGGTTCCCTCGACGGTACCAGATCGTTTGGTCGGATCCGCGGCCGAAAATGAAGAAGGATGGCGAGTCCGATTTGAGCTGAGCTGCCGCGAGCATGGATGGGCAGACGGTTCCGCGGCATGTCGAGGCTTGTGACGTGACGTCGGGAGAGAACACGGTGGGCGTGCCGAACGCCGAGTCTGCCGCCGTCGTTGGTGCCGAAGACTTAGTTGGTCTGCAAGATGGTGATGAGCACTCAATCCGTAAGTTAGGCTGGGGTGTAGGTGGTGGCCGGGAGCCAAACTCACGATGGCCCATTACCGTTCTTCCGAGTTGTCAGCAGTCCGGCGGTCAGTCCCACGACGAGCCCGACGACGACGACAACCGCAATGGCAATTATCCAGGTCAGGCGTCTCCTCCACCACGGCCGCGAGATGCCTACACCCTGCTGTTCCTGCCCTTTCAACTGCCCATCCTGGGCTTGAAGCCCGTCTTGTCCGTCATTGCTGTAATACAGGATTTTAGACTCGCCTGTTCTCTCGATCGGAACAATCTGCGGGAAGCTCTTCGGCTGGAATTCACCGGGGACGGCTTCCGGGAGCGTCGAGTACTCTCTGGTCGTGTTTTGATACCCGTCGTTAACGACAGGCTCCATGCTTGGCTCGTTCTCGTTCGTTAGCGAGAGTGAGGTTAGCGTTGCGGGGTGGAGGAACAAAGAAGTGCGGTCTGGATTCTCGATGTAACCTGCTAGTTCGTGATTACATAGTAAATCCCCTTGCTTGTGCAGGGGGCGGCCGACGGTGGCTGTACTAAACTCCGCCTAGCCCTGTGAGGCTAGGGGATAGCGCTGTGCTTACTGCGCCCCATCCTTTTCCCTCCAGCCTCCGTGGAGAGGCGCGTCGCACTACCCCACGTCGAGACGGCCCGTATTTGGCCGTCGTGGGGGTGCAGCGGAGCGAATAGAGATAAATTACGTACGGATATAATTACCATCTACCGAATCCGAACAAGCCACACTTGCCGGCAGCCACTGCCGCTAGTGCCTGCAGCTGAGCCCTGGCTTGTGCCCCAACAACAGGGAAGTTACACATCTAATAATAAAATTCAAACCTGACCCCTTCATTGGTAGAAGCCGCGTCACTCAGTCTAATGGCGTCAGACCCATCTTGTTCCAGGCGTTCTAGTCGGCGCCGCTAGACAGCAGACGCATTCGTTCACGTGCCCGTGCCCGTACCTGTTCTTGATGGCGAGATCATAGATGTAGTGACGTGAACCCGCGCTCTTGGAATCGGCACGCCTGCTTCTTGGAGAATCAGCTCCGACACAACCTTGACATTGCCGTTGGCGGCGCGCAATGCTGAGGTGGGCGTCCCCTCCGCAACAGTGTTTTGGCAGTGGCCAGTCAGTCAGTCATGAGTGGGATTGCCCATCTTGCCATACCTAAAGCCCTTGTTGATGACGCATCTTATCAGCGGTCTCACTAGCCTCGGCCTTGGTGTTGCCATTGGGAATAGCATGTGCGAGTAGCTTCACTGCAACGCTCAGGCCCCTGCACCAAGACTCAAATCCCGCAGTTATGCGTATACTAAAACGGGGCAGTTGAGGTCCTTCCCGGGCGTGTAATGTAATAGTAGCATGCATGTCGACGGCAGGTACATGACAGAGCCAATGTGGTTGGCATAGGCGTCGTTTCCATTGGTGAAGGAGCACTTACCGCCGCCACGGATGAGGGCACGCTGTCTCCATCCTGTACCCCATGGAGACAGGTCACTTCCCCGCACTTCTTCTGTGCAGCGTATCGGTAATGCTGCCGGGTGTGGGTAGCATTTGGTCCCCCAGTCGGGGACTTGGCGCGCACCGGGCTCATTTAGCCAAATACCCATCATATTACCCGGAGCGTGATATTGCTGCATGCCATTGGATACTTTCAAGAACTCGTATACAACAAGTATTGATTGCTCTGGGCGAAGGAATACATTCCTGGTCTAGATTCTACAATAGGCCTGGCTTCTAGCTTCGGGCCGGTTCAACCCCAGGAACTTTTCTTGCCTCCATGAGCTGTGCGCTCGTACTAGCTGATTCCCAGAAGAGCCAATTACACGGATTCCAAAACATTATAGTACAAGCCAAGCGCGCTTGCTGCCAAAAGCTTGGCGTCTAGCGCGTAGACCCCGGGCACTTGGCGCTCCGCACTCTGGCCCATTTTGATCGGTGAGCGGACCGATGCACCCTAGCTGCACCGTTTACAGGTGCCAAGCCTAGTGCCGTGTCATCCGCAATGGGGTATGTACATCATACCCCACGAATGGAGGGGGTAGGGGGGCGCGTGCATCTCGCCAGAAGAGAACTGTTTATGTAGCTGCAACGGCCCGCCCCGGAACGTGCTCTTTTGCTCTTCCCCTACTCTCGCAGTCCATATTTTTTGCAGCTCTCATCCAAAGTCGCAACGATGGTGAATGTAGGCACAGCCGCCGACCCGATCGTCACTCGCTTGGTCGAGGAGGACAAGGTGCCATGGTACAAGAAGCCGAACCTCCGTCTTATGTACCTATGGCTCTTCCTTTGCTGTATGGGTGTTGAGGCGACGTCGGGTTTCGACTCGCAGCTTATCAACACTCTGCAGTTCTCTCAAACCTTCCATAAGTGTAAGTAATTATGGCTGTTCCTCCCTGACCTGTCCGACCCGTGTGTGTGTGTGTGTGTGAATATACGCTGACTGAGACGCATCTAGTCTTCGGTGGCGGGCGCAAGGTTGGCGATGATTTCGCGATCGAACCCGGCCTGCTTGGATTTGTCAACTCGTGTTACCAGCTTGGTTCCATCTTCGCCGTGCCAATTGCGCCATGGTTCGCCCATCGTTACGGACGACGGTGGTCCATCATGCTCGGCTCCGGGATCATGGTCTTTGGGGCGCTTCTACAGGGCTTTGCTCAACACGGTACGTATGACACGACGCTGGTTTGATTGGGCTTTGCTTTGGCCGTCTGCTAACCCGACTTTGCCCGAAGTTGCCATGTATATCATTGCACGCATGATCCTCGGCGTGGGCATTCTCTTCTGCATCATCTCGGGCTCTGCCTTGATCGGCGAGCTTGGCCACCCCAAGGAGCGCCCTGTTTTGACTTCATTGGTAATTACTTACTTATTATACACTCATGACCCACAGTCCCCCTGAAATCTCAGGAGCCAACTGCCTATCTCTCCCCCCGGGGAGACATTTTCTATCAACATTCTTACTCAAAAGCTAACCAATTTCGCGTCAAACAGTTCAATAGTTCCTACTTTATTGGCCAGATCCTTGCTTCAGCTATTGCCATGGGCACCTCGGATATTCCAACCAACTGGGCGTGGCGTCTTCCTTCTCTCCTTCAGATCTGCCCGTCTCTTCTCCAGATCTGTACCGTCTTGTGAGTGTGGCGACTATTCCTGGTACCTGAAATGAGCTTAATCGAAGCTGATTGCCAATGATTATAGCCTGTTGCCCGAATCGCCACGTTATCTCATCGCTCACGATAGGGATGACGAGGCTGCAGCCATTCTCATCAAGTACCATGCCGAGAACCAGGGCGACTCGCTCCTCGTCCAGGCAGAAATTGCACAGATCAGGGAGACGATCAAGACTGAGATGGAGGTCTCGACGCAATCCTGGATAGACATCCTCAGGACTACTGGCATGCGCCGCCGATTCTTGATCACCATCTTCATCGGCCTCTTCACCCAACTTTCTGGCAACACCCTGATCAGCTACTATTCTGGTGTCCTCTTTAACATGATGGGCTACACGAGTAACTACGCCAAGACACGCATTAACGTGGCCAATGCTTGCTGGGGTTTGATCAACGGAACCCTCATTGCGCTTTATGTCACACGCTTTAAGCGCCGGAACATGTACATGCTTTCGGCTACTACCATGATGCTCGTTTTCATTGCCATGACCATCTCGCTTGAGCGGATGGAGGTTGCTCAGGCTGCTAAATCCAAAAACATGGCTGCTGGCATTTCTGCCTTGTTTTGGTACTTTGCATTCTCTCCCTGCTACAACATGGGAAACAATGCTCTCACATATAGTAAGTTTGTCTACCGATGGGGTTATACCCCCGATTCTCGCCAAATCTTTAACATAAGACAGCGTACCTGATCGAGCTCTGGCCCTACTCTCATCGGAGCCGCGGCATTGGTGTTCAGCAGATCTTTGGCAAGCTTGCCGGCTTCTTCTCCACCAACGTCAACTCGATTGCCCTCTCGGCCATCGCCTGGAAATACCTCGCCATCTATTGCGGCTGGATCTTCTTCGAGCTCTGCATTATCTACCTGCTATACCCTGAGACGAGCGGCCGTACCTTGGAGGAGCTGACTTTCCGTAAGTCCCATAACCCTTTTATTCCTGAATCCTGTGCTGACTGGCCGCTACTACAGTGTTCGAGGACAATACCCTCAATGAGAAAACCGTTGCTGCTGTTGAAAAGCAGATTCACTTCGGGAACAACCCCGATGCGGCAAAGGGTGATCATCCAGAACAACCGCCGGAGATTAAGAACGTTGCTTAAGACGGGGGAAGAGTTGCCGGTTGGGAGAGGGCAAGCCACGGAGGCGAACGATTTGTTTTATTCAGAAAAGGAGTCTTTCTGGGAGAGGTCTTGCAAACTCATGACCATACTCGGCGCACAGATTAATAGCATGAGATTAGACATGCAATTGACGCTGTCATTTCCCACTCTTCCTTCCAACCTGAAGCTTTGGCGCTATGCCTCAGTGACACGGTGGACCTTTTATGAGTGCGGCCGAAAGCAACAGATAGGACAGGATTTTTTTTGAATGTAAGGTCAATGCGAATAGACGGTGTTGACTCGGGCGCGTCGCTCTGAGCGAGTCAACCTGCCGTTTTTAGGCCTGACGAGTAGCATGCAAGCGGGTGGGGTAATGACATCTAAATCCAGCATGATCAACGAATTACAAAAAAGACGAGACGAAGCACTGTAAGACACAGCGGGTTTCCACGGCTTGGATAATGGAATAGTGGGATCTTCATATTCTTGGAAGCCTCTAAACTCAATGCTTGACCAGTGACCCGCTCAAGTTCGCGGTCTAGCATATATCTAAAGACATTCCGGATAACTGGTGCAACCATTAGCAATGAAAGGCAATTGTAATTATTTGTGAGCCTTGCACATAATTACCTCCTGTAGCCCTTTTTGCTAGAGTTTCCCTGCCATACAACGCAAAACTCCCCTAGGGAGTCTCGCCTTTGACTGACACGAGCGGAAACCCGTCCCATGGTCACTCTCTGCGGGTCTTGCTTAGGAGAGAACGGATGACCGCGGCCGCAATAGCTACGATGCAAATGCAAATCAACAAAGGTGCTGAGAGGTAATACATCGTGACCATTTTGTCCGAGATAAAATATAGACAGGAGCAAGCTTCCTCCGGGAAAGAAGGGCCAGAGTCGAGTAGGGTCCCATAGAGGGACAACCAAAAGCTGGGGGGAGAAAGAACGCTAGAACTAAACCCCCCCAGTTCCTAGCTCTCTTCGTCAAGCGCTTGGCACAAGCTGCTGATGTCCGTCTCCATCCTGTAAGCTTTCTGCACTTGTAAGCACTTGGCATAATCGGCTGGATGTGGGGGTTGTTCTGGGGGTGGAGCAGTTGCATACCCAGTACTGAGCAAGCCAATTGTAATTATCTGTAATCTGACGTGATACCCGGAAAAAGCCAAATCCATGCACAATGCATGCTGAGCCTAGAATTGCATACTGCATAGTTCATATCAAAGTCTGGACAAGTCTGCGGAGTTTTGAAGCAACTCCGACAGTTCCGGGAACACGGAGTCGCAGAGTGCCGGGCCGAGACCCCGGATCGACGGTAATCTAGCCTTAAGAAGGCAGGTAACTGCAGGCTTGGCATTCCATGGAAACTAGCTTACACTCTGATACGCCGCTGTAGTTGGAAAACAAAAGCTTACGCCAAGATAATTAAACCACAGCGGTCAGAATCTTCGTCCGCAGGATTCAACCCTCGTCTTGTCCGCAGGATTCAGGATTGAACCCCCGTCTGCAGGATAAGCCTGTATTCGTGGACTGGAGTCCAGTCCCCAACCATAGGAGAAGAGACTCCGGTAAATGTTGAGACTGTGTCCCACGCCCTCGGGGTTGAAGTCGGCAGCTAGGGATGCGTAGTGACAATAGACAGGCCTCGCGGTATGCGCAGCGCCGTTGACATGTGGTGCGCCCACAACTTCCCCGGAGCATCAGGGGTGGGGTTGTGATGTGGGCGAAACCGAACTCCTTGAAGTTCTAGTGTATTATTGACGAAGTTATTATAACAATCTGTTCTATGTGTCGACGTTCCCATTTCCCTTTTCGTTTCCCACTGAGGTGTCCATCTTTGTAATGCCAGCCCAAGGTGATTCTTTCTCGTCATCATGGACAATATTGAGCCCATTGCCGTTATTGGCATGGGATGTCGTCTCCCAGGGGGTGTCGGCAGTCCAGAAGATCTCTGGCATCTCTTGAGGGAAAGTCGGACAGGACTAACAGAGATTCCCCCGGATCGCTGGAATGCCAAATCCTTCTACCATCCCGGCCCAGAAGCCAGGGAAGCACTCAACACCAAGAAAGGCTACTTTCTCACGCAACATATCGCCGAGTTTGACGCTCGGTTCTTCGGCTTTTCCGCGGCGGAAGCCGAGCAGACGGATCCGCAACAACGAATTCTTTTGGAGACAACGTATGAGGCACTCGAGAATGCTGGTGTTCCATTGAGTGAGAGTCAAGAAACGGGCTTAGCTAGTCCTACCTAGCTAGTCCAACTTTGGAAGAATTACCTACCTTCTTGACGGAATGTGTAAACCACTGAGCAGTGACAAAGGCATCAACGCGATGACCTTGAGGTTGACTGGAAGTAGAGCCATTTCCTACGAGCTTCCTTTCCCTTCTTTTCTCAGTGCTTACATTACAACTCACAAGATTCTCGCTTGGGCGTTGATACCCCAGCACCACGGCGAGAAGATCAGCGAGTTAAGAGTTCCCTCCAATCCCACGGAAATAGCCCACTTGCGATTGACTTTTATCAGGAGTCTAGCACGAGGAGTTGGGGAGACGAAGGAGAGTAATAGAAGCACGAGCAGGGAATGTCATCTCGGTCGGACTCGAGCTCAAGGTAAGCACGAAGACATATAGGCATGAAATCCGACCTGAGGCGGGGTGGGATGGAGATGAAAATCACTGTGTGTTCCCCCGGTCCTAGTCTTGGAGTCAAGTCAGCTCACCATGGTGCGCAACTCTTAGCGAGTCCCTTTCGGCGAAATAGGGGCTCTTTTCCTCTCCTTGTAGGGCGAGTGGCCCGTGCCTGGCTGGGACCCTGCAATTTCATTGGGCATCAAGCTGCCTGCAACTGCGCCTCAACCAGGCCCCGCACTACCCATCTTATAAGCCTCAATTTCTTCCAACTTCAAACTACCATTAATCAGAGCTGAGCGAACGAAGGACAGAGCCTAGGTCCTCCAACTTTCAAAATACCTGTTGCACACAAGCATGGGGCTCTGTAACAAATGTAAGAATGTCGGCGTCTACGAGGCCTTGACCAGATGGAAAGACGAAACCCCCGAGGAGCCACCCGTCCGCGAGGTCGGCAGCTGGCATGGCCGTCTCCAAGACATCCATGATTCTTCAGACAGCTGCAGTCTCTGCGCTCTGGTCATCAAAGGCTGGCGTCAGCACCGCACTCAGATTGTCCAGTCAGCGCTGGTGTCGGGCGACCTCCCCAGCCCGCCTGAGGACCTCTACGAGGACATCCTAGCTATTACCGCCTACCAGGGTGGCCTGATAAAGGCAAGGCTCCGACGCAGCGAAACTAACTATGATGGCTATCACAAGATGCAATTCTTCCTTGAGTTCGGCTGTCAGGTAGAGACACGTGCTTCTTGGGACGCCTATGAGGAAGTGATCGCTCTGTTCAGAATCACCTGCGATGATGGTTTGCAACGCTGGCCGCTGTGTCTCGATAAAACGACATGTGCTGATACAGTACACAGGTTCCACGTCTGCCGTGCCGTTATATCGATTTGTTGACCCGGATCCCCTTTCGGCTCAGGGCGTTGAAATCTCGCGGACTTGGCTTGGCAACTGTGACAGCAACCACAAGTCGTGCATCACACCGGCCGCCCAGCTGCCGACCCGCTACTTGGACACCTCTGAGGATGTTTCCCCCGACAAGATCAGACTTCAGGAGTTAAAGGATTCCCCAAACCCTGGCGACAACCGCTACATCGCTTTGAGCCACTGTTGGGGCAAGGGCCGCAATCTGTGTACAACGCATTCGACGTTGCAGAGCCACAAGAATGGGATCGAGATATCCATCCTTCCACAGACATTTAGAGACGCCGTCGCCGTTGTCCGAAAGTTGGGCATCCGATACCTCTGGATCGACTCCCTCTGTGTAATCCAGGACGACCTGCGCGACTGGCAGGTAGAATCGGCAAACATGGCCGCGATATACCGCGACTCCTACCTTGTCCTCGGCGCTGCTCGTGGGGAATCAGACGCCCAAGGGTTTCTCGGATCACGGCGCCAGCCAGACACGGCGACTCTCGCCTCACCGGACGCAGTAGGAAGCCTGGTCCTTCAGCTCCAGCCACCGGAGGCAATCCGCTGGACCAACGCCGACGTCGACCCGACCTTCCACGAGCCTCTCGGGAAGCGCGCCTGGTGCCTGCAGGAGAGGTACCTGCCCCGTCGGATGCTCCTGTATGGGACGCAGCAGATGTTCTGGGACTGCAATGAGGTGAGTGCGAGCGAGGACGGCGACTCGATGCGGCGCGACGGGGATCGTCTGTTGAGGATCTGCGCGACGGCAAACATTCCTGTTTCGGTTCTTGCCAGGACTTGCAGGGACCAGACCGATTGCAAGAAGGATGTCAATCATGTAGACTGGTACAGAATGGTCGAAAACTATATGAGCCGGGACATCACCAAAACCTCGGATCGCCTGCCGGCCCTGGCTGGTTTGGCCAAGGCCACAGCCGAGGCTTCGAAAGACGAGTACCTAGCAGGTCTGTGGAAGAGCGCCCTGATCGAAGGCCTGACCTGGTGTGGCAGCCAGGGCGCTGAGACGCTCTCCCATCCGGAAGAGTACATTGCGCCGTCATGGTCATGGGCCTCCGTGGTTGGCTCTCTTCGATTCCCCATCTACACCTGGTGGCAAGACCGGGCGAGCTGGAGACGCATGTCGGATTTCGAACCCCTGGCGACGTATGTTAGTCACACGTTCGAGCTCCAAGACCTTGATCCACACGGGCGCCTCAAGGGGGGGAGCTTGCGACTCAGTGCAGCTCCATTCCCCATCGCATCCATTGAGCCCCGTCAAGATGATCCCCCGGAGATCTTCATATACTTTGGACAAGAACCGGGTCGGTCTCCATTCGCGGACAAAAATATCGGGCTGGTGCTGAAAACTCCACACGAAACGACCGAGATTTGGGTGGAGGGTGGGTTCGATAAACCACGTACCAAACAGCAGAAGTCTGGGTGGACGATGGGTTGGATGGATCGTTGGAAAACGGGTCGGAGTCAACTCTTCGTGATCTTCTTGACTCGGTTGCCCTTCATCCTGGAGAACGGTTTCATAGAGCATAGGTTCGGTCTCATTGTCGAGAAGGTGGGCGAGGACGAGAGATACCAGAGGGTCGGCTTCGTTGACGGATGTCTCCTTCGGAAGGTCTATTCCAAAGAGCGGAGGCAGGCGATGAAATTGGCGCTCGACGGCCGGGCAGACAAATTCGGAATAGCGGGCTTTCGGCGGCCGTTACAAGATGGCGACATGCACGAGGTGGATCGTCTAAATATTCTGGCGTACGACCCGTTGGCGCTCGAGAGTGAGTCCGAGATGAGAGAGATCGTCTTGGTGTAAGACAGGCTGGTTTTGTGCCGTTCTTAGAGAAGGGACACGATGACGGATGGAGAGTTTGACCTGTTGGTATTGCAGGCAAATCGGAGACTTGGGATACAAAGTGGTGAGACAATAAGCAGTCTTCAAGAATGGATTTAAGAGTCTTCCGTCCTCGGATGCAGTGGTAAGAGTTAACGTCACCTAAGTAGTAAAGACATCGAGTATATACCATTTGCTGGGGGTTGAAAAAAACAAGAAAAAATTGGAGAGAAAATAAGAAAAGTGCGGGGAATGAGGGGGAAAGGGGGGAAGGAAATACATAAAAAAGATACTGGCATTGTTGCCAGTGTATCGCAGGGAATTGAGCCCTACGTGGGGGTCGAACCCACAACCTTGAGATTAAGAGTCTCACGCTCTACCGATTGAGCTAGCAAGGCATTGGATTATGTTTGAACTGCGTTGCAATTTGGAGTTAAAGACTACAGCCTGGAAAGACCCCATTTGCAGGTGGGGCGGCTTGAAAACTTCAACCCTAACCATGACTTTAGTCTAGGTTCCCCTCGCGGCATTTCCATCCACGCTAAAGGCGAAGTCCCCACGCGAGCTCCCACCCATGCGCTCTCAGCAAATCCTAATCCCAGTGCCGTCTCGCAACTCAGTCTCGACTCTTGGCAGGGGAGGAGGCAGCGCGTGGAACGTTCATGTGCACGAGTGGGTTTCGACTTGGCCCGATGCATCCTGCAAGTCCGCTACGGCAGGCGCTTTATAGTTGTGTTTGAGACTCTCTTAAGCTTCCCTTGCTCTCAGCATTGTTGGGCCTTGCCATTTCGGCAGCTGCATAATGCACGCACACCGTTGTATCTCGCCTAATACTCGGTTGGCTCACATTTGTTCACGAAACGAACTAGTAACCAAAGTTGCAGGCCTCTGCGGACCGTGCCGAAGATTGATTGATGGGCGGGCTAGTGGCTGGTCCCGCCCATGCAGTCCTCACTCGGTCGCAAAGCACTCTCTGAGGAGATGGCGGTAACTTCGTAAAAGACTAGCTCGTCTAGGGTTGGAGTCTTGACTAAAAAGTGGGCGGATTAGGGTCATGATCTTCTTTCCAACCTTGGTCATTGGCTAGCCCGGGATAGCATGGGATGGCCCTGTCCAACTGGCATTATCTGGATGACATCGCTTGGCATCGCTTGGGGAGGTGCATGGGTACATACATATTTCGTCGAAATATCAACCCTTCACCGACTATCTCTTCCAGTCCACCATCTTCGCTTCCATCATCTCCTCACAAGAAACCCATTCGTTTCGTCTACCAAGTAATTTTTCCTTAAAATATCGCCAAACCCTGACTGAAATGCCCGAGGAGAAACCCGCCGAGCAAGCCGCGATACGCGAGCGCCCAACCCCGCTCTCGCCCGGCGCAGACCCCGCTCAGGCAGGAGCTGCTGGTGCGCCACCGGCAGGCTCGGAGCCGACCTCTGTTGGGATTCTTCCGGCCGGCCACTGGACACGGGCTGCACAGGTATGTAATGAGAGGAGAGCAGTTCTTAATTGGCACGGTAGCAATCCCATCATGGCATGCGGATGGGCAATTAAACAACAACCTTGCATCTAGGACGATCGCGCCGACAATGACGACGATGCTGAGTCGGCTCTCGGAAGCGACATCGCGTCCGCGACTACATCCATCGCCTCCACCATTCTTCAATATAGGAAAATCCATGGTCGAACGTATCACAGCGAGATAGGGAATGCTCAGTACTGGTAAGATCTCAATCCCGAGTCAAGTCGTCCGGCCCTCAACGGTCCTCGACTGATAATACTGGCTAATCAATGGTGGCTTGGCTCGAAAAGGGCATCCAACGACGAACCACAGAATGAATCAATGGATATCAAGTAAGCTAGCTACTGACTGTCTTGGGCTACCTTGAGATTGGATTGAAGCTGACATGGACACCAGCCACCACGCCCTCACTCTCGCCTGCGGGGGTAAACTGTTCCTGGCACCTCTCGATAAAGATAAAATCAAGGTACGGCACTCATCCCAATCCACCGAGCTGGTCTTCTTGCGACTGACGTCTGACCTAGAAAGCAATCGATATTGGGACTGGAACCGGTATGATATTTACGACAAGAATAGAGATGTACCCCTTTCGATACAACGAACTAACCAAGGCCTATGTAATCAATCAGGTATTTGGGCCATGTATGTCGTACATACATTCAATCGAAGATGCCCTAGAGATGCCCTAGCTTACCTGTATCCAGTGATTTTGCCGATGCGTTTCCCGGCGCGGAGGTCATCGGAACGGACATCTCACCCATCCAACCGACCTGGGTCCCACCAAACCTGAGTTTGTACGTCAGTAATAGCAAAGATAAACGGACAGATAATTAGCTTCTTCCCGCATCTATTCCACGAGCGTTAAAGAAGAGGAGGGAGGGAAAAACAGAGAGAAACAACGAGAAGGCAGGACTAACCAATCATCCCCATTTAGTGAAATCGAAGACTGTACTCACGACTGGACCTTCCCCCCTGATTCGGTTGATTACATCCACATGCGGTGGCTGGTGGGCAGCATCCCCGATTGGCCAGCCCTCTTGGCTCAAGCCTTCAAGTGCTGCCGACCTGGAGGGTGGGTGGAAAGCTTCGAGACCTCGTCGCTGATAGAAAGCGACAACGGAACAGTCACTGAGGCCTCGGCCATGGGGCAGTGGGGCAAGTTCTACATCGAGGGTGGGAAGAAGCTTGGGAACACATTTACCGTTGTTGAGGACGGCACACAGAGGAAGGCCATGGAGGAGGCGGGATTTGTCGATATCGAAGAGTTCAACTTCAAGGTAAGCAAACAAGCACGCCCGGAGCAGGTGAACAAGAAGCTAACAATTGTTCTATCAACTAGACTCCGCTCGGCGGCTGGCCTAGAGATCCGCATATGAAGGAGCTAGGCCAATACGGCAAGCTTGTTCTCGAGTCAGACATCGAGGGCTATGTGTTATTCATGGCCAATACGCTGGGCTGGACGAGAACGGAAATTCAGGTCTACATTGCGCACCTCCGGCGTGAGATACGGTCAGGGAAGTACCAGCCATACTACCGGCAGAAGGTTGTCTGGGGTCGAAAACCAGCCTGAAATCACGTTTGTGGGTAGTTTCAGACAGCAAGACCTTAGTCAATTTCTCCTTGTCGGTTGCTAATCCTTTTCTGACCCCCTTTCCCGTGATGACCTTGGCGCCTTGGCAGTGTCTTGACACGCCATATCGAACTACAGATGAGTGGTGACACAACCACCGACTGCAATGTCAGAGACCTCATAGCGGCCAGCAAGCAGGCTCCAGAAGAGATTCCCAGTGCAGACTCGTCTGCATCCATCAATGTATGTCTTCACATCTGCAAGCATGCCATCGTCATGAGAAACCTTTTTGACCAACGCTGCTTCAGCCAAGTCAAAATCCCGAACTGCCTTCTCTGTCATTTCAATAACCTGTGAGACCACCAGGTTCATGTTCCCCTGCTTGAAGTATAGCAATGGGACTAGACTGTCAATAGCCTGTTGCGCCTGGATAGGAGTCAGTGTCCATTCTCTTTGCATGCCAGCGAACAGAGGAAATACTCACCACCTCCTTTTTGAGAGACAGGAGATCGTTGTGACTGTGATGAAGTGTCAGCTTTATCCATTATCTGCCATAATCATCTCACTTACGTCCACACAATGAAGTTGGTTTTATCCCAGATGGTGCGCATGTCTGGGTCTGTTAGGACATCGACCGGCAACTGGATATCGTACGCATATCTATTTTTTTTGGTCAGCAATTACTACGGTATGTTGTCAAATATCAAATGAAACTTACTCGATGAAGAACAAGACAATGTTGACCGCGCTCGTCTTCAGTCGATTGTCCATGTACGCCTCCACCGTCGGCAGCTCGGGGCTGAGGCGGAAGATCTGCTCCACTTCGCTGCCCTTTACAAAGGCCTCGAGCTCGCGGAAGAGTATCTTTCTATGGTCTTTGCGCCCTTGCATTAGTATGGCATCCATCGGGGGGGAGTCAATATTAGCTCTTACCGAGGTCATAGGCTTCACAGGCTGCATCACCAATGGCCTTGAAAGAGGCGACGATCTTGGTCAATGGGCTTGGAACCTCCTCCGTGCTGTTTGAGAGTTTGAGGCAATGTTTCACGTAAGCGATGGTGGTCTCTCGGAAGGTCTGCGCGGCTTCGAAATTTTCGGCGAGAGGTCCGACCTCAGCATCGGTTTCTACACATGTGTTATGGCCAATCAGGATGATTCCGGACGGATTGGAGGCGGCGGAACTTACCATCATCCCAGATGAAAAGCTGTTGGACATGTGAGTAAGACGGAACAGAAGAGTGGATGAGGAAATACATACCCAAAGGGCCAAGCACGAGAGGATATCTGCGCGCTCCAATCTGGCAAACGGCCACCAAGATGCAGTGAACAATCCAGCGTCAATCCCCTCGAGGATTTTTCGGTCCCGTGGGCAGTCCGTCATGCTGTTCTCCACTCAGTTCCTTGCTAACAATCACGAGTGCCTTGATCATGGTTACATACCTGTCAATTCTGGAAGGAACGAGTGCTCTCATCTCTTCAAGGCTGGGGCTAATATCCAGTGGCCAGTGCTTGAACACCGACGAAAGGTCGGGGATCTCAAGGCACTGGCCCTTGAGTTTGACCAGTAAATCTTGTCGAGTGGCCGAGAGAGGCATTGCGGTAGCCAAGTATCAATTGGCAATTTGGTGGTGGCCAGGAAGAGGGAGAAGATGAGGAGGAAGAAGAAGAAGACGAGGAAGAGGAAGAGCAGAGAAGGCTATATATAATTATAGGCCAGGTCAGTTCTTTGTCGTCGGCTTTGTTGACGGATCCGTCGAAGCCTTGGGGCAAAGCCGGTATTAGTTAGTGATCGGATGATTATCAGTGATTGGATGATAGCCAGTGATTAGATGACAGTCAGTGATGGATGATAGTCAGTGTGGCCGAAAGCAGAGAAGGGGGAGGCAGGTGGTAAGGACAAGGGTGGTCACCTGAGGAGTCACGCGGCAGACAAGTGGAGCTACCTATCGAAGCATGTACCTAGAAGATGCTGCAAAAGGGTGGCATTATGGGAGAAAAGCGTGTGTTCTGTAGACTGGGGAGGACGCATTTCACTCAATAGAGTTGCTGCCTTCCCAAAACAAATTCCCCCAGACTGCTACTGCCCTTTTCATCGCTGGAATCGGCCAATCGTATGTTATGGTCGTGACTGGTTATATGGAAGGACTGTACCATAAACGCTTCTAAGGGACAAATAGGGTGGATTCATGAAGGGTAGCTCTTGAGGGCGGCATTTTAAGAGGATAGGAAGCCTATTTATGGCTAGGTGCAATTCAAGTTTCCCCTTCCCCTTTTCCACATATGCGCGTTGTCAGTGTTTCCATGCACTCCCTCCCATTGGACACAATGACTCATCTAGCCAAGTAAAGTTTACTTTCCATGTGTCCTATGAGAGCTATTTGCAAATGTGGCGGGTTTCCAAGTCGTATATTTCTTCACATGTTCAACAACTGGATGGAGTCGATGTCGTATCAGCTGGTCCAGGTGCCTGCAGATGCTAGTCCTGCATCATGGAGCAACATGTGGAAAGCGAGGTAGCAGACACTACGGCGTGTTGTTGGACTCTACCCTGTTTCGGTATCTTATATGGGGTGGTCCGCGGAATTACAGTCAACCTTCTTCCGCCACATTAGACCATGATTTCACTGGAGTTTGATGACCAAAGATGCATCCCCTCCCGATTGTCCATCCAATAAGCGCACGGCTGTCGAATGTTTTCAAACCTTCCTTACCTATCCACTTGACAACATTAACTTAGAGGCACACTAGGTTTTCAACAAATATTGGAAACCCCTCAGGCCGCCACATCAGGACCATCGTAATGAGAACCCTACATACTCCAGAGTAGCGCCTTGGATCAAGTTTTTCCAGCTTCCTTAGCCATCAGTCACGAAAATCCAACCCCATCATGGCGACGACCCCGCGAGCCAAAGCACCTACAAAAACGAGGCTTGCTAATAGATCTGTGCCCGGTTGAGATCCTAATTATGACTGGCGAGCATCTACCGCCAAGCTCATACTCAAAGCCGTTTCCTACTTTCAGCAGCAACTCGACGCCTAATACTGAATCTGCAAATCCAACGATACCCTAGAAGTTCGCTCACGACTACGATTTCAAGATCATCGTCAATGAACTATATCTGACTACCTTTCATCGTGCCACTTCTGTTTCACTGACTACATAATTTCTGTCCAGGGAATCGAAGGAACTGAAGACTGGAAGATAGACCTCACTACCTACTACCGGCTTAGTAGCTGCTCAACCCCTTTCGACCCTGCATGGAAGTGTCTGAGCGACAACGAGTTCCTGCCCCTAAAGACAGCAACCAGCCCGTCCCAAGTACCCGCAATTGGTTGACAGACCTTTGAGATGGTAATGGGCGCTGTGTTCTTCATGGAGTCGGCCGGATTGAATTGTTTCCTCAAAACGGCCCTCGGGAACAGAAAATGCATGCGGAGATCAGGAACTGTGCCTATCAACAGCACGACGTGGGGGGAACATTTCCCTTTTTGGGTTTTTGCGCCGCGCCGAGGCGAATCCCTGCTTCCGCACCTTGCCCGTTGAGCACCGGAGCGGCCGATCTCTCAGGCACGGGCCTTTTACCTTTCGGGCCGTCATTGAGCACGCAATTTGGGTGGCGCCATATAAACTTGATTCTCGAGCAAAATACCACCCTACCCCCTCAGACAAACAAACTCTTGTTATTCATTCCTCCTCGATGCCCCCAAAAAAAATCCGTCCCGGAGCGTCATCGAAAGAATGTCCAACGATCGTACGGCGGGGCCTCCAGGCTACGAAGAGGATGGCAAGGCGTATGGAGACGTCGACGGCCCACCTTCCGAAGCACGCGGCCATGAGGGGCTCGGCCATCCCATCCAGTCAGACCTCCTCAACCGTGCGCTTTCCGCTCGTCAGGTCCAGATGATCGCCATAGGCGGCACGATTGGCACCGGTCTCTTCCTGGGCACGGGCCGGTCTCTGGCTACCGGGGGGCCGGCATCCATCTTGATCGCGTACATCATTGTTGGAGCCATCGTGTTTGTCACCATGTTGAGCCTCGGGGAGATGGCGGCGTTTATTCCCGTCGCTGGTAGCTTTTGCACCTTTGCTGGGTGGGTTTGACTATGCCTCGAGAGATCCTTCATAACCCCCTTGTTGACTCTTTCCTCGGAACAGGCGCTTTGTCGACGATGCTTTTGGTTTCGCCCTGACCTGGAACTATTGGTTCAATGATGCCGTCTCCACCGCCGCAGACTTGGTTGCTCTGCAGTTGATCTTGCAGTACTGGACAGATAACTTCCCAGGGTGGGCGCTCAGCTTGATTTTCTGGGTGGTTCTGATTGGCATCAACATCATTACTGTCAGAGCGTACGGCGAAGTAAGAGACAATCCATGTTCCTGCATCGCTGTTGATGTTGTTGTATTAATATGCTCATCTTCATCTTCAAAGGTCGAGTACTGGCTCAGCCTGCTTAAAGTCATCACAATCATTGTAAGTCTGAGATTCAGGTTCAATCCTGATATGCTATTCTCCTCTGCTCACATGCATCAAATCAGGTCTTCATCATCATGGGAATAGCAGTCAACTGCGGTGGGAATATCGACCACCATTATATAGGAGGCGAGAACTGGCGACTCCCGGGTGCTCCATTTGTTGATGGCATCGGTGGCTTTGCATCTGTCTTTGTAACTGCATCGTTTGCCTGTAAGTCCCGTGCAACATGTGCATCCCGACATCAGTAATTAGGTGTGTGGTCATTGACGGTAATTACCCAGACGGCGGCACGGAATCCATTGCAATTACGGCTGGAGAGACGAAGAATCCGGCCAAGAATATCCCCCGAGTCGTCAAGAATGTCTTTTGGCGAATACTCTTATTCTAGTAAGTTCCCTCTCCTCAACGGCCGTTAATTAAGGAATTAATGTGCTACCTGCTGACCATCCATTCCACTGATCAGCGTTATTTCGATCATCATCATCGGTCTCAACGTCCCCTACAACTACCCAAACCTCGATGCCAAGGAGACCCGAACCTCCCCTTTCACCATTGTTTTCCAGATGACCGGTGCCCACGCTGCAGGGAGTGTGATCAATGCGGTAATTTTGACAAGCGTCTTGTCCGCCGGCAACCATGCCCTGTTTGCTGGGACGAGATTGCTCTACACACTCGGCGTCGAAGGACACGCTCCTTCATTCTTCAGCAAGTTGAACCGGAATCAGGTACCCTGGGTGGCCGTCCTCTTTACTGGTTTCGTCAGCGGTCTTTGCTTCGGGGCAAGCTTCATCGGAGCGGGTCAGTTATGGACCTGGCTGCAAAAGTGAGTCATTAACTCTGCGAATCCTCCCCCAACTCCTCAGGCTGTATCCTGATTAACCCATCCGCAGCATCGTCGGCGTGTCCAACCAACTAAGCTGGATCGCCATCGGCATCACCTCTCTCCGCTTCCGCGCTGCCCTCGAACTTCAGGGCAAGACGCACCTGCTCCCCTTCCGCAACTGGACGTACCCCGTTGGCCCGTACCTCTGCGTCATTCTTAACTGCGTTCTTGTGCTCATCCAGGGCTGGAGCTGTTTCAGTCCCACCTTTGACGGTGTCAGCTTCGTGAGCTTCTACATCGAACTGCCGGTCATGTTGGTTATGTACTTGGGCTGGAAGCTAGTCAAGAAGACTAAAATCGTCGGCTTGGCTGAAATGGATCTGGATACCGATACATATGTTGTGGGTCAGGAGAAGGATGAAGAGAAAGGCTGGAAGAGAAAGGCGAAGGATGCGTTGGTCTGGGTATTTTAACATATATGTGGGAGTTGATTTGAGCCTGTCTGGCCAGCTGTAGATAGTCCAGTTTCAGACAGTACCCAGTACCGATACCCAATGCAGCCCAATCAAGCAAATATATGAAGGATAGTTCAGTGTGGAGTGATCGGGTAGATAGATACATGGTGCCCCACGGTCTTAAACATCGAGTGTTGACTTATACGGGCTGACCTCGTACGTTGTCGTAACCACAATTCCATCCGGATGCCCACTCTGGCCGCTTGCCGTGCTCCCGGCTCGAATATTGTTCTGGAGCCCACCGCCATACTCTGAAGACTTGACTATGTGCTCCTCGCTCGAGTTGCCGTCCAGGTCCGCCTCGTGCCTTTGTTCCGAAGACAAGTTTTGCCTGGTGCTCTTTCGCCCAATGGTGACCAAGGGATGCGAGTACTGGTCCGTATTGCCGCTGATTTTATTGTTGTTGCTGTTGCTGTTGTTTCCCTTGCTCGAGTTGAGCCACCGTGAGGTCGAGAAAAGGGGTTTGATGCTGGCGGCGTTGACTGCAAAAATACCGACAAACTGCAATGTGGAAACGAATTAGTGTTGCGTAACATATTTTGCAACGGCCGAAGCAGAGAAAGGTGCGAGAAGGGGGCGAGGGAGGAGGACGGAATGGGAATATCGGTTGTGCTCAAAAGGGGGGCGCGAGAATGAACGATGGCGGAGATTACAGGGGTGTAATTACTTACCGTTTCTCGAATGGCCCAAATGGTGCTGGTATTGATGCCGTTGATATCTTTGAGCGACAGGACACAGCGCAGGAGGGTCGCAATCATGATGAAGACGCCCGACCAGAGTAGCACGCCAATGATCAACTTCCGTTTTATGCTGAGCTGGACCTTCCACAGCAGCGGCAGTGGGATGCAGACGATGACAAAGTCGGTGCTAGGCAGTCGGTTAATAAAAGCACCGCCAACGGAGACAAGATGATGGAGTGGATGGCAATGTCGTTTACTTACGACAGGTTCAGTACGACGAGGGTGAGGTAGTTCGCTACATCAAGCGTGCAGTGGTCTCGGTTGAGTCAGTATGACCGAGGGACACGGGACGGGAACTCTTGCCCGAAGATGCAACTCATGCAACTCACCACCGGGATATGGCACGACTTGCCACTTCTTTTGGATTGGTGTACAGTGGCCCCAAATGACAGCGATGACGCCAATGTAGGCAAGCACACATGCCAGTCCCGTCCATTTGACCACCTTCTGTTGCTTGAGGCCGAGACTAGATGGCTTGTCAGAAACCTCAATTAAACCAAGACTTGATTCTTTCTTGACGAAGAGCGAGTTGGGCGTACGTGATGCGGTTGTAGAAGCAGAGCATGCACCCCTTGAGGCACCAGATCAGTGTAACGTAGAAGTTCCAGCCTGCCAGCAAACATTTCGACCCGAACTCGAGCTTGGCAATCTCCGCCTCGGTTAGGGTGACACCGACGTCGTCTGTTACGCCGATATTGGTCCCGTTTTGACCTGCTGAGAAGTGAGCATCAGGAGTTCTTGATTACACAGGAGCTTAGAGAGGCCCAAAGCCGTACCAATAAGCTCCAACATGGTTAATTCCACCTACAAGTATTGATGCGTCGTTAGCGGCAACCAAACGGGCCTGGTCAAAAAGTTATCATGGGAGGAGAGGTCAATAACCTACGGTCCAGAATACAAGACACAGGAGAGCAAAGTAATCGTCTCCTTGCCAGCCCCTGAAGCCCACCACTTTCCACCGAGCAAAACACCGGAGGAACAAGATAAACACGCCGATGCCGTATTCGGCCCAGGCTTCCTTCTGGAAAGGCGTTGCGGGCATTTGTTCGAGAGCTTCTCGTAATAATACAACAGCAAGAGGCCACTTCAGCAATCGCTTTGTTGAAGAGAATCACCACAGACAAGAAAAAAATCGAAGACGTGTTTTTGGAATCTGGCTCATGGTTGTATCTATTCAGACTGAACTGATCGACATCTAGTCTCAATTTTCTGCCCCTGCAGCATCATCTTATATGTAAACCTGTCAAACCGTCCGGCCCAACGGATGCGCGTAAAATTATATCATCGTGTTCTGGAAGTCCCCGTTCTCGTCCATACCGCAGCGTGCCAACGGAGATACTCTGCAGATCCAATTCGCCAAGAGCTTCAACCCACCTTAATTAATGTCCAGGGGCGTGAAACCATCCCCCTGCATACATGCCTTTCCAACACCGTTTTTTCTGACCGAGTTGTCGATCTCGGCACTACAACTGCACATACATCGTACAAGATCCACCTTGTTGTTGTGTGTTGCACCATGCCCCCGAATACTGTGGGTCCCCATCTTTCTCTGCGCAATCTACTCTGCAGGACAGCGTAGTACGTCTCGTTTGAGGTGGGGTGACAAGAAGATGTGTGCGGAATTCGTACAAGGGACGACCCGATGGGAATGCCCCGCTGCTAATTTGGCAAGTCCCGGCCCGCTGCCGTCCAAACGCCCCAAGTTGGGCGACACTATATAGGATTGATTCCGCCAAGTTGTCGTCCTGCAAAGCATCTGCATTGTGTCGATCGCCTCATTCTGCATATCGGGCAGCATGGCTTCCACTACCTTTCATCCGGACTGGGCTTACGACTTTATCATCTGTGGGTGAGTGGTGATTTTCGAGAGTCCGGGCATATTGCCGGCATTCTAACCATCTTTCCTTTCACAGAGGCGGCACCACAGGCTGCGTGGTCGCAGGCCGCCTTGCAGAAGATGCAGACGTCAAGACCCTCGTCATAGAGGCTGGCCCGGACAGCGAGAAGCTCGAGAATGTCCACATGACGGGAGGGTAAGTTTGGGACCGGTAGGTTGCATTCCTGGCCTTTGATGGTGTTCTGATATCTATCTTCCTTCTAATTAGCTGGTCCAAACTCTTCGACCTTGAAACCGATTGGAATATTGTCTCGGAAAAGCAGCCCGCCGTCAACAACCGGCAGGTGAAGCTGAGCAGAGGCAAGTTCCTTGGTGGCTGCTCTGGGTGCAACGGGACTCTCTGCATTCGGGGCTCCCAGCAGGACTACGACGACTGGGGTCTCGAGGGCTGGAGTGGCAAGGAGTTCTTCAAGTATATGTCCAAGGTACATCGTCTCCAGTCTCCTCTCGAGGACTCTTACTGACATGCCCATCAGGCTGAGACATTCCACGGCAAGCCATGGTTCAAAGCGTCTAAGGCATCACACGGCTATGACGGCCCTCTCCACACGGAGCCACACAATCTTGCCCCCATCTCGCAGCTCATATTAGATTCGATGAAGTCCAAGGGACTTTACCTGGACCATGACATGTTCTCGCACGGAAACACGGCGAATGGGTGCGGCCACGTTCCGAGAACGGTCCATCAGGGGGTCCGCACTACGGCAGCCGACTTCATCACCAAGAAGAACCGCCGGGACAACATCGACATCATGGTGAAAACCCATGTGGACAAGGTGATAATTGGGAAGGATCCCATGAGCGAGCTAAAGGCCACCGGCGTGAGGGCAGTCAGGGCGGACGGCAGCGTGGTGGAGGTGATGGCTCTCAAGGAAGTCATCGTCAGCGGCGGCGCGTACTGCAGCCCCATCATTCTGAACCGCTCAGGCGTTGGCGATTTTCAGGAGCTGGAGCAACACGGCATCCCGTTACGTGTTCATCTGCCAGGCGTGGGGAAGAATCTGATGGACCACCTGGTATGCTGAGCGCCGGCACCTCCCTCCTCCCTCCCTCCTTCTTCCCTCCCTCCTTCTTCCCTCCCTCCTTCTTCCCTCCCTCGGCTACCTTTTGGTATAGTGACGCCCCATCCGCTAACGTGGTCTTACACCCTCAACCAGATCGTCTTCATGTTCTACGAAACCGACAAACCCGGCCTCACCAACGACCACCTAGTCTACCACGGCGACTCGCTAGCCAAGACCTACGCGCTCTGGAAGGACAAGAAGACGGGTTTCCTTTCCACCTTCCCCTTCGGCGTCTTCGCCTTCGCACGGCTAGACGCCCGCCTAGCGACCTCAGCGCTGTGGAGGTGGGCGCACCGGACCGCGACCCGCGACCCGATGGGCCTGACGTGGGCGCAGCCGCACGTCGAGTTCTTCACGACAGAGTGCTACGGCGGGCCGAAGCAGTTCGACCGGTTCCCCGGCGACGGGCAGCACGCGTTCAGCATCATCGCCGAGCTGTTCGCGCCGCGGTCGCGCGGCACGGTCGCCCTTCGCGACGCCGACCCGACTTCGACCCCTGTCGTCGACTGCAATTACCTCGCCGACCCGCTCGACGTTGAGGTCCTGGCTGAGGGGTGCCGATTCGCCAACGAGATCATCGTGCAGGGCGACGGCACCAAGGATATCGTCAAGGGATCGTGGCCGCCGGAGGGGGTGCAGCATCACCGGTTTACGACCAGGGAGGAGTGGATTCCCTATGTGAGGGATAATGCAACTACTTGTAAGTTGTATTCTTTCTTCCTTTTCTCCTTTTCCCCGGACCTAGCCTCCACCCCAACGATATCAAGATACTTACGGAAGCAAAACAGGCTACCACGCGGCGGGTACTTGTGCCATGGGCGACAATTCTAAACCCAACGCCGTTGTGGACAATAAACTCTGCGTCAGGGGTGTCAAGTGTCTTAGGGTTGCAGATTGTAGCATCATGCCCACGTTGAACGGCGGTCACACGCAGATGCCGGCGTACGGAATTGGCGAGAAGGCGGCAGACCTGATCAAAGAGAGGTGGGGCTTGAAGTCTTCGTGAGACTCGGAGAAAAAAAAAGTCTTTAGCTCTGATGGAAAGCATTCTTATTTGTTGAATTCGATCGGCTCGCTTCATTAGTCTTAAAACTCGGCAACAGTGTCTCAAAAATTGGGTCCGGCAAATTTTTACTTTTTACTTTTTTCCCTTATAAATTTTAATGTGGGTAGCCAAACCATACAAGATGGTCTAGTGGCCCAATGGCAAGGCGTTTGACTACGACTAAGTTGCTATCAAAAGATTGCAGGTTCGATCCCTGCCTAGATCAAAAACACTTCCTTTTTTGTTCTTTTTCTTTTTTCTCTTTTAAAAACTTCCCTCTCTCGCTCTAACCCACTGCAAAGCTGGCTTTCCAAAAAATGCCTCCCATTATCTGTGAGGACATTACTTACAAATGTAGATGGAGATAGAAAACCTTTGGTGCATAGATGAATCAAAATGGCTAAAAGTGTTCGTTTGAGTTGCTGCAAATTGAGCCAGATAGCAGTGTACCCTCTCCTCGAGACAGAGGACTAGACGTAAGGTTTGTAGGCAATATTTATGCAAGATGGATTATTACGCCGCTGTTGGACAAGTTAGAAGGGCGGAATACTGGATAGTGATATGGTGTCGCCACCTACTCGTCTACGACCTGTGGATTTACCCATGCCTAAGCTCCTCTGCAATGAATGGCCCCGAAGAGAAACCCATTGCATCAGATGAGCCTAGATGTTGGACAGAGGAGATCTCTCCACCATTGCCTTGCTTAAGAATGTGCCTGTTCAGAATGTCCCCTGCACCATCCATCCCATTCGGCGAGTTGCAAGAATGCTCTTCGTTCGAGTTCCACGCCCAGTCCACAAAGTGTCTCCCTCAAGCCCTGCCCATTCTGAACTAGAACCAGCCGGTTGTCGATGCAACGCTCGAGCAACATAGGTGTGTTGTGAAGGACGTCACCATGGTCTATTAGAAGGCCGTCGTTGATTGCACCAACATGTAATATGTCGCAGGAAACGTTCAATACATACACATGGTATGAACAAGGCTCATATGCCATCGACCGACTCCCAGCTCCTCGTCTCAACCTCAAACTCCCGGAAATAGTCCCCAAACTCCCTAAAGATGACGTTGACCAATTTATTGTACAGCCGAGTCCATCTAACCCCGCAAACATGGCCTTGGTGTAGTCCCAATACCCGGGGTAGTATCCCGAGTTCTCCCAGTTAACAATCCCAGCCACTCCAGCCGGTACTTCATCCGGCTGGACAACCCGATCGAGCAGAAAGCGACCGCCCCGGGAATCAGGTCTCAGCCAATCAAGCTTCATCGGGTCTTGAGACACGTCATATCCAGGAACAAGTCGTCAACGCCGCTCCCGTGTTCAGCACTGAAAAGTTCAGGGTTTCCCAGCGTCGAGCAGGAGGAGCAGCCGAGCCAACCGCCACCTTTCTCCACCAGGCAGGGGAGTGAGGTCACTGCGAAGCTGCCATCCACAGGGGGGAAATCCCGCGCCTAATTCCCTCTCCGTCGTTGTTTTTCAACAACAGCAACATGCCGATTTAGACCATGGTTGTTGGCCCGAGCATGTCGCTATAGTGGCTGGTGACGGCATGTCATCCTCACTTGGCGCAAGTCTGGCAGAAATTATCCTTCGCGTTTACCAATTCATTTATCTGTTCCCTCTCCGAGGCATCCTACCCCGCGTGTATGTTGTCTTCGGAGTTTTCAGGCCACCAACCTACAGACAGATCACCATGTCCAACCTGACAACAAAGTCTGGCGCATTTGCGGCGGTTGAAAGTCTCTAGAACATGCTAGGAGAGGCCGTGTATTTGCTCAGGGTCGGGTCATTCAACCTGGGTTGGGCCGCCTTTCACGTCAGCTGGAGCAGGATAACCGAAGCTGCTCTTTCCGACCACACCACCTTCCTCAGGAGACTCCTGGGACCCAGGGGTCTCAAAACTGTTCCCTCGTTGCATTTCCAGAACTCCACTGGGTCGCAAAGTCCCGCCCACTTGCCTAACCAGTTTGGGATGGCTTTCCTAATCATGACCTAAGTAGCGCCCGAGTACAGCAGCGAGGGGTGGTGTGGTTGACTGGGAGTGGGCAGGGCAATCGGTGCATAAAACAACAAAACATGCAAGTTTGTATTCTATTCCAAGGCTTGTCAGTCCCCCTCCCTAACTATTAGCCAGACATGAGGGGTCTGTACTATTCCAGAACGTTTTCCCTGTCAGCCCCCTTCTCAAGAAGCAGCCTGACAATACCTTCCTGGCCGTTTTCTGCAGCCCACCGTAGCAGCGTCCTACCAGATTCATCCATTGCCTTAGTATCAGCGCCTTTCTCAAGAAGCAGCCTGACAATACCTTCCTGGCCGTTTTTTGCAGCCCAGCATAGCAGCCTCTTACCAGATATATCCATTGCCTCAGTATCAGCCCCCTTCTCAAGAAGCAGCCTGACAATGTCTTTATAGCCCCTCCAAGCAGCCCACTGTAGCAGCGTCTGACCAAATACATCTCTTGCCTCAGTATTAGCCCCCTTCTCAAGAAGCAGCCTGACAATACCTTCCTGGCTGTTTTCTGCAGCCCACTGTAACAGCGTCTTACCAGATTCATCCCTTGCCTCAGTATCAGCCCCCTTGTCAAGAAGCAGCCTGACAATGTCTTCATAGCCTTCCTTAGCAGCCAACCCTAGCGGCGTCTGACCAAATACATCTCTTGCCTCAGTATCAGCCTTCTTCTCAAGAAGCAGCCTGACAATACCTTTATAGCCCCTCCAAGCAGCCCCCTGTAGCAGCGTCATACCAGATATATCTCTTGCCTCAGTATTAGCCCCCTTCTCAAGAAGCAGCCTGACAATACCTTCCTGGCTGTTTTCTGCAGCCCACTGTAGCGGCGTCTTACCAGATTCATCCCTTGCCTCAGTATCAGCCCCCTTCTCAAGAAGCAGCTCAACAACTCCCCTGTGGCCCATCTTTGCAGCAGAAAGCAAGAGCTCTTTACTAATACTATCCTCTGATCTAACTCCAACCTGTGTCCCTTTTTTAAGCAGTTGTTTGATCACCTCCTCATCCCCGCCACATATGGCATAAGATAGCGGTGTCCCCCCAATTTGATCCTCCCGGTTGGCCCCGGCCCCGGCCCTAAGTAGCAGCTTGACGACGGCCACGTTTCCATTCCAGACGGCGTACGATAGTGGCGTTCGACCATCTCGATCCTCCAAATCGACCTTGGCCCGCTTCCTAAACGGCAACTTGAGGCCCTTCAGGCTGATAGCAGCGCCTTTGACCAAGAGCTTGACAACGGCATCAAAGCCATTTCCGGCAGCCCAGGATAATGCCGACCGCTCGTATTTATCGTCCCGAGTGTCCAGGTCGCTGCCATCTGTTTCCAACAAAGACTTCACCACTGTTCTCAGTCCGAAATAGGACGCAATCATGAGGGTGGTGAATCCATCGGGAAATTCCGTGTTTGTGCTCGCCCAATAGACTCTGAACCAGGTCAAGCAACGGCTTGAACTGACATCGCAGAGTCTCCGTATCGATTGGGCAAGTGCGTCTTGTGTCTCAATTTCTGACCCGAGGATGTGAGACGCCCAATGTCTGGCAGAGTAGTCAAGGAAGATATGGTCCTCAAGGTACTCGGATAGTAGCCCGTTTTCGTCTAGAGGATGGGTCTCGAATTCGACAAGTAGCAGGTGCCAGATGCAGATCTTGGCAAGAATGCGATGGGACTCTCGTGGCAGAAGCGAGTGTTTCCATTTGAGATGCGTGTGGGCGGCTTTGGGAGAATATTCTTTGTCGTGAACCAAGAATTCCTTCGCAGTTTGGTGGAGCAGGTAGATCCTCGAGTCGATGATCGTCACGAAGAGCCCGCAGATGTCTCGTACGCTGTCACGGAAACGGTCTTCGGGTTTGAGATCGAGGTCACCATAGGATCGATGAGTCTGTCAAAGAGCTAACGCCAAGGCCATCTCTCTGATGGTCAAGGGCCTTGCTGCTGCCACAATGATATGCAGTATCTTCTTTGCCTTTTCGGTGTCGCGACTTTTTGAGAGTATCCTGTCGTATGCTTCCTCAACGGTTTTGGGGAGGTGAGAAGTGGCCTCGACTATTCCGGTTTTGTCGATATCGATGTCGCTCTCGATCAAGTCCAGCGTCAGGTGTACCCATAAATATGTCCTGTTAGAAACACGCATAAGCTTTTGCAATAGAAGCTCTTGCTCGTCAAGTGTAAGCCTCCGCCGCACCCCGATATCGTGGACTCTGGCTTTGATGAAAGCGTCGATCTCTCGGGAAATCTTGGCCATCTCAACATCGTCTTCCCCACTCAGATGAATGACGGGCAGCCCCGGAATCTCGAGAGGCCGGAAGCCGAGAGAAATCCCAGCATAGGGACGGCTTGTCAAGAGAAACTTCAAATTGAAGTTCCTCCTACTGCCGTATAGTTTGCACAACGCTTTGGCAAGCTGAGACCTTCCTTGTTCTTCGCATTCGTCGACTGCATCGAGGAGGCAGACAATTTCGCCGGCATTCTGGTCTTCTGCGGCGTTGATGAGGGTGTCCCAAAGCTCGCCAAATGAGCTGCTCAACGTTTCTCCGCCGACTTCGAAATGGTCGAGAATCTTATCGGAGAGCAGAATGCGTCTCTGGATGAAAAGCTGGCGTAGAATACAGCGGATAGCGCTGACCACACTCCTCTGGTCCTCAAAGTCGTCTTTGAAGAAGAAGTAACATGTGGTTCTCGATTCTGTGGTCGGAAGAATAGAATCGACCAGATGTTTTGCCAAAACCGACTTTCCGCATCCGGGATCCGCGGACACCCACAGCATTCTTGACGACTTGCTCGCTTGCCATTCTCGAAAGAGCTCGTGAGACACGAACCAGCCACATGTCCCTGGGACCCGATCGGGGTTTCGGTCTTTTCGATCCCGGTATGGTGATGCATCGAGTCTTCTCAGAATCTTTACTTCCCTCTCCCTCCGAACCGGGTCATTCTGTGTCCCCCCGGTTCCGAGGTGGGAAAATGGCGATGCTGGAGCATCTTTGACATGAAATTATTATTCACTTGAATCCTTGCATGTGAACCATGGCCAGAATGCAACTCACTATGCATGTTGATGATACCCTGCATCAGAACACCACCGCCGGTTGCTTTAGCATCACCGAAGCGCTGCCCGACGGGCCGCTCAGCCGGTACAGGGGCCGAGCCGAGTGATGGACTTGGTCCAGCCCCAGCCTTCGAGTCACCGGAAAGGTATAAGTCATCGTTATCCGTAGAAGGGTTGCCTTGCTGAGATGCGGGTCCGTTATAAGGCTGTGCTGCCGCCCGCGATGGGCCTACCGACTCTGGGGTACCTTGCATTGTGCTAGTGGTATTCATGGCAAATCTGGGATGTCTCAGAGTAGAGGCGCAGGGGTGAGAGAAGAGCGAGCTGACGTCTGGCTTCTTACGGAGGCCTCGGCGTGACTTGGGATGGGCTGCAAATATGAAATCCTCTCATTTTCCGTGGGCTCTCTCCTCTTTCAGCTCTTTTTTCAGCTGAATCCAACACGCGAAGATCACGTGGTAGAGCCCGGCGAGTGCCATGAAGCGGGGCATGAGGAAGCCAGGGTTGGGCTGGGTTGGGTTAGGTTGGGTTGGGAGCCTTCATGATGAGGCTAGGTAGTCCTCGCGTCGTCTTTTCCTCAGACGCGAAGACGGTGATCACCTTAAAGCCACCATCATACATCATGGATCCTTTAAGCATAACTGCTAATGTGATTGCCATTGCGACTCTGGCGTGGCAAAGCTGCAAGTCAGTGCACGGCCTCATCGACGGCCTGGCGGATGCACCGAGGGTTATTGCCGACTCGAAGAGTGTTCTCTCAGAAACCCGAAACACCTTGAACAGTCTGAAGGGGATGCTGGAAATGCATACTCAAGCTCCCAGTGTCCTTGGTCACGCTCTTCAGAAGATCAATCTCGACTTCGCTCTCCACTCGACCCAGCGTCTCTGCGATGAATTTGGCGACACCATAGCGAGGTTCACCAGTCGCTCGACAGATACGACATTGGCGAAACGCGATAGACTCGCGGTAAATCTTCACGAATCCAAGTTCAATAAGTTCAACAGACAGCTGGGCGACTGTCAACAAACGATATCTCTGGCGCTGGCATCCATGATTCTGTTCGTTCGATGCTTGGTGATTTTTGTAATTCCTCCGGCTGACTGTTATAGCATCGTTTCCACTCGTAATGCCGAGGACATTATACGGCTTGGAAATCGTTTCGCAGTCCAGGAGACGTCTCTGGCTGGTCTGCAGAACCGTCTTCGCGAGAGCCAGGCAGCCATGCAAGTAACGTCCGTCGGGGGATCGACTGGCGAGGCAGAAGACGGTTCCGCAAGCCAGAGAGATTCGAGCCTCCAGCTGACAGTCGGGCTTCAAAGAGTCTGTCAAGAGGCTCTCTCCGCTACCAGAGAAAGACGTACAGGGCAAAAATTCGGCGACATGCGGACGGATGAGCAGTCTATGGCAATGCAAGGAATAGCTGGAAGGGCGCAAACCAGAGTGGAGCAGGTATTCGGGACGCTGACAACTACCGGGGGCAGTACGGCATTCCAAGGCCAGATTGATGCCGCGTCTTTTGCCATCATGTTTAGGAAGGGGTAATGACACAGCGTGTCGCTTCAGCCTGGCAGAGGGCTATGCGTTGAAATAAGATTGTACACAGGCTTCTAGCATTGTACTTTGGCTGCAAGTTTGGTTGCCGTGGTCCCATAGATATTTAGAGTGGGGATTATTTCTACAAGTACCTTGTTCGGATCTTCCGACAGATTTCCCGAGGCGAGAAGCCGGTCGGCAGTGTGTTGGATGCGATCCCGGCCCCGCAAAACTCGGGGAATTAGTTCCCCCCGCCCTCATTCCCCCCTTTATTGTTCTCTTTTCCGCAACAACTGGCTCCAATCCTCCCAACAAAAAAAATAAAGAAAACAATTCTTGTTCATAAATAAAACCTAGGACACTGACTGCCAGAATGGGTGACTCAATTGTCAACAGCAGTGGTGCGGCAGCGGCCAAAGTCAGCGCTGCGACAGCCTTTTTTGAGGCAATCTGTACGCAAGCCCGGCTGCCGAAATAGAGAAGCATACCTGCTAATACCGGTTGAATGCTCTAGGGGATGCCGGCATCACTCACTGTTTTGTCAACTTGTACGATGCTCTGTGATGGGAGTATTTCCCTGGGACGTATGTGCTTATCATGGGGTAATTGTAGGGGAAGCGACCATCCAGCAATGCTGGAGGCCATGGCCAAGGCCAAAGAAGGTTCCTCATCACCCTTTTCTCAAACATGCTTCGAGGCTTCGACGCTGACGCTGACCACTCACTCATCCAGAGAACTCGAAGAACTTCCCCAGAATGATCACCTGTCCATCGGAAATGGTTGCTCTTTCAGCTGCCATAGGCTTTGCCCAGGTCACTGGTGTTCCAGTTGAGTCTGTCCAACTCCCTTTTCTGAGCGGAGTTGTGAGTGCTAATCCTTCGGGCGCAGCAATGCGTAATCGTGCATGTCGAGTGTGGCACCCTGGCGATGGGCCAGGCGATACACAATGCATCGGTCGGGCGTGTCCCAGTGCTCTGTTTCGCTGGCCTTACCCCGTTCACCCAGGACGGAGAGCTCCTCGGCTCCAGAACCGAGTACGTCAATCTCCCACACATCCGTGACGCCGTTGAAATCAATTGTTGACTGACCACACCTTTTATAGGTTCATTCACTGGCTTCAGGACGTCCCGGATCAAGCCGCAATTGTGCGTCAGTACTGCCGGTATACAGCGGAGATCAAAACCGGGCACAACATCAAGCAGATGGTATACCGCTCGCTGCAGTTCGCACGATCCGACCCGGCCGGCCCAGTCTATTTGATGGCGGCTCGAGAGGTCTTGGAACAGGTAACTCCCTGGTTCTGGTCTTGGCTCGGTCTCGTCCAGCGAGCTAATAGTACTAGACTGTGGATTCGCTACCTCTCACGAGCGAACTATGGAGCCCACTAAAGCCTTCTTCCCTACCCGAAGATGGTACTGACATCCTACCTCCTCCCTCTCCCGGAATCAAGCTGACAGGCGGTAGACGTCGAAATGATCGCACAAACCTTGATGGAAGCAAAGCGACCACTGGTGATCACGGGGTACCTTGGACGAAACCCGCGAAGCCCCAAGGTTCTTGCCGAGCTTTGCGACAAACTTCCAATCAGTGTCCTCGAAACTGTTGGCTCAGACATGTGCATCCGGAGCGACCACGAGGCGTATCTCGGTGTAACCATCACCACTCATGACGCTGTGCGGGAGGCTGACGTTATCCTTGTCATCGACTGTGATGTTCCGTGGATCCCGACCGCGGGCAAACCTCGAAGTGGTGAGATATGCATGGCTGCCTGTTTCGGCTTGCCTACCGAGTTCTAATTCTTCCTCCTCTTCCTTTTAGATGCCAAGATTTTCCACCTCGACGTGGATCCGTTGAAACAGCAGATGATCGGTGGGTCATTCATTTGATTATCATTCTTCCCACCTACTCCTCGTGCGGTGCTGTATCCTAACCCTAGCCACAGTCTACCACATTCCGGCTAGTCACAGATACAAAGTCAGCGCCGAACTTGCCCTCAAGCAGCTCAACAGATACCTGGACAGGCAGCAACTTGACCCCTCCAAGTATGCCGCTGCCTTTGAGGCACGATCCACGCGGTACAAGAACTGGAGAGCAACCTTGGATAGTCGTGAGGTGATCTCGCCAGGAGGCCCGATCAAGGTTCCGTATCTGATGTCACGGTTGCGGAAACTGCTGCCGCAAAGCACTACAATCGTCCTGGAGGCAGTCACAAACGCGCTCCCAGCTATTGAGCATCTGCATTTGACCGAGGTGGGTGCCCTGCTTGTGCCAACAGAACCCCACACCCCCCTTCTTCTCTACCAATGCTGACCACGGATGATGGATTAATAGCCAGGAAGCCTCTACGCTACCGGTGCGGGCGGGCTAGGTTGGATCGGCGGCGCAGCGATCGGCGTCAAGCTGGCCAGGCCCGAGTCATTTGTCTGCGGCATGTGCGTAAATCCCATTGTTGCATCGTCCTCATCTTCCCAAGATATTAACCATCTTCCTATAGTGTTGGCGACGGGACTTTCCTGTTTTCACAGATGGAAAGCGCCGCCTGGATTGCCGCCCGGTACAATACTCCATCGCTCCTGATTGTCCTCAACAACGGGGGTTGGAACGCACCGAAGGTGTCCGCGTTAGCGGTCCACAAAGAGGGCTACTCTTCCAGGGCAAACAGGAGAGGTAATTAGCCCCGCCCCTCGGGATCGGGCAGTTCATCCTCTTCGAGGTCCGTTACTAACGCGGGGGTATGCAGACCTTAATATCTCCTTCGACCCTTCCCCTGACTACCCAGGAATTGCGACCGCTTCAGGAAAGGCTTGGGGGGCCACCGTCACATCTGGCGACGACGTGGACCGAGTTTTAGAAGAGGCGATCAGCGTGGTTCGCGGGGGTAGAAGCGCAGTCGTGGAAGTCCAGTAAGTGAAGCTTCGCACACAACCACCTTTACCACCGTCCTAACAGATCACTGCAGCGTACCATCAATATGGCCTGAGAATTAGTTTCACACTCGGCCTAGGTTGGTCGAAACCCAAGGAGCGTGAAATCTATACAAGTTGTGTTCGACCGTGTCTGTAAAGACCTATGAATACTTTAGAAATAGCAATCGTGTCTTGCACAAAGCTTTGGTGAAGCTGTAGCACCTAGCCAACACTTTCGCACCTTGTATCATGTCGACTTATCTGTATTTGCGCTTCCTCCCCCCGCCAGTTCTCATGCTAAGCAGTCTCTCTCTCGTCAACTTCTTCCCACCTCTGGGCCCCTCGGTCCGGGAGGCCGACTCGGAACCACTTGCGACTCTCAGATGGTGACCGAGACCGCCCTTCCATTCTCGGTGGGGAATGTTTTGCAGTCTCTTTTCAATGTAATAATGGTAAACAACACGGCCAGTTTCGACGGTTGACCTTTGAGCAAGGCAACATCATCGCCGCACCCATCGGGGAATAATAAACAAGCACTTTGGCAACCAAAAGCCCACCCACTGGGGCAAAGGTTTACAATAATAGCTCCAGACACCATTACCAGGCTCCAGATCAGCTATAGAACCGTGACCAACTTCAGATCAGCCCGCTTCTCCTTCCTCTTCCGCTTCCTCCTCTGCGATATAATCCACACCGTATACAGCCCAAACGTCACAGCCGTCAACGGCAGCGTGACCGCCCAAAACAGCCCAAACTGCGGCCTCAAGCCTATCCCAATTGACGAGCGATCATCCGACCGTGCGGCGCCGTCCCAGTCAAACAGCGACGTGGAGAACAGGGCCGCGACGAAGCTGCCGGGAAGGAAGAACATGGCCACGAGGGCGAGCATCTTCATGGACGAGGAGTCATCCTGGCTAGACTGTGCAATACTGCGGATCGAGCTCGCGTTCGCAAACGCAATGGCATTGTCCTGCTGGGCGATGAGGTGGAACAGCGCCGCGATCTGCACCTGCACGCGCTGCTGCACGTACTCGTTATCCACGAGCTGCATCTGCAGTCGATGCTTCATCAGCCGGACGTGATGCGACAGCATCTCACCGGCATCGACGCCGCCGTCGTCTCCGCGAGCCCCGCCCCGGGAGTGCCCAAGCATGAACTCGTTCAGGGCCTCGACGACCTTGAGCTTGCGCGTCCCGTTCGCCAGCTTGGCCGCGCAGCCGCTCATCTTGGCCGACAGGTCGCCCAGCTCGCCGCCGGCGGGGCGTTCCTGGCGGTGGGAGAAGCGGTGGTGGCCGGTGCGGACCTCGACCTCGCGCACGTCCGACTTGATGGCCGCCGCCGTGGCGTCGAACTCGCCGGCCAGGACTAGGCTGCACAGCAGGGCGGGGAACATGGGTTGGCCGGCTAGGGCGGCGCTCCATCGACACTCGAGGCTGTCGAGAAGCTCTCCGCGCTGCTCGGCGCCGGCGAATATGACTCCCTGCATGTGCGGCCGGCCGTCTGAGACGGTGTATGACCAGGCGAATGCCAGCTTCGGGTGGTATGTGACGGTGAAGCAGCGGGCGCCGTCTTGGGGTGGCAGCGCAGACACGCCGGCAAAGCAGCTCCGGGCATAGTCTACCGCGTGCTGTAACTTCCAGGTGTCGAGGATGTGTTCCAGGTCTTTCGTGGACGGACCCCAGCGCCATGTTTTCGGATTCTCCCCGACCCAGAGGAGACGGGCGGTTCGTACGTGTGCTTCGCCATGGAATGATTTGTGCGGGAGCTCATCGAGCCAGTTGTGGAGATCTGCCGAGGACAGAGTCCTATGTTCGGCTTCCAAGCTGTCGGAGCCATCGTGGCTGCTCCATAGCTCGGTCACGTCAAAGCTGGGAGACTTGGCAACGTCGTACTTCTCCCAGAGACTGTGGCTTCCAAAGTGGCGGTGAATGTCGTCCATGTTCTCGTGGCGGCTATAAGAGTTCAGGTAGAGACCACGATTCGGCAACTTTGGCTTCCTGGCAGGACATTGGAAATATAAACAAATGGCAAGTCGACGGGATCTAGGACTCGGAAGGACTTGACGAAACACTGGTTGATGAATTAATTAGTGGGAGGCTGAGCAGCTCCGCCTCCCTCCTCGTCATGTTGGAAGCACCGACCAAATAATTGAGGCTTGATCAAACCCTGTTGGTTCAACCAAGTCTACGGAGGTGTATTTGTTTAATTAGCCAAAATCTGGTGTTCAAATGCACCGTTTGGAACGACAATGAACGAGTTGACAATCAATACCCGAGGAAAGCGTTTATCTGCGAGGAGCGACGCGCTCCGATTCAGGGTTTGAGGAGCCCCCAAAGCCCATGTCCAGGGTTCAGACGACACTCCACCGCGTGAGATATATCTCTAAGCAACCTATACCACCAGCTTTAGAGAATCAAGGTAGGCAGTCAAGTTTGCCTACCAGGTGTTGCGCCAGGTCGTCGCGTACTGTAAGTCCGTGCACTTCAGTCAGGTAGCCAGCTGAGATGCAGACCCCTGCCATTGAAAGCTGGTGACTGGTGACTGCCTGGCACTGCCCTTTGCGGGGTAATTAAGTCAAAGCAACAGCCAGGTTACAAGCGATTTTCAATCAATTCAAGACCCAGAAGATGAATCTAGCCAGTCACAGGCTGCCGACGCACGTGGTTATGAACAAGGCATCTTCTCCCACGCCACCTTGATGAAAAGGCCCGCCTAACAAGGACAGTGACTAGGCAGCAGGCGCATCTAGAATGCCAATATCGGAGTCACGGGAACGGCGTCTTAGGTAGCATGGGGACGAACTTATCCGAGGAGTCATTCGGCCAGGCTCGAAGGCGGTGGCGATGCAGCAGAAGATTATATCTCTAGCCTATCAAGCTGCTAAGCTGGGATGAGGACCCCCTGCTCCTTCTCGTCTAACTTCCCTGATAACAATAACATAGTTAATATGCTACGTATCAGCCTTCCACTTGAACTGAAATCCCGGATGATCGGGGAGAAGATGGGGCTGGCCAAAGAAGACCTCCCGGGCAGTTGCTCCTTCTGTTTGAACCTCTGTCCTAAACAACCCCCTTGCTCGTAATTCGGGGATGACAAAGTCGATAATATCCTCGAAGGAGCCAGGGTTCACAACATGGGAAAGATTGAATCCGTCTACCCCTGCCACTTCGACCCATCTCTCGAGCTCATCGACAACTGTCTTTGGACTGCCGATAATCTTTGGCCTTTGGGGTTCAAGCGACGGTTAGCAACAATTTGCATCTCATGGTGACGGCGTCGAAAACAAATATTCAAAACCTACATCATGCCTCCCACCAGAAGGAACTCGGCGATCCTAGCCTTCGTCCAGGACAAACCCTCGCTACCGGGAACGACACTAGCCCAGCGATGGACCACAGACCGGATAGCAGCCTTATCAACAAAGCGGAAGTCCTCGTCATCCGAGTAAGCCGACAGGTCAGTCCCCGTCCAGCCCCCAAAGAGGGCCAACGCACCCTCTCGGTCCCCGTAGGACAGGAGTTCCCGATACTTATCCTGGGCCTTCTCATCCGTCTCGTCGACGACCACACACACCCCAGTAAACACCTTGACATGCTCCGGGTCCCTGCCAAACTTCTCCTTGGCGGTCTGCCGCAGCGCCTGCACCGAGGCGCGCACCAGCTCCGGCAGCTGCGCGCCCATGAACACGGCCTCGGCGTGCTTGGCGCCGAACTCGGTGCCGGCCTTGGACGTGCCGGCCTGGAACAGGAACGGCGTGCGCTGCGGGGACGGCTCGCAGATGTGCGGGCCCGGAACCTGGAAATACTTGCCCTTGTGGTGAATCTGGCGGACCCTCCCGGCTACGGCGAACTGGCCGCTTGAGGCGTCTCGCGTGACGGCGTCGTCGCGCCAGCTGCCTTCCCATAGCTGGAGGGAAGGAAGGACGAGGGATCAGTGGTGCTGTCTCTGACGACGGAGTGGACGGAGGGGAATGGGAGTGAGCCTGGTTTCCAGTATTACCTTGTAAACAACATCCATGTACTCGTCGGCGATACGATAACGCTCGTCATGCTCGATCTGGGTTTCCAAGCCAAAGTTCTTGGCGGCGCTCTCCAAATACGACGTGACGATATTCCAAGCCACCCTCCCCTCGGCCAAGTGATCGACGGTTGAGAACCGCCTCGCCATCGCGTACGGCGCGTCATACGTCGTGCTGGCGGTCACTCCGAAGATGAGATTCTTCGTGGCAGCTGCCATGGCGGGTACGGAATAGAGGGGATCGTTGACCGGGAACTGGGCTCCTGATGCTAGGACAGGGTCTACGTTTGCCGGGCCCTTGTAGACGTCATATGGGCCCAGCGTGTCGGCTATGAACATGGCGTGGAATCCGGCTTGGTCGAGGGTCTGCGCGAGCGACGTCCAGAAGCTGAGTTTATTGTAGTCGGCCGTCTTGTTGCGGGGGTGCCTCCAGAGACCCGGGGAGAGGTGGGCGGGTGTTGTCATGACGAAGGCATTTAGGAGGAATTGTTTGCGAGGTTTTTGTGCCCCTCCCTCGGTTTCGGCAGACGCCATTCTGGTGGTAAGAAGCAGTCGGTGGCCGGGTTGTGATATTTGGTAATTACTCGGTAGTGTGTGCCCGAATAAGCTCCCCGATTTTGGGAGTCGCAGGGTTTTGAAGATATCACTTCAATGTATCTCTCGGGGGAGAAATCCTAGGGGATGGGTTAAGAGTGACTTTGAACGCGACACGACCTTCGACCGGTACCCGCGAAATCGCTCGCCATACCCCTCTATAATTGCAAGGTTGTTTTGCAGATGCAATCCCGGACTCCGACACCGCTTGAGACGGAGATATTGGCGTTGGCGGACCTTTGGCCCCAGTTTGGCATTGTTGCAACATGGTTGACTGATATTGCGTGACATCGATATCGGCGCCGCAGCCATTTCGGGGGTCGGCAGTCGGCAAATAGCTTGAGGAGAGGAGCCGGAGACGCTGCGGGAATTAAAGTGACGACTCTCGATGTTTGGACGTTTGTAGGCTTGTCTTTTATTTGTTTTTATTTTTATTTATTTTTTGGGTACATTGTGGTTAATCTAGAGGTCAAGCACAACATGCGCCCCAATTGTGCATGCTTCCATCGCCACTCTTAATTGTCGCCCCCAAAACTACAATAGAACATGTTTGTTTGCCCATCAAAATTGCCAGGTAAAGAAAATAAAGGAAACAAAATGTTATTAAAACGAAACAGAAAGTGCAGAAGAAAAAAGCAAAGAAGAAATTGACAAGATAGGGATTCGAACCCTAGCCTCTTTCGGAGACTGCAGATGACCCTGTTTGAGAGGATAAGAAAGTACGGAATATAAGGTAGGTAGTAGGGGCAAGACCTGTGGCACCTGATGCACTCTAGGATAGTAGAGCATCCCTAGCAGCTACCCATGCCACACCCCACTTGCAAGCCCCGAGTGATGTACGGAATAGAGATAAGCTATTTCTACTTGCACAAATATAGGTAACTACGCTTTTACACTTTGATTTATCCACTAGATGATTACCCAAAGCTATTATCAAGCAAGTTTGGCCGCGCGTGCTACAAGAGAGTCGAATCAATTGGTGCAGGATGAGAGATGTAGCAAATAATATGTTCTCTCCAACGATTAGCAAACCTGCCTAACTCGAACCGTACGCAGGAGGTCTGTGCAGAAATTCTGCCACCTGGCTGTGGAAGTGCCAGGCCAGCAACTGTATTGGCACAATCGCGGCAACAGCAACAGCAACAGAGACAGCGACAGCGACAGCAGCAGCAATAGCAAAAGCAAAAGCAAAAGCAATGGCAACGGCGATAGCAACGGCGATAGCAATGGCGATAGCAATGGCGATAGTAATGACCTGGCAGCAAGCGACAGTAACTATGAGAGTGACTTAAACAGCGACTGCGACAACAACTTCAAAAGCAATAGAATAGCAACTGCCAGTAAAGAATAACTCGGTATAAGTAGATGTCATACCCTGCATTGGATTTTATCCCAATAAATAATTCTTTCACCAAAAAAAAATTAATTTTAAAATTTGATCGAACACGGGATTGAACCGGGGACCTTCGCCGTGTTAAGGCGACGTCATGACCAACTAGACCATTCGACCGATTTATAAATTAATGGTGTCAAACACTGTAGATGCCCCTTGTTCACAATTCCCTGCACCAACTCCATAGATGATTCCAGAGCGACTCGTCCCTCCATTACCAAAAGACATCGAGTAGCGAGAACCCTCAGTCAAAATCTAGATCCGCATCTGCAGGACATGCTGGTCTGAACACCAGGTGCGCTTTGGTAAAGTTACGCGGGATGATTGGGAGGCCCCAGGGCCGGCCCGCTCAGCTGAAAAAGGACCCTGTCCAGCCGGGCCAATGGGAGCAAGATGGCGTTGGTGGTATTGTTCTCGCCCTCGCTTCCACGAGGCACAACACAGGGCCCTCATCGAATCAGAATGAATGTCCTGGCGCGCACCGACGCCTTCATGCATTAGTCAAGGGATGTTTTGCCTGACAAAACGCCACAACTGGGAGGTTAAGAAGGCTAGACGCAAAGGAAAACCAGAAGTCGTACTTTTTCTCCTGTGCAATTATCGCTCCTCTTGATAAAATCTACCTATGCGTATCAAGGCGCCCCAAATTGCCCCAAATGCACTCCTTTGCTACCATGATTCCTATCACCCACCATCTACTGCGCAACATCTGCTTCTTTCTTGTCCTGGGTCTTCTCCCTCAACAGACCCTCGCTCAAGGCAAACTCGCCCTTTATCTCGACTTTGCTTGCTCGACCCCAAGCAGTCTTGAGCCTTCCGTCTCACTCCCTCTATCCACCTGTCTTGTGCCAGTAGGTGCAGTGTCACTTGCAATTCAACAATTCCCAAAATGCGACAGCGGTACCGCAAGCATGATCATGTATGAGGACACCAGCTGTGCCCTCAATACCTTCTCCAAGAGCAAGTCCTATACTGGCTGGTCGTCCAGGGACAATTGTTTCTATTGGTTGATAGGAAAGAGCATTCCAGGGGTCATGTTCACTTGCGAGGAACCAGCAACCAATCCCCAGCCGACAAGCACATCCACCGTTAGGGCGTCTATCATCGCTGGAGTGGCAACTGACGACCCTGCAACCGGCTCGGCAACCGGTCCAGCAGATGCGTCTAAGACAACCGCTGCTTCGACAGGAAAGACCACTGCTTCGACAGGGAAGACCACTGCCACGACCCAGACTGGCACTGGCACTGGCTCCACTACGACGTCAACCGCCGGGACCTCCTCAGACAATGCTAGCAGCAGCAATTCTTCTGGCCTCGGCAGAAGCGACAAGATAGCAATCGGTGTGGGACTGGGAGTTGGGATACCAAGTATTGTAATTGGTTTCCTAGCTTGGTTTTGGCCTCGAAAGAAGTCTTGATTGGGCAACAATGTCGCTGTATTATGTAGGATGGTAGGCAACTTTTACTGTGGGGGTCATGTATTACTCTCTGCTTAGGTAGTGTACGGAAGTAGTTCTCTGGTACTCCGCGAGGGAGGTATCAAGTGTTGAAGGTTCTCCAATTAAACAAACCAGGGTCAGCGTTGGTCTCAAAGAAGATGTGGTTGGTTCCGAGATATTCCCCCATTGGGATTATCCCGACTCAGGGTCTCCCCAAATGCCACCTTCCCCAGTTCCCCCTGATTTAGGCTAAAATCACCTCCTCAAACGTTACCGGGTTGAGAGAACGCCAAGAGTTAATAAAGCAGCAAGCTTCTTTCCTTTGACCGTGAGCTCAGGACTTGTATGTCAAGTGTCATCGTGGATTGTCTTGGCTCCAATTGCAGATGGACAAACCCAATTCTAACTGGGGGAGTGGAGGGGCTCGAACCGAGGAGCTAGATACCAGGTATAAAACAATCCCATTCCCCCGTCCGAGCCAACCCCAAGCCGACAAGGGATAATCCAACTCGTCAAGATTTCACGATGCCCCATCTGACTGCAGAGCTCATAGTCCTCGCCCTCGCGGCATCTGTCCAAGGTCAGCAGACCGTATGGGGCCAGTGTGGAGGAGAGGGCTGGAAGGGGCCGACGTCCTGCGTGGCCGGGTCTGCCTGTTCGACGCAGAATGCGTGGTATGCCCAGTGTCTCCCGGGTGCGCCAACGACTGCCCCTGCTCCAACTACGTCGACGACGTCGCGTACCACTCTCACGACGACGACGACGACGTCGGCCAGGCCTCCCACCAACCCCACGGGCTGCCCCGCCATCCCGGGAAGCATTAGCGGATCCACCTCCACGCTGCCCGACCCCTTCACCTTTGCCGGCGGCTCCAAGGTCACGTCAAAGGCATCCTGGGCCTGCCGCCAAGCCGAGCTCAGCGCGCTGCTGCAGAAGTACGAGCTCGGCACGCTGCCTCCCAAGCCATCCAGCATGAGCGCCTCCTTCTCCGGCTCATCCCTCTCCATCACCGTTTCCGAGGGCGGCAAGACGATTTCCTTCTCGGCGACCATCAAGAAGCCCTCCTCCGGGTCCGGCCCGTTCCCGGCCATCATTGGCGTGGGCGGCATCTCGATCCCGGTGCCCAGCAACGTGGCCACCATCGTCTTCGACAACGACGGCATGGCCGCCCAGAGGGACGGCTCCAGCCGCGGCAAGGGCAAGTTCTACGACCTGTACGGCAGCGGTCACAGCGCCGGGTCGCTGATGGCCTGGGCGTGGGGCGTCTCTCGCGTCATCGACGCCCTCGAGGCGACCCCGGCGGCCGGCATCGACGTCAGGCGCATCGGCGTGACGGGGTGCTCTCGCAACGGCAAGGGCGCCATGGTGGCGGGGGCGTTCGACTCGCGCGTCGCGCTGACCCTGCCGCAGGAGTCGGGCGCCGGGGGCTCGGGCTGCTGGCGTCTCGAGGAGTGGCAGAACAGGAACGGGTACAATGTCCAGGACGCCAAGCAGATTGTGGGCGAAAACACGTGGTTCTCCCCCAACTTCAACGCGCAGGTCAACAATGTCAACGGCCTGCCGTTCGACCACCACTTGCTCGCCGGGCTGGTGGCGCCTCGGCCGATGTTCGTCATAGAGAACCCCGACAATGAGTGGCTCGGCAAGATCAGCACGTACGGCTGCATGGGCGCCGCGCGGAAACAGTGGCAGGCTCTCGGGGCGCTGGACTCGTTTGGGTACAGCCAGGTTGGGGGGCACAATCACTGCTCGTTCCCTAGTGCGCAGCAGGGGGAGCTGAACGCCTTCATCAACAAGTTCTTGGTTGGCAACGCGAATGCTGGGACAACAAACGTGTTCAGGACGGATCAGACCTATAACGGCTTCAGCATCGATTCTTGGTGTCCTTGGACGGTCCCGACGCTGTCTTAACTCATGTGGTCGTCGTGTTTGCGGGGGCATCAAGCATTGAGGAATTGAGGCGGCTCATGGCAATTACAGATTAGGATGATATGAATCTAATTACAGCCAATTGTCCATGTTAATGAACAGCTAAGTAGATGTTTGTCCTGAGCTGCATAAGGAGAGTAAGCCGTTGCTAGGGTTGTGTCGCTCCCAAGTCCTGATCAGTTGAATGTCTGCCTCGCTGCCCCAACTTCGGAAACCTTGGGAACCTCCCTGCCATCTCCCATGATATCCGTCACTGCTTTACCCCTCCACACGCTGCTTGCAGCTGCGTATTCTATACCAGCTATTCCAAATTCTCCACTCAGCTCGTATTAGAAGGGTTAGGTAGCAGTACCAAGCCCGAGCCTGAAGCCAGGCTGGCTTGGCGAGACCTGGTGCAAGACCATCTCGCTCAACCGCTGCTCGTCCTCCTCTGTGACGTCTCCCATCGCGGACAAGTCTGGGTATCTCTCCAGTATCGCAGACGAGTCTATAAACAGCAACGGCACCGTTCCCCCGATCATTCCGCGCCGAGAGTACCGAGAGTGGACGAACCCGACGATGACCCCCGTGGCGGGCACGAGCAGCGTGACGGCGAACCAGACGAACAGGCGCGTGAGCGACACGGAAGCCCGCAGGCGCGGCTGGGCGGGCTGGGCGGTCAGCATGGCTGCGTCGTCCTGGTCGAACGACGCGTGCAGCGAGTCCCAGTTGGCAAGGTAGGCGTAGCGGATCAGGGTGGCGGTGTAGTTGTCGAGGTTCTCCCACGTCGGCAGCAGCGACGTGTTCATGACGGCTATGTCGGCCATGGCGTCCGTCATCAGCCACAGCGCCTCCCGGGTCCAGATCGAGGGCTCGATGGCCGCCGCAATCTCGTCTTCGGTCGGCCGAGGGGCGCCGTCCGGGGCCGCGGCGCTGGGGTTGTACTCTACCACCTGGTCGGATACGAAACTGCTCTTGGGCGCCTTCATCACGCCGGCGGTGAAGTGCACCGTGCCGTACGTGTAGCATGTCTCGTCGACCGAGTTGCTGTCGGCGGGGAAGACGTTGGATAGATGGTTCGTGATGTATGACGAGCTGCCAAAGGCATTTGCCCGTACGGGAGAGCAATTCGTGTTGCGCTGCCGCGCGAGAAGTAGAAAGACAGTCATGCTACCGCTCCACTTTGTCGCTATGGGGAAGGTGGCCGTGGCGTTGTTGTGGTGGATTTTCACGGTTGATGGTGTGTTCCACCTCGGCTGGGAGCGGTTGAACAGAGCAGCGACGCCGCTCTGGATGTAGTCAAAAGGGTTGTTTCCGAACACCCCCAGCTGGTTGCCTTTTGACCATGCGTAGCCCCTGATATCGTTTGGCACAACTTCGGTGGGCCAGGTGATGTTGTGGATCTGGATGCAGGGCACCGTCGCATCCAGAAGCGTCGAGTTGACTGGCATCCGGTTCGGCATGACATGGCGGCATGTGACACCGCCGGGGCTTGTCACTGTGCCTCCTTTCGACAACTCTGAATCGGTTGCGCTCCACATAATGCCTGCCAGGCCGGTGGCTTGACGAACGTATTGTTTCCGGGTGATTCCTTGTGTTAGATACCAGAACCAATCTTGCGATTTCACCGTGACCGGAAGATTTGGCACCTGGATGCTCGGTGCGTAGTCGACGGCAAAGTTCCAATTCACGCTGCCCGAGAAAAGCGGCTCGATAAATGCCTGTGGGAAGATGAAGAGGAGCACGACGGCAATGGGCCACTCCAGCCCGCGCAGCCGCTTCAGCGGGCCAAGCTTCAGACCGCCGACTATCTGGCCCAAGTGTTTCACACTCAAACCGCGGTTCTCTAGCAGTATCAAGGCGCAGCGCCAGGCGAGGATGCCCGTCCACATCCCGGCGACAAAGTCGATCAACCTCGTAGCGACGGATAGGAGCGTTGTGATATCAGAAACTCGGAAGACGTAGTGGTTGCCAGGTTGGCTTCGAGGCTGCCAGTCGTAGGCGAGGGCCATGTAGCCGTTTAGCTTGAAGGCAACGGTGAGGGTGACAAGGAGGCAGAGCAGGACGTGTCCGACGAGGGGTAGCCAGATGTTAATGAAACGCTTTGTCTTGCTGGACTCGGAGTCACGATACGCGACTTTATTATGACCTGTCGGCGGTACAGATGCTTCGTTCTGCGTCTGTCATTAGTTTTCACACCACTGCGAGTTGAAAGGCAGGCGTGACCAACCTCCGCGTTCGGAACTAGCGGTTCCTGATGCATTTGGAATTGGCCCTTCTCCATCTTTGGTGAACAAAAGGAACTCGCGCTGGCCGGATAGAAGGCTCGGGGAGGAAGCTATATGAACGAGCCGCTCTGGACGTCGGGAAGTACTGGCTTGCAGATGAAGCTCCTCGAGCTGTTTCTGTAAAGACCCAGCAGAAGATGGTTGAAGAATCAATGCAGGTCAAGGCACCGTAAGGCCTGCACCTCGGGCATATATATAGCCACAATAGTAACAGTGAGAACATGGCGACAATCCGAGAGAGCTTGGCGCCAGCCAAGCATTGCCCCAAGTCAACCGGAAGTGTCTACGTCCAATCCCAGCCAATCGGCCGGCATCCAAAACTACGGATCCGTACATTTTGTGGCTTGACTTGACCTATACCAGTCGACCACATCCCGCTGTCGACGCACAGCAGTGCAGAGCGCAGCGGCCTCTTTGGGCACTTCCGATCCCACTGTGCATGAATAGGACCCGCAGGTTCCTCCGTAGAGTCTGTATCTCGCAGTAGCCTCCTGCAGACCCGGCCCTAAATTTTTTTTTTTTTTTTTTTTTTTTTTTTGTTTTGGTGGTTTTTGGCGATGCCACGTCGTTAAAAGTTGCCCACAGCGTTGGGCATCGTCACAGCGTCGGTATGGTTGTGGCTGTGGAATTGTTTGTATAGCAAGGGTCTTGCTGCCCATGCGGCCTAGCTACGTGCACCTGAGGTCTATGCGCCACAGGTTTTAACAGGCCTGAGAGGTTTCTGCAAGAGGCTCACCGTGGCGCAGTCTCAGAGTCGTTTTTTGCCACCACGGTTAAAATTGCCCAAAACATCGCAAAAGGGGTCCAGGCCAGAGAGGCGCTTTCTGAATACCCATGAACACTACGTATGGCCCCTCCCGTTGATTTAGTATCGCAATACCAATAAGCCTGTACTTTCGATGGATCTTCTGAAATCCGTCCAGTGGGACTGCCAATGGCCCAAGCTTGGGAAAGAGAGCAAGAAACAGCCACATGCGAAATAAGCTATAGTTTGCACTCCGAGGCATTACAGTCATGCGTCAAGCTCCTCTAACTTGAGTCTGATCCACAGGTAGCTGAGCTCTGGTCCAGATCCCTGTCGCTCACCACCATTGCAGGGGCAGGTCAGGGGTCAGCGGGCGTGGTGTATTTATTCGAGGTCGCCCCTGACACTTCAACTCCCTTGCCCTCTCACGACCCACACCTCATCGAAGCAAAATACCGTATCTCCCTCAATCCAAACATCTCAAACACCATCAAACTTTTCACAAGATGTCCGCGGCAGAAAATCCCTACCGAGCCTACGAAGCCCTCAGGGCCGTCCGGACCACGGTGGCCGGCGCATCCAACAGCGCCAAGCTGCTCTTCATGCCGGTGCAGGGCACCGTGCAGAGCGCCATCGAGATGCTCTCCGACCCCGGGGACCCAGACGCGCGGACGCCTTACTACGACCAGGCGGCCGGGACGTACCACCCCGTCAGCGCGCTGCCCATCTCGGAGCCCAAGGTGTCGTCCATCACCGTGCACGTGTCGGAGCTGGAGGACTGGGAGGAGAGCTGGCTCAACGTGCACGAAGAGCACTCGGAGCCGGACGCGCCGGACGCGTTCCCCGACGCGAAATGGGGGAAGATGAGCGGCGGTGGTGGTGACGAGGATGATGAGGATGAGGACGACGACGAGCCGCTGCTGCTTCGCTGCTGCAAGCAGGACCGGCCGTGCGGCAAGAACGCCAAACTGACGATCAAGCCCTCCAAGGCGTGGGACGGCCGGGACGGCGGCTTCGTCACCGTGCACGACTACGTGAGCGCGCTGCACCCGTGGCTGGTGCGGCTGCGGGGCGACATCCTCGGCGCGATGGGCACGGCGGACGGGCTGGACGAGCCGCTCGGGAACGAGACGGACCTGGTGGTCAACTGCGACGCGCTGCACAGCCTGATGATGGAGCTGCGGACGTCTTGGATTGGGCACAGGAAGGGGCTGCACGTCCGGGAGGCGGTTGGGGGCAGGCTCCGCACCAGTGAGATTGTCACGTCCGAGTAATGCAGTCCGTTTCACTTCTCGCACGCACGACTTCAACTCTTCGCAGAACGAACGACAGCTTCAAATGGATCATTTCTCTCGGCGTGTTATGGCCTGTGATTATATCAATTTCCAAAAAATTACTTTATACTAAGAATGCTGTAAGAAACATAGCCCTCAACAATCAAACCACCCCATCTGCGCCTTCGCAGTGGCCGTCGCACTCGCCGAAGCGCAGTACGCGCTCCCATACGCGATGACCGTGCTGGTGACGTCCGTCCCGCACGCGCCATTGGAGCAGTGCCTGAGCCCGTAGCCGAAGTTGACGTTGCTGCACAGGCAGTAGGGGTCTGGGCTCGCGCACCCAAGCGACGAGTACATGGCGACCATGTTGTTGAAGCAGGTCTGGCCGCATGAGGGCAGGGAGCTGAATGCGATGGTTGAGGTGGTAGATGTGGTGGTTGTTTTGGATGTGGGGCTGGCCGTGATGTGTGAGGTGGAGGAAGACGATTTGGATGTGGTCGAGGAGGCAGACGTCGTGCTAATGGAGCTGCAATCGCCGAACTCAGGCTGGCTGTACACACAATGCGGTCAGTACCAAGGAACAGACGATGGGATAAGACAAAAAGAGAAGCGCTCGACTCACCATCCAGCACCACAATCCGACGCCAGGACACCGCAGATGCCATCCTTGTTACAACACATGCCGTACACGACGTTGCAGGTGTAGCCGTTCTCGCCGCCGCACGTGCCGTCGGGCGTGTTCCCGCTCATCCAGTCAGGCGGCGTCGGTTCGGTGTTGGGAATGGTGCAGTTGCCGGAGAAGCACACGGAGGTGCCGCAGAAGTCGTCGCCCGTGCCGAGACACGTAGCGTTGACGTTCGGGGGGGCGCAGAGCTGGTCCGTGGCTCTCACGGGCTCGATGACTGTTCTCGTTAGTCTCGCGGAAGCTACAACAACATCCTGGGAGAGAGGCAACTTACAGCCATCAACGCAGTACTCGGTCTTGAGCTGAATGTTGCTGCAGTCCAGCTCAAGCGTGGGGTTCAGCGTGAAGAAGTCGTCGACGGTGATGCCATACTTGGTCGCCATCTGCGTACACGTGTAGTAGTTGACGGTGGCGCTCGTGGTGGCGGAGTAGCGGCAGTTGACATCGCCGGGCTGGATCTCTGTGTCCACAGTGGTCACCAGCGTCGTGCGAGTGCTCATGGTGCCGTTGGTGCGCTTCAGGGCCTTGGGGTTATAGGCCCCCTCCCAGCGTTTGACGTTCCATGTCGCCGGCTGGGCAGTCGTCGGCCCTGACGGCCAGCACGAAGAGGAGAGACGATGGAAACAGGCGCATCATGATGGGCAACGGCGGCTTCTCAGACCGTTGATACGGATACTGCGAGAAACAGGTATCCCGGTTTCTTTATTAAGCCGACCCTTTGTCCCAAGCCATACGGTCTCCACGAAGTGCTTCATGGTTTTCATATCTCTCGGGTCCGAGCCTGGATATTGCTTGAGGTAGCTTAGCAGGTCAGTTGCCATTCTCCACGGTTTTCTAGGATTTTTAACTTACGCGTCCCATAATCCTAAGTCCATATTGTACGCCTTCTTGCTCTTTGGATGTAATTTCCTGCGAACAGCGTGGGCGTCTATTATTGAACGGTCTGAGAGCCCATTTTTTAAGGCAGCTGCGATAACATCGTCTGGGTTAACGCCTCTCCTTCTAACAGCTTTCACTCCACATCTTTTCCTGTAGAGGTCCATGGGTGTATAGCTCTATGGGTCTATACCCAGAGAGTTGCAACGGAGAGTAGATGGATAGATTCGACGCCTTTGGCAGATGTGGGAAGTAGCCGTTGTTTAGGCTAGTTGGCGAGAACCAACGGACATCCCAAGGCGAGAAGACGCCACATTAATAGAAATCCGCTCGAATGAGATCCAATCCAAATAGCAAGACGTTACCAAGTCAGGGCTGTGCTGTGGTTGCAAGGGGTTGTTTTACAATCCCCCAGGCAGGCCGTTTTAGCCCCCCTCGGCTGCACTTGAAGATATTCACATCTTGCGCCAGGGGCAGGCTGCTTAGCGCCTGTGCTGGGTGTGCAGTCCCTGTGCTAGGGGTGTGTAGCGCCTGTGTAGCGCTGATGTTGGTCTCCACAAATCACGTGTGTTCCTGAGGGAGCGAAATGACTGGATTCGTCGTTTATAACAGTTAATATTCCCTAGGTTTAGCAACATCCCCTCCTTGTAAGTAGTCAGCCATCGTACGTACCCTTTCCGCGCCTCTCATCGATGCTCGGGGACCCTCGTCACCATCTCAAAGTCCGCAAAAAGTGAGAAATAGATGCAATTATTCGGCCATGGTATCCCCTTCTATCTGCAACGCTGTAATAGTCCTGTCTTGTTCTTGTCTTCGCCTTCTACTCCCAACCAGGAAGGGGCAGACCGCTCACTCTCTAAGAGCAGACCAATCACCTCGCCGTAAGGACGACCATCCAGGTCCAACCAACACGAACCCTATCTACAGGTTTAATGAACTACTCACGTCGGTAAGCAGTCACATGCCCAGGCCTTGGGCCCCCCTTTTCGGCGGTGTGGCGGCTCTCCCCACGTCCGCCTCGCACTGTCAATGGTCGAGGGTTTCCCAATAAGGGAGGTGGGAAATATTGCCTAAATGGGGCGAAAGAAGGTACAATCTGTGCGCCAATGTATTGATACAACGGGCCGTATTGTTAGGATTAAGTTTTGGGTGGAAAGAGGGGGCCTCAGTCGTGCCGAGGAGGGCATTTCCCTCGATTTGTGTGGTCGCACAGTTGGACCACGTTTATCAGAGTTACGATACTTGCTTACTTACACTCTCACGAGCCAGGATTCCAAAGATGCACGCATTCTCTAGGACAGTAACAATGAAGTATGCTAGCTCCAATGGATACAAGCAGATTTGTGGGGGTTGGGAGGTCAAGAATACAAGTGGTGTATCAAACCATAAATGCCAGGTTGGGGTGGGAAATGAATGTCAAGAAAAATCGCCGAATTATCCTCCTGCTCCTCCTTCTTAGCAACGGGGGGGGGGGGGGGGGGTTAGGTAGCTATCGAAAAACGCCTTTGTCTCTTTTCTTTGGGGTTCTCATTTTTTGGCAATTTCCTCTTCTTCCTCCTCCCCGAGCAGGGCGCGTTTGGACACGGATCTCACTCCCCTCTGGTCGACCACACAAAAAAGAATCGGGCGGAGGGTGAAGGTCGCCCGCCCTGGCTCTGGAACGGGGGATTCGTCTAGGCTTTGACGGCCATCTGGCCCAATGGGAGAGCCTTGAGCCCTGTTTGAAGCACGCAATGGTTAGCATCCCATATATCTATCCGGGATTGTTTGTGGAACTTTGTTTGGTTCGGTGTTAACTTACAGCCATCGACTTCCTCCACGGCCATCTGCTTCTTGGTGCAAGCGTTGTACTCAGCGGGCTTCTGGGCATGGAGACCGGCAGCCGGGCAGTCGTTGTTGAGGTTGCACCGGTTGTCCATGGCCTTCTGCAGACTGTCGCCCTCCCATCCGAAGACGTAATCACCGTGTGCTGCGGGACCGCTGGAAAGGAGAAAGGGGAAAAGTCAGCAAATCATAAAACCACAACTCGGGGTTTCTGTACTCACCCAATGTTCATGCTGTAGACGAAGGGCTTGGAGCCGTCGGTGGGCCACATGGACTTGTCGGCGTAGATGGAGACGTTCCACATGAGCTCGTACATGATCTGGGGGAGCTTGACGGGGTGGGTCGAGGGGCAAGAGCCGCCACCGTTGGCACCGTAGCCCTGGCCGTAGGCGACGTGGGTCTCGTGGTTAGGAGAGTCGAGGTTCTTGCCGTCCCAGCATCTGCAGTTTTTTTTGGGTCAGAATCTTGGCACGGAAGACGGAGAAGAAAAAGGACGGTTGGAAAGAGGGAACACATACGTTGGGAAGATGATGGTCTGGCGGATCATCTTGCACGAGGGGTCTGCGGGGATGTCGACAGTGTCACTGCCAGTGCAAGGAGCGCCACCGACGAACTGGTTGTGGTTTGTCGAGGTCCAGCACCGGTTGCAGATGTTGGCCTTGGTGACCTTGTTGGGGTCGGTGTTGGCGGCATCTCCGGCGATCATTCGGAAGCCCTAATCGAAAAGCAAACAGTCAGCTTTCAAAGTCTCCTCCCTTGGCGTATCAGGGGCACTTTGTTTAAGAGACCAACCTTCTTGAACGCGGTAACCTTGCCGTTCGGGATATAGTAGACATCGAGACCGCCGTTGTTGACGAGCGATCCCTGTGGCCCTCCATTGCCGGTCTGGGGAACACGGTGGTAGGAGCCGTTGCTCGACTTGAAGAACATGACGGCTGTCCAGTAGTTGGACTTGTCCTCGGTGAAGCTGCACGACGTGCAGGTAGACTGGCCGGGAAGATCGTGGGTATCAGGGTCCATGGTGATGTTGAACGAGTTTCCGCCGACAATCTGGTGGAGATGTGGGGAGAACAGCATGCCCGGGTTGGCGATGGGGTCGACACGATCAACGGTCAGCTGGGAGCATGCGAACCGAAGCATGTTCTGTGCGGCGGCATACTGCGCGAGCAGCGCGACGGCGACGAGAGGTGTCAACTGCATCTTGCTTGTGCTTGTGCTTATGCTTGTCTGGTGCTTGTGCTTGTGCTACTGCTTGGTCGACCGACGTTTGGGTTGCTTGCTTGACTATGACTGGCCTTGCGTGTGTTGACAGCGGCGAGCGTGCGTGACTGGAGACAACGAAAGAAGGAAGGGCAAGGTTCCCAACGAGGCCGGGAGACGTGTGTCGTACGGTTTTATTCTCAGAACTCCGGGGGAGCCTGCCCCTCCCCATCTTCCTCTCCGGGACGCCCAACTGCCGATTCTGGGGAAGATACTAGATCTTTGCTGTCATCTGGGGACAATATATCGATTGGGCTGGAATAGCCGGTCGATACATTAAGCCCATTCCTGTTGTTTCCCCAATTGCCGGAGGGCCGGTTCCCTGATTGTTTATTTTGGTGGTGTGCCTGTCAAGTGCCTTGTCAAAGGGGATTTAGCCTCCGGCTAAACAACCAAATAAATAGATCGCAAGCACCCGACCTATACCCGAGTCCTATAATAATGTAGCCCGTAGCCCGTAAGAGAACCACAGCGCATCATTCACTTAGCCCCCAGTCTTCACGCCAAGTCTAGACGCCTAGAGAGTCGATCAGGACTCGGGACGTGCCGGGTTTCTTTTTGGGTTGCTGATACAACCAACACGACCCAAGATGGAAACGCCTTGACACTTTGCCGCTGGTTTCCGCAGAGGCCTCGCGGTAACTTGACGATCGCCTTCGGCACCGGGGGGGCTCGTTCACTTCTTTTCCGGGAAGCAAAGCGTTTCGAGGCAAGACAAACCCGTCCAATTGTGTGGACGAGCAGTGTGGGTGATAATTAGTGTGGTTGTCTTTTTGTTTCTAGCCGGGGAACTCCTCAGGGAAGGCAAAAACTGAAGCAAAGCATTATCTCGACAACACCTCGCCGAATATAAGATTTAGAGATGGATTCACTCATTCGTCATGGTGCATACCACATGGTAGCATCAACTTTGCCAGAACAATCGGAACCTGGTCGAAGCCAAGTTGTGACTCCCTCAGCGTAGGCCGTTTTAAATTGCGGCGTACGTACCGCCATCGTGGTTGGATGGCATGGCGTCGGCCTAATACAAGGCGATGCTGCCCTAGTTGTAGATATTTGCCCCTCGGGGACCCTTCCCCCAACTCGCTGGCCATCCTTTTTCAGGCCCATAACCGGGTACTAATCAGGAGCATTCGCCCGAGCTAGGCCAGGAGTGGAAACGACATCGTGCTCATGGTCATATGACGATGCCGGAAATAAGAGGAGGGAGGCTTTGTTGTTGAAGATGGTGGCATTTTTTAATAATGTGCACGCTGTTGACAACCAAATTTGACTCTTCGTCGTCCATCCTCCATTTTCTTGCTCGAGATTTTTTTCCCCAGCGTGGCAACATTGGCAAACAATAATTAACCGTCATAATGCCGGATCCCGCGAATTCTGATTTTTCTCCTCCGTATAATAAGGACGATATTCCCATATATCGACAAGGACCCGCTCGCTGATGGGTTTTTCCTTTTGCAACGTAATCGATTATCCGGCCCTTTGCCACCAAACTACTTTGGTTACTGCGTCGTCGTTGCAAAGCTGGCAAGTTACCGCCATTAATTACACTCAAACACCGCTTCTATCAGTCCCGTGATTTATCACGCAGCTTCTGTTAAATCAACACTTGGCTGACAGGCTGAGGGTTGTCAAGTTAAACGTGTCGCATTCGGGGTGGACTCCACGATACGGTCGTCTAACCCGCAGCGGGCATGATCGCCAATCACATCATCTGCCTTGGCTGCACGAGCGGCAAATGTCCTGCTAGGCCAGGCACGGAACAAGGGGGGGGAGGGAAATATGGGGAAGGAGAAGGACAAGGCATGCAGCTCACGCACCCCCCCGTACGCCCGGACCGGGTATGCATGGCGTATGGTTCACGTTCTCCATGTGCCCCACCATCGAACCCCCCCCTGGACATACATACGGGTGACTGCCGCGTAAACTGCAAGGTGCCCTTTGGCCGCTAGAATAATCTAGATCTAACCGAGGTCGTTTAACACTAATTAGACGTCCATCGGTGAATGGTCCTGGAGGCAAAGGCCGTGTCAAACCCCGGTGCTATGTACAACAAACAACAGATACAACGTTGATGTTGCGGGAGAGATTGGCTCCCGCATTGCTCTCACTGTGATTATGCTTCGAGACCAATCAAGAAGCCACCAGATGTGTTCTAGAAGACCGGGTATATATATAGTGTTGGCTTCGCTCGCTTGCGAAAAGCCTGCTTCCCCCCCTGAACATTGGGTCACCCACCTTTGTCCCTTATCGGGTCAATGTCTGTGTGTAAGATGCTCATCCTTTCCTAGTACGTAGCCTCCCAAACCTGAAAATCAATATTTTCCTTGATGACTAAAGAGTCAACAATCAATAGCAGAGCCCATAATTATGGACTGGATACGGTGGTTATTCGGAGAACCGGTGCCGATCTAATTATCGATTGTCGTAATAATCCTTAAGATACGGCAACGGCGTTGAAAATCCAACGCGGTAGCTGAGAATAATAGGATCAAGCTCAATGTATGTGATCATCAACGTTCTGTCTCTTACGTCAAAACTTTCTCGCTGGGCTGTATGAACGTGCACTGCTGCGGGATCCCGAGGTAAAATACTGCATAGTATATTACTGTATGGAAAATGTCCCGTTTTCACAGGTCGCCGTTGGTGCAATGACGAAGCGTGCACGGCGCCACTGTCGGCTGGGGGGTTTTAAAGGAGGAATGTGGCGGAATTCATGTTCCAGGCAATAAGGTCCTCTCTATTTCCCCCGTCTACAGATACAACGATCAAACTCTGTCTGCCCACGGCAGAACTTTAATAGCCAACTCAAACAGGACTGTATCGCCAAGCTGCAGACATTGATTTAGGAGTCGTTCAAGGACTAGTGCCAGCAAAGATCGCCGCCGGTAACCGTCACGGCCCACGCTTTGCGATGATAGGCTTCATTACCTCGAAAGGCGAGCAGCCTATAGCCTCGCTTCTCGCATTTTGACTACGCAGCAGTGCCAAATCTCATATTGATTGCAAATTACCGTGGTCCTCCTGCGACAAAACATTACGAAAGCCATTCGTAATCACTCCTACCGCCCCGTCCTTGGGGAGGAAGAGAGTCCCATCCTTTCCCAGTTGCGCTAAATCCAGCGAGTCCGAGTCCAACCAGTCGAGAGGAAGGAAGAAATGTTCACGCAAAGTCCCCTCTTCGCTGCAGCTGCATATCCACCCGTTCTGGTCAATGAAGGCGAGTAGGGTGGGCGATATGCCAGTCGTTATACCGTATTTAGGCCCGTCAATCAGGCCCAAGGTTCTTCTGATCCTACTCAAAAGCTGCTGCGGATACTTTGTCGCCTTTATCCTCGCCGGAACCTCATCGGGCGTCGTCTGGAGATCAGCGATCCGGATGGAGAGAAGGTCAAAGTCCCTCGAGGTGCCCAATGAGGTAGTGTGAATAAGGATGCGTGAGCGATCCTGAGAGGGATATGTTTTGATGACTCGATGAGACCCAAGCGCAGCGACTGTGCCCACGAATACGCCGCTCGCGTCCGGAATCTGAATCTCGAAACTATAGAGTCGGCGCAGGTCCTGCCAGTCGAGAACATCGATGGTTCCTAGAGAAATTCTCAACAAAGAACCTGGTTTGAGGGGATGGTTGCTCCAATGACAGGGCCCGCTGATATTGCTGCGGGTCTCCGGTTCACAGCGTTCCCTGAATCGCCATGTCCTAGTTGAATGTTCGGAGACGATGAGAAGTGACCCGTCGTCTTCACTGAACAGGAGTTGGTGAATCGGGTCCTGTAGCTTTACCTCAGCAATTACGATCTGTCCTCCTTGGTGCTCCTGTTGTTGTTGCTGCAGGTGAGGACGGTGGTGGTTGCCGGGACTGTCCTCGAGGCAAATCTCGAAAATTCTAACCTTATAAGAAACGTCGGACACTGCTAAATACGTTTCATTGCTGCTCCATGCCATCTGAGTGACGGTATTCGTATAAGAAGCCTCAAGTCCGTAGACCAGGTTGCCAGTTGGACCGAAAACCTTGAGGTCGCCACCGGAATGAGCCGAGCAATGAATGAGCGATCGAGAACCAACGGCAAGTCCTCTGATTGGAATGCCGCTCACGTTTGGTTGACAAGGCCAATCTTCGACCGAGGGCGCAGCATCGACCCTTGCGGTAGTGAATAGATCATCGCCCATTGCGAGCCTGAAAAGCCGATCGGGTTCCCAAACATCACACGACCTCTCTCGAAGCACGTATATCCTCTTTCCATTGGGGCAGAGTGCCAAGCCCCTCATCTTCTCCCCAAAATCCTTGCTATGAATAAGTGAGAGGCCGCCAGTGTCCCAAATTTCCAATCGTCCTTGCTCATCGCTAGAGAGTAGGAGCGGCCTCGTTGAACTTGTCGAGATGAGAGCCACACCGAGGCGGATGAACAGACTCTCAACTTGACGGCGAGGGTACCAAGTCCAAACAGATCCGTTCTTTCGGACCAGTATAATGGTCTCGGAATCTGATGTCCAGTGGATATTCCTAATGCCGGCCTGCGGCTCCTCTCCATGATCCTCTGCTGGCTTGTCGGTCTGTCCAAACAGTCCACCCGGTGAGATCTTCCACGTGGACACTCGGAGACCCCCAAAAGAGGCAGCAATCTGAGTGGTGTCTGGATTGAAAGCAGCACAATTTGGCGGCTGTAGAAGCCCGTTGTCGGTTTCAACGAGTAAAGAGTCAAAGATCCTGCCGGATTTTGTTGATTCCAGGAGGGGAAATTTCCAGATATCACCGTTTTTACCACACGCCAGAATTCCCATATCATCTTGCTGAAATGCCATGTCCAGTATCTGTACCATTGGCGGTGCCTCAAAGATCCACGGGGATAGGGAGGTGTCAATCTGCCAGACCTTGATCGTTGTGTATCCGTAGGTTGCAAGCATGTTGCCCGAATTGCTGAACCGCATCATCTGGATAACCTCTCCGTGAGAAATTGTCTTGATCGCCGATAGCGTAGAGGCGGAGATTATTGTGACATAGCCGCCTAAGGAGGCCGAAGAGATCGCAATACAGCGGCTCGTGCAGAGAACCTCTAAGGGCGGCCTCGGCGCTGTGAGCCGGGCTAGTGTATCGTCCCAGGTTTTGGGCAATGTGCCTTTCACATCAATCCAAAAGGGACGGTGCCGGTGCCGGCGAAGAAGGTATTGAGTGCGCACATAGGACGACTTGGGACAGAATGGCGGCACAACGTCGTAGATAGCGCTGGGGTGTCGGCGGAGTTGACTCCCAAACTTCCCGAAAATCCTCGTCAACTCTACAGCCCCTGACTCGAGAACCCCATTTATGTCGTACTTTCGCAATGCCGTAGGACTGGAGAGGCGGAGAGCATGTAAGGCGGTCGCAGCTGACACCATCAGGCTTAGCTGATCCAACGTTGCGAGAAACCGAATCAAACCGACAAGTGCAGATCCGGTGAGCAGTTGCTCAATCGAGTCCAGAGTCTCCCTGTCTACTTCTTCCACAGAGGCGCGAAGATGATAATCCCAGGACGTGATCGCGTAATTGAGGAACGAGTCGTCCCCGGGAATGACGTCCTTCTGGTCCGCATTGGCCTTGAGGATGGTTTCCAAGCAGACCTTCAACAGCGATTTTTGACCGGACGGTGGAGTTGGACATAACCTATGAACTTTTCCGTCGAGGAGAAACGTTCGCGCGCTTCGGTGGCGAAAACGGATGAGGGATAGTTTATCGACCAACACAAACGCCTCGCAGAGCCGCGGTATGTCCTTCAGTTTGAATCGCGTTGGCATTTGATATTCCAAAGCTTCACAGACCTGTTTGACCGTAAGAGGGGACCTGGCGTAGAGTACCCACGTCAGGAAGCCCTTCGCAACGAAACGTTCGTCACCTCTCCACTGCGAAAACAGCTTGGATGCGACGTCCTCCCACAGGGGGTTGAATGTCACTTCCGCTTCGCGCGTTGCATCGGCGATAGAAAACTCTCCGTAACAGTCGAGGAGGTTATCGATGACTATGCTCGCCCACTGGAAGTTCCCTTGCGCATCCTCCAAGATTTGGCCAAATAGCGGGTGTGATCTGCCGATTTGTGTCTCAACAAACAATGCCAGAGCATTCTGCTTGGCAGGGACGGTGTCCAAGTTGACCACGGTTGTCCCCAGTTGACAAAGAGTGGTCGAAATTACCTGTGTCCACCGGCTCAAGACCAGTATCCTAAGCGGGATAAAGGAGAGCGACAGTTCCTCGAAACCCAAATTGGACGTGTTGACCGAGCAGATGTCAAGACCGTCGATGACCCAGTAGATAGGGCTCTCGCAAGCATTCTCGGGTTTTGCAATTCCATCGACGAAGAACTTTCTCCAGAGCATCTGCGCCGTAACATGGTCCAAACTTTCTGCCCGGCAGGCAAGTCCCACGATGTGATTGTAGAACTGCGTCGAGTGCGCTGCAAATTGAACTGCGAGACACTTGATGATGGAAATGACGGAATTTTTCGACGGGTCCTCTTCCCGGAAAAAGAAGTATTGGCAAGGCTTTCGAAGATGCTGGATGCGTTGCACGATCTGGGAGGCCAGGACTGACTTGCCACATCCGGGCAGGCCATGGTACCAAAGGAACTTCGGATGTGAGGAGGCATCGCTCAGCAAACCCCCGAATTCCGGGTCAGATTTGATCCAATCGCATGTGCCTGGCATACTCTTCTCGGAAAAGAATAAGAGGTCCTCCTCCGGGGCTGCTCGTGTTCCAAGCCAATCATGGAGCAAACGGGTCTTCTCCTCTGGCCGTAGCCTCCAGACGTTATTCTTCCAAGGTCCAGAGTCGTTGATGCATCGCTCCAGTCGGCTCACAAGTTTTGAAAGTGCGGAGTCCTTCCTGTTTGGAAATCGCACGATATTTCGGTGGTCTTTTTCCATCGGGACCACCTCTTCTCCGCGAACACCCAGAATCGATGATTCCCTGTCCACTATAATCTGCTTACATGAATAACCCGTGCTTTTCGCTGGGTAGAGAGGACCTTACCATTGCTAACGGCCAGGGGCCGGTTTTATGCATTTCATAGAAGGTCGTAATGCGTGGTTGTCGAGGCAGATTTTTGAATTTGTTGTTGGTTCTCTCCAGTTCCTCGCAGCCTGGTTTCAAGGCCTTCAGATACGGCTCAACCTTGAACCCGGCAACCTTCGATCCCCACAAGAACATGTTCGCAACGGCTGACCCTTTGTGGGGTGTACCAAGGAAGAACACGGCAAATATTGAGTTGACGATGTCGCTATACGCCGCATCATTGGACCCGGTAACGTACGCCTGTTCCTTGTCAGCTGGTACTGACTGAGTCTGAGGTCTGGATAGCTAACTTCTTTAACCAGTAAACCGCCCATTGAATGAGCTACGAACACAACGGGTACCTAAGCCCCATCAGAATCGAAAATTCCAGGTGTACCAGAGAGCCCGGCGGCGCAAGAAAACACCCACGTCTGTCCCCTCGTCTCTCAAGCGACACAAAAGGTCGATACCGAAATCTCCTATTCCGGCCACCGATTTGCGGGACAACGTCTTGAAGCCAGGGGCAGAGTATCCGTAACTCCAGATTCGAGCCATTTGAAAGGGTGCCTCGTCGCATATTGCCCGAGGCCAAAAGAACGGAGAGTCGTTGCATTTCCACGTATCTCGACTCTTCCCACCAAGTCCATGGACAAGAATGATGTCTATGCAAGGCGGCCCATGCTTAGGTTTGTGAATGATACTAAGGCCAAGGGGATTGTCCTCACGAATATCGGGCGACATAGGTTCCATCTCGCTCGGCGGAGCGCCAAGGCACTCAGTATGTCGCGGGAAGAAACCACCCACACATGGCGAACGGCGAAGAGAGGGAATAAGAAGAGGAGGGATGGAAGAAGTGCGCGACTAGTGAAGCTACAGGCTTCCTTAGTACGCAACTAGTGACGCCACATGCGTCTTCATACACACGTGGTTGGATCTCATTTTCCAATCTGTGTTCTACCCCGCGGTGACAAGAAGTTGGACTAGGGGTGAGACGGGCGTTGTACGATTGTTATTGGCCTGTGCCTTAGGGCAGGCCAGGGGTCACATAACCTATTTGTAATCATCCCGGCCGACCCCTCGACACCCGTCACGCGACACAGGAGGGAGGACAAACATGGCCCTTAGCATTGGAGGCGTCCATCTGTGTGAAGATGCCATCTCGAGTAAGGCAAAGGAAAGGACCCAGATATCTCGAACAAACAATTAACTTGCAAAAGTGTTTCCCAAAGGTTCGCAGATCCTCGACGCTCGACCTCTCCCGTCAGGGCGGACGCACAAGTCGCGTGTCGAAATTCGGCTTGCTAGCGGGGCGGTTCAGCATTATTATATAAAGGCAAGAGCTGCGCATTCCTCCGCGGCGCACCTGAACACACGCATCGCATACTGACGATCGCGTGCAGCAGGCCATGGACACAGCGGGGGCCGAATCGCTTGCGGGCCAATCTGCAGCCCTGGCCACGATTTCAACGCTGGAGGCAACTCTGGTGCCCCGCAGACCGACCGAGGCGGGAGACCGACCGAGGCGGGAGACCGACCGAGGCGGGAGACCGACCGAGGCGGGAGACCGACCGAGGCGGGAGACCGACCGAGGCGGGAGACCGACCCCTAGAGAAGACCCAGGAGAGAAAGACCCAAGCAGCGAGAAAGAGAGAGTTGTGTGAGGAGGAGGATTTATACGAAACCGTGCGGCGGCGCTGCCTTGTTATGGAGTTCGTGGTCATAAGCAAGACTCTGCCGTGCGCCCAGGACCTGTGTGCCCGCATTGCTGCAATTCACCGAGGCAGTGTCTCACCGGAGGAGGGTTGTTTTGGGTTTCCGACTCCCAGTTACCTTGGCGGGTTTTCGCTTCCAACCCAATGGGAGCGTAGCTGGGCCACACTTTTCGCAAGAATGCTACAGCGCCTGTGCGAGTTCGAATCCGAGCTTCATGGGCCGTGGCTGAAGGACGAAGATAGCTTCCGGACTCTCCTCTCCCAGACAGTACCGCACCTTCTCTCACCTCTCCAGAGGGGTGACCGGCCCATCAAACCGTGTCTTGTGCATGGCAATTTGTCGGCCGACCACATTGGGGTTAATATGGCTACCGGAGAGCCAGTTGTCTTCAGTCCTTCCCCACTCTATGCTCATAATGAGTATGAGTTGGGCATGTGGCGACGAAAGATTGGAATGTTTACCCGGTCCTATTTTGAAGAGTACCAGAAACACATTCCCCCGTCTGACCCGGTAGAGCAGTGGGACGACCGCATCCGCCTCTACAGTATTCACTTCAATTTGGCCTGCGTTCTTACTACGCCAAGAGTCCCTGATGTTCAAAGACAGTGAGTCAATTCAACCTTTCGAGCTTATAGCTACTAACCCGTGCCAAAGAATCCTTGAGGACATTCACTATTTGAACGAGAAATTTCCCCCGAAAGATATTGACGGGCTACCTTCAGCCGGGCAGTCGCGGCGTTGAGACAACGGCGGGACGTGCGGAAAAGGGGATGGTATTGGTAAAGCGAGTAGATATAACTTAGTATGTTCCACTGCATGCCTTCTTGTGTCTCATAATTCCACGCGCCCCCTCCAGGCCAATGAGATGTAAGAATATTTTTTTAGCTCTCTGCGAGCTTAGAAATCCCAGGACTTCATACAAACCTGTGTACGGCCACCGTAGGAATTTCTACCGAAGTCCGCGGCAGACGTCCGAAGGCACTGTTAGATTTGCCCGAGACAAATGGTTGAGACATGGCCCCAAACGAAGCCGGTGAGCCTCAATGCAGGGACAAGGGGCTGAATGATTCCATACTTCCCACCGGCCAGTTTAATGACACCGAAGGGGGGAAATATTTGATCAGTGCGCGTAAAGGCTGATGTTCGAGGTAGTAAATAATTGGCCAGATTGAACATACATTTCCATACACCGTCTAGTCTATCTTTGCATCTATAGCGGCGAGGCCCGCAGTGACTGAGTCTGAGAAGAATTAGGAGGTGGCGATGCCGCAGGCTCAGATGTGGCTTGATCACAAACCTAGGCAAGAAATCTCGAGCATCCTGCTGGGATCCATGAGCACAAGATTTGTCATTTATAACATACTAAACACCCGAAAGCATGGAAACTACAAGACTACGAGAGAAGCTGCACATTCTAGGCGAATCAGAGAGCCCAACAAAATAAATAATGGCAATTAAAACACATCGTGAAGCCCTCAGACTTCACCTTCAGATAATTTCGCTATCGTTAGAGAAATATCGAATAAACATAAGCCCTCGTTGGTCATACAGGCGTGAAGTAAGAGAAACGATGGAAACACCAAAATGCTTCCCAGGATGCATGTGGGCTAGAAGAACGTAAAAGCCAAGCCGACCAAGTAGGCATCAGCAGAATACCCGCACAGCCTTGCAGACATCAGTGCTCGCACAGGTTATACTGCTCAAACCTCTCCTCCACCGCCTCAGTCATATGCGTCCTCTCGCGCATCAGCTCTCGGCGCAGCTCCTCCGCCTCCTCGCGACCCATAGGCCACTCTCCGACATTCCGCCTAACCATATCGACAACCTCCTGCGGCAGCGGCCCGAGCCTCACGGTGTCGAGCCCGCGCTCGGCCCACCAGTCGTGGCGCTGCGGCGGCACGTTCGCCGTCGAGCACACGCGGTAGTGCGGGTCGACGAGCCAGAGGACGACGAAGCGCCTGTGGCCGGGGCGGGCCGCGTCGCGCAGCTCGAACCCGCCGACGCTGTGCTGGAGCGTGTTGGGGAAGACGAGGAGCCGGCCGTGGCGGGTGGCGACGTGGCCGAGCTCCTGCACCGCCGGCTCGTCCTGCAGGTTGGGGACGCCGAAGACGGCGCAAAGGTGGTCGTGCTGGCCCTGCTCGTAGACGAGCTCTACCTCGTCGAGGACGGCCTCCTGCCGGAGGAAGAGCTGCGAGTCGGTCACGTTGTCGACGTCGTAGTAGTAGATGGCCGTCGCGACGATGTGCTCGTTCAGCATCCCCTCGAGGTGCCAGCTGCCGCCGTCGTAAGTCGGCTTCTCGGGCGTCAGCTCGATGGACGCGAGCTTCACGATGACCTGCAGCCCCTGCTCGCGGAAGGTGTCTTCGAGGCGGACGTCCTGGAAGCTGAAGTTGTCGACCTCACGATTCCGACCGCCACTCCAATCAGCGGGTGGCACGACCGGGGTCTGGACGCCTTCCTTCCACTGCTCGTAGGTGAAGGACTCGCCCGGCTCCGGATGCACGACGCTCCGGATTCGCTTCCACTTGCGCTCAATGGCATTGCCCAGCGCCGCAGGGACGTCCCACGTGGCCGAATTCGGATCCTCGCTCAGGCGCTTCACCCGGGCGTCCAATCTCTCGAACCAGCCGTCGGCTTCCCCTTCCTCTGCTGCTCCTCCTCCTTCCTCATCTTCCTCCTCGTCCTCCTCGTCGTCCGAGTGGGCGACAAAGTCGGGATTTTCAGGCCGCGACAACCAATCCTTCACCTTGGCCATGAACTCGGGATACCCCTCGTCGGTCGAGCTATTGGGCCGGCAACCCCATTCGGCCCAGTCGGGCATCTCCACGTCAAACCCGGCGCCAAACGTCTTGATGCGGACGGGGGAGCGGCCCCCGCCTTCCTTGGCGAGCACATCGTTCCAGAGTGGGATGGACAGGCCGATCAGCTTCTCGATGGTGCCGTAGAGGGGCTTGTGCTTGTCGGGGTGCAGGTTGTTGATGTACGACGTGATGCGCATGTCGGTCCCGGTGTCGGCCGCGAACTCGACTTCGCAGGGTAGCCATTGGAAGCGCCACGACCAGGTGTCCGAGGTAGGGCGGTTGTGAGTGCGCGCTACCGTGCCCTGGCCGCACGAGGCGAAGATGTTGGACAGGTCGACGCGGCCACCGTTCTGGAGAACCTCCGTCTTGCCGTACACCAGGGGATACAGGGACGGGTGCACCAAGTTGAGAACCTGATCGTTGGAGCCCGGGTGCCAGTCTTTCTGGTGGTCGGGCACTTGCAGCAGCGGCTCCACGTTGGAGAGCAGCTCAGCCTGCAGCTCGGGGCCGACGATGACGTCCGATTTGACGCAGCGGCTCCCCGTATCGTAAGTTATGACCTTGCCAGTCTCCTTGAAGATCCGGGCCTTATCGCGCAGCTCAGTCACGCACCACTCCCAGGCCTTCTCGCTAATAAGGGGGATGAGAGTGGCCTCGGCGCGCCACTTGCCGACGATTTCCTCGTCAAAGATCTTCCGGTCCCACTCTGGCTTGTCCGTGATGGAGTCCATGAGCCGCAGCATTTGCAGCTCTCGCACCGTCAGCCGCTCGCCGTGCCACTCATTCACGCCATGCGTGAAGCGACAGTCGGGGAGAAGATCATGGTCGATTTCGATCCCACTGAAACCGGGAACGATAAGTTCTCGATTGCCAGAGTTGTCGAAATTGGGAATTCCCTCCATGGCGTCTTGCGAGGACATTCAAGGAGGATGGAGGAAGAAGTCAATGTCGAAGTCAGAGACGCAATATTAATAAAGTTTAAAGAGTCTCCCAATTCCACAAGGAGTGCAGTTCCTAGGTGCCAAAAGGCACTTAACCGTTTCGGGCGCTAGCCGAGGAACGAAGAGGCTTGGCGGCTTGAGCTGCCTAGAGCTGCCTAGAGCTGCCTAGGACTGCCTAATTGGCAGCGGGTCGGCCTTGGAATGGAAGCTTGCAGTTGGCTGTGAGAAGAGCTATGAGAGTTATCTTGAGATTTATTATTACTCTCTTAACAACCTCGCACCAAGATTATTCACGCATTGCTCTCTTGCCTCGGGTCCGTACCCAACCATGCTTTCCCCACAATGTCGCAGCACGGATGTGTCCACGTGACAGGGAAGCTAATAAGACAAACAAGACCAGCAAAACCGGAGTAAAACTGCACTACTACGAGGGATGAAATAGTTAGATCTGCGTGCGACTCGAATGCGAAACCTCTTTTGTTTTTTTTCTTTATTTTTCTCCCTCCCTTGAACGTCGACTTATCATTGAAGTTGAGGAGTTATGGCTTGCGTACAATGCTGGTACCAAAACAAGAGGTGGTGGGCCCTGCGTCGCGAGGACACGGACCACATATGGTGCCTGCCCCTCATGGCTCCCAAAGAGGCAATTACAAAGAATTGTCAACTCAAGAATCATTATCAGCCCATTTGTCAGCACTGACGTGATTTCAAGCATTCCGGGGATTCATATGGGGGCATCACACAACATTCGCGATAAGGCGTCAAGCTGATGTCTCATAAATACCCGTATGTTTTCGGTTCCTCAATCCTAATGATTATTCAACTCCCCAGAGCAGCCATAACATTGACAACAGCAACAACAACAGCTCTCCCACTTGTCCGCCGACTGTCCATCGCAAGGATGACGACACAGGTAAGCTTTCCACACATAATTTTGAATGAAATGTACTGAATTAACACTTCTCATAGTCGTATCAGCGAAACGGAAATTTCACTCGGCCAGACAGTGCCTTCCGCCGCTTCATCTCCAAAGATCCCACATCCACATTCCCGGCTGAGAAGGGCAGATATGCGCTCTATGTGTCCCCGGGATGCCCATGGGTACGTCATCAAGCCAAGATGAGAAGCAAGGAAAATATCGTCCTCTTTGAATCCTAATCCTTCTTTCCCTCTGCCCAGGCCCACAGGACCATCATTGTCCGAATCCTCAAAGGCCTTGAATCCTTGATCGATCTGTACCTGGTGCAGCCGAGGATGGGTCCGGAAGGGTGGTATTTCAGCCATGAGGGCGATCCGCTGCACGGGTTCAAGACGCTCAAGGAGCTGTACCACCTAGCCGACCCCAACTTCTCGGGCCGGTATACCGTCCCCGTGCTGTGGGACAAGAAGACGGACACCATCGTCAACAACGAGTCATCGGAGATCATCCGCATGTTGTATTCCGAGTTCGACCATCTGCTGCCGGACCACCTGCGAGAGCCCAACCGGCCCGGCGGCGGCCTCTACCCGGAGAAGCTCCGCGAGGAGATCGACGCCATGAATGAATGGGTGTACAACACGGTCAACAACGGCGTGTACAAGACGGGCTTCGCAACCACGCAGGAAGCCTACGAGAAGAACGTGTTCCCGATCTTCGACTCCCTGGACCGGCTCGAGGGTATCCTCGGCCACGGGAAGCCCTACCTGCTCGGCGACCACGTGACCGAGGCCGACGTCCGCCTGTACACGACCATCGTCCGCTTCGACGTCGCCTACCACCCGGTCTTTCTCTGCAACCTGAAATCCATCCGCCACGACTACCCCCGCCTCCACCTCTGGCTGCGCCGGCTCTACTGGGACGCCGACGAGGACGGCGAGACCCGCGGGGCCTTCTTCAAGAGCACGGAGCCGTACCTGAACCTGTATGGCGGCGGGTATGCTGAGGCAAGGCATAAGATTGTTTTTAAAGACGCGGGGCCGCTGGTTATCCCGGCCGGGCCTGCCGTCCTCATCGAACCTCTCCCTTAAGATGGGCAGGGAGTTACCCTGCTTGTGGAGGGTATTCGGATCTGTCTTTCCCAGTTCTCGGTAACACGATCCTTAGTTCCGCATAAATGCACCCTGTGCGAAACGCTGGTGTCATCAGCCGTCACAAGTTCACAAATTAGGGCCTGTGGCTTGGTTTCGAGCGGTATCTTGTCTTGCATGATGGTTGATTCACACAAGCCTCTACGGCATCTGCACCAGTATGACAGTCCATGCTGTTTAATCGCTAATTTAAGCCACAAGTTCCACCGTGCCAATTCCCGTCCTCGTATCCGTCGTAAGACCGACCAAGAATAACAGGAGACTGTGAACATACACTAGATACGAAGTTGGGGCCTCAGCCAGTCTCCCAACCATGCATTCCAAGTCCCGGACTCCCATCCCCCACCCCCTCGTTGGGATCCTCTCCATCCATCCCACTTCTCTAGACGCATTGGTAGTAGTAAGGAGGCGACACAGCGCTGCAAGTGGAGCCCGACTAATCACAATCTTCAGTCAGCAAACTTATCCCCACAACATCGCCACCAGGATCGTGAACAACAATCGAATCCCGGACAAGGAGACTCACCGCGCAAGTCGTGCATCCCGTGTAGCCAGTCCCGCCGCACTGCTGATACTTCGCAACCTGGCAGGCAGGCGGCGAGCCGCCGCCATTGCCGGGGGGGTTGGTGCCGCCATTCCCGCCGGTGGGCTGCGGGGCGCTCGACACGCTAGAAGTCGGGCCGGAGCCAGCCTTGCAGGTGGACTCGCAGCCGGTGCATGCGGATCCGGCCTCCCTGGTCTTCCCGCCGGCGTAGACGGCCGGGCCGGGCGCGACGTAGGTGGAGAGGGCGGCGTGGATGTTGACGAGGATGCCCGGGTCGCTGGCCTTGTAGGCGCCGGGGAAGCTGACGGTGGCGGGCTGGGCGGATCCCGAGCCGCTGACAGTCAGCTGGTAGCAGGACATGTACAGCTGTGCGCCGCCCGAGGAACCCGCGGTGTGGAGGGCGATGACCTCGGCGCGGAGGAGGTAGTCGCCCGGGGCGATGTCGGAGGGGATGACGACGTTCATCTTGCCGCAGCACGTGTTGAGGTCCTTGGTGCCCCAGTAGTCGTCGTCGCCCGATCCGCCCGACGGGTTCTTCTTCCATGAGTCCTGGAACACCTTGAACCAGCCTGTGGAACCGTCGGCTGTGGACGAGTCCGGCACCTTGGACATGTACACCATCAGGGGGCCGTAGTGGGCCCCGCCGATGGCCTCGCTGCCGCAGGTGCGGTCGTTGGGTTGCTTTTTGGGGGAAAGAGAGGACCTAGTCAGAATACCGGAACAAACCCAGCCAGTCCGACCATCAGCCGGCCTGTTGGGGCTGGGTATCTCACCTGGTGCATCTCAACTGTGACTGTTGATCCGGCCTTGACGGGGCACTTCTTATTCACGGGGCCCGAGTTGACATTGCACCTCACGTCCTTGGAAGTAACATCGGTGACTGGCGAGTTCGACAGGGGGTTACGGACACACTGGCCTCCGTGCTGGTACAGTCAGTGCTGTATACAACCCCAATACCTTCACGGGGCACTTATCATGTCAGTTCCATCAACCCAGAGGGCCTGGAAGGTGGCGTGTGCGGCAACATGCTGGCCGAACAACACGGCGGCGGCGGCGGCGGCGATGGTGAAGGACTTCATGGCTGCTGACGTGTGTGTGTGTATCGTAATTAGTCTTGGCTTGTTCCTCGACGACGAGAAAGTTCAAGGACTGGTCTACACTTAATTATACATCTCTCCAGGTTGTCCCTTGCCGACGCTTTGGTCAGCTACACCAACAGCTGGACAGGAAAGGTTCCGCATGCTACGCCCACGAGCCTTCCACTTCGCTCCGTCAAGGTGGTAGCCAGTGGCTCCTTGTGACCGAAACAAGACTTCTCCGCGCCGAAGATGCTACCCAAAGCGATGGGTCTGGGTTCGGGAAGTTTCCATTCCCAGATTTCCAATGGCTGCACGGACGCGACGATTGGTGGATGGTCGGCGGTTAATCTACTGGGTAATTTAAAACGGCTCGACGGAATCCGCCTGCCGTCCCCCCCACGAGCCCAGAAACCGGGTTACGGTAGATGACGCCCCGTCACGATTAAGGTGTAGTCTACGGGCCTGCACGGGGTCAGGGGTGCTGACTCGGCCCTCGACGCGGTCTATCGCTCCGTTTGCCAGGTTCAAGCCATGCATTGCTGTCGGAACCAACAGAAATTCCCGGTTAGTCCTAGCATTGGTCTCACCTGCCTGCAATTATTTATTAATCGACCAGCTGCGGTTACATTTTGTAGCGGCGCTAGGAGGGAGCACAACCACAACCAGCAACCCTCCAAATGGTCACAACAGAGGACTGGTGCTAATCTAATAAAGCCCAAAGCCCGCCCACCACCACCAGTGCGTCCATGGAATTGAACCGAATCGGGGAAATTCTGAGACGATCAGCTGTTCGCTCCTCACGGAAATCGGCACGGCACCGAGAAAAAAAAGCGCAACATATTTGATACATGCCCAAGCTCACAGACCAAAACTAATCTCAGGAGGCAGGCCTTGAAACTTCCTACTCCGGCTTCATCCATGTTGAAAGCAGAGTAACCCCCGACGACAGTATGGATTAGTAAATCACCACCCAGGCACTAACTCAAAGGAACCAGCCAGTTAAGATTTTTCGTGTTTCCCTCCCCAACAACGCTAAATAAATAGAACCCTCCTCGCGACATCATCGTCGTCGATAGAGTCGCCTCAATCCCTTCACCCCTGGTTTCCTTCAATCCAACAGTCCGCGAGCACACGCTCACGCTCACGTTCACGCTCACTCCTGACTCCCGACCCCGTTGCTGAATAAGGGGCCAATAATTAGCTACAAGAGGGTTCGGGGTGCCGACATCCGGAAGGGTGCAGTGATTACAACCCCATACAGCCAAACCCACCCCCACGAAGTCGTGTTGAAGTCGTCAAGCATCCGGAGTGGTGTTTTGCTGGCAACCGGACCACCCTCGGCTGTGCCATTTCGGATTCCAGTCTTCCTAACCCGCCGTTGCAACCCTGTACCGATTGATGCCCTTAGAGCGTAGGAACCTGCAAGTAAATCTGAATAGGTCGCATGAAGGCCTCTGACGGGACAGGTTGGGTGGTCGTTCAAAGGGGGATTCAGGGGCTAGGCGGCCTGTAGCATTCTACTTATTATCCCTTTTAGCTCGTTACCACCGTTATTTATAAAGTGGGATATGGGTTTCCAAAGCAGAAGTTGAATATTTAGTTCACTTCTGGCCGGCTTACCCAGGCTGCGACCCTATGACTGTGTCGCGGCCTAACACACCAACTAGGCATAGGTCGGTTGGAAGTAGCAGCAACACCGGGACACGGGCGATGTGAGATCCGAACTTCGTTTTAGATGATGGGGAAGAGCAGGTCAATAGATCGAGACATGGAATAAGGAAGAGATTCTGATTAGAGAAAGCCAAGAAGTAATTAGACGACATAGGATGACCCCGCAACCGGCGGACTGATGTTTTTATATGTATCTAATTATGTATGCCTCGCGGGACAATCCCTTTAACATGCTGTCTTCTTTGCCAAGGCAGTTGAAGTGTCTATCTATCCATTCCATGTGTATGTATGTACAATGCAAATTATATGAGGCTGGAGCAAAGTACCATCAGTTGCGTCCACTCCTCCTGTCTAAGCCCAGAGACGCCATTCGACGGAATGGAGCCAAAGGGGGTGAGTGAACCAAAAGCCCAACCTAATCGAACCTATTAATAAGCTTATGCCTAACAGTGAAGCTCCTCGCCCTCTTCCCAAAGATATACATGGGCACCGTCAGCAGCACCGTCCCAGCCGTGATGCCGCCCAGGACGAAGAAGCAGTTCCGGACACCCTGGACGGCGATCCAGTCGTTCGCGTAGAAGGTGAGGCCGAAGGCGAAGGCGTTCTTTGCAAAGTTCATGGCCGCGAACGCCTCGGCCGCCTGCTGCCGGTGGCAGTCGACGATGTAGGTCAGGGCCCCCGTGGTGCCGAGCTGGACGCCCAGGTTGACGAGGCCGAGGCACACGATCACGGGCACCGGCCAGGGCTTTTCCCTGTAGAGGGCCTCGCCCCACGCGAAGAAGCCCGTGGCCGTGAAGAGGAGCGCCGTGACTAGGACGGGTAGGCGGAACTCGGGTTCTGTTGCGTCGGTCGGGTCAGCCCAGCTTGTCGCTTGATACATGTTATTAGGTTGGTTGATAATCACGTACCGAATGTGCCCTTGTTCCTCCTAGACATGATCTTGACGACGCCGTCGATCAGGGGTCCCGCAACAGCCGTGCCGATGGCCGAAGCAACGAACGAGGAGAGATTGGACGCCCCCACGGCGGCGATGGAGAAGTTGTATGGCGGGGCGGAGAAGATCTGCGACAGGGTGATGGAGATGAGGACGAGCCACGAGACGAGGATGGTGTACTGCATCGTTGCCCACAGGATCATGGGCGAGAGGAGCATCATGAAGGGCCGCAGCAGGGTCTTCCAGAACGAGGCCGGGTCGTAGTACCCGCTGTACGGGAGCATCTCCCGCAGGAACGAGTGCGGCTTCTCGTCGCTGCCCACCGCGGCGGGGGGTTCGTGATGCTCGGTGGTGGAGTCGTGGATCTTCTCCTTGATGACGGCCTTGCCATCCTCGCCGGTGTCGATGTTGATCACGCCGACTCGGCTGTACGCGGACTCGGGCATGAAGAGGACAGTCATGATTACCTGTAGGGCAAAGGCGCCGCCCATGGCATGCAGGCAGATCTTGTAGGAGCCGTATTGGATGATGGAGCCAGCTGCAGTCCCAGCTTGTCAGCGTCTGCCTGGGAGAATAATTATCAAGTTGGTCCGGGACAGCTATGCTCACCTATCGGGGAAGCCAAGTTGATGCCACCGAGGACTCCGAGGTTGAAGATGGCAGTGCGGTAGCCTCTCTCGTGGACAAACCAGATGTCGGCAATAGAAGCCGGGATCAGGGCCTCCATTGGGGCCATGCAGAATCCTTGGATGGCGCGGGCAGCGGCCAACGACCCGAAGCTCTTCGCCTCGGCAGCCCAGAAGCAGGTGACCATGAGACCGATGGACGTGGCGATATAGATGGGACGCCTGCCGATCTTGACGGCGAGGGTGTTGCAGAGTAGACTGGATAGCGCAATGGCGGCAATGCAGGATCCTTGTAAGCCGAGGGTGAAGGTCTGCAGGGGGATGTCGAAGCTCTCAGCCAGGGGAACAATGGCCGATGTCAAGAGGGGTCCGACAGCTGGGAGAGAGAGAAAGAGTGAGCATGGGTTTCTTGAACAGCCTGACTTTTGTTCTATTTTCTCGCTCCCTCTAGATTCACGTCTCTGCCGACTCACCTCCAACACAGCCACAGCCGTATGCGATGGCCAGGGTGAACATCTCCTTCTTCCATCTCGGCCAGTTGTACGGGTCGTTTGGCGAGTCGGATGGCTGGGGGACGAGGATGATCTTCCCGCTCTTGTCGTGTTTCAGGGTGCTCGCGTCAACCCCATCGAGGTCGAGATCGAGGCTGTTGAGCGCATTAAGGGGCGACGTGCCCGGCACGTGCTCCAACTTATAGTCTTCGAGAATCCCGAGAGGCATGTTTGCTTCCGTCCTGATCTGTTGAGCTGATAAAAAGACAAGACGAACGAGACCAGACCAACACCTGACAGAGGAACAGGAACAGGAACAGGAGCAAGCGACCCGGCTTCGCAGCGGACAAGCCAAGTTTATATTATTCCCGACCAAGCAAGGGATCGTCGGACCCAGCAACCCAGTGGAGTGTTTTCTCTACTTCGTAATCTGTACTTCGTTAAGCGACTCTCCGCACGTCTCCCCCACAGTGACTAAAGTCTGACAGGGCCTGGGGGTGCGGAGAAGCGTCAAGTGGAGGAGAGGATATGCGGGGTTATGACACTATTGTGTCTTGGATTCTTGGAATTCGCATGGCATTCATGGAGACTGGCCTCGGCAATGCCTTAGTTCCCTCTGGCAGTTCCTGCGGCACGCGTCTAGACTAGCGATTCCGGCTTCTCAGGCTAGTGGTGATTCGCCCGAGGCTGCCTCATGTTTGTGCGGACACACCGACTACGTGACGGCCGGACGGCACTGGTATTTGGAAACCTCTGTTGGAAATCTCCGAACAAACTAGTTACAAAAAGCGCTAACTATGTAATTACACGGAACCTTCCATGTTTCACGCGTATCCCAAGCTCTCAAACGTCGCGAGATTCTGGGCACTGTCTTCGTCCACACACTCAAAGACGGGCCGAATTGTTACGCTCTCACCGTGAATCTCAGCGACCTCCCCCGTGAGGGCTGGATCAGCTATAAACTGCGCAACCCCACGGACGAGAGTTGACATGGGTGTGATCTTCATTGTCTTGAACAGATCTTTAGAGGGCGCGATATTCGTCTCTGGAAGTTGTGCTCAACATTAACCTCTGTTATCGCCACGATAAATTTTCGAAGGGGAGGTCTGGATTTACCTATCACTGCCGGCGCCAATGCGTTGATCTGGATGTTGACAGCTCTCAGAGGTTTGGCAAGAGACCGAACGAGGCCAATGACGGCAGCCTTTGAGGCCGCATACAAGGGAGCAGTTGGGAACGCATAGAGGCCAGCGTTTGAGGCAGTGCATATGATGGAACCTCTCGACTGCGCACCCGAGTCCACCTTGTTTTTATTCATATAGTGAGAAGCCAATTTGACCGCTGCCAGGCGCATGTTAGCGGGCGGTACCCCAATAAACGTGAACTGACCACCTGTAGATCACTCCCCCCAACTCACAATATATAACTCCAGTGAGGTTGACATTGATGACAGCCAACCGTGGCTCCGACGGCGTGTCCTCCTTCAGGTCGACCGAGCTGGTCGTCCCCTGTTCCGAGATGCCGGCGTTGGCCATGACCACGTCCAGCCTGTTGCCGTGCTCCTCGTAGACCTCCTTGAACACGGCCGCCTGCTCCGACCAGGACGACACGTCGCACTTCTTGAACGAGATCCCCGCGCTGGGATACTCGGCCGCCACGTCGGCGGCGACCTTGGCCCCCGCGGCAGCGTTGACGTCCAGGATGGCGACGCGGTGGCCCTCGGATGCGAAGTGGCGCACCATGGCGAGCCCAATCCCGCTTCCGCCGCCAGTCACGAGGACCGACTTCTGTGTCGCGGCCGGTGACATGTTAGTTGCTTCAGGGGGAGAAGGGTAGGGGAGTGGCGTGCTAAGGCGTCGGGCGGGGATATTTCGGATATAAGCTCTTGGTCGCAAATTCGGGGATTGTGGGGCTCCCCGGATTTGATGATCCGACACTTTGTTGCCGAGTTGTTCAATCCTGGTTTTTGTTACTTGGCTCGTACGTTGGTTGGCTCTAGCCTCTCTGTCAGTGCTCGGGGTTGAAGGATAGCTTTAAATGGAACCAAGAGCTCGGGTGACCAGCGAAGAGTTGGGACATCCGACGACTGGAATGGGGACCTCAATTTGGGGGAAGGGGATCGACTTGGCGTCGTGCTAGACACGAGACTATGGGTTTCGGCTCCCCACGTCGGCTTTCGGGAAACCCCGCATCGGCGATAGTGACGGCGGCAGTTGGAGAGACGGGGAACCCCATGCAGAAGAGGCATCCCCTTGTAAAACCACGGCCTTCGATGGCCCCATCCCAGGATTGGCGATGCTGGTGTGATTCAGGAAATAATCAGTAACAAACCACACCGATAAAAACAGCCCATCATGTCAGAAATATCCTTCTCAGAGGCCGATGCGCAGGCATTGAAGGGCAAGGTCGTCGTCCTTACAGGTTAGCGGTCCCGCTCTGCCAGCATTCATCCCCATGTGCTTTTCACTGAACCCGCTGGGTCCCATATAGGCGGTGCTCAGGGCATCGGAGCTGCCACCGTCGGCTTGCTGCATGGCTTCGGAGCACACGTCTACTTTGGAGATTGGAACGAGGAGAAGGGCCAGCAGGTGGAGCAGGAAGCCAAGGCGAGCAGCAAAAGCAACAACGGAGGCTCCGTCTACTTCAGGCAAGTCGATGTGCGGAATCACGACTCCCAGCTTGCGCTGTTCGACGCCGCGCACGCGGCCCATGGTCGGGTAGATGTTGCCATCTCCTGTGCGGCTATCACCGAGTCTCCGGGATGGTTCGAGCCGCAGGACCTCAACTTGGAAACAGTCAGAAAGGCAGGTCATGGGTGTCGATTCGGGGAGCTGTTGGTGAAGTCCAAGCTTGAGATAACTAACCCTCCCACCCCCATCCTTAGGAACCACTGCCGGTTAAGAACATTGTGGACATCAACCTCACAAGCGTCATCTTGTTCTCACGGATTGCGCTGGCATTCATGAAGGCGGATCCGAAGGAGGATTCGGCTGGTGTAAAGTTCTCCAAGTCGATCGTCCTCGTCTCGTCCATTGCCGGCATCACGGAAGCTCCGGGGCTTTTCGCGTACTCGGCATCGAAGCACGGAGTCATCGGCATGATGCGGGCCCTGCGGCCATGGGCACCAAGCAAATACGGCATCCGGGCAAACGCCATCTGCCCGTGGGCAACAGACACTCAGCTCCTGGCCGGTGTGAAGGCGAAGTGGGTAAAGGAGAAGATGCCCATGAACCAGCCCGCGGATGTTGCTCGCATGATCGTCCAATGTGCGGCCGATGGGAACCTCAACGGGAAGGCCGTCTACGTGGCCGGCGGGCGCGGCTACGACACCGAAGAGGGTGTTGACAGAACGCGGCCTCAATGGATGGGCGAGGAGAACGCCGTCATCTTCCAGCGAGGTCAGGAAATTCTAGGACTGGTAAGTGTCTAAATCCCGAAACTTCCCGTCTGGCGTTGTTCTGAAAGCTAATAATGCCATCTTGTTACCAGGGAGACAACTGGACCGACAATATTTAATCCTAGGAGAGAAAACGAGGAACAACCCCTGGAAAACGAGGAACAACCCCTGATTATATCAAGACTACATGTACTACGTCCTCTCTAGTGTGTCTAGTTTACCTCCTGCTCATTGCGGACGTAGCTTTTTGCCTTAACAGTAAGCCTAAACTTGACGTGCCTCACTTACATTGGGGCTTCTCGGTGTATCCTCTGATTACATGGAGCTTAATTGTTCCTCGTCATATACACCGCACCGATATACCCAACTCTAGAACCCTCATATCCCTGCCTTTGGGTATGGACTCATTGATGAGAAAACATAGCAGCCCTAACCATCTGGTCGAGTACCGGGCTGGAGATCTAATCGGGATGGGATCTATGCATATCAAAACCATCTCGCCCTCCCTTCGTGTAGATATTTTAAAAGCCAAACATATTCTCATCCTCAACGTAGCCCCAATCTAACAATCAGTTCAATGTCAGCAACGCAACTCATCAATTAACATGCTTTGATGGGTCTGGCACGAACCTCTCAAAGCCGGCAGGGCCGCCTTTTGGATCATGGCAGGTGGGCCGCAGAGGAAGACAACACTATCCTGAGCCGGGGGGAACAGGTTCTGCCTCAACACATCGGCATTCACGTATCCCCGCAACCCGCGCCACGCCTCGCCGGGCTCGCTCAGGACATGGGCCACTCTCATCTGCCCCTTCGAGTCCCGCTCAAACCCCTCCAGCTCCTCCCGCAGGAGGACGTCGGCCTCTGTCTTGTTCGCGTCCACGACCCTGAGCTCGGTCCGGTCGCCCGGCGTGAGCAGGATGCGCGCGACGAGCGAGTAGCCGGGCGTGATGCCCGAGCCGCCGAGGACGAGCGACACCCTGGCGAAGGCGCGCTCCTTGCCCTCGATCACGAACGTCCCGTTGCCGTTGTACACGATGTCCCCTGTCGGCCCCCGGATCTCCACCTCGCCGCCGATGGGCATGCAGTCGAGGATGTTGGACAGCGCGCCGCCGGGCTGGCTTTCGTCAGGGAAGTAGGTCTTCACCGTCAGCTCGAACGTGCCGCCGCCGTCGCAGGCGGATGGGTCGTCCGCCGGATCTGCCTGGGAGTTCCCGTTGGGCTTCGGTCCCGACTTTTGAGGACTGTTTTTGGGGGTACCTGTGTCGGCTGGTAGCAGAGGCCTTGTGGGGGTGTAGCTGCGGATCAGCATGCGGTCTTTCATGTGGAACCCGATCTGGACGTGCTGGCACGTGCCGAGACCGAGGAGATCCTTGCCGTCCGGGAGCTTGAAGGTGTAAGCTCTTGAATCTTTGGAGAGCACTTTTCGGCTGAGGAGCTTGACGGGGACCCATCGGTGCTTCTGGAGAGTCAGTCGATCTTCGCCGTCTTGGCTTGAGGCCGCTTCTCTCGCGGCCTCCTCTACGCCCTCCTTGATAAAATTGGCCGCTTTCTCCGTTACTGTGCCTAGGATGCATTCTGCCAGGAGAAGGGGTTGGTTAGTTTGTCAATCAGATCTTCGCAATCAAGATGCGGTGGCAGGAACGAAAACATTATTACTTACCCTTTAATTTTTGATACGCATACCCATCATGGATACCGGCAAACTCGTCGGTGGTCTCTTGATGCACCTTCCCGGCATGGCCGAGGATGGCAGCCTTCCCGCCGGGGTGCCAGGCGAGCACGCTCGTCGCGTCGTAGACCTTCCCGTCGACCACGATCCAACAGTCGCCCTCTTTATCGTGCTTCTCGATCTCCTCGCGCGTGAACTGCTTCTGCGGCGTGCCCGACTCCTGCTTCGCCTGCTCGACCTTGTTCTCCTCGCTCGGCTGCATCCACCCACCGTCCCCCATCGCCGGCTCGACGGGGTGCCTGAACAGGATGCACGGCACGTCCGAGTCCCCGCTGTACGCGATCTCGGGGCGGACGATGTACCAGCAATTGTTCATCATGCCCATGATGTTCCAGTTCGGGTGCTCCGGCTGGGTGTTCTTGAAGACGTTGAAGCAGCGGACGATGATGCTCTCGGCGCGGAGGAGGTGCGATAGCTCGACGTCGACGTGCCAGTAGACCCACGTCCAGAACTTCTTGCCGTGCCGGATAGGGCAGTCGGGGAACTCGCGGATGCAGTATAGCCACGTCGCGCCGCCGTCAAGCGACACCTCGACGCGCTGCACCTCGTGGCCTCCGCCGTCATATGCGTAGCCCGCTATCCGGTAGCTGCGCCCCCTCCGGGCCTCCGTCAGCGAGATCTTCTCGCCGTGCGCGGGCTGGAGAATGACCGAGTTGAGGTTCTGCTCGTTGCAGGACGTCGACGGGTGGCGGAAGAGCGTCTCGGCGAACTCGCCGTCCTTCTCCGTCACAAACGCTGGGAGCACCCGGTTGTCCCAGATGTGGTAGTGGCTGTCGTTCTCCTTGTCGCTGATCCATATCCGGCGCAGCCACTTGACGCACCTCCCGCCGACGTAGCCGGGGACCATGAGCCGCACGGGGTAGCCGTGGTCCGGGGGCAGGGGCACGTCGTTCATCTCGTAGGCCAGTATGACGTCGTTGGTCGCATCCATGGCATACTCAAACGGGATGCAGGTGGCGTATCTTTCCCCTGCGAGATCGTCCGCCCCTTCGAAGTTGACCCAGTACCGTACACTGCCATCTCCGGCCGGCGGTTTCTCCAAAATACCGGCAGAAAGCAGCACATCCCGCAGCAGCGGGCCCTTCCAGTACGCGCAACTGACCCCGCCGGCCCCCCAGTTAAACCCCTTGCTCCTCTTGATCATGTTCAGCTCCTTGCGTCTGTTCCCGTCGCAGGCCAGCGCGATGGCGATGTTGATGGTCGGGTAGCCCGTCCTCAGGTCCTCCATGGACAGCCTCAGCACTCCCTTCCCGTCCCCCTGGGCGCCGTACGGGACGACCTCGAGCTCGTGGAACTCCCACAGCAGGCGCGGCACGGCGCCGTGGTTGCGCACGTAGTGCAGCTCGTTGGGCGTGACGAGCCCCGCGGCGAAGAGGCGGTCCAGAGGCGCCTCCGCGTTGAGCGGGTGCCGCCCCGTCAGGCGCACCAAGTCCGGCGAGCGCGGGAGCCAGTTGTCGGGCGTGAATTGGTCGCGTTCGTCGATGGAGACCACTGGGGCGTCGCGATGGTGGCGGGCCTGCGGCGAGGCCCGCTTGCCGTTGTTGACCTTTAGGTGCGAAATGTACTCCTTCTCGTGCTGGAGGCAGCGCAGGAGGGCGAGCTCTTGGGGTGTGTACTTTTCCTCCAGTGATGGGGGTTTGGGTTTGGGCTCGTCTGATGATACTTCCTGGTCTCCGTTGGGTTGGTCCCCGTCGCCCTGGCTGTGGGCATATGCCTCGTGGTGTTTCCCGCCTTCACCTTGGGAGCGTTTCCATTGATGCTCTTCCTGTGGTCGTCTCTCGCCGTCAGTGTCGTCGCCGCCTTTGCGTTTCGCCGCCGCCTCCTCCTCCTCCTGCTTCTTCTTCTCGGCTTCTCTCTTCTTGATGTTCGCCGGCCAGTTCTGCTCGTTCTTGACCCAGTCTTCCGTCGTGTCGAGAACATAGCGCCAGCCGACGGACCGGTTCTCGGGGCGCCGGAGGTGGAAGTCCTATTGACGAACCTATCAGTTCACCTGTGGTCAAAAAGAATTTGTGGCCGGGGACGCTTCGCAGGACCTCTTGCGCGTTGATCAGGTCGCGAAAGTTGACCAGCCGCCCTTTCTTGGCCTGGTCCCGGAGCTGTTTCAGCCCGCGCCTGACTCGCTCGACTTCCTCGTCGTACTCGTCATGCTTGTGGGTCACTCCCGGCACCCGGTTGTCGCGGTTCTTAAACCCGATGCGGTGGTGGTGGCCGCTGCCCCAGTCGGGTTCGTCCTCGATTTCCTGGGCGGAGGAGCCCGGGTGATCTGCCACGTTCACGATCCAGGGGGTGGTTGCCATGTTGACTGGTTAATAAGTTGCGAAATCAATACCCCTGACTAAAGATAACGCAGGGAAACACCAAAACTTTGTTTCTTGTCGGGTCTTGGCCAGCGACGATGAACTTTATTAATCTCCCCTTTGTGGGTGGTCTGATTGACGAATTGAAAACGTCATACGATGACGGTGTGGAATGGGGTGTTGCAAGGCGCGCTCCGCGGAGATAGTATTTTGATGACGACAGAGCCACCAACTTGGGAACTGTTTACACAAGACAGGTAATCCTTACATATATTTACCCTTGAGAGTGTCTTATTAGTGTACCGTATCAATAGAACTAATACTCCAAACTAGGATAGAGTATAGCTAAGGTGGCAGCATAAAGCTCCTTAGCTAGGTAATTATGCCTCAGTTAACACACTACACATCTACTATATATTTACCCACTGCACACCCACTGCACAGGCTAATGCAGCAGCAGCACTACCTACTCACAAAAAAAGGAAATGACCAGGGGCAAGATTTAGGGCGCATTTTATTCTGTAATTTAAGATGGTTGTGCTCATGGGGATTCAGTCCTCAGCCTCTCGTGCATGCAACGAACACCTAATCCAGTCCTTGCCGTTGTTAAGTCTACCCCCGAGAAAGCAGGGAGATGAAGCCATACAGCCTCGAGACATCGGGTATCATGCATTACTGCGCAGTCACTCGATTACTTGCCCATGAAGAAACCACTATCCGTCACCTGGCCGGTACCTTTTTCGGGCCTCCAACACAGAACGCATACGGCCCCAGTGGCCCCTACCTATTGAGGTGTGGGTGGGGCTGAGCGGGAACTAAGGCCGCCCGTGACGTGCATGGATTATTACTTGCGGGGTGGTGTCTGCACCTCGCACCCCTCACGTTGAGAGCTAGAAAAAAAATAAAAATAAAAAAATAAACATAAAACCTATGAACACAAACGGCACCCCCCTGCGACGATTCACCCCGTTCGCCAACCTCCCCAAGGAGATCCGCCTCCTCATCTGGGAGGAGTGCATGCTCGCGGTGCCGCCGCGGGTCCTGGACCTCTCAACAGTGATGGACGAGGACTCGGACGAGGACGGGATCCGGTTCACCATCGAGCCGCCGCTACTCTCGCGGGCGTGCGGCGAGTCCCGGGCGGTGGCGCTGCGCGACGGGCGCAGCTTCTTGCTGACGCACCGGTACCCCGCGGAGCGGGGCGGCCGGTCCACGGCCTCGGTGCGGACCTGGTTCAGCGGGCGGCGCGACCTACTCGAGCTCGCCGGCGAGAGGGGTTACAGCCCCCGGCGCGTGTGGGTGTTTGACGCCGAGATGATGGGCCTGCTGGCCTGCGCGAGCCACGTCATGCTCCACCCGGGCGCGGGCCCCGAGCTGATCGCCATGGTTGTCAGGCCGGGCGTGTGCCCGCGCATCAGGAACATCGACGTCATGTTGGAGAGGTTCGAGGTCGCCGATGCGGAGGCCATGACCCCCGCGGAGGTGTTTGAGTTCTTTGGGGACGACCAGCTGGTCCTGCTCGACATGGAGGACATCATACGCGCGCGCGAGGTCCTCGAGAGGCAGCCGGCATGGCGGCACTCGCCTTACTGGGTCAAGACGTGGTACGACTTCTCGCAGCTCGACTCGGAGGCGGTGGGGGTGAAAATCAGGCAGGCCAGGAAACGCGTCATCGATGCGTGGCTCAGGGCGAGGTTGCCCGACCTATCGTCGGTGGACGAGCTCGACGACCAAGCGGCAGCACTCGCGATAGGAAGGGCGAGGAGCGCCGTGTTGGGACACATGCCGACTGTAAGGGCGGTCAGGTGCTGCGATTGGCCGTATGTCGATATGGAGGTGAAAGATGTTGTGTGCACTTGGAGAGATGACGCGGCACTGAAGACGGCATTGGAATCTTTTGTGCACAGCCTCGAGACTATATAGGTAGTTTGAAGACTCTGGTCGGGGCCGGGCTGGTGATATAATTAGTTCATGTGCAGCATAGATGCACCTCACTGCCAAGTGAGGTGTGTTGGATACGGGTGCGGGACGAATAACGACCTTGCATCGTCGGATCGACTACCTAGTCGATCTTCGTTCCACAGCTCGGAACTCGGGGCTGAAGAAAGCCAAGCACGCATACGCGGCATTCACAGCGCGGAGAAGTGCAGCGATTTGTGGTCCTTGTGGCTTTGCTTCTTGGCAGTGGGCCGACAACCGCCGACGACCAGCTGGCTACCAGCCGAACCAAGTCAAAATGCGGGTGCCAAGCAACCCTTCGCCTCCATATGAACTCATCATTACCCACTCCGTACAATGGTGGATCCCCCACAAACGCCCCCTTCACGCGACAGGTTGAAGCTGGGGCTGGATTGACAGCTGCATGATCAAGTTTTGCAGGTTTCGAAAGCTTGGATTTCTTGGCTTCGGATGAGGGTTGTTGATAAAAAGAGCGAGGGCTGCCCCCTCCCAGGTTTGGTCAATCAATCGAGTTGAGTTGACAAACTTCGTAGCTGGCACCCCATTCCCGAGATAATTGGCAAAAGCAAAGCCTACGACCCCAATTAATAATACATACCGACAGCAAATATGCACTCCACCAGCTTCCCCCGCGCCCTCGCCCTCGCGACCCTCCTCGCCACGGCGGCCGTCGTCCGCGCCGACATGGAGCTAGACTCGGACGACATCCCGCGGGCCTGCGCCGACATCTGCTCGCCGATCCGCCAGCTGACACGCACCTGCGACGTCGACGACGACCACGTGCCGTCGGACCGCACCGAGGACCTGCTGGAGGCGCAGTGCATCTGCACAAACGACAGCTTCGATGTCGCCTCCATCGCCGCCCTGTGCGCCAGCTGCATCGAGCAGAACGCCCGACCGGGCGATAGGGATGACGACATGGATGGTGAGTTTTTTTTTCACCCACATGCCCCCCCTCCACTGCCGGTGGCGCAAAAAAAGGCTGATTTCCCCATGACTCGCAGACATCGACGCCATTATGAGGACCTGCGGCTTCAGCAGCACCTCGTACGCGCCCTCGGCGTCAACGGCCGCGCAGGACGTCACCGTCGTCGCCACCCGGCCGTCGGAATCCAGCCAGCTGACGACCACCGTGACGGGTGGTGGCAGAGGCGGCGGCGGCGGCGGCGGCGGCGGTGGCGGTTCGTCCAATTCCCCTTCCCCTACCGCAACCGGGAGCGGCGGAGGGTCGGGCGGCTCGGTGACCACCATTACGTCCGGCAGCACGACCGTGACTACTAGCAGTGGCGGTACTGCGACCAGCGGGAGTGGTGGTGGGACCACGCCGAGTGGCACCGGGAACGCGGCGCCGGGTGTGGCTCCTCCGTCCGGGGGTTTCGGTGGTCTTGCTGGACTATATCTCGCTGGCATGTTCCTGGTCGGGGCTATGGCGGTCTTCTGATTTGCTCGAGAACATGACTTGGCTTTTGAGAGCTGTGAAGGTGAACAGGTTAGATGGCTTATGATCACTACTAGTCTTTTGCGTCGAAGGGCGAACGCTGCAGTTATTTCGCAGAAGTAAACAAGTAAATGTTACGAGTTAGCTCTTGAGCAAACTGCCCAAGCTTGCGCACCAAGGCCCGTAATTACAAAATAAGACCTTAAGTCTCACTATCTAGGCAGGTGGCTCTCACGCAAAATGAGGAATAAATCCAGTCCACTCCACTCTCTCGTAAACCTTTGGGGCATAGAAGTAAAGCAGTAAAACGTGAGAACCAATATCGTAAGTCGTGAAAAAGTATAGGCTAAGAAACATAACTGAATTGTTCCCCCACTTATCCACGATGGAGGAATATCTCCTGAACATATAAAAGACCAAATTACGTAAAGAGTGTTGACGAGGAACGGTAAGCAAGTAGAAAGAACCAACGCGATCAAAGAAGACCATCGCCAGAGAGCTTGAATCACAAGACGACGGAAACACCCAATTCCATGCGGCGACATGGACAGCACAGAACAGCCCGCCAAGTGATGTAGAGTGTCAGACTACCAAGCCAACCTCGACGATACGACAGGAAGGGCAGTAAGTAGTTGACGAATTTGTCAATGTCCAAGTCATAGATTCGACTGTAGAAATTACACTTCCCGTCTTGCGAATTGCTGGCGTGGGGTTCTTCGTGGTCGTCCCTCTTGAGTTTAAGCACGAGATATCTATGCTCAACGTTGAAGGGTTTGTGCCACCAAAACCCATACATAGCCACAGCACAGATGATAAAAGCCATTGTTGCCAGCTCCAGTTGGGAGATGGAGAGGCCCTGACTAACTCGCGCAATGCTCTGAACAACGAGCCAGCCAGCCTGGATGACAGCAAATATCTTCGTAACGGCGTCTGACTGACTTTTATCTCGGATATCGGCCTCGGAGATTGTGGTTATGAAGTTGGAATCCCTGAGGCCTTCTGCGCAAGTTTCAGTCAGTCCAGTATGCCAAGGATAACATGTGTTCCCCTGAACCTTCGATACTCCGCATGGGATGTCAAGCGTAACCGCTAGAACCGCCCGTGGGCATGAGGGTTTGGTGTCCCTTACCTAATCCAGACACAATATCCGTAGGCCCAGGGTGCATTCCTGCCCCTAGGCTATGGGATTGTGTCCCAACCTCCTGGAGAGACACCTCGCGTATGACAATCCCTCCCATATTGGCGAAGAATGCATGTGCCATGGAAAACTTCTCTGGGTACTCATTACCGTTGACTTTACGGAGAGTTTCCCGGGCTTGCCGCCACTGTTCGGATGCCACGACGACGCCCACTTCGGGGGCAAGGCAAATAATCAACATCCACCTAATTTTTTGGCTCCATTTTGTGAGAAGTGGTCCTTTTGGCCAGTACGGTATTTCCCAGCTCCCAAGACGACGGTGATGCCATTCTCCCTGGCTTTCCTCCGGAGTTGGGAGATTGAGGTGGACACATCGCCAAGAGCAAACGAGAAAGATGGAAAGACAACTCCAGATGATGTCCCAGGAGCTTCTACGACCATCGGGGGAGACCCAACCGACCATTTCTGCCGACGTGGTGGAGTTGGTCGTTGCATTCGACTGAGAGAGCGTGACTCGCGGCAAAGTTGCCGCGGCCAACAAGATAGCCAAAGTCCTTGTTAACATCTTTGGGCTCGTAGAGGACACGAGGCAGGAAAATCAGAAGTCGATGAATTGCAGTCAGGCGCCGCTCGACATGGGGCTGTTGAAGCTTTCGGGCATCGATCAGGTTGGGGGGAGCCTTGTTGCCCGCTTCAACGTTCTGCTGCCTTATTTATGTCTGATTCGACGCCACAGCGCTAAGCTGCATGCTTGATTCAACCAATCTTCAAGCACAACAGTACGGTAACATCTGTATGGTATGGCCAGTCTGTGGATTCGTCTTTATATTGGGCTGTAATGCAACTTAGTAGTAAGGTAACCATAGTCACATATATCACTACGGCCTGAGCACTGCGTTTCTGGCACCGGCATTCTCACCCCTCGAAAAGGTCTCCACAGCCTCACCAGGGGAAGTGCCGCCCATCAGCCCGCCGCGGAAGGGAGCCAAGCGGTTAGGCGGGATCCTGTTTTCCCAGATGCAACGGCCGTGCGCATCCAACCACTTCATCTTGACCAGCCCCTCACGGACAGCCTCATCGTCCACGACGTAGACTAGCATTGTAAACAAATCGGACGCGTGCTCAAGCCATGCGCTGTCGTCCTCCACGTCAACACCCCGGCCCTCTTCAAGGACTGCCCCGTACCACTCAAAGTCCTCCTCAACCGACCCGCACAGTGTGTCGGGAAGCGTGGGGATGCATATGAGGATGTTTTTCCAGGCGTCTCGATGGCTGCCAAAATTGTAACGTGCAGGATTGTCCAGCACCATGTCAGGCTCGACGCCGAAGCCCCGGCCAATTTCACACTGTTCAGCTAGGAGCCTGTATGCCTCTTCCAGCTCAGGCGCATAGCACGTTCGTAGAAGGACCGGACTGTAAGATCCGCTGTTGCTGGCGGCGAGGTTGCGTTCCCAGGTTGTCTGATGCGGCGCAAGCACGCGGGCGACCCTATCTGGCGTCGCGGCAGGCGTGGGATATGAGGATGCAAGCACACGGTATGGCTATGTGAGGGTCAACGGTTAGTTCTGGCTTGGTTGATTCCAACTTGGCGGCCGTAATTGTATCAAGGTAGGTAGGCAGACACGGGTATGCCGGTAGGGGGCCAGCCCACACGCACCAGTCGCTGCAACGGGGTGAGTGCCAGGAACTGGGGAACTAGCTCCTCCCATTGCTGTTTGTCCTCCGACACAGACCTGGAGTAGTCCCAGTTTGCCTATGTACGGGTTGGGTCGGTCAATCAATAGGTTCTGGTCTGCTTGCGTTTGCTGTGCCGCAGTTGGCCTCTGGGTAGAAAGAGCGGTGGGGCGTTGGCACTCACCAAGGCGAACTGGTCGAAATCTAATTTTCCGTATTCAGCATCTTCTTTGAGGGATGCCGAAGAGACTGAAGAAGCCATCATTGTGTTTGTTGGTTTGTTGGTCAACTCGAATGTTAGATTGAGGAGTATGGTACCTAAATATTAGGTTTGTGCTGCAAGCCATGCAGTCGCCCCAAAGCGGCTAAAGGGGATTTTACCTAATTTGCTTACCAGCGTCCGCCACGAATGCAATAGCCATGCTCCTTTTTGTTGGTTTTGTCTTACCAGGTGTCGGCTGCTGCGTAGCATTGCTATTGTAATCTTACGACAGTTGAGGTTAGCAGAAGGTTTATCCATAGTGTTCGTACTCTCATCCACAGAGAAGGGCCGGCTCTCACCGGGTTCCACTGGGAATAGGAGACATGACTTATACTAATTACTGTAACAGAACCCGTCTGTCAAAGACGACTGCAGTGGACTCAAGGTTGGCAACTGGTGCTGTGTCGAGGTCGAAACGCCGCTTGATTTTCCCTCAGCCACTGTGACCCCCAAGCCGTCTCCCATCCAGGACGGCCTGGCACCCAACTGTACCGCCTTCTACCATGCCAGGCCATTTTCTTGATTATTTAGGAGCAGGGAAAAGGGCAGCTAGGTAGCGATGCACTAATGTCCCAAAACTAAGACTAGGAATACATCCTTACAACTTCACTGCCTGTCTTAAACCATAGCGACTATAGCTAGGGTAGCCTAAAACGAGAACCCTTTGCTTAGCTCTTGCTTAACCTAGCTTAGGTTAAGGCAGCAACTACTTAGGTCTAAAGAAGGAAATGGAAATTCCTGGTGACTAGATTAGGGATATTACGTTCTGCCTGCTATTAGTTAGAGCTTCAACTCCGCCTAGTGCATCACCCAGGTGCTCAACAAGCATCACTGTTCATTCCAGCTCATCAGACGATGCTCCCTGGCGTTTTATTTCATAGAGACTTCCAGCTGTGAGTGCATATTCCTTCAGGGATACTGTCAAGTAGAACATTGTGTGAGTAAAAGGAAACATGGTCCTTTTAAAACCCGCTTGGCTAGGTAGGCAGGCAAGAACCCCTCAGGGAGGAGCAACCGAAATGTCAACCGTCGGGGAAGAATAGCCGAGACGTCAGATCGGCCTCCAAAGTGTACCAGTAACTAATAATTATGTGCTTAAAGGTGGCACGCGTATGTTCACCTATGAAGTTCGCTTTATATTATTTCCGCCAGTTGAGCTCCTGTCATCCCGCCCACCTGGTGCTAAGATTGGTGCGTTTATCTTTGCCACTCTAGGGTTGGTTTTGCACGAACCATACAAGACATGCACTGTTACTAGGCCGAGATTTTCCATATTGGGGGGATCCACTGCTGGTCTTCGCAGATCAGTCCTTCCAACCTGGTTTTGACCGAGGATGTTGCAGTACAAGGATCAATTTGGGGAACCACCTCCGTCAACGAGAAGGAGCTTCCTAACTGAGGAGAGTGAATTACTTGATTCTTGTTGCACTTGACAAGTGCCAGTTTTAGTCGGTTTCCCCCTCTACCCCTCAACTCTTTGTACGTACAAGATACACCAGGGCGGCCCAACCTTAAAGGCTAATTTCCAAGTTTAGATACATACCATAGCCGCTCGAACCAGGCTACAAGAAGCCCTGAAGACCCCACAAACCGTGGTCTTCAGTGTTCCTCTTTGGGGTATAAAATGGTCCCGAGAAACGAGAAACATCGATGGTTGTTGTGGAGCGGTTTTCTCTTCGGGTAGGGAGTAATTAAGTTTATTAACTGATCAAGATCCCAGTGAGCTTCCACTCGTATCACAAAAAGAAGACAAGATGCCATATTCTCACCAGTGAAGATGTCGCCTCTCACAAGAATGGTGCACAATGCTTGCGCCCTCGTCCTTTTGGGCCTGCTGCTACTAGCCGCTCCCCAACCTACTAAAGCATACACGATCAAGAGCCCTCGCGCGGATGCAGCTGCGGCGACGGATCGCGAGCGCACCAGCCTCAACGCAGGGTGGCAGTTTTCACGCTTCACCTCGAATCCCGACTCGCTGTCGTACAACACCCTGAAGTAATGGATCCTTCCCTCGGCCAACGACTTCCTCAGCGGTGCCAAACACCAGAGCCCTTCCGGGACACCTCCGGGTAGCAGCGTTCAATACGTGCAACCGTCATTTGACGATGGCAACTGGGAGACGGTCAATCTGCCTCACGACTAGGCCATCAAGGGCACCTTCAACGCACCCGGCATCACGGGAGGCATGGGCAGGTTGCCCTTGAACGGAGTGGGCTGGTACCGCCGGAACGTGAGCATGGCCCCAGACGACGAGGGCAAGTCCATATTCCTGGATATCGACGGCGCCATGTCCTATGCGGGAGTCTGGCTCAACGGCAACCTGGTGGGCGGATGGCCGTACGGCTATGCCTCGTTCCGCCTGGACGTCACCGCGCACATGAGACCCGGCGATGACAACCTACTGGCCATTCGACTGGATAACGCGCTTGACTCGTCGCGCTTCTACGCCGGTGCGGGCATCTACCGGAATGTCTGGCTGGTCAAGGTCAACCCGACGCATGTGGGCCAGTACGGCACGCATATCACGACGCCGGATGTATCTGCCAAGTCGGCCACTCTTAACCTGGTTGTCGAAGTCGAGAACATGGGAAATGACAGTCAGCAAGTTGATGTGGTGACCGAGGTGCATGTGCTCGATCCAGCGACTGGACAGGCCGGACCGGACGTGGTGGCTACCTTCGAACAGACAACGGCAACTGTGGCGGCAGGTGGGAAGCAGTCCGTCAACGGCTCGGTTACGGTGACAAACCCGCTGCTCTGGGGACCACCACCGGCACAGAAGCCCAACCTGTACGTCGCCGTAACAACCCTGTCCATCGACAAGACGGCAATCGACACCTATGAAACCCGCTTCGGCATCCGGTCAGTGACGTATGACGGAGACAAGGGGGTATTGATTAATGGCCAGGCGGTGCGCGTCCAGGGCACCAACAACCACGCCGACCACGGTTCTCTGGGAACTGCATTCCATGTTCGGGCTGCCGAGCGGCAGCTAGAGATCTTACAGGAGTTGGGCAACAATGCGCTTCGGACATCGCACAATCCGCCCGCGCCCGAATTTCTAGACATGGCCGATGGCCGATCGGCTGGGCTTCATGGTTCTAGACGAGATTTTCGACGTCTGGAACACCGGCAAAAACACCAACGACTTCCACTTGATCTTCGCGGACTGGCACGAGCCCGATCTCCGGTCCTTCATCCGGCGCGACCGCAACCACCTGTCGGTGATCGCCTGGAGCTTCGGCAACGAGGTCAGCGAGCAGTCGAGCGCGGCGGGCGGCTCGACGGCGCAGCAGCTGCGCGACATCGTCCGAGCCGAGGACGCGACGCGGCCGACGACGGTGGCTATGGACTCGGCCGGGGCGGGCAGCGCCCTGGCCGGCGTGCTGGACATCGAGAGCCTGAACTACCAGGGCGAGGGCCGGGGCACGACGACGCAGGGGTCGTTCTCCAGCTTCCACCAGGCGTTTCCGCGGAAGATTGTCTGGAGCAGCGAGAGCTCGTCGGCGCTCGGCACGCGCGGCACGTACGTGTTCCCCGTGACGAGCGCCAAGAGCGCGGACGTCGGGGACGGGTCGGGCGGGAACTCCACGGCCTTGCAGGTCAGCTCGTACGATCTGTACGCCACCCAGTGGGGGTCGTCTCCCGACAAGGTGTTTGAGGCGCACGACAGGAACCCTTACGTCGCCGGGGAGTTCGTCTGGTCCGGGTTCGACTATCTGGGCGAGCCCACGCCCTACGACTCGGCGCGCAGCTCGTATTTCGGCATCGTCGATCTGGCCGGCTTCAAGAAGGACCGCTTCTACCTGTACCAGTCGCGTTGGCGGTCCGACTTGCCCATGGCGCACATCCTTCCTCACTGGACCTGGCCGGAGCGGGTCGGGCAAGTCACCCCGGTCCATGTTTACTCGTCGGGCGACGAGGCCGAGCTTTTTGTGAATGGGAAGTCGGCCGGGCGACTGAAGAGGCAACAGTACGCGTACCGCTTCCGGTGGGACGACGTTGTCTACCAGCCCGGCAACGTCAGCGTGGTCGTATACAAGAACGGGGCGCGCTGGGCGGAGGATACCCAAAAGACGGTTGGGAATGCCGCAAAGCTGAACGTGACGGCGGATCGCACGACGATCGATGGCGATGGCTACGACCTGTCCTATATCACCGTCGCGGTTGTCGACAGCAACGGGGACGTGGTGCCGCGGGCAAACAATGCCATTACGTTTTCCGTTTCAGGCCCCGGCCAGATCGTGTCTACGGACAACGGTGATCCAGCCGACATGACCGCGTTTCCGTCCTTGACACGGAAAGCCTACAGTGGCCTTGCCCTTGCCATTGTCCGCGCCAACGCTGGAGCTTCTGGAAAAATAACTGTCTCGGCGGCGGCAACTGGTCTTGCGGGCGCAGAGGTGACTTTGCAGGCCAGTTAGGCGGAGCGGTTGCGTCGTTATCGGCGTATGAGTGAGGGAGGAGTGACAGTAAAAACATGTTACTTTCTAGAGCCAAGCTGGCTTTTGTTATAGCGTTGAAATATGAGAGCAAGTGGACAAAGGGCTGGTACCTTTTTCGAGCCTATTGAGATGCTTTCTACTCTGTCTTGCGGTTGTGGTTTCGTCTTCTGTGCTTATAAGGGCGCATTCCCAGGAGTGCTGTAGTGATGGGCCAATAGGATTGCATCTGATGGCCCCACTGAGCCAGGTCCAAATTTGCACTCCGCCAACCATTGAGCCAGCCAATCTCTCACCATCACGGTACGGGCTTCTCTTTGGAACTGCCTACCTTAGCAGTGTGCCTACCTTAGCAGTGCTTACCTATACTGCTCCCACAAACGGGACACGTTGTCAGCCATGGTTACTCATGAATTCAAGGCGTCCAAAGGGTTCATACCAGGGGCTTGGTTGAGGAACTACGCCATGAATATGCGCTATGTCGAGTTGTCTCACCAATGCGGCATCTGCGGTGAAGTGTTCAAATCCGATCTCGACGAGAGATGTGTAGCCTGTAAGGCTGCCAGAAAACCCCAACCAAGCATGACGCACCGCACTGACTTGATCCTCCGATCTTGATCAGTGCTCGGAAACCCAGCATCAACCGCCAACTGGCTCCACACGGGGCCGTTCCGCTATTTCGAGCACCAGGGCCGCGCTCGCGCCCTTGACGGCTGGACCCGCTGTCCCGACCCGAATTGTCGCCAGTGCGCCATGACGACAGAAGCAGCGACGATACACCTCGAGTGCTTCGAGCTATTCAGGCAGACTTACATGCCCGTCGATGCCCTGGACCGTCTATGGAGAGTGGCATGCTGGAGAAGTCCCTGGCGCGACGTAACTGCCCCAATTGTTCTCCCCGAAGACGTCAGCGTTGGGGCACGGGCTCTATCAACGGTAGCCGAAAAGTATGGCTTGCCTCAGCTGAGCAGAGTGCCTCAGGATATAGTCTGTAAGATTCGAGACTACTCACGGTCCGCCCTATTCTGGCGCTTCACGGCAGCACTCGACCTTGCTGCGCGACTCCATGCCATGCCGACCAGCATCGCTGTTTCCATACCCCTCTGTGAAGTCACCGGGTGGGAACGTGGCGGCCTTGTAACTCAGTCAAAGGATCCAGCCCGCCTCCCCGTCATTCGCCTGACTATCGACTCGCGCGGCATCAGAAAGATCGAGAGGCTACCATCCGGCCAACCCCAGTACAGCAGATGGAGGGTTGACAATATGGTGTTCGTTATCAAGGATGAATCTTGCTTTGTTAATATCATTGCACGTTTCCAGGTACGCAAAACTACCCATAATTAAAGATAATATTATATAAGCTACCTAATTAACCATATGGACGGTAGGACGACCAATTACGTCTAGAGCTGCCCGAATATCATGAGGGCCTTCAGACATGGGACACTCCGACTCCGCCTCCTTTTCTTCCAGACGACCGCCTTGCCTCTGAGGGTAACCTTTATGGAAGTGTAACGCCTTCAACTCGCTTCTGCACCATCGATATGACCTCGATAACGGGCCTCACATTCCTCTTCGACGCAGGCAGGTTTATTGCCATTCACGCCCATACAGCCGTGATGCCTTACGCAATACCGGCCGGCAGGTTCTTTTCCGAAGAGGATCCAGACAAAAAATCCTGGGTCTATGTTCCTATACCAGCGAATGACCAGGTCCTGGCTCTTGGCCTCCGAGGGCAGCGACAGGTTGGCGACAACATAGAGTGGAATTGTATCCTGGTATGTAGATATGTTGCTGTTGTCGCGGCATCTCATCCGTCTGACGAGTTGATAGCTTCGTACAAAACTCGCTGGCGAATTTTCCATTGGGGTTTGGCTGCCCTTTGATAACTGCGTCACTTGCACCTTCCTCAACTCTCCGACGACTTTGGTATATGGTTTGGGGGAGCGTCTGGATGTCTCTTCCATAGGTGTCTACCCAAAAACCGTATCCAAGGACTGTGAAGATACAGACATGGGCTTCCGTATCTCTGGCCCTCAGTCCTGGCCATTCGAAGATCCAACCGACCGCTGCGACACGAAGTTCTCATCGGCTCCATTGCAGAACATCATTCTCGCCAAGGTGTTCCACCGGAAGGGAGATCCCCACTGCAGGGGGCTGGTATTCGAGTACGAAAACGGTGCTCAGCGTGCGCTTGGGGACTGCCGCTTGGGTCGCGACCCGTACCAAGTTTATCAAGAACCACGGTTCTTGTGCACTCATCAACAGGGATGCCAACAAGCCCTCGAGGATGAGGATATCCTCATAGTCAGGGTCCAGTTCGCCAGCGATTCCGAGCACATCCACGAGGACCAGGGCTGGCAGTGCCATGGAATGACTGGTACTCTCCGTTGCTGGTTTACACACGAACAGTTCTATCTAGAAATTTGCGAGGAGGATAACAGCGGGGAATGATAACATCCGCGGTTCTCTCGTCGTCTCCACGTGGGCCAGAGGCGAGGGCAGCCTGCCCAAATCGCGAGAGGGATGAGCTGTTTTCGGGGCGACCGATGCAGGTCCAGGTGAGAGGGATCAAGGGGTGGACCTGCCTTGATTCGTGCCAACACAAAATGTTTAAACAGGCCGACTAGACATGGACTAGACACGTTGCATTGAGCTACCTGCCAGCCTGATTGTATACAAACCCCCAAACGTTCTAAACATGACGCCGTAAACCCCCCCCAGCCAACCCCCTCCCCCGAAACCAGCCTCACGCCGGCGGCGGCACCACCACCACCGGCTTCTGCGCCTCCTTGATCCTCTCCTGCTGCTCAGCCGGCGACAGTGCCTTGAACGCCTCAACATCAGCGTCCCAGGTACGCACACAGGCAACATCCCAATTACATCTCTCGACCTCTCCGAAGACGGGGTGCCTGAAGCGCGGGTGTCGGCTAGGCCAGTTGGACGCATGGTAGTGATGCTTGACGAGCGCGCCGCGAGCGTTATGGTTACCCGAGTCGGAGTGGCCTTGACCCGCCGCGAAGGCCTCCACGTCGAGGACTAGCACGCCGCTGACGAGGTGCGACTCGTCCATGTCATGGAACCGGTCCCACGTGATGGCGCCGCCGCCGGTCCGGCGCTGGCGGCGGTTCATCTCGTCGAGGATGGCGGCCGTGAAGGCGCTCGGCCCCGTGCCGCTAATGACCTCGTCGAAGTCGAGCTGGATCTCGGGCACGGGCACGCCCTGCGTGGCTGAGAGGTCGTCCAGCCAGGCCATGATGTTCTCGACGAGGCGCATCATGACGGGCAGGCGGGGCTTGCACATGAAGGTCCATTGGCAGAAGGACTGCGACTTCTTGCCGAGGATGGGGTGGTCGGCGAACTGGGGCTGGTCGATCTCGACGCCGATGACCATGTCGATGTGCGACTCGTCGTAGCGGTCCGTCATGAACCGCCGCACCGGCTTCAGCGCCTCCACGTCGATGTCGGCGTACACGCCGCCCTCGGCGTACATGACCAGGTACCGGAGGAGGTCCGCCTTGATGATGGTCGCGTTGACGGCGCGGTACATGTCGACGATGTCCGGCCGGTTGAGCCCGTCCTGGCCGTACGTCTGCTCCACCCACGTCAGGTCATTGCTGTCCGTGAGGACCTCGTATCTGAATTCCGGGTTCTTCACCGTCCAGGACTTTGCAGTCAGGGCGTCTCGCTGGTCGAAGGAGAGGGGGTCGACCTTCCACGTCTGCCATATCTTCTTGGGGAACGTGCTGCCCCTTGATCCGTCCTTCACTGGCTTCTGGATCGACGTGTTTCGCTTGTGGGTCGTGGACTTTGGTCGCGGGACCGCCACCGAGCCGAACACGTCTGCGTTGAGGATGAGCAGGATGAAGCACAGGCATGCCAGGTATAAGACGGCGCATCTCCGCATCTGCGTTGGCAGGCGGTTCCTCAGCTTGGCCGCCGAGGCTGACAGCGTTGGCGAGTTCATCACTATCGACGACTGCGACGACAATGTCTCAACATTTATCTAGGCTAGCAGTGGGGATACAAAAAAGAGGTATCGAGAAAAGCACGCGACAAGAGAGAATCGAGAACCAGCGAGCCAAGAGCGCATCTTGGGGCCAACCCCAGGGGGCACGGTTACATAGGAAAAGGGACCCCATCCCCACGACCCGGGACTTGCGACCCATGCAACCCTATCCAGGCCGCCTCCAGGTCGCCTCCTCCAGGCCCGCCCCTGTCATGGACCAGGGTTCGACTTACCACTGCCGCTCTCACAAGCAACGTGAAGGGAAATAAGGCCGAGGTCAACATAGCTCAAGAGACTGGGGGTTGACGTCAGAAACCCGCAGGTTATCTCGGAGGGAGGGTAACATCGCGCTCTGCCCCGGCATTCAACGTGAGAGGATGGAGAACGAGGGGTCGGGTCGACTTGGGGATGCAAGCGGAGACATCAAGTTGGAAATACTACGCAGTCTCCAGTAGTGTGTGTGATGCTAAGTGGGCAACATCTAGGATTACACCCAGCTCCATAGGCTCGCGGCATCCAAGGATACCCAAGACCAAACCACTGGGTTACGCAGCAGTTGGTAGGTGTTTTGGTCGGACGTCCAGAACCACCACGGCGGACTTGCCTAATCTGATATGGGAAGCAATTTGAGCCGCGGATCTTAGCTTCGTTCTAGTAGGTATGTCAGGTCAGGAACCAAGGCTTCTAGCATGTGAAACCCGCTGCCCCCACCGAAAACGGCGCCAATTAGACTCGTGATCGCGACCGAGAGGTTCCAATGCCGCCGATCATTTTAAAATCCGCAGAATATTTCCTGTTTTTCCCCGCATCCACCACACCCAGCAAGTCGGTCAGCACTTGTGGGGGAGGGGGGGGGGGGGGGGACAGGGAGGAGGGGCAAGCAATTTGCTGTAGCTGAAGATCCTCAACCTGCTTCAGCGATTACCCCCTCAGTGCCCTGTTATCAACCTCGGCGATACAGTCGATTCATTGTCTTCAGGTCTGCTCGTGATGGCCACCCTGACCAGCTGTGACGCGTGTCTCTAAGCTGGCTGTTTGGTGCTAGATGTCCCATCACTGAGGCCATCACCGCATGAACCACAGGACGACACGGAACAAGGCGACTCTTACTCACGTTCTCTGGGGAACCTTAACAAGACTATCAACAAGCAAGAGTGCCCCGGCGAGAGTGCGCCAGCTTAAACGGCCCTTACCACACCATCAACAACAGTCTCCTGGCATCTCACCACAATGTCGCCCCAACACCAGGGCTGGGGTATACTAGACGCCGGAGACGCCGGAGACGCCGGAGACGACTGGAAGGAGATCAAGCAACCCGGCGTTGCGATGGAGACGACCCGACCGAAATCCGACTGGAGGCCCATATCATCGCAACCAGCAAAGCACTACCTCCGCCGCGTCCGGTCGCTGATATTCCCCAAGCCCCGCCCGCCCGAGAAGCTGCGACGAACAGCCTACCTCGACGGCCTGCGCGGCTTCGCCGCCTTCCTGGTGTACTGGCACCACCACGAGCTCTGGGCGCACGAGTCCAACGGCACGACGGCCATCTTCGACAACGGGTTCGGGCGCGACGGGCGGCGTTTCCTATGCGCGCTCCCGGGCGTCCGCACGCTCTTCACGGGCGGCCACTTCGCCGTCGCCGTCTTCTTCGTCATCTCGGGGTACGTGCTGTCGGCCAAGCCGCTGGGGTTCATGCACGACGGGCGGCAAGGGCTGCTGGGCGACAACCTCGCGTCGGCGCTGTTCCGGCGATGGCTGCGCCTGTACATCCCGTTGGTGTGCACGACGTTCCTGTACATGCTGTCGTGGCACGCGCTGGGGCGGCCGCTGCGGGTGCAGGGGGCGGAGCCGCAGGGCGGGCTGCGGGACGAGGTGTGGAACTGGTACGCCGAGTTCAAGAATTTCAGCTTCGTGTTCACGACGGGGGGGAAGCCGTGGTTCTCGTACAACTTCCACACCTGGTCCATCCCCGTCGAGATGAAGGGCTCCATCGTTGTTTACACCGCCCTGCAGGCCCTCTCCAGGGTCACCACGTCAGCCCGCCTAGCCTGCACCGCCGCCCTGGCATTCTACTTCCTCTACATCGCCGACGGCTGGTACGGCGCCGCCTTCCTGGCCGGCATGCTGCTCTGTGACCTCGACCTGCTGTCCGCAAGGGGCGAGCTGCCCGGCCCGCTGGCCCGTCCGCTGTCCCGCCTCGGGGAGCCGCAGCGGCGGTTCCTGTGCTACCACCTCCTCGCGGCGGGGATGTACCTAGGCGGCGTGCCGGCCGCGACGCTGGACGTGGCGGACCTGGGCAAGAACCGCGGGTGGTACTACCTGTCGCTGCTGAAGCCGCAGGCCGTCTTCGACTACAAGTGGTTCTACCTGCTGTGGGCGGCCGTCCTCGTCGTCGCGGCCGTGCCGCGCATCGCGCCCGCCAGGCGCTTCTTCGAGTCGCGGTTCTGCCAGCACCTGGGCCGCGTGTCGTACGCGCTCTACCTCGTCCACGGGCCCGTCCTGTGGCTGCTGGGCGACAGGGTCTACGCTGCGGTCGGGTGGCACAGGGAGTGGCACGCCGAGAACATCCCCGGCTGGATCGACTGGCTCAGGCTGCCTGCCGCCGGCCCGCTGGGACTGGAGTTCTCCTTCCTGGCGCCGCATGTCGTCCTCCTACCCCTGACCCTTTGGCTTGCGGAGGTCGGTACCAGGGTGTTTGATGAGCCTGCTGTTAGATTCGCTTCGTGGCTGTATGGGAAGATGTTGCCGCAGCCGGGGAAGATGTAATTAGTTAGGGCATTGTAATGGCAGTAAGAGTACAGCAACATCTGCGAGACCATCTGCGAGACCATATGCGAGACCATATGCGAGACCATATGCGAGACCATATGCGAGAGACCATATGCGAGACCATCTGCAAGAGCATCCATCGCCTCTATTGCGACACACTTGTTCGACCTCGAAATTTGGAGTCCGATTTGGAGCCCCAACTTGGAGCATCCATCCATGCAGGGCACATGTACGCTAGTGTAGTTGCACAATAGCGCGATCGGAGAAGTGGCCAGAAATAGTTAAGGCGATCGGCAAGGAAGATCTGCAGAAAACGACGTGGGAAAGTGGGAGGTGAGGGGCGCAGCATGCTCGAAGCCGCGGTTGAAAAACTCGCTCGGAAATGAAACGTGAAAGTCGCAATCTTAGCCAGCATCGTGCGGCATCCGTCCGGGAGTTGAGAATGAGGAGTGTGATTGATCATCCTGGCAACCGGGAAACTTGGCTTTTCGCCTCCCGTTTTTGCCTTGGCATGACCCCTGAGAGGCACACTAAGCGGGTGGTGGGTGGCAGTCCCGCGATGATGGATGACGGTCGATGATAGATGTCCATTTCCTCGGAGTAGATGCGGGGGAGTTTGGCTGTGAAGTAAATATCACCAACTGCAAGTAGTTACTGCGTCCGCTGTGCAGCGCTCTGTCAGCCAGCAAACGCTTCACGGACAGATGTTCCCACAATGATAGTTCGAGACGTAAGGCGGCTGGCCCTCTTCATCGGCCCCGCCATAGCCATCCTCTACCTCTGCTGGAAGTTCTTCCTCGGCGGGCAGGCCGTCTTCTCCCCGGACGCGGGCCCGGATCCGGCACGGAAGGGGGACTCGTCGCCGCCGGACGACCAGCAGTCCACCACCCTCTCAACCCACCACGAGATCTTCTCCGCCTCGACCCCAAACGGCAGCTACTTCCGCATCACCTTCGGCGCCTCCTCCTCCTCCTCCTCCTCCTCCGACGCGGCCATCAACCCCAACATCATCCCGCACCCGCTCCACGACGACGCCTGGGTCGTCGTCGCCCAGCGCCGCCGTGACCCGGCCGGCCCGACCGTCTCCTCGGAGCTGGTCTGCTACGCCGCCTTCGTCTCGGACGACGAGCTGCGCTGCAGCGACCCGCCCTGGACCCTGCCCGTCGCCCCGACGACCGGCATCGCGTGCGACGGCGACCTGGCCGTGCTGGCCATGAACGTCGGGCCGCACGACGCGCGCGTCTTCCTCGGACCGTCGTCGTCTTCGTCATTTATCGTCTACGGTTCCAACTCGCAGTTCTCGTGTTTTGGGCAGTGGATCCACGACTTTGGAAGGTCGCTGATGGGGTGGGTTACCGCTGACGATGGCGATGTGCGGCCCGTCTTCGCAGAGGGCACGGAGATGCAGCGGCCGAGCGGCGCGACGTACGGGCGGCTCGAGAAGAACTGGTTCGTCTTCTGGGACAGCTCGGGCGGCATGTACGTGCACCACGGGGTCTCGCCGCGGCGGTCGTTCGCGCGGCTCGAGGCCGACGGGTCCGCGGGCGAGGACCTCGCGCCGCTGGCGGCCGGCAACGACGACGGCTGCTTGGCGAGGTACATGCCGGCGGTGGAACCAGAGTCGGAGTCGATCCACCAGGCGACCAACTCGCTGTCCGTCACCATGTGCAGGCGGTCGGACCCGAGCTGCCTGCCTGACGCGTCAAACACGTTCCTATTCACCGTGTTCCAGCACAAGAGCCACCGCGACCTGCGCAGCGTGTACGAGCCCTACGTCATGGTCTTCGGGCAGGACCCGCCTTTCCAGATCCACGCCATCTCGCAGAAGCCCATCTGGTTCCACGGCCGGGGCGGCGGGACTAGCACTGGCAATGGCGAAAAGGTGCAGAGGGAGATGTTCTACGTCGTCTCTATGAGCTGGAAGATGCGAAACCAGCGGTATCACGGTTACCTCGACGATGTCCTGTTCATTGCTTTTGGGATCGAGGATAAGGATGCGGCGGGGATAGACGTCGTGGCGGGTGATCTGTTGGCAGGGTTGGGTCTTTGTTCCGATTCATGATACCCTGGTTTGATGCATTTAAAGGGGTCATTGGAGGGAGGCGTTTTTGGGGGGATACGGTGCTCGCTTGGAAACATGCCGAGTGTTCCGGGTGCCACCAGGCAACCGAGATTTGTTCTGACCGGAAGGGGGTGGGCTATGCCACCAGTCTTGCTTGGTAAATCCGGACAGACAGATATGCAGGCAGACGGGATCGATCTGAGCCAGCCTGCCAGCACGCAGAGCTACGCGTCCCTGTCTCGGAATGTACCGCTACTATGTGTACTAGCAACGGGTGGTTTCTCGCGGCGCGTCACAGGATTCAGGAACCATTTCGGTCGCTCCCGACCCTCTCTTCTTTTTTTCCTTTTTTTTTTTTTTCGCTGTCCTCCCTGGACGCTGCACCGAGGATGAACATTGGGATGAGCATTTTGACTTGCATCGTTCCTGCAGGCTGTTTTTGACTTGCATCCTTCCGGAACATTTTGACTTGCATCCATCCTTCCTGCAAATTAATTCCTAGGCGTTCCACTAGCCCCAACAGGGCAACCAAGAAGTCTCAGCCCTTTTGGCGACGCTTGGCTGTTTCTGTTTGGGCGATCGGTGCAACTTGGCCGCCAAACCGGTCAGCATTCTTTCTGCCTGGCTGCACGCAGAATCACTCAGCCTCATCCCTCGTACGTGTACATACCATACAGGTTCCTTCAGCCAAGCTGGTCACACGAGCATCATGCAGTTCCCGACTTCCGAGTGGGCCAATTATCCTTCTTGAAACGTGTTCCTAGCTCCGCCGCGGTAGGAAGTGCTTGATTTTAGTGGAGGTGCGGGCGGGCTATGCCCCAAACAACATAGCGGCCCTCCAATACCAATCTTCGAGGTGGGGGTGGTTACCCACATCAACGGCTATCATTGCCGGTTCCAGTAGTCCCAGTTCCAGTGTCGAAGCACCGTTTCCCTGTCGAAAATGTTTTGTACGAGGAACACACTGCCTAACACGGCCTGACGTCACAAATGTGCCAAGAGCAAGGAGAGCAGGCAAGGCAGAAGCCAGGGGGGGAGCGGCCGGGAAAAAAAGAGTTTAAAAAAATGATGCTCTCTCTCCAACACGTCGTCGAGGGGAAGGATGAGAAGTTTTTATAGAGATAGTCGCCACACGCCTACCCAGCAGCCGACTCAGCAGTCACCATCTCCTGTCCCGTCTGCCTAGCATGGGTGCTCTCAAGAACATCGTCGAGCCAGCATGTCCGTGGAACTCAAACCATTCCTCTCTCGCCATGATCCCCGCGAGGCAGAAACAAGATCAAGATTGACATTGAAAACCCAGGCATCGTTGGGATATTCACCGCCGGCTCGCTCATCAACTCCCGGAGCCGGAGGCCCGTCGTCGACGGCCATGATGGCAGCGTTACCGACCCCATTAGGGGCTGGGGTCCGCCCAAGAGGGCCCAGAGCCCCGTCTCCATGATGATGCCGCGCTTCGACCGCCACATCCTGACGCGGTTCCTCCACCGCTTTCCGTTCCTGATGGAGATATTCTATTGGAACCTAACATACTGGGTAAGAAATGCTCGAAACCAAGGAGAGGGTAATGAAAGAGAAAAAAAAAGGAACATCAAACTGACAAGGCACCTTCAAATCCCCCCCGCAGATCTACCAGCTCGCCCGCGCCTTCTCGGCCTCCCAGATCCGCGACGACGACGCCGTAATGAACACGGCAGCCCGGCACGCCCTGCAGCTCCTCGCCATCGAGACGCGGCTCGGGATCGCGATCGAGAAGCCCATCCAGGACGCGGTGCTGTCGCGGTGCCCGGAGCTGATGGACGTGCTCGCGGCCGTGTACTACTCGCACATCAGCGTGGGCGTGGCCTTCCTGGTGTACAGCTACACGTACCTCCCGTACCGGCGGCACGCCGCCTTCCGCCGCACGCTGTTCGTCGACAACTGGCTGGCCTTCGTCGTCTTCACGTCGTGGCGCGCCATGCCGCCGCGCCTGCTCCCCTTCGACGACTACGGCTACGTCGACGTGCTGCACGGCGGCTCCGGCGGCAACGCCTGGACGCACAACCGGTTCCAGCTGACCATCGCCGCCATGCCGTCGCTGCACTTTGGCACCTCGGTCCTGCTCGCCGTCACCATCTGGCGCTTCTCCCCGCACCCCTGGCTGAGGGCCCTGTGCCCGCTCTGGCCCGCCGCCATGCTGCTGACCATCCTCGCCACCGCGAACCACTGGATCCTCGACGCCGTCGTCGGCGCCTTCATCCCGCTCCTCGGATGGCGCCTCAACCGCCTCGTCAGCCGCCTGACCCCGCTCGAGGACTGGCTGTTCCGCATGCTGAGGACCGAGCGGCCACCGCCCGGCGAGTCAATAGAGGTTTTGCGGAGGGAGGAGGCGGCAGTGAGGGGCAATGGGGTATAACCGTATAACCGCCTGCCGAGTTTTGTTTGTTTTGGGAGTTGGCTACATTCTCTTTTGTGTCCCTCCACCCGCCACCCGCCGATCAACTCGCGGGCCGGTTTATCGAGGGAGGGGGAGGAAGGGGCCAGGTCACCCCGGAGATTTGATGGCATATGCGTTGTTTTTCTTGTCGCTGTTGTTTATATATAGCAAATCGAGCTGCGGCTAGAACCATTTTACCTTAGATCCAGACGATTAGAAACTAATTAGCAGTACGGAGGCGAAGGCCCATATCCGTAACTGCACCAATAACTCCCACTTTGGCTTGACCCTAACTACTCCGGCACATCCACCACGACCGTCGCCCGGCCAGGCCTCAGGCGATCGCTGCCTAGATAATACACCGCCAGCTCGTTCACCCCAGCGGGCAAGTCCTCAGCCCGCACCACGATCGTCGCACCCCCCTCACCATCCAGCGACGCCGAGCCCACCAAGTCGGCGCTCCCGTCCGCCACCCGCAGCTCCACTGTCCCCTCGGCAGGCTCCCCGGGCCCACCAGCCACGGCCACAGTCACCGACCCCGCCACCTTCACGGCAGCCGTCACACTCGTCGGCCCCGTCGGCGGCTCCTGATACCCGTTCTCCATCAGCGCCCAGTCGGGCCTCGCCGTCCGGCAGGGCACACAACCGGGGCCCCAGTACGCCGACGACGAGGCGTTGCCGATGTTCCTTCTGCCGTCCTGGGGTACGCGCCCGCTCACGGGGTTGCGGTACGACCACCACATGCGCTGGATGTCGGGCCAGCCCACGACGTCCGTCGGCCCGCCCGAGAACCCGGCCTCGCGCTCCGTCATCTTGGCGTCCTTGAGCGACACGTCGGGCGGGAAGTTGCTGGCCTGCCTGGCGTCCAGGAGAGATAGTGGCTGGTGGACCAGGGTCGAGGGTGAGCGCCCCCCCTTGGTGCTGCCTGAGCCCACGCCGGCCCAGCCGCTGGCCCAGCTGCTGCTCTGCCAGTAGAACTCGTCGATGGTCAGACACCATAGCTTCCTCCTGACGGTGCCATTACCAAAGTCCTCCAGCACAAACTGGTCATGGTACATGCCCCCATTAAACCCCCACACCCCATCAAACCCGCCACTCGAGCTCCTCGACGTCCCGGTCTGCAATATCCGCGCCCTCAGGCTCGACGACCTCCCATCCTCGGACACCAAGATCACCGGCTGCGGTCGCCAGTGGAACGGCACGTTGGGCCTCCGCGGGTCCTCCGTGCCGGCGCCGTACCGCGACGTGCACGCGCCCTCGATCCGGCCCGGCGTCCGGTACCAGCCCGTGCCCGGCGACTCCTTGAAGCCCTTCTGCGCGTGCAGCGCCGCGAACCTGCCGCACCGGATGTCGTCGGCGTAGTAGCCGTACGCGGCCGACACGTTCTCCGTCTCGTCGAAGGCCGAGGACCGGGCGAGGCGGCGGCGCAGGTCGGAGAGCGGGGAGGCGGTTGTTGTTGTTGTTGTGTTGGTCGCGGGTCGCCAGAATGGCTGCCAGTCGTCCGGCTTGTTGGAGCCGCTGCGGGGGAGGACGTCGAGGAACGCCGGGGGTTCGGTGGTGGTGGTGGCGCTGTTCTTGGGGAGGATGCCGCCGTCGGCCCAGCCCGCAGAGTAGTTTGCGACCAGCAGGCGGGTGAAGTCGAGATGCTTGATCTTCCACGTCCCGCTGTCCGGGTCCTTGATAAAGTGGTTGCGGAAAACGGTGAACTCCCACGACGCCGTCTTCGCGTTGGCATCGCCAATCATTCCGACCTCGAGACCGCGGGTTGTTGCCTCTCGCCCGTCGGGGCCGACCGCCACGATGCTCTCGAAGATGGGATGGTCGTTGAGGATGCCCCGGCTCAGACCCTCGGGTCCCATTTTCTCCAGCCACTTGCGAATCTCGGCACCTCCTGTATAGGTGTTGCCGTCGATCTTGACGGTGCCGTTACGGTCAAATAGATCAATGACATCGGTCCACATCTGGCGATCGACATAATAGCCATACGAGTGCTGGAGGTTCCTGACCTCGTCCTCCTCGTTCAGTTGGCTTATGCGGTACTCCAGCTCGTCGACGTCTAGCTCAAACTCCGAGCGCCGGGGCGTCACTTTGCTTTCCTCAGGGAGCATGATCGGTATCCCCGAGTCATCCGGAGTAAAGTGGTACGTGACAATAGGCAAATTATTCCCTCCGACATTCGTCCAGCCATTCTTGTAATCACCAGCAAACAGCGGGTAGTAGCGCAGCAGCGAGATCTTCCAGCGGTCTCCATTCTCGTCGCTGGTGGTGAGGGCATACTCATTCTCGAAAACCCCGCCCTGGATCCGACTCTTTCCCGCACCATCTCCCATGAGCCGCAACGCATGCCATCGCGCCTTAGCGCTCCGACCATCAGTCGACAGGCTCACAAGCGGCATCTCATTGACGAGCGCATGCAGCGACCCGGGCCGGACCCCGTCCATTCCTCCGGCGTCCTCGCGGAGCCACGCCTCGATAGCCGCAGGCCCCGTGACGGAAGTGGCATCGCTGTCGGCCAGGATGTTAGCCCCCTTGCCCGACCCCCAGCGCAGGACGCCCTTGTCGGAGAAGAGCGCCGCCATGTCGCCCCAGCGCCCGTACTGCGCCAGCTGGCCAAACGTCCGCTGCAGGTCCTTGACCTCGCGTACCGACTCGACCCTCGCGAGATCCCGTGCCAGCGATTCGGCCGTTACCGCCGTCGCCTCGGCCGCCGCTGTCGCCCACAGGACGCCGGTCCAGAGGACCAGCATGAGGGAGGCTGTTGGTCCGACGGGAAGCTTCATCGTGAGCTAGACGAAAAATAAAGTACACCAGTGACGATAAGAACTTTGCTACGGCCTTTCCTTTCAAGTGCCACCTACCACGATGGGTGGATGTATTTACATATAAATATCTTGTCGACACTCTCCCCGCAGCTGCATTCATCTCAATCAATGAAAGAACGGCTAATTGAGCTGACCCCCTCTGCCGACTGCATAGGACCGATCCTTCCATACGTTATAATTAAGCTTGAATCCCGATTGTGGGGAAGACATCGGGCTAAACTGCCCAAGATGAACGGTTGTTCGGTAGTTGGGAGGCGATACATGCCCAGAGCTTGTAGGTCCTCGTTGGTAGGCGATTAAGCTTTTAGGCAAGGGGCTGAATGAAGTAATATGTGTCTGGCCAATCGAGGAGCAACGGGGAAGGTATAACTGTGAGGGTATAATAGGGATTAAATATACAGTGCATCAAAGAGTTTGAAAAGGAATCGAGGTAAATACTGTTGCCCCAACCATCCAACAATGTTTCAGAGCTTCCATGGAGTTCATGGCAACAGTTTGGTTATCATCCTCTCACGTGTCCTTCGACTTTCCTGGGTTCAACCAACCGACTCTTCATCTGCTTCGGCCCCTAGACGCTCGTCAACCCGCGTTTGGCTGCTCTCCGGAGGCTGGAGTCAGTGAAGATGACATCCTTGATATGTCGTGGCTAGTAATGTCAGAAGAGCTGATGCCTGATATTGACAACTCCTCATAAATCGTTCGCAGGGACTCCAAGAGCATTGGGTGCGGTAGTAGGCCTTGGAAGCACATGGCACCTTCTCCTTGTCCCTGTGAATCCAACAAGAGTCTCCCTAGTGGACACCTTGGCCATGGTTTCTCACGACGCCGGCGGTTTCTGGCCCCATACGGCAAGTCTGACAAATATCAGCAAAACGAAAGCGTCTTGATGGAGTCTCAGGAGTAACGCTTACGCAGGAACATATCCATGGATCTTCCTATCCTTAAGCCCAGCCCGGACGTCGACGAGGAACACCTCGACCTCCTCTGTGGACCAGCCGTGGACCTTTGTGAAGACGTTCATCGTGATGCCTTGCGCCACCTCAAGCAGGTTGGTCATCATCAGCGCCCCGCGCACCTTCTGCTCCGTGCCCTTGGCCCACGGGTTTCCCGGCACGGCGAACTTCTTCTCCGTGACATTCACGAACCCGGCCTCCTCCATCCACTTCTTGCAGTTGACCGCCGAGAGGGGGTCCTTGCCCATCTTTTTTATCCCTGGTTATCGTTAACCAGACGCTCAGACGCCGCCCCTAAAACAAAGCAGGAGGGGGTGATGAGACTACCTTCGACCATCAGCGAGTTCCATCGCTGGATAGGGTGACCGTCGAGGGAATTATCGACGGCTTTCATGAGCATCAGCGTCTCCATGATCTCCACGTAACCGCCCGGGTTGAGGTTGTCGTATATGCTCCTCAGCAGTTTCGGGACGTCTGCCAGGAACGGGCAGATATATCTGCCATGGATGTAGTCAAACTTGTGATTGTAGACCCATTCGTCTTCGATATCGTCAATCTCAAACCGGCAGTTTGGAGGCACGTATTCCGGCTGGATCGGGCTGAGGTCGGTGCCCAGGACGTCGGCCTCTGGGTGTTGATCCGCTGGAGGAATAGTTGTAATTAGTCTGAGTCGGACACTAGGAGACGGAAAGTGAACACCCACCAAACTGGATTGGCCAGATGCCCGTGCCAGTGCCTATGTCGAGGACCCTGTCAAGCCTTTCGACTGGTGCAAGGTGTAGCTTTCCGCCGAGGAGCCTAAGGGCAAGTGAGTGTTGCAAGTCTGAGATCCTCGTTAGTCCTGTTAAGATGCTAAACAGTTGATGGTTGATCGTGATTAAGAATGTTCACTGACCTAACCTTCCTTGCTCTTGCTGTGTTCAGAGCGGGGTCACTCGTTAATAGCTGCCAACCGGAGTTTGAGAATAGCGAGGCAATAACTCACTTCATCGTTTGGCAGATAGTATTCTGGGGAGAAAGGAAAAATGGAAAGCAAAGGTTAGTTCTGAGCCACATCCATACAGTCCATAATCAGGCCACTCACTCCCTTCCTTATAACTATGATAAGTGCGCCCAAACTCCTCGATAAAACGGTACACACTCGACGTTGCAGAGACGTTGGATGCGCTGGCGAGAAGAGAGCACGTTAGCCCATCATCCTTCCCTACAGCCAATGGGGGGGCAATTATTGGTAATAACCCACGGTCTATCCATGTCTCCCAGTGATGAGTTCGCGTCACTGTCGTCCGAATCGATCTGCATGCAGGAGGGGTTACTTCAGCACGGCAGAAGCAAAGCAATGTTATCACCCGGGGACTCACGCTCAGTCCAATAGATGATGAGCCGCTCATGTAATGCAGATACTCGTCTTCGCCCTGCTGCTCCTCCAATGCCGTGTCTCCCAATTCCGTGGTCGGTGCGGGCGCTGCTAACGGAACGGGGTCGCCCGGGGGAGCCTCCGCCTCAGCGGCTGGCCCCTGGGGCACCCCGGGCGCTTCCGGGAGCATCGTATCATCTCCCCGGCCATCGGCAGAAGGGGTGAGAGACGAAGGGAGCCCTGTATCGCTCATGGTTGACTAATAAGGGGGTTGGATTTGGGGGTGGGCGAGGGTCAACAACGTTGTGCGAGAGAACAGTTGCAATTCAGCCGGAGGGGTCAGGTTGCGCGATTTCATTAGCCGCCATTGTTACAGCGGCAACGCACACCACCACCACAAGCGAGCTGGAGCTGGAGGATTGAATGAAACCATGCCCTTGCGTTGCATCTGACGGACTACCCCCACGCCGACATCCGGCTAGCGCTTCTTTAGCTTCGTCACCCGTTCAACGGTTTTGTAAGGCTGCACGCCTTGTGGGGGTCTTTCGTGCAGCTGTTCATTGGTTTATCATGGGGGCTCGCCTCTGTTCCATCGTGGGGGCAGAACTGGCCCATGGTATTGTCCTTGGGCAAGGAAAAGAATATATTACACGTGCCAACACTGGCCCTGAAGAAGCGACTACAAAATCGAACTTATGCGTCGGGGTAGCAGCACCGCCACGGTACGTACGGGAGGCACTACCCGCTTCCTCCACCGATAAATAGAGGCAGATAGTTCCCCAGATAGGATACCTCCTAGCTAGTATATGCCCCATTGCCCCCCACAGCAACAACAAACACCCTCGGATCCCCAGCATTGACCTTCCCAGACTGATCCTCCCCACCATCAGGCTGCACATCATCATACGCAAACGCATACCCCTTCCCATCCAAATTCACCTCATGCACAATCCGCGCATAGTGGTTCGCCGGATCCCTACCGTAGAACGTCGACGGGTGCGACGGATGCTCCCCCACCTCCGGCAGCGCAGCCCGCACCAGCGCCGCCGCCAGGCGCGGGATGATCGCGTTCCTCGCCGCCGACGGCCCCGTCACGAACGGGCCCGTGTTGCACCCGAGGATATCCGCCGTAGTAGGCTTGGCAAACGTCTCATCACCGACGACCAGCTCGCCCTTCTCGCTGACGGATCCCGCCAGGGTCCCCGGCGCGGCCTGGGTGTTGATGCGCATCTCCGCACCTCGCCCGGCGCGGCTGAATTTCCTCCAGACCTCCTCGACGAGCGGCTCAAAGTACCCGTCGAAGCTAGCCCCCACCGCCGCGCCGTGCGTCGGGCTCAGGGCTCGTAAGGGCGCCTGGCCTGGTTTCTGGACGATCAGCTTATCCCACGGCATGCCGTCCCTCCGGGCCTGTGCGCGGAGGCCGTCGCACACCCTGTCCAGGCCGTCGGGGCCCATGCCCGAGACGTGCTGGACGGAGTCCGGGGCGCCGGCCTGGTGGCGGTCGAGGGTCAGGGCGATGGGCAGGCGCGAGACGAAGTCGACGTAGCTGATGTTTGCGAAGAGCTGGTCGGCGTTGAGGGTGAACTCGGCAAAGGCGAAGTTCACGTCGGCGTTGGGGTCGCTCGGGTTGAGGACCGATGGCTCAACTAGGGCCGGGCCCGGGTTCAGCAGGAAGGTCAGCTTGGCGTCGGAGCTGAACCATATGCGCCCGCCCGCGATCTGCGGGATGTGCACTGTCGTGGTGCTCCCGGGGGGCCCGAGGGGGATGGCGCAGTCCTCTGCTAGGGGTGACAGGATCTCAGATGGGCTCTCGGGGTAGTAGAGGTCCTTGCCGTTTGCCTTAACGAGAACTCGGGCGCCATTCTTTTGGATGGCGATGCCGGTGACGTAGGCGTAGACCTCGTGGGAATTGGTGTGGTTCTGCAACTGGATATCGAGTGAGTCGGGCATTTTCCTAGTCGAGTCCGAGGCCCCTAATTTGAAGTAAAATGGATGCTTGGGATGCACAACCTAGGTAACCTGTTCTTCTGCTCGATCTGTGGGTCTACGATACAGATTACTCTGTCACAAATTACTCAGGGCGACCAGTGCTATGACGTCACACATGTCCTAGAAAATTGATGAGGCCAAGGCGAGCTAGCTGCAGGGCTGCTTACTCTGAGAACTCTAACGGTTCAACCTTCAGAAAATGTCTCCCCGACGTTGTGAAAATCAGGAACTGTGCCATCTTGGTTAGACTGGCTGACCAACAGAGGAGAAGCGACGAAGATAAAGCTTTACCTGGTAGTACCTGAGTATAAAAGCGAAAAAATCGTTGTTAAAGAGAGCATACTGGGTATCTTGGAACCTCCGAGGTAAATCTCCTGCTTGTAATGTACACTGAAGGAAATACTGATTTATTATGCAGGAGAAGGGCGTTAAGAGACAGAAAATTTATAGTTAGCCAGCTTCAAAGAGCTAACCGATCTGGATAAAACCGACATGTGTAGAACGTTCCCCTAGAAGCTGTCTTATTAACCAGTCCTTGATATCCACGATATACGCCCGCAAGACTAGACGCCATTCGAGGTCGAGTGAGTCGAGTTATAATAATAGGGGGCGAAGACTTACAAACTTCAGAAGATCTCAGCTTCGTTACCAGACAGGCTGTACTTTCTGGAATGAGCGAATGCCAGGGATTTAAACCAAATAGCCTTCTCTTCAACCTTCTAATCACCCGGTGTAAGAAACTTCCGAGCTCCAAAGTTGCCCCGCGAAAGTAAAAGACGGGTGTACCTGGTCTTATATAGCCGACGATATCATCACCGGTGTATACGTAGTATAACGAGGAAAGCATCTATTTATAGGATATGCCCCTGTTCCAGGCACAGCGCTCACTCCCATCTCGCAGATCGACGCCCTGACAACGCTGACGGGCGACTGGGCCATCAACGCGACGGGGACGCTGAACTTGGCGTCCAAGGAGGATTCGACCACGATCCCCAAGGACCAGCGCGACACCCGCGAGACCATCCAGGCGGCGAGGACCTCCAAGAGAAGGAACCTTGGTCGGCAGGCTTAGGTGGAAAGCGGAAATGCGAATATGGACGAGTTTGATGCTGATTATGGAAGAGTTGAGATGCCCCTGAGAACTACCTTTTATATGGTATATATTGGTACCAGTAGCTTTTGTATACATATCCCATCTTCACATAGAAAGGCCTCCTACTGCGCCGCAACCTTGATCACGACCTTCCCCTTGCAGCCCTTCCCCTCAACCTTCTTGAACGCCTTCTCAAAATCCGCAAACTCAAACACGCTGTCCACCCAGGGGAAGCACCTCCCCTCATCCACCAGCCTCGCCACATCCGCGAGGTCGGTCCCATCAGGCCGGACGAGGAAGAACTCGCTCCTAGCCAGCTTCTTCCCCACGTATGCCTCGGGTCTCGCCTCGTCCGGCCCCGCCACGACGCTGAACAGCCTCCCGCCCTCCCTGACCGCGGCCCAGCACGCCGCCAGCGTCGCCCCGCCGGCGCAGTCCAGCACAAGATCACAGTCGGCCTCGCGCCCCGACGCCCAACTCTCCAGGGACTGGACACTATAGTCGACGACCTCAAGCTGCCCAGCCGGGCCCAGCTTCGCCACATCCGCAACCTTGGACGGCCCACACACCGCCACCACAGAGCCCACCCCGGCCGCGACAGCAAGCTGGACAGCCCAACTCCCTACCCCACCCCCCGCGCCCGCGACCAAGACCCGCAGCCCCGAGTTCCCCTCACGAGCGTCCTCATCCCCCCTCAGCGCCGCCCTATCCACGCCGCCATGCTCAAACAACCCCTGGTACGCGGTGAGCGAGCTGAGCGGCGTGGCCGCCGCCTCGGCCCAGTCCAGGCGCGCCGGCTTGCGGGCCATCCAGGCGCCCTGCGCGACGGTGTACTCGCGCAGCGAGCCCGTGCTGGAGGGCGAGGCGCGGAAGAAGACCTCGTCGCCGGGGAGGAAGGCCGGCTCGCCGTCGTCGGGGGCCACGGCGCTGACGACGACGCCGGAGCACTCGGTGCAGGGGACGCGCTCGCGGTTCTCGGGGAAGAAGTCCGGGAACCAGGCTTCCCAGTTTAGCTCGTTGAGGCATGGCGAGGCGGCGAGGACGCGGATGAGATAGTTGTGGGGAGGGGTTGGGGATGGGAGGGGGGATTCCTCGAGGACGAGTGAGGTTGAGTGAGGGTCCGGTTGGTGGACGACCTTCATGGTGGTGGGAAGAGCCATTGTGATAGTAGTTTGATGATGGTTTGTATGTATATGTGTACCGGCGCTATTGCTGAGTGTGATGTGTCTGGGTCTGAAGGACGCGGCCTCGCTGCTCTTATATCTTCTCTTCTTCGAGGGAGAGGGCCCGGTCTCCCAATGAGGAAACGTGGTGTCGTTTACACCCCCCTTGAAGCCCGTACATTCCGATGAAGCCAGTCACGCCGGTTGACGTAATGTTGAGCTGGGCAATCAGTCATACTGGCCATGCCGCTTGCCCTGTAAGCACGGGGGAAAAGTCGGCCATTGTGTCTTGGCTGCGGGACAAGCATGCTATAGCTGTTTCATCTATTACGTATGAGAACCCCTACTTTTCCAACGACGTTCCGATACAATTATCACAACATCTTCTCTTATCTTTTGACAAGAGGACCGCGGAAATGCAAGTTCCCGTAGTTAAGTAGGGTCTTAGTAAGAGCCCATTGCTCACTTACTCACGCTCATCGGCGTTAAACTGGCCGAATACAATCCATGTTCTGTTCCGCGTCGGACCATCGCACGTCCGATTGCCGACTGGCGTTCACGACTACCTGGTCCTGATGTGCTGAGAAATATTCGTCGCCGGAGACCCCGCCGGGCACGCCAACACAAGATCTCGCCGACATTATCGTAATCTAATTACTGTCCCTCCAAGGGATTATTATGGATTAATTATCTGTTGTCTACCCTCAACGCTGCAATGCAAAGCACGAAGACAGACATTTGAGAGGCATCAGCAGACACGGATTCAACATCCAATTATTGCGGTTCCTAGGTGTCATGGGAGATTTGGAAGGATTCAGCAACACGTGCCTTCTCCTGTTTGAGAGGAGCATCTTAAATACCTCACCCCACGCTCGCGATCATAGACAAATTGCATCAAGCATTCATCCTACAGTCCCCTACAATACCCGACGCCAATTACCCTTCCTCGCCTGCTGTGTCTCCTTTAAAAACACCCGATGACAGCCATGGAAGCCGAAGCCAAAACAGAAGACTCGTCGCTGTCGAGCACCCTCGCTCCCGATTCCACGTCCATGGCGACAACGGCGGCAGCGACAACAATGTCGGACGAGCCAGAGGCCAAGAAGCGCAGGTGGTCCAACTACTACGTGATTGTCCGGTGCAGCCAAGACCACCTCTTCACCACCATCTGGGTGCCGTATTTCTCGCTCAAGGCCGGCCGGTTCGGCTCGCAGCGGCTGCAGTGGTGCCCGGTCGGTCGCCACATGACTCTAATCAGGAGAGTCTATGTCGAGGAGCTGACGGAGACGGACCGGGAGCGGGCGGCGTCGTGCATCGACATGCGCGTGCCGTAGGGCAGGCAACGCCCGTCGCAACTCCTTTACACCTGGAATCCCGAGTAATCCTCGTCCTCGTTCGCTTTCGCGTTCTCGTCACCCTCTTGTCACCCTTCTGAGCAGGTCCAACCCGCGTCTTGCTCTGTCCTATACCATAAGGCCCGATACCCCGTCGTCATCGCAGAAATTTCCTCTCGACGTACTTTCCTCGCAATAGGTACCGAACAGATATAATGTTGTGGTGGGAGATCAAATTGCATTTGAAGAAACGGAGACGCTGTTTTTTCGCGTGTCGCACCCCGTCGACTGCCGGTTCCCTGTTTGGCCAGACGTGTCAAGTTGACACATTTGGACGAAGTCGAGAAGTCCAGCTTACTCGCAACCATGCCCATGTTTAGTAGCATCCTACCTAGTCTTTGCACCTCATGTACTCGAAGCAAGCTCTTCTAGAATTGCCTCCCCTCAGCAGAGACACAAATGCAAGCAGCCATACTTCCCAAAATAAGAAAACACGCAAGGTACTGCGGAAGGGCGTGTCAGTCTCGTAGACATGCACGTCGCAGAAGTCTGGCTGCAGTGTCGATATATATTTACATAGATATTTACATATGCCGCTCTGCCATTCCGGCTTCGGGCTTCTTATGGCGGAGGTGGGTTTCTTCAAACGTATCCGACTTGCGCCGTCTTTTCTCTGGTCAGCTCGTATTGTGACGCCTCATTTCTCCAGCCCATCCGCCTGCGAGCCCGCATCACCGATCTTCAACTCCCTCATTGGCCCCTCCACGCCGGTAAACGGACACACACCCTTAGCCCCGGCCCCGGCCCCGGCCCCAACCTCTTCCTCCTCCTCCTCCTCCTCTTCCCCCTCCCCATCCACCTCATCCAGCACCTTCCTCCCACGTAACCACCCCTCCTTCTCGACAGCCACCCTATCCTCCCCATCCCCAAGGAACTCCTCCCCGTCCCGCACATACCACTTGGCGAACAGGTCGTTCTGTATCCAGATGACCTTCCCCAGCGCTTTGACGACGGCGATCTTGCGTCGGGCCGGGAGGCGCGGGTGCGAGAGTATCGCCTCGGTGAGCACGTCCTGGACGACCGAGAGCGTCACCCCGATGTGCACGTACTCGACGTGGAGGGGATGAGACCTGCCGAGGCCTACGTGCATCATCCTAACCAGGGGTTAAGGCATGTGATTGAGGTTGGGGGGTCAAGGAAGCGAGAAAGAAGCAAAACACACAGAACTTACCCAACCTTATCAAGGTACTCCCAAAACTCCATCTCGCTGGGGTCAGAGCAGAGCTTGTTCAAGTACGCGCGGAGGAACATCTTCCTGTGCAGGATCTGCGGGCTTTCCTCGCTGGGGACCTCGTCCATCGGCCCCTCGAAACTGGTGCTCCTCGTCTGGAACGCCCGCGCCGTGATGTCGTACTGCACCAGCTTCCGGTACACAATGTTCACCACCGCCGGTATCAGCGCCCGGATGTACTTGGCCCCCGACACCAGCGCCTCGATGTCCCCTGGGCCAGGGTGGGTTAGTTACGCTTTGGGATCTAATATATCTCCAACGGGATATTATCCAGAGGGCGGTTGGGGGATTTGTTCATACTGCTGCTAAAGTCTAGGAATGAGTGGAGATAACGTATCCGCGACTCGAGATTGGTGTACAATTCCTTGCGGTCGATATGTTGCATCGGCCGGCTTCTGGACGTCATGGTGGAAGACAGGGGGTTTATTTATGTCAGGGGTTCTGTATCTTGGCGTTTGGGAATGGCGATGGAGATGCAGAAGAACCCTCAGCAGTGATCAACACCAGGGCGACCTAATCTCAGCAGCCAAATTCCTTCCTTTAAAGCCAGTCTATGCAGACGACAATCTCGGATGATTCACCTGACGCCTGCGGCAATATCCCATTGTGGTTCTTGCGTGGTCTGAGGTCCTGGCCCGGGCACCCAATAGCAGTCCCTAGAATTCCCGATGCTCTGATCGATCATGCCAGCATACTCACAAGCGGGTCCCAAACCCGCTGAGCTGCTGAAGAGGGTCCCACATTTGGGATCGAGTTACTTTGGTTGATGCCTCATTGGTCGTGAAAAATCCACCAGGTGCGAAAGTCATGCTATGCATCACGGCTATCGTCTCTTCAAGCGAGATGGGCCAGTAAGGGACTACTAGTCAGATCCTTACACCAATCTAGGCTGCAAGCGCGGTGATTCGTCTGCTCTCTCTATATTATCGCCCTGGCGAAGGTCACGTTGAACCTCGTTCCTGCATCGCATATGTGGGCTGGACAATGGGTCGATGGAACGATAGGTCAATCCCAGGCAACGCAGATCTTCGTTAGAATAACGTTTAAGCACATTTAACCCAAACGTAAAGCTGACAAGTAAGATTAAACCGATTTCAGAAGTGAAAACAAGCGAGAAGAAAAAAGTTGAAAAACAAAGGTCCTGGCAGGAAACCTTGGGATCAGAACCAAGAGTGATAACCCCTACACAACAGAACCAATAACATGTCACCTGTCACCTGATGCGTGACTGATAACAGAGCACTGTGAAATTGTCAAGTGTTGCCAAACAGTTTACCAAAATTAATAGGTGCAATTGGCAGATTTCTTTCCCTTAAGCTCTCTAGAACTTTTTGTTCTTAGAATTTTCTGAGATTCTCGTCACAACTCTATGTACCACCCTTATTTCAACCACCTTCTAGCAGCAATTTCCTTCGTTTTCCCCTCACCTTTTCTACACTATTTTAAGGCCTCGGGTGAGGGACTAGGTCCTGTCCAGGGCACTAGGCCTGCCATCCTGCCCATGCACCTGACCCTGTTCTTCGAGGCTGTTAGAAGAGTGCGTGTTGTAACCGGAACAGTCTAGGGACTTTAAGGTCCTAGTCCTCAAGGCTGGCGTCGACAAGTCCAGTATTCTCTGCGTGGGTAATCCTGAGCCCGAGGTGGTCCTGGACTCTTTCGTGACCACAGTAGCAAGGCCTGTAACAAGGCGAGCAATCCTTTCTTTGATAAGCAGCCCAGAGACTTATTCTAGCTTTCGGATACTGTTGTCCTCGGAAATTCCATTACAGGCAAGCCAGATTTGCAGCCTAGGATCTAGGGTATCGGCTGTCATCTTGGGACATATAGGCCTCCCAATAAACCTTCCAGTCGGCCTCGTCGAGATTGTAGTCGTAGACGAATGGGCGGAACATGACGTCTGCTGAGATGGAAGATTCCCTTCGGCCTACCGACGATGCGTTCAAGGCATTCTACGAACAAGGCTACCGGACTTGGTACAAGCTTAATGGGTCGGTGCGGATGGCGATAGTAGCCCCCTCCCGTCGACGTGTCTGGAAGCTGAGCAACTTTTCCCTCAACATCCCGTTCTCCCTGCCGGTCTAGGTCTAGACGATTCCGGGCTTGTAACTGCAAAGTCTACCTGGATAGCCTCTGAAGGGCACTGCGATATCCCCACATTCGAGCAGACCTTTCAAATGGCGGTAGCAATCGGGAAGCCAACATCAACCATCCTTGCAGATAGCTCAGGTTTAACGGTCTTTGAGTGGTTTGGCAAAGACGACGGCCATCTTGTGGTCCTGATTTTTGCTTGGGCGTACGCATTGTCCGCAAGGTGGGTGGAGATCATCCCCCGAGCGTCTCCGATGGAATACACCTCAAGCCAAGCACCTTGGACAGCCCACCAAGTCTCCGGTGAAGAGGCCGAAAATGGCAGACCTATGGTGGTTGAGCTGGGGAACGTGACTGACGAGGCAGCTCGATGGTGGGCAGCCGTCCTTGCGCCTGGGGAGGGTTGGAGGGCAGCCATACCTCATGAGCGATGGCGACTTCTTTCGCTCTGGAGTGTCACAAAGGAATCCAACAGCATCCCCATTCCCTAACTAGTTCTCTGAGCCATACGAATTCTCACTCAGCGACCCCGGCATCCTTTGAAGCGGCGTTGCATTACATCGAGGATTATTCCGCACTCCACAACGCCAACACACAGAGCCGGACGGCCCTTGCCGCCTCACTACTTCTCCCCGTGGCCAAACTCGACAATAGGAAGATTCTCCTTCATGCACCTCGAGGACTCTGCAAGCAATCGGTAGATAAACGAACACCGGAAGCTCTACTTTTCAAGGAACGTTACCAACCCCAGTTCGACCGACTCCTGACCCTAAGCGCCAACGCTCGAGGAATGAAGGCCGTTCTAGGCAGCGTCTTTTACGAGCCTGGCATACCAGCCAATGCCTACGGTGCATGGTTGCAAGGCACCATGGCCGTGCTGCAATCCAAAGGAGCTAAGAACCTCCACGTCTTGGCTCGCATGTTCTTCGATCGGAGTCCTCATATCTCGTATCTCTGGCTTGGAGGGATCATCACAGGCGCACACAAAGACTTCCTACGGAGCATCTCCGGCCTCCTTGGCCTGAACAGGATCGACCTTCACGAGGCGGCCTGGACTGGTACCCTTTTGTCCTTCATTCAGGAGCCGGTGTCTCGGTTGCATCACGACTCGAAATCAATTTCACGAGCTGATGAGTGCCGACTGATGTTTCTGAGCCAAGAGCCACCCCGGGAATTCCCTCCGATATACCCATATCATCCCTTGGGAGACACGGATATCAAGGACACCGATCTTGGTGTCCATCTCCACGCACGTTGTCCAGGCAAGCACCACCTTGGGTTCTTGTCTGTCACATGGAACTGCGTTGGGGGCAGGAAGGACATACAAAGAACAGGACCAATATCAATAGCGTCTAGGAATCATCACATTGTCGACAACCTGCAGGATGACGAGGATACGGCCATCGAAGTGGATTACGGGTGGTTAGACCGAGAGAGGGATCTTTCCGAGGGAGTCACACGTAATCTGTTCACTTGGATGCGAGACATGGATGGGTTCACTGTTGCGGAACGAGATATTTGCCGGCACGAATGGATTGACGCATTTAATGATTCAGATGACGAGAGTGTCCATCCGGAGGGAGATGGGGGGTCCACAGTTGGTCTAAACATTGCTGGTCGGATGGGATGCTGGATGGCAAGCACAATAACCAGACGTAGCAACTCAGTATAGATTTGAGCGGAATTCCTAAGCAAGAGGCCAAGTTTACCAGCCATAATGACCCTTATTGTCACTCCTCGCTATCATATTCATCTAATAAAGGGTCGGGTGCGCTTCGCTGCCGGCGCGGGAGTCCCCACTGGCTCGATAAAGATCAAAAGGTTAGAGCCAAGTCACTTGCGCGAACTCATTTCCCCATCATCCACTCGGGAGTCTTCCGGCAGGAGCTCAGCTCGTCGCCTCCCACTCGAGTGGGTTACCTTAGGTAGGTAGGTACCTAGCCCGACGTGAAAATGGGGCTATCACAGCCTACCTAGGAAGGAGCAGAAGGGCCTCGGATTTGCCTGGGTAGGTTACCTAGGTAGGTAGGGTAAGCAATCCCGCTGTCCCCGCAACTGGAAACTCCAATAAGATGTATGGGGATGGACGCGACTTCCTGGTCGGCATGAACAATAGGGTGGGGAGGACTGCCACTTATTTGCCGTTGATGGTGCTTTGTTGCCTTCAGTTCTCCCCTCAAACTCTCAGGCGAACTAGAATCAATCAGTCTGCTATTAGAACACATCCACCAGCCGCATGAATCCGTCCAGTTCTAAAGTACCTAGCTCGATTACATCTCAGCAGACGATATCTTCCAGTACCGCAGTCGAAACCGACCACGTCCAACAACAGCCCGGCATCGCGATGCAGGAAATCTTGGACTGTCCACCACCGTCGGAATGGCCAACAATCCTGATCAACAATCCTGATTGGAAGTCGAGGTTACTCATCGATTGCCCCCGATTGCAAAGCGTCAACGACTTCGAGACCGTGATAGACCATTCGGTCTTAGACCACTTCGACTGTCTGCGGTGGGCAATATTAGACATACTCCCAAACCCGAATGCCCTTCCCCTCCCACGCACTCGCAGCGATGTCGCATACCGCCGTAAGAAACCATGCACCTTCCCTTCCTCATTTCTCATTCCACGAGAGTGATCTGCGTGTGAGGCATGGTCGAGCTAACCTACCTACTTCAACGACAGTTGCGCGGGCCGGATAGCGCCGGGCCGGCAGCAGGAACCTGCCCAGGGCTTTTCAGGTCGAGGTGTACGTCAAGTACCGAAAAGAAGTCGAATTCACCCACGCCCACACGCTCCTTCCCAATGGCAAGGCAGAATCCAAAATTGACGGCGGCGCCATCATTCGTCATCACCCTCGCGCGCTGGAAGGTGACAAATATGGCTACGTTGTGGATCGCTATTTCAGGTTGAACCTCATTGAGGACCACCCTATCCTAAATTCAGAATCCTGGACAGTTGTCCAGAATCCCGTTGTCCAGAATCCCATTGGACAGGGCTTCGTTGGACAGGGCTTCGTTGGACAGGACTTTGTTGGACAGGACTTCGTTGGCCAGGGCTTCGTTGGCCAGAATCCCGTTGGCCAGAATCCCGTTGGCCAGAATCCCGTTGTCCAGAATCCCTTTGGCCAGAATCCCTTTGGCCAGAATCCCGTTGTCCAGAATCCCGTTGTCCAGAATCCCTTTGGCCAGAATCCCGTTGTCCAGAATCCCGTTGTCCAGAATCCCTTTGTCCAGAATCCCATTCGCGGGGGCTCTGTTCACGGGGGCTCTGTTCGCAGGGTCTCTGTTCGCAGGGTCTCTGTTAGCGAGGGCTCTGTTGGCCAGTATCATGTTGGCCAGAATTCCGTTGGGCAGGGCTCTGTTGGGCAGGACTCTGTTGGGCAGGACTCTGTTGAGCAGGACTCTGTTGAGCAGGACTCCGTTAGCCAGTGTCCTGTTAGTTGATGCTTGTTGGCTTGTCTTGTGTGATTTCCTCTTCTTTCTATGACACGGCTCCCCTTTGACCCCGAGTTCCAGCGGTTTTTGTTCCGGATATCTTTTTCGCGATGGGAGCCTGGGATGCTGCAGCGCATGCATGTATCTATTTAAGCATCACGCCAGAACAGAACACAGGTCATAATTCACATTGACCATAGGTGGAAACCTAGTAAGGTACCGCTGTGACAGTGACAGAAGATGGAGGTCAAGCATGGTGTCGGGACGGGCCGTAGAAAATGCGCGAACCCCAGAAAAGGGGTGCCAAACGGGCTGTCACTCAGCCCTATGGCCCACCCCGTTAGGTACTAACTGAGGGGTTATTCCGTCGCTACCTAATTAAGCTTGAGCTCATCCATCCAGTCCCATTCCATTGCCTCACAATCCGACGTCACGCCGCCCAGTCACGCAGCCTTTTTGACGCGACAATCAACCACGTCCACTTCTTTACACGAGGTCTCGACATCCTCCCCCCGACCCGTCCGTCTCTCCCGCATCCTCGCCACCGACCTCCGCCGCAAATTAATAAATGGCGTCCCCCGCCAAGACGCTTCGGATCCTCTGCTTCGGCGACTCGCTGACGGCGGGGTACTCGGGCATGGGCGCCATGTACCACCCCTACTCTGAGACGCTCGAGCAGATGGTCGCCATGGCCTTTCCCGAGTATCGCATCGAGACGGTCGAGGACGGCAAGCCCGGTGATCTGGCCTCGTCGAGGGGCAGTTTCCTCAGCCGGATGGGGAAGATCTGTGAGCCTTTTACTCTCCTCCCCTTTGCTTTTCGGTTGCCCCTTTATCCCCCATGTTGCCGCAAACCCCCGAGACGGGACCAAATGGACGAGAGCAATCCGGCTGACGAATACCCCCCGTGTCCCCCGCGTTTCAGTCGCGGCAGCAGGCAAGGGATCATTTGACTGGACGATCGTGCTAGGAGGGACGAAGTAGGCGCTCTCCCGTTACCGTCACCCCACAAGACACAGGCCACAGACCACGTCTGCGGGAGGAGATCAGGGACTGACAGCCTTCTCCTCAGCGACCTAGCATGGGGCATCGAGCCCGAGGAGATCTTCGACTCCCTCGAGAAAGTCTGGGCCATACCGCTCGCGCACGGGAGCCGTGTCCTCGCGCTGACTGTGCCCGAGGCCGGTGTCAAGGTTCACCGGGAGCGGATCGGCGCCAGGCGGGACCGGCTAAACGGCCTGATCAAGGGTTACCAACGGGATGACTTGTAAGACCACATCACCCACCCCTCCAAGCAAAAAACAAACAAACAAACGAAGAAACCCCCAACTAACCCCCCCCCCAAAACAGCCACACCCACGACCTCCACGCCTCAATCCCCTACTTCTCCATGACCCCCTCGGACCGCGCCCTGTACTGGGACGACGCGGTGCACCTGACCCCGGACGGCTACGACCTGGTCGGCCGGCGCGTCGGCACCGCGCTGGTGTCCCTGCTCGTCCGCGAGCGCACCAGTGCCGACACCCCGGCCCGCCGCCGCCGCGTCTTCCGCGACGACGACCGCCCCTACGACGAGGAGGGCGGCGACCCGGCCGCCATCGACCAGGGGTACGTCATCGTGCGCCGCAAGGACCTGGACTACGTGGTGGGGTAGGGTAGGGTAGGGTAGGCTTTTGGGGTCGGTTGGTTGACAAGGAGAGGTTGTACACGCGGTGTTTTCCTTGGCAGTTTCGGTGCTTCCGGGGGGGCGGCATGTCACCGGCGCCAGGTGGTTTAATGGCTTTGGATTTATGGGCTTTTGGCGATGGGCGATAACGAATGGAAACGGGAAATCAGGCGTTCTAGGCACTATGAGTACATAGATGCATTGCTGTTCTATTTCATGGACGTTCATAGACTTTGGTAAAGCCTACTGTGGTCGATTTCAGACCCTTATTTTTTTTGGAAAAATACCCCGTCCCCTCCCCAACGCCAGGCTTGATACAAATCGAGGATTCGGTTCCCCCCTCGATCATGAAAACATCAAGCGGCCAGCTGCCGCTCCACAAACACCTTGAGTAACCACTGTTAGCTTCTCGTCCATGTCTCAATCAAATATCTGTAGGGGAATATAAAAGTCACGACATACCGGAAACTCTGCTTGCAACGAGTTCGTCAGTTGCTCCAGCTCCTCGGCCAACGCCTGGACGTTGGCATCCCATCTCCGCATCTCCTTGCCCACAGTGAGCTCGGCATGACCGCTGCCCTTCTCCCTCGATGTCTCGCCCCCCTCGAACCAGATGATGCGGTCGATCTGGTCGATCCGGCCAGCCAGCCGTCCCTGCTCGATCATCCTGGCCGTCGTGTCCTCGGCCTTGTCCGCGTTCCTGCCTAGTCCCAGCAAGAGAGCGAGCTCGTCGAAGCCAATGTTGCTGTACAGCCGGCTCGCGCCCAGGAGGTTGTGCTCCACGACCGCCTTGACCAGCACCGTAGATCCGTCCGAGGTTCTGGCCAGCTGGTGTGGCTGTAGGCCCTGGGCGAACTTATCGACCTCGGCGGGGGCCAGTAGCCTGTCAAGGAACATCTTCTCCAATATGCCGAACTCTTCTAAGCCTGCAGCCCGGTCGTCCTTGTACAGCCGGCCAAGGACCTTGCGACGGTCGGGCCCGGCGGGGGCGAGGATGGCGCACTTGATGGCCATGCTGAGAGTGTGGAGCCTCTCCTCCTCGGCGATGACGGGCGACACGCTGATGTCATGGTAGCTCTGGGCGGCGGCCAGGAACTGCCTCTTGGAGTCCTGGATGCGGGCGGCGCTCAGCTTGAAGTGCAGGTTCAGCTCGGGGTCATCGATGGTGTGCATGACGTTCTTCAGCTTGTTGAGGTACGACTCGGCGGCGGTGCTGTCGTCGACCTCGAGGTAGTTGCGCACGATGCGGATCCAAATCTTGACCTTCTCAGCATCGGAAACCCGGCGCTGGGAACTATCTAGTGGGATCTCGGACAGCACCTTGGCGGCATCGGCGAAATCCTCATTGCCCTCGTGACCGGTCGCGATCAGCTCTCGGACGGCGGCGGCTTGGTCGAGGAGAGATGACGAGGCCGTCGTGTTCGAGGCAATGAAGGAGAGGATATTCTGGCCAACCTCGACCCACACGTCGTAGTTTTCGAAGGAGCGGAGGGTAGATATAAACTTGTCGAGGACAGTCCGCTTGGCCACTATGCCGTAGGGAAGAACGATGATGGCGTCGGCAATGGCGGTGAGGTCGGCTGCGATTGTTGTCGGAGACGAGAGGTTCTTGATGTTGAAGATGATGGCCTCAAGCATCGTCTCGGGGTTCTGCGAGGAAGCCACCTGAGCGAGAGCCTCCGAGACCTTTGCTGACTGCATGATTGAAGGTTGGCGGCTGAGACGTGGAGGGGAAGTTGATAACGGCGACGATATGCGCCAGCTCGAGAGGTTGGCGCGAGGTCCAGAGTACTGACCTCGTTGTTCGTTGTTGAATGGCAAGGCTAGACTTTTGAACGGGTTCACGGTTTATGTGGTGGCAGGGTGGGGCGGGGTGTGTGGGGTTTGGCGGGGAAGCTCCAGCGCGCCAGTCCTCAGCGTCTTCCCTTCCTGCATTCAGCACTCGTTCTACCCATGTGCTGTAGAGGTCAGTGTGCCTTGTCTGAAGGTTAAAACTAAGTAGGTCCTTGAGGACTTGATTCGGACCAGGATGGAAGACCTAGCCCTTTGGCCTCCCGTATTTCGTCGAAGGTTCCCCAACATAAGAGGCAGGGCTGGTTGAAACGAATATAGGGGCATTCCGGGACTCTCGGTGGAAACGATGCTGGAAATAACCGTGATTATCTAAAGACGAATCTATCTAAGATCTAAGGACTATCTCCTCCCGGAACACAGATGTAAAAAGATTTGAGCTGGGACTCCAATGTACGGGTACACGTACACTACTTGCATGAACGGCCAGGCCCGCCTTCCAGCTAGCCGACGTTAATATCGTACGATGATCGATCGATTTGGGTACTGGCGGCAAGAGACACAGCTGTAATCCCCCAATCCCATGTCTCGATCCTCGACTCTCGATCATTACGCTCTGCCCAATAACCGCAAGTATTTCATCTTCTACCACGATCAACTCGTCCGCCATTTCTCCGTCCACACAGCGACAGGCTCAATGCTCCAGCACCACCGGCTTCCCGCTCTCCCAATTATGAATACTCTCCCTCACATTAATCCAATACCTCAACCTAACAACCTCCCTCTTCGCAGCCTCCACATCCCCCCTCGCAAACGCCTCCCCAAGCACCTCCTCCGCAGCCCTCACCCTCCCCTCATTCACCTCCCTCAGGCCCTCCAACTCCCCCTCCTCCCTCGCCTCCTCAATCTCCTCCCTCGCCTCCATAACAGCAGCCAACACCTCCGGCTCGGGCTCCCACAGCATCCCCGCCTCGTCGCCCACAACGTCGACCCCGAACCTCTCCCGGAGCAGGTACTGCGCCCTGGTCAGCGGGTTGACCAGCGTCCGATACGCCTCGTTGATAAGCGCGCTCGCGCCCCCGGCCCCGCTGTTGACGTCCGGGTGCGCCGCCGCCTGCAGGCGGAGGAACTCGCGGCGCAGGGCGCGCGCGTCGATGTGGAACGCCCCCGCGGGCGGCGGGCCCGCCGGCAAGGTCTCGGGGAAGAGGGCGTAGAAGGACGGCGGGCCGGGGCGGTCGCGGGTCTCGGACTCGCCGGCCACGGAGGCGGCGCGATGGCCCGACGACGCGTTGTTGGTGTCGGGGGAGCAGCTCGCCCCGGGTTCGGGTTCGGCGGCGGACGAGGAGGAGGATCGCACGGCGGCGGGCTGTTGGGGTCGCGAGGTCTGGGAGAGCCAGCGGCGGGTGGTCGAGAGGGGTGCTGCTGCCTGGCTGGTGGTGTTCGGGTTTGGGTTCGATCTGGGCGCGCCCGGTGCTGCTACTGCTGCTGCCGCCGCGCCGCTGCGGCTCGCTGATGAGAAGGGCCTCCTGGCTGTCTGGGTCGCGTCCCTGCGGCAGGCTGAGCAGAGATGCGCGACTGCGCGGCTCTGGCGTGAGATGGATGACCGCATGTCTGTGTGGTATGGGGGGAATTGCGTAGAAACCCAACTTAGTGTCAGGGCTGTTGTGGTAAAACTTGTTGAAAGCTCAGGTGAGTGAGAGTTGGTTACGGCGATGTTTCAGTCGACCCGGAATTTTTTAGTTGCGAGCTCGGGGCGACGGCAAAAATGACATCACGGGCCGAAGTGAAGCAGATAATTAAAGCGTAAAGCCGGCAAAACCCGCCCCCACCGCCGACATTATCTCCGAGGAGACAGGCGTAACGAACCCGAGGAGAAGACAATATGAGACGTATTGCAAGTCATGGTGGTATCTGTCATGGTATTGTCGCCCCTAGTGTCACAGAGCGGTCTAACTTAGGTATTAATATTATACAGCACTTTCTGGTGACTGGATATCCGTTCACCGTCCTAAACGCCGTCCCATGTCTTCCTCCCCCCCTCCACCTGATAGAGGTAGGTAGTGTGCAGGTATTCACTCTCAAGACAACGCAACTCCCCTCCACCTCCCTCTCTCGGTGTGCCACCACCTCTCCCGATCCTTCTTATCCACCACGACACTACTATAGGTGTTCCACCTCCCCATACACCCCTCCATCCCACCGCCATCCTCCCCCCCACCGCCAATCAACTGCTCAACCCCAACAAGGCCACCCCCCTCATCCGTCCCCCCCGCATCCGGCAAGAGCACATACTCAACCGGACTCCCCACGCATCCCACAAACGCCCCAATCCCATGCCTCTCCACCACCATGCCCCGCTCATCCACAACGTTGACCAAAAACCTCGGCGCCCGCCTCCCGGCTTCCACCCGCGCCTGCGCCGCCAGCCGGGCCAGGCGCAGGTGACTCGCCCCGGCCCCGACCCCCTCCGCGGCAGCAGCAGGCGCCTGCGCAAACCCGGGACTACCAGGCGGCGGCCCCGGCGCCGGCGAGTCTGTTCCACCGGCCCCACCACTACTACTCCCGCTAGACACAGACCCAGCCCCGGCACTGCTACTAGCCGTGCTGGCGCGGCGGACACCACGGCGGGGAGGGGCGCCCACGTGGTAGGGGTTCTGGTGGTGGTTGTGGCTGCCGGCGCTCGCGATGGCGTACCGGTCAGCGGGCAGGTCGGCGCGCTCGCGCGGGCGGCACAGGGCCTGGAAGATGCCCTCGGGGTCGTTGGGGGCGCGGAGGGCGCGCAGGCGGGGGAAGCCCGCCGCCGCGACGGAGCGGGCGAGGATGACGTCGGCGGGGGAGGCGGCGGCGACGAGAGCGGCGGGGTGCTGGTTTGTGGTGGTGGTGTCGTTGTCGTGGTTGTTGTCGATCATGTCCCAGTGCAGGCGGCGGAGGGAGGGGGAGGCGAGGTAGGGAAACAGCCAGATGGGCTCGCCCGGCGCCATTGTCGGGGGCGCGCGCTGGACGATGCTGAAGGACTCGAGGACGGCAAGGTTGGAGAAGATGCGCGCGAGGGCCGGGAGGGAGTCGACGTCCATGTGGATCAGCGTCAGCGAACGGACCGCCGCGCTGTTGGGCCGCGTCGCGAACGACGAGAGCCCCGCCGTCGTGACGCCGCCGAGGTGGGCGAGCGTCAGCTTCTTCAGCGGCGGCAGCGACAGCAGGCTGGCGTTGTTGAACGTCGCGTACGGGAGGTGCGAAAGGTGCAGGTTCTGCAGCAGCGGGAGGCACACCAGCGTGCTCGTGAGCAGGCTGTCCGGCCCCAGCACCGCCCCGGGCTGGCAGTGGACCGTCAGTGTCGTGAGATGTAGCCAGTTGACGTGGTGCTCGATGAAGGCCTTGGATTGCTGTGGCTGCAGGGCAGCAGGTGCGGGTGCGATGACAAGATCCTCCCCGCCTTGCCTCGTCCTCGTTTTTATCCTCGTCTTTGACCGGGTTCGGGTCTGCGGCTGCGGCTGTGCGGGAGGCGCCTCGAGGACCCATGCCATCTCCCTCAGCCTCTGCCGCGTCGACAGCGCGTGGAACAGCCGCGAAAATTCGTGGTTGTAAGCCGGGTAGAAGCCCGTCAATCGCTCCAGGTTTGGACACGCCATGATGACGGACGCGACCAGGTCTCGATACCCATCGGCGTCGGTCCCCGGCGGCAAGAGGGCGGGCACCTTGAGCGAGCGCACGACGACGGCGATGTGCGGGAGGCTACGCAGGGACCTCCGCAGCAGGACCAACCTCGCGCCGTGGCCGAGCTTGTACCGCTTCTTCATGTGTGCGCCATCGGCGCCGACGAGCTGGATGTCCTCGTACAGGGCCGTCCGCGCAAACTTCAGCCACTTGCGCGCGCTCACGGCCACGGAGCAGCAGTCTCGCATCCAGCACGTCGCACAGCTGGCGCTCCCCGGCCGCAGGTGCAGCTGCTTGAGCTCCTCCAGTATCAGTTCCAGCACCTCGCCCGGCAGCGCCGCGAACAGCTCGCCCGGTTTCGCCCTGCGCCGAGCCGCCTTGATCAGCGCCGGCCGCTGCCAAGGGTACTGCTGGGCGGGGTTCTGGCCATGGTTCTGGCCTTGAAGATGCGGGTTGGCGTAAACGGGGCGCTGAAAGCCCGAGATAATGGACTCGAAGCTGGTCTGGCTGCCCCACGACGAGCCGCCCCCAATGCGGCTGTCGGAGCTCTCGGGCGAAGAATAAACCGTGCTTGTCGTGGTCGCGGTGCTGCTGTTTGAGAGGCGCCGCGGCCGGTTGTACATGGCCGTGCGGTCGGACGAGCTGGCGAGTGAGTCGGCCATGATGGCGGCATCGGACAGCGCTGCTGGTTGCGATGTCTCTCCTGGGGCATACCCATGCTCCATTGCCGCCGACCTCGCGCTTGAGCGCTCTACCCTAGTGATGAAGTCCTCGTCCGGCGACGAATAGAAGGTTCTCGGAACGTTGGCAAGATGGAAGCCGGCCGGGGTTGGTAGGACGGGACCGGCACTCGCCATCGTAGCGCGGATGTATTGGGAATGGGAGAGTCCGAAGCGTGGCGGGGGCTTCAGCAGCGAATCATCATAGCTCCGGACGGGTCTCTGTGATGGCGAGGCCGAGTAATGGCGTTGGTGGTTCTGGGATTGGTTCTGGTACTGGTGCTGGTGCTGATGGTTTGCTCTGTTGTTCCAGGCCAATGGCGGGCTGTTGTCGGTGAGAAAAAAGGGGGTTCCAATTCGTCAGCAAATCAAAGTTCCGAATTCAGGGCCCTCGTCGTCGATCCGAATGATTAACGACTGGGGGAAAAGAAGCAAAAAGCGACGAAAGAGGGAATACAAGGCCAAGATCAGTCGAGTCGGAGAAGGGGAAAAGGGACGGTGGGTCAGGGCAGGCCAAGCAACATTTTTAAATGAAGATCGAGCCCCAGTCAACTCAAGAAGGTGCGTCATTCTGCAGTTGAGAGCGAAAGTATCGTGGCCAGCCAGGGAGCCAGGGGGGTGGGGGGAAAGGGAGAGTGGAGTGGAACGGAGTGACTGGCCAGGGTGAGCTGGGACTTGCGAGCCGGGATTCTGGGATTATGGGAGCTGGGGGGGAATCGTTTGGGCGCTAGGGCTGTCCTTGAGCCCGAGCGCTTACTGGAACATGGCAGCACGGATCGCCGTTCATTCACCGGCCCGAGTGGCGTCCACTTGGAGACGAGACGGGACGAAGGCTGTGTCGCTGCTGAACACACCTCAAGCGCGCCACAGATGCAGTGGAAATTAGTTGTATGCAATAAGAAAAGCATAGAAAGGGGGGGCTCAACAGGACCGCGCGCTTGCGAAATATTAGGTCCAACGACCATCATCAGAGCCATCTCCAGGTTCCCAATAGGAGTACTACGCAGTACAATGCAACCCGTCGAGGCCCAGCCAGTCGGCACTGGGTGGTGCGGGCGGCAAGCAAGCCCTACCGTAGGATGGAATGAAAAGACGGGATAAATCAAGGCAGTCCACACTCACAATCGGCGATGATTGAGATCGCCATCTGACTTGGCAACGCCAGCAGGTCTCGGGCTGGGCGGGTGAGCAATCATGTATTTGAAGATGCTGTCTCGGAGAGAGCCCGCCCTCTTGTCGTCCAACGCCGAAAGCGAACTTCTCCCTCCTCCTCTTCCCCCCCCTCCCCCTCCTCCTCTGCCGCCGTTTCCTTCTTGGTGGTGGTTGACCTTCATCAACGATGACGACCGCGGCGTCGGTGGTGGTGGTGGCAGACAAGGGTCGCTGCCATAGGCATGCATATTTTCGATCGATGCCCTCGAAGTCTCATCGGTCCTGCAAATCGCCCCCCTCTTCCCACACTGGCTACCGAGACTTGTTGTTGGTAAGTGAGATGTCGGTTTCGATTTCGACGCGATGAACGAGTGTGTGGTTGGTTAGTTTGTATGTGTGTTTGCTGCTCATAGTGAGTGCGAAGTCTCCCGCCTTTTGTAGGCACGTCAAAATGCACTTCACTGCATGATGGAGCCATCCAACTCATCAATTGCGGGTCGAGATGTAAGACATTGTTTTCGTCGTCTCCCCTTTGCCTCGCACCTGCAGCAAGCGAGATGGAGGCGGCGACAATCGGATGGTGTCATGCGCTGCCCATTCGTCGTTGACGACATCAGTATCCCTCTATAGCTCCCCCACCATCCCAAAAACCGGGTAGATTAACTACCTCTACTGCTACTATTACGAGTCGGGTCTCAATTTCGACTCAACCCTTCGGTCTCGTCTCCCTTTCGTCGCAACTCGGGCTGCCGGTAGCGGGGCAGCAAAAGAATTGGTGGGGGCAGGATGGCTCCAGCGCCAATCCGAGGTACTCTTGCCTCGTATCGACCCTTAACCCATTTTAGTGCTCGCATCAAGGCGCCCCAAGTCCAGCTGTCGTCTCCCACGACGTGTCAACATGATGCACGAGAATGCGCTCGCGAGAAAATGAAGAGGGGCAAAAAGCAGCTAATTAGGTATTACCGATTGCCATCCAACCATCCCATTCATTCTGGATAAAATCGAGCCGGCCGGCTGGCCAAGGATGGGGCCGCCCCTCCTTGCCCTTAAAAATGTTTGGCGGCCGAGACTCTGCTTCCCGGAGCTGCAATTACCTGCAGCCTGGACGATCACCAAGTGTGTACCAAGATCCCATATCCTGTTTTTCCTTTTGTATGGACGGCAAATCAATGGGCGGGCTCGGCAGTACTGTTGATCATGAGGACCCAGGGATAATAATAAAAATAAACACCGACACCCCCAAAATTGTGTCGTCACCGACTGACCTGATTGCGGGAAGCAAAGCCAACCTACCTGTTTCGGCGTTGCCACCTACTGTCCGACCTCTCAGCTCCACGATCGAAACATTGTCGAATCACACGATAGTCCGCACCTCTCTCCTGCCGCCGTCGCATAGAAACGAATCAGCTGCCCGGCCCTATGGGTGTACAACGTACCACCAAGACCTCGGCCTTATCCGCAATAATGGCCTTCACGCGACACGCCGACCCGGCTATTGTCCCCCAGTGCCATCTAATTGGTTCTAGACCTTTCTATTGAACCTCCCAAAATTTGTACAAGTATGTACGTCCTTTCTTTTTCTCCGTTTCCGCCCATTATCTCCCGTCCCACGCAGTTCCGACGAAAAACATGCTCCCATGCCATCATCCGTGTCGTACGGGTCAAGCGCCGCCCTTCCTGATGCCAGCAATAAATAAATCAACTCATTTAACCTTCAAGCACCTGTGAATCCCATCAAAAGGTTTTGTCATCAGTCGTCATCCTCATCATCATCGTCGTCGTCGTCGTCGTCATCAGCGGCAAACCGGACGCGTCGGGAAGGCCGTGAAAACGATACCTCCGACTTGCTCGTCGAACCGGGCCCGGGCCCGGATTCGCACGGGAGTCGCCTCTTCTTTCCCGGCGTGGGGGTGAGTATCGTCACTATCGCGCCCTTCTCCTTGGCCATGATCGTGTCCAGCACGACCTCTTGGCTCTGAGCCCGCTCCGTCGGCGTTGCACTTGCTGCTGCCGCCGTCCGAACCGCCACGCGAATCCGGATCCCGCTGCTACTGGTCTTGTTGCCGTCCGTTGGGGACACGGGTACCGCCACCAGATCCTCGTCCGGGTGCGCCAGCCCACGTCCGAAACCGCGTCCAAAGACGAACTGGGGCGTCTTGAGCATGGCCGTCTGCGCCGGCCCGCCTGGCTCTTCGGCCGGGAGGGGGATGATCCTCGCGTTCAGGATCCAGTTATAGATGGGTCTGTCGTCGAGGATCGACCTGCATTTCCGCTGCTCGGCCTGCGTCATCTCCTGCCGCCGCTGGACAATCACTTCGTCCATGCTCCCCCGGAGGACCAGGGTCTCCACCGTGACCGGCTTCTTCTGGCTGATGCGTCGTGCTCGCCCAATGGCTTGTGCCTCGACTTGGGGGTTCAGGACCGGGTTGATAAAGTAGATCCGCGACGCCGAGCGCATGTCCAGCCCGAACGCAGCCTGGCTGATCTCCATGAGCATGACCCTGCGACGATGCGTATCAGCACAACAATTTAAGCTGGTCTCCATGTGTCGATCGCGGCTCACCTAAACTTCGGGTTGTGGTTGAACGTGGCAACGTATTGTGCTCGCCGCTCGATGCTGAGTGACTTCGAGTAGATCAGATGATGGATTTGTAGCTGGAACCCGTTAGTTTCGCCATCAGCGCATTTCTCTCGGTTCTACCCACAATTTCTAGCATGCCTGAAATGTAGTACGCCACGTTGTCGTTCTCGTAGAAGATGATGATCTGCTCCTCCTGTTGATGCTTGACCACCTGATCCACCAAATACGAAAGTTTGGCCGAGACGGTGGAGATGATCCGGGTCTCGGCGAGAGGCGCTGCGATCTCGGACTCGCATTCTCCTTCGGCCAGAGGAATCTCGTCCATCCTCTCCAGAGTGCCCAATGCTGTTGACCGGTGCTTGCCCAGCCTGCTTTTATCTTCTCCTACCTGCGTGTTTCCGGCGAGAGTCGCGGTCGGGTTGCCATTGTGCTGCGGTACGCCGGAGGTGCCATCTAGCAACAGCTGCAAGTCGAGCGCCCTGTTCAGCTCCGCAAACCCCTGCTCCTTGAGTTTGCCGGTGGTGAACAGCAACTGTAGAGAAGTGGGGGCGCCCACTGTTGGCTGCAGATATCCCTGAAGAGCAAGAACCATCCGAGAGTCCATGTGTACAGGGCCGTCCATCGTTCGATCAAGGGACCAAGCATGGCCCAGGCCAAAGGGGAAGTTCTCAACGTATATGGGTACCTCATGGAGCATGTGGGCGTGGGTCTTGAGACTGTTCTTGGCGGCGATATGGCCGAACGAGATCGCTTCACGAAGCATAGCATGGTCCTCGGCGGGTATCTGGACCTTGCCGTCGTCCAGGAACCTTTCCGCCGTTCCCACAATCGTGCGGATGGCGTCCGGAGAGAAGAACGAACCGCCGAAGAAACTGGCCGCACGTAAGTTAGAAACTAACTCCATCAACGCCTTCCTCTGACGAGCGTGGAACAAGTAATCTTGATCTGTCCGTTGTGACTGCACGGCGTTGGATATGATGACCATGGAGAACAGGTTAAGGGATAATTTATCTTGATAGGAGCCATCGAGGTAGACTACCCTCTCGTTCACAACGGGAAGGAGTTGAGCAACTTCCGAGACGCGATGTCGGATGATCAGCGATTTCAATGTTGCTTTGAGGCAATCCTTCCGTCCGCTGCTGCGCGGGGAATGCTTTGGCTGCATGACATAGACCGACCAATCTGCGAGCGTGTCGCCGACTTCTGTCATCGTGTTTGCCCACGGCCGCGCCTTTAGATAGAGCGCTGCGATCGAACCGATCCGCCTCAGATCGTCCCTTTCTTGCTCGTTCGATGATTTGCCTAGTCTTTGGCTTCGGCCCGCCTCGTCGGGCGTGCTGGGCACTGAACTGGCGGGGCTCTGGTCGACCCCGAAGAGGCCCTTCGATGGTGTTCCAGTCACAATCCAACGGGCCGAGATTTGTAAGCTGTCGAGCATGAGGTGCAGGTTACTCTTGTTGCTTGCCGTCGAGTTCCCGAGCTTGTGACCTTCGTCAACGATACAGCGTTTGAAGTGGATCTGGGCCAATGGCGATTCGGGGAGATAGGCGCCGTCGCGATCAGTAGTCACATCGAGCCATAGTCTCTCGAAACGAGTGCTAGAAAAGAGAAGGATATCGTACTCCAACAACTCATGTACCGGCGGCAACTCCTGCTTCCTAACACAGACAAGCACCTTCAAGCCAATTGTGTGCTTCGAGATCTCCTGTTTCCACTGCTGGACAAGGTTGGGGGGTACGACGACGAGTGTGGCATAGCTGAGAGAGACCTTGATTGATGTTCGTGGCGCCGACGGCTGGCGAATGTTCTTTCGCCGCCGCCAAGGTTGCGGCAGGAAATAGTGACCGGGGTTTCTCTGGATGGCCTCGACGCATTTGGCGTACTCGGTGCCATCCTCATCATCGGTGCCAAACCACAGCTTCCACGGCACGGCGTTCCTGGTGATACAAGCAGCGGCCATGTCCGCCAGTGACCCAGTTTTTGGTCTGTTCATCACGGAATTCCCTCTGTGGATGTCTGGAGCCTGCGAGGTCTGGTGCTTTGTCGCAAGGATCAGAGCTAGACAGATCAGCGTCTTCCCTGATCCCATCTCCTCAGCCAAAATGCCGCCACAGACCCCGTCGTAATACCGGGGCTCCACGAGTCCGATCCCGTCGATGGCATCGTAGTACCACGGGTTGCCGCTCTGGTCGACAACTTTCACTAGGCGAGGGTCAAGAACTTGCTCGGGTTGGACTTCCTTCTGGAGCATCAGGGCCGCTGATCGTCGCTGATACGGATAGAGCGTGGTCTTCAAGCCGGGCACGTCGCTATCGATCAAGTTATAAGCAAACGCTCTGGCTGTCGCATCGCGGATTAGCCTCGGCTGTGGATCGGGTGAGGGTATGTTATTGAACATCTGAAGCAGAGATTGATCATCATTGATCTCTGGGCCGCCGTGGAAAGGCACGGGTTTCGAAGAAGGGCCAATTCCGGCTTCTCCATGCCAAGTGCTCTTGGAGAAATCAAGCTGAGACAGTAAGCTCCGCCTGGCTCTCCGGAGCACGGGGTCTTCGCGGTCGATGGAGCGCCTCCCAACATCGTCCGGCAAGAGGTAGATTCTGAGAATGCCTTCCTCCGGATCGTCAAGGCTGACGCTGAAGCTGAACTGGACCCACCGCTTCCGCAAGAGCTGGACATATGGAGAAACGGTGTCGGATGTGAGTAGGAACTGCCCAATTGCTGGCGCGAAACCAGGCTGCTGTTGGAGTGGTTCAGGATCAGGACCCAAATCACCAGGAACAGGCTGCCACCGTTTAAGATCAGATATCGGCCATAGTCCACTAGGGACATTGCTTTCGTCCCGCTGGATGAGGAGGCATCCGACCGGAATGTAGTCTTGGTATGCTGAATCACCCATGGTGGTCGGGTCAGGCGAACGGCGGGGCGGCGAGAAGCTCGTGAAACGTGTATGGATACGGGACGGCAGTCAGCCCTGCTACACCACAGTTACGAAATAGATCCAACTTGGTGTTCCCAGAGGTGCGACCCTTTTAGATGGCACGTCAGAAGGCGGGGGAAGGCCGATACACCGAGTTAAACTTTGACTTTGACTGGAAATGATTGAGGCTGACAACCGTTGCAGTGGATCCTTCGCACAGGCCATTCATGAAGGTACCTAGCCAATGATGTTGTCAAAAACTGCTAAAGATGTGGGGCGACATGCATCCCCAAAAGACCAGGAACGCCGACGACCGCAAACACTAAGATGGACAACATGAAATACTAGATCCAGACTGTCTGTATCAAACTAGTTGCCGAGCAGAAGCTTGGACATAACTCCTGCGTTCAGCCTTATAACTAATTTACTAACTGCGGGTCGAAGCCTGGAATGATGTCCCTCAGCTCCTCACCTCATACCACCGCCCATTCTCTCGATGTGCCTCCGACGCGTATCATATCAAGAGCACGACGTCGAACCCGGTGAAGGACAAGCCCTGTCTTTCCATGCGCCGCCCCCCCCGCCCCCCCCCCCAGCCGCAGGCGGAGCGAAGGCACACGTGCAGAGCATCTAGGCGCAGGTGGCCACCGCTTTTCTGCCTCTTAGACCCACTGGCAGACAACGTGTCAGGCAAGCAAGCGGCCGGCACGCATGCGCCGGGTCCTTGCTGAGCAGCGCCGGGAGCCTCCGACAAGAAGCCGGACCAGAGGTTTCCAACCACGGAGGCGAAAAATCCCAGGGGCATTTTGTTCTTGCAGGCTCCAAGGTTCGCCGAGGGTATGTTTGAACAGAGTTATCGTCTTAAACCTGGCCGGCGGCGCATCGTACGCCAAAGCTAATCGATCATCCCTGGCCCTGTCTCAATATTTCCCGAGGCCATCGAATGCATGGAACGGGGAATCTCCCGAGGTCAACGGCAGGAATGATGCGCCACAGTTGTGAATTTCGCATGCCAAACGAATGGCGAGAGGGGGAAATACCTGTTTGGGGGCAAAGGTCCCGTCGCCACTCGTTAACTGCTACCTACCTGTTAGCGAACTGGAGGGGGATCATGGAGCTTGACTAGGTGATGTTGGACATCGTTCCCTTTGCGGAAACAAAGGTTCCAGGCAGTCGTGGGAGGTGAACTTACGAAGCGCCGCTCATCGGCATACCCGTTCTCGGTCAGGAAAAAAAAACCGGCACCGCAAACCACAACACCTCTCTAAATAGCACCATTCTAACTGTAATTGCAGCCTCCAAAAATGCTTACCAGGCGCCTTCCAACTTAACACAGCTTTGTGATTGCTATGGGATTGTCTCTACCTATCAAATGATCTTTTCCTGGCTTAATATAACCTAGTCTTCCCCAGCTAGCTTGGTCGATACTGTTTGCAGTGCCGGTTTTTTTTTCCAGACCGAGCCGTTCAACCCCTATATGAGCAAGCAGGTAGTGAGTAGTAAACTTCGGTTGCACCGCAAGCTCCCTGGAAACGGCCGAGAACTTGGGTTTATCTTTGACAGCTGCCATCCCGAGTACGAAATGACCTACCAATATTGGTGGAGAACCGTGGATATTTGTCGCGAAGGGCCTGGCTGGAGGGGGAGGGGCCACAGCCCCAAGATCTACGGATTAAAAGGCGCCTTCCGCTGCTAGTGCCTGCCATTAACGTTGAAGGATCGGGATCGGGTTGCCCATTTCGAAAACGGCGCTCTAATTATTCCCGATGTCTCGATACGGAAAGGGGCTAGCACGATCTCAGCCAAACACAAATGAAGGCAGCAAAACAATTTCCAGGTAGTGTACTTCCACTGCTCCCCCACCACCATCACCCCAACCTACCTACATATACCCAAGGTAGGTAACCACAAGACCCAATGTTTAGGTAGGCACTGTGTACGGATCCGTATTGCTGCCTACCCTAGCGTGGCACAGGCATGGATGATGCAGGTGCAGGTGCAGGGGGTCAGGCTGGCTTGGAAGGCCCACCGATGCTGGCCAAGTCATACGACAAATGGTCCGTGAGCCAGCAAGCACACACTCCCCTCGACCGCCAAGCCTGCTGAGCAAAAACCTAATTTCCTCCTTCTCCAATCTCAGCCCTCAGCCTCTCGACAGCTCAATGCATCTGCACTTTTCGTAGCCGCTGGCCCGTTGCGGGCAGAGCCTCCTACTCACAGCGGCGGTTGAGCCGATCGTAGTCTGCTTTTGGGTCGCGAGATTGCAAAGAGTTGATCTGCTGTTGCATTCGTCTGAGTTCGCCCCTCCACACCGTTTTATTATTGACCCCGATCGTCTCAATTCTACATCGATCCTGAGGCACTTTGATCGTTTCTTCCTTCCCGATCGAAACGCCCCTGCTTCTGTGATCGGCTCCGATCAGGATGTTGAATGTTTCTCTGCTCGGCTGTATGCATGCATGCATGTTTTGTTCGATCGCAAGTGGGTTGAGGGTCCTGCCTCTGACGACAACCGTCTGGGAGGCCAGCTTATCATCTACACTAATTCATTAGCAGATCGTCATAGCGGCGCGATTCAGTCGAACCAAGAAATTTCCCAACTGTACGAGTAGGAAATATGAAGGATAACAAGAGCACCTGAGGTGCGATCACACACCGCCAATCTCGATATTCCTTCCTCACCCCCCTCCCCACACCCGTAGCCATACCCCGTGGTGTCAATCTGCGAATTCCGCCAAGACATGCGACTATCCGATTTCACCCCGCATGGTGTCCGTGCCGTACGCCATGTCATGTTTCTGCTCAGCTCCCAAGCGCATATGATGGGGGCCAAAGGGCTACCCGAACCTTGCCATCAGCTATTTCGGTGCTGTTGCCGCTTTAACGATTCTACCTGGCTCGTGGCTATGCATGGCCCTAGGCATCCTACAGGAACAACCTTGCCTATATGGCATCTCGACCGTGAGACCAGAGCCGATCATCTTCGAAGACTTCGGGACTTTTTACGACGCCTTTCAATAAGTCTCTGGAAGATGCCTCCCCATGTCCTGTCCTCTCCAAATCCTTCTCTTGGTATTGCAGGCTCAGGTGCACTGGTGCGCGTCCCGACCTTGTCTGCCCGGAAGACAATGCTGGCGGCCAGTCTCGGTGGTCTTGGAGTAGGAAAAAAAGGATGCCCTGGAGAAAGCAATCGGGGAACCAGTCCGAATGTCCTGGAAAAGCTCTGCCGCCAGGTCGCGGGACCTGCCGTGACCGGCCCGGGGCCGGATTGTCGGCCTTGGCTCGCACAGGAATAGCTCTCCGCATATGCGGAGGATGTCGACTTCAATGGCTGCTAAAGCGGCGGGGATTCACCCACTAATTACAGCAAACACTGCTCAATTGCTCCTGCACCTTCGCATCCCCGTCAATGCATTCGCAGCAACCACCCCCAGACCTTGACCTGCAGCGGCCGTTGGCCCACCCCTGGGAGCGTCGATGCACCCTCCTGACTGGCCAGAGGCCAACCACATCGACCAGCCTCAAGATCGTGCCAAGACTGTTCCATCATCCACCTTGCCTTTCCGCTGCGGAACCCGTCCATTCGCACAACCTTGTATCTTGCCACGTTTTCGTCTGTGCATTGTATGCATTGTGCGAGGTTAATTGGCTTACGACTGAACCCTGCACCTGGACCTGCAAGAGGCTTGAAAAGGAGGCTTTTCAACTCCTTTTTCCATGGCATAGCACCATCTTTGCCAATTGCCATTTGCCATGGCTTCCTAACGTCTACATGCTTGCACCGAGATGCGAACAGACCGGTCTAGGTCCTTTTTCTTGGCAAGATCGCCGTCATCGCCTCATCCGTCAGACACGCCCCCCAACCCACCGACGGCAAGTGTCCCATGTTTGCGCGTTTGCGCGTTTGACAGTTGTTTGTGTTTGACAGGTGCAGTCACGATTTGCATTCACTGATTATGCGTGAGCCCAGGATCAAAGATGTGTCCCGGCATCAGGGTGTTACGTTTTCCTGGGGTCTTTTCGGGCCCTCTTCCCTACGATCCACTTGCTCGCTCTTTCTTTCCTGGCCCAGGCGTTCCCCTGCTCGCGTCGATCCCACCATTTCGTCCCGACGGAATCGACGGGAGAGCGCGGATCATGGACGACAATCGGCGGCAGGACCAAGGTTCTGGATGAGCACGCCACCTTAACATCGCTCATAAGGCTGCGCGGCCTGTCCAGCTTCAGAAGAGCGGAACAGGTAACCCGTTAATCCAGCAAAACCCGCTGTGGGTGAGGGGAAGGTGTCGCGAGGAGGGGTCGACGCTGACAAAGAAGGGCGGAGCCCTCAGTTGGTGTGGGAGAAAGGGGGGGGGGGGGGGTAGAGCCTATATCTCAGCCCTGCTATACTCCCGGGCGTGACCACCATATTCGACGCCTCCCCACACCAGCGCAAGAGAGGGGACAGCGAGAGTGAGCAGGCCAAGACGATGGCCGTCATGAGTGGTTTCGTCTCGGTCTGCCTGTCTGGTCTTGGCTTAGGTCTGCATGGACGCGGCCTTCTGCGCGTTGCTTATTGCCCCCTTTGCCAACTCATCACGGTGCCACCTGCAGGAGGGGGGGTTAGACGCCCCTCCCCCCCTCTTTCTCCTCACAAACACTCTCGAAAACTCCTTCCTAGCACGGAAACAGCTTAGTCGGGGCGCACTGTAAACTGGCTTCCCCCCTCCCTTCCTTCTTCCCTCCCCCCCCCTCTTATGTCGCCCTCCTTCGCTCGGCCTCTACCGACGCGAAGGCGAGTTGCGCCCATAGAGAGCCCTTGCACCTCCCGTCGTTCACGCACACCATCGTGTCGTTATCGGCTCAACCATACCACAGTCTACCTTGGGTCGCTTCTCACCGGGAAGCCAACGGCGTGGGCCGACGGGGTGGCTCAGGAGATCCTCGATCAAGTTCCACTCCACTGCTCGCTGCAGAGAAGACACGACACGTAACTTATGCCGAACCGGGGAGGGGGGGGGGGGGGGGGTGTCTTGCTTGGAAAAGGGAACGGGGTCAAGACCAATAACCACCATTCTTCCAATGACGCCGGGCAAGTTTTTCCCAAGTGGACCACCTGCACGCGCCAAATAGTATCCCCTTTCTTTCGTCGTGTCCTAGAGTCCCCTTAGCTCGAGGCCCGGCCAGGCCGACCGAACCAGCTGACCCCTTCCATTCCAGCCCAATACTGGGGCCCATATAGGCAGAATCGGCTGTGAGATTGCTGCTGCGCGTGTCGTCTGCTGTTGGGGACCGTTGGCGTACAGCCAATATTTGTGGCTGGGGAGGAGAAGGGGAGACACCACCCCGCTCACGAAGAACCGGGTGAGAAGAAAGACCCAACAGCCGGCACAGCGAGACGGGTGGTTAGCAAGCAGGAGTCGAGATGGCAGATTATGACATCGATCCCGTCCTGTCCTTTTGCCCGTCTCCCTAGCCCTCCCTTTTCCCATGCCTTCCCGTCCCATTCATGTGCCTCTGCCGTTCCAGCCCTGTCCTTCCCTCACGGTTGTGCCAGCGGACAACGTATGCAGGTCCGTCTTGGCAAGATGAGATAGTACGAAAGGGGAAGGGAGGGAATGGGTGAGAGGAGAGAGCGGGGGCGCTAATTGAGGGAGGGGAGGGGAAAGTGGGAGGAGCACACACACCTACATGCTAGCTACCTTGGGTAGGTATGTAGGCAGGTATCCAGAGAGGTGCAAAAGCCCCCTTGGTCGCCGGGCGGATAGGAATAACAGGCCGAGATAAGTCAGAGAAACCAGATCATGAGGGCAACAAAAAACAAGTTCTCGGCGGTGCCTAGCGCCTGGGTCGTGGGGTATAAGACATGCAATAACGTCTGTATCGAGGCCAAGTTTCCTTTCTCCTTCTTTCTTTTTCTTTTTCTTCGTCTTCTCCTTCCACCCCCCGGTTCCCACACTTCCTTTTCTCCTCGGCAACTGCCAGCCCGGCTCCTCCCATAGGGTATGTGCGAACCGTATAACCGCACGTACATATGTTATGTTCCCTGGGCAGTGGCTGGCCCGTCCCGAGCGAATCCCGTCCGTCTGGCCTTACCAGGTATTATATCCCATGCCACACCTTTCCTTCATGTTCATGGGAAGCATTCGATCCGATGATACCTTCGCTCCCCCCTCCTCTCCGCTGACCGCCTTGGTACCACCCACATCCAAGGGCCCCCGTAAAGTACGATGCCAAGACCAAAGGAGCAGGAGGTGAAGGTGGCACCGAATGTATGCGTTGTTTATAATAGTGCGTCTGCAATATGGGCCCCCCCTTCGTCACCGGTGAGTAACATGATGATGCGGAGCTAAGATCGGGGCCACCGCATGCATTGCATCCCATCCCATCCATGTGTGTTCGCAAAAGCTTCTTCGATAGCGAGACATAAGAGAGAGATCCGAGTCACCTTGACGTAATTAATATGCATGCATCCATCCATCCACTCATCCAGTATAGGGTCAGCCTCAAAGGAAAGAGTCTGCGATGAGGGAAGGATCGGGGAGGAGGGGGGGATGAAAAAAGGGGGGGAGGGGAAGTTAATAACAACAGATGCGATGGGCACCTCAAGAAAGTGGGACAAGAGGTGAGAAGCAATGGAGGCGTTTATTCTCGTGTTCCCATTATGTGACTCTTGAGTAGTTATCCAATCCTTGGGGTGCTCCCGCGATCCTCATGGCCCATTTATGTTTTCGTGAATCGTGCGTGCTGTGTTGACCCCGCAAAGATAATGTCTACCCGCCCAGAGGAAAGAGGTCTCGATGGTGCAACCCACAGCCAGCAAGCCACATATAGCACAAACAAAGGACAAGAACGAAAATGAGCAAATACTTTGGGCACGCAGCCAATCCCCGTTCAACGAGGAGGGAGTGGGCAGGGACGGGTAGCCCCTCGCGGCCTGCAGACGACTGCAGTCTGCAATGGCTGCACCATCATTCTCTGCATGCAGACATGTACGTAGCCCTCTCACGCCGCGGCCAGCCGTTCCTCCCTCCAAGAACCCCTATCATACCGCCGGTTTGCCACGGGCAAAGTTGGGATAAGCTTCTCGTTTTGTCGGCGCGTAAACCGTAGTCGTATGTCCCACCCAGCCAGGCCACAGAGTTTCCACTGAACGGCCGGGACTGGTCCCAAATCCTCCCCAGCGTCATGCATCAATGCCCCTTGAATCCTCCCAAATCATCCCTGCAGGACGCCGAGTCCCATGGTTGGAAGATAAAAAGCGCCGCCGTAGGAGAACCATTGGGATCGAAGCTCGAGAGCGCGGAAGAGACGGTATTGGGATCCGTTTCTTTGGGGGGGGGGGGGGGGGGGGGGGTGGTGGGGGGGGGGGGGGGGAAAAAAAAAAAAAAAGCCGGGTTTATAATAAGTGATATGGGTTTAAAAGAGTTTCCCGGTAATGGAAAAAAAAAA